GCGAAGAGAAGGAAGGCGACGTCGATAACTCGCGCCTGCTGTTGGGCGGTGGTGCTGCTGGTCTGGACGGATTCGGATTGGTGCACTCATGGCGAGCACGAGATGGCATCTTCTCAGGTCTGATTGGCCGGCAGTGATGTTGCCGTGGGGGATTAGTGCCTCCATTTCTGCACAACACAACTCAGGACATGCAGGAACTCTCACAACACAGCACCACACATCTCAACTCTCAACTACCAGTCGGTTTTTGATTGGTGGTTGGCCGCGCTACAGTGTTTATCTAACTGTGTTGACGACATGGGACAAGATCAAAGTCAGTTTCACTGCTGTCCAACCGCAGGATATCGTTTTGATCTGACGTCCATGGGAAACGTGCATGACGAGAACATGGCAAACAAGTTAGTACGGTGTTCTGGCACATTGTTATTTACTCAAACCTAGCCAGTCTGACAAGCACTTAATCGACATTGCATTACTACAGCCTCGTCATAGTGTGTTCGTCTGATGGTCTGCCTAAGAGAGCACACTCCCGCGGTAGAGGTGTCACGGCAGCATCGCCTTCTGGAAGGAAACCATTGTGCACCTCTGAGGGAACCAGCGGAGGTGCTCAGTCCAGCGTGGAGGGAGGTCCCATGCAGCCCAAGATGCACAGTCGAATGATTGCCAGTCGGATCACGATCGCACTGTAAAGCTAGTCATGGCCTCACGGCACCAATGCAGCCCGGCAAGTGTTGTGGATTATTTTGTGCGTGTTTCCCAGCAACGCACGGGTCGGTGACGGGAGAAACTTCAGATCCCCGCCATCTACGAAGGGAATACATGATCGGTGAGGAATTGCATACCTACCTATCCGTAAGTACCTACTTTCTTCTTTTTCTATTCGCCTGGCGTTCTTAGCTTATTGCCAGTGCGTACGGGCAGCCACTGACAGCCGGCGCCGTCCAGCTGACGCCGTATTAGCGCCGTGTCTGTCCTTCCCGTCCGTCCCTGAGGTCTGAGGTCACTGCTTCGGGTGAGGGTGAAGCCTTTGATATCTCGGGGAAGGAGCAAGTGATTGCTCTCAATTGCACCTTCCCGTCCCTGATTTTCTAATTGGAGACACCGCCAAAGCAGCGGCTTACCTAAGGTAGGTATCTGGGAAATTGAAAAATCAGGTCCTTCACAAACCCGACGAAAAATTGCTCTCGTGACGACGGCCTTACCTCAAGTTGCCCCTCTCAAAGTCTCTGACCTCCAATCCGACAATCCGGCGTCATCCACTTTTTTCTATCTTAATTTTCTTCCGGCAGGAAAAAAACAACAACGATGCTCAGAACATTTTGGGCTCCTCAGTCCTCGCTTCGGATCAGATCGATTTCCACCACGACCAGTTTCGGGTCGTGTCGCCAATCCACATGTCGTCGACTTACCCCTTTTCTCGCCTCTTCCCTCTTCGGCCCCGACGCCCGTCGCCCGTCGCCCGTCGCCAATTCCTTCCCCCCTGCGAAGGGTGAAGCACTCAAGTCTGAGTCCCAAATATCCGTCGAGGATCCCCGTCCCGCGGTGGACTGCGGATTGTGGACTCCAGCCTCCAGCGTGAGGTCTCTGCGGCGGTGTCCAGGTCGTAGCCGACCACAAATCGTGACCCGGCAGCGGGATGTCGCGAGGCAGAACACCAGAGGAAAAAGGAAGGAAAAAAGTCTGGAGAGAGATGGACCCAATTTTATATATAGGGATTACCTACTTTACGGGTACGGCTCTCGAGTTGCTCCCTGCTCTGGCCTGGGCCTTTTTTGCGGCTTGCCATGGGCACCGACAAGGGCCCGGCATGGCATTTTGCGACTTGCCTCGTTGCGGTAGCCTCTCATGGGTCTGCCCACGGACTATTTGCACTGCTTTGCCTTCTGCAGACGGCTTTTCTATGGAGCAATGAAGCAATGGAGACGGTGCAAGAGGCGGTCATGGTCCTGGTCGTGGTCATGGTCATGGTCATGGCCATGGGTGCAGACCGTTCTTTTACACTTTATTGCCGCCACATCAAGAGTCGCACGCGACGGCACGAGACGAGACGAGACGAGATGAGACTACAGAGTACACGTACCTTCACCCAGCAACGCCAACGTCCGACCGACCACGGCAACAACAACTCTGATAATCGGCCTTATCTCACCGCACACGGGTCCTCCCTGACCGTGTTTACCACAGAGTGAGGTGCTCTCTGTAGGTATCGTACGGATACCTCGACAGGTATCCGTACAGAGTACCCTGTCCGAGGTATATCGTCTGCACAGGGCAACACCAACACCCACGACACGACAGACAGCAACCCGAGAGTCAGTCGGTGTCATAGCCGGAAACAAGAGTCAGTGCCAGCGTCAACTCGCGGCTCCTTCTCGCATCAACAATACACTCTCGACTCGGCGCCGGCGCATACAGAGCGAAGAGACTCTGAACGCGCAGATACGACGTACTGGCAACCGCAAAACCTTACCTACCCGCCGTTGGATGCAGCTGCAACTGCGACTGACTGCAACTGCAACCGCAACTGCACCTGCAAACGCATCTTCAACTGCAGCCCGTGGTGTTTGGCGAGCTGCCATCCCAGTTTGGAAGACGTCTTCAGTCTTCCATCGCAAACTCGTGTATCCATCGCCGTCATCTCGTCGAAACCACATATCCGTACTGGCCGAGGATTGCGCAACAGGGCAAAGCAAGACAGACGGCTTTACCATAGTATGTTCCGTCCCATCCCCCATCATCGGGTCAACGGTGGTGCCCCAATGCGCTACGGCTAGGCCCAGGCTGCGCTTCCACCGGCGCCGGAGCCAAATGGAACCAAAGCCAAAGCCAAAGCCAACCCCGTCAACAGTCCACCTCAATATCAGACCCTGACCGGGCAGGACTGAGGTGTGAGCCGTGAGCAATCCGACTGGTCGCGAGTCCTGGTCTCATGAACGTGGACCCCCAATTCCTAACATTTTCAATACCTTCCTTACCTCAGGTACGGATACCTTGAGGCAATGGAAGTGACTTGGGGTCAGAAGAATCCCCCATTCTCGGTCGTTGTCGAGTTCTGTGCACTGTCTGCAGCCATTTGCGCCCAGACGTATAAAACCATCGTTGGTGCCGCGACTTTACTACATAACATCCGTGCCTACCAAGGGTACCGTACGATGCACAGACTGGAGTCTTAGGTTGTCTGTCGGCGGGAGTGACACACACAAGGTCCCGCTGCCACAGCTGCCACAGTCGATGTCTACCTCACCTTACGGGTACGGATACACAGCACGCGGTAGCACATTCCATCGGTTCTATGCCAGAGATGCTCTAGGCCGACGGTCGAGCGCGAGAGGGACTGACAGGGCTCGGCCGGGGTGGTTAAGGGGAGACAGAGAGAGCATTAGCATTGCTGGCCCTGGACAAGTTGCCGTTGCAATCCGGTACTCGAATTGTGCTCTGTAGTGCGGTAGTGCTACCTTGGTAAGGTACCTATCGATATGGCCCCCCGTATGTTTGGTGAAGTTAGCGTCCGAAAGTTCTCTCCATCGTCGGTCAAGATTGCCCCTGACCCTGGCCCTGGTTCGTGTCTGGCCCTGTCACCCAGAGAAAGTGTCCTTTCTTTCCTTCCATTTCCCTTCCGTGGGCAGCTTCTCTGGGGGGCCCCTCCCCTACTACCTCCAACCACCCTAGGAGGTCAAGAAGTCCACCGTCTTTCTTCTCCAGTGCCCTGTCTTACCGTCTGGCAGCAGACTGCTTGCTGTTGCTGTATCTGCACCGTGTATTCTGTACGGATACCTGGGCTCCCCGTCGCCTTTCTGCCGTTGCCACATCGATTTCCTTGACCCCGGTTGGCTGGCCCGTCTAGAGTGGGGCCCTTCATCAGCTGCGTCCACTGTCCACTGGACCACTATTCCATCGTCGTGGGAAAGAGAGAAAGCCTGCAAAGAAGGGGACCAAGGAGAGAGAGGAAAAAATAAAAAATAAAAAAAAGCTCCCCTTTTTAGCCTCCTCACTTCAGCTTCTTTTTTTTGCTGCAACATTTTTTTCCCTCGTCTGCTGCTCTTTCCCTTCCCTCTTCAACCTCTCCCTCCCCTCCCCTCTCCCGACCTCTTTTATTGAGCATATCCAGACTCGACAACAGGCGTCATCGTTGTCTGTCATAATACACCACCTGACCTTCTTCCTCCCCCCCTCCTCTACCACCCAAGAGGTGAACCTACCTACAACAAGATCGCGTGTGTCTGCGACTGCGACTGCAACTGCGTCTCTAGTACCTGGCAACTGGCACAGACTGGCAAACCCGCCCCCCAAGGTTTCCAACTGCTGCGTCTTCGGCGGAGAAACGAGCGAGTTAGAAGGAAGAGAAAAAAAAAAAAAGAGTACACAGAGAAAGAAGAAGAGCACCAGCCCGTCTGCGCCCATCCCGCAGGCCGCCACATACCTGCTATCCTCTCAAATCTCTCCACGCCCTCTCTTTTTTTCCCAACTCTCAGCCCGCTCTCGCCCGCGTCTACACGCCCATCACGCTCACGCCCCTACATAACATCCGCCACGGCATTTTGGTTCTGTCCCGTCCTGCCTGTCACAGCGTGCGACTTTCGGCTTCTTGCATCTTTCCCAGTCCTTTTTTTGACCCAACTTTTGGGGGGGCCCTGCACCACCTTTTGCAAAACGACGAAGCGATCCGAACGGTACGAAACGAACGGCCGCCTTGAGACCAACATCTGCTGCGACTTGTTCGTTGCATGCTCTGCGTTTTTGGTGACCCCGTCCCGCATCGCCGAGGAGGAGAAGAAAAGACAGACGCCCAGAAAAACCAAAAGGCCTCGTCCACCACGTCACTTTCTCGCTTGAGGGCCTTGCATCTGCCGCTGCTGCTGCCGCTGCCCCTAGCCCTCCTGCGCCCTCCCTCCACTTCCGCAATTTTCTCCCTTCCCACTCCCATCGGTACGAGCCAGTTGCTGGATCTCAACCCCCAGTAACCGCCAACCACGGGGTCTAGGAGCTCGATCACGAAAACAATGAGCCAGCAACAACACGACATGTATCTCGAATACTCAACTCCCGCCAACCGCTCCCCGAGCTCTTCGAGGGCCTACGCGGGCGGCTTCCAGTCTGGCATGTCCCTACCTCGCCAGGCCCAGCGCCCCTTCGACAACGGCTTGGGCTCATCTGCCCTCTTCCCCTCCGACCGTCTCGGTTACAACCCCAGAGCGATGGATCAGATGTCTGCCAGTGGAATGCCCGGAGGATACATGCTGGATAACAACCAAGCTTGGAACTACAATGCTGGCGGTGTCGCGACCGTCAACGGTGCCATCAACGGCGCCAACAGACAGAGGAGCGTCAACCGCCGCGCTGCCCTTCCTACCGTAAGTTTCGCCCCCTATATATCTCCTTTCCCGACCCCACGTAATCTGACTGTCTGTAGAACTGGACCGATCAGGGTCTCGGTATGCAGAACTCGTATGACTCCAGCATGTCCAATGGTCTGCGCTACGGCGGACACGGCGATATGCGACCTAGCTCGCAAACGGAGGAGCAGCTCATCCCTACTGCCATCGTGATCAAGAACATTCCGTTTGCCGTACGCAAGGAGACGCTGGCTGCCGTCATGATGGATATGCATCTTCCCCAGCCCTACGCCTTCAACTACCACTTCGATAACGGCGTGTTCCGCGGCTTGGCTTTTGCGAACTTCCAGTCACCCGAGGACACCAAGATTGTCATTGATGCCATGAACGGTATGGAGGTTCACGGCCGGAAATTGAGAGTCGAGTACAAGAAGATGCTGCCCGAGGCGGAACGCGAGCGCATCGAACGCGAGAAGAGAGAAAGGCGTGGTCAGCTCGAGGAGCAGCACCGTGCACCCATGCTGCACCAGCAGCCCTCGCTCCAAACCCTGAACAGCATCTCCAGCCAAAGCGGACGCAGTGCCCTCGGTATGTCACTTGATTCCATTCGCACAGGGCGCCCACTGACTTGATATAGGCGATGTCAACCTCAATGACCCAGAGACCCTCGAGTTCTACACTGAGCTTACCGTCTTCAAGCGTGACACCACCCGAGAAATCCTCATCTTCCCCGCCTCCATCTCCCCGGAGCAGCGTCGTCAAATCCACATCTTGGCTCACCACATGGGTCTTGAGCATAACTCCGTTGGAGAAGCCGATTCGCGACAGATCCACGTCGTCAAGCATGCGATGCCGTCACCCACGACCCAGCACCACATGCCGGCTGTGGGTTTGGACTACCACAAGAAGGGCCTGAGCAGGGCGGCCACGTTCGACTTTGCGGCGGATAGGGAGGCTCGTAGCGCCAGCACCAACTACTCTCACGCCATCGGTCGCCAGGGCCCGACTCTGGAGCTTCCCGGAAGCCCTGACGGCAACGGCCTGGCCAACCTCCGTGCTGCCAAGAGCTTTGCAGACCTGCGATCATTCAGTCCCAGCCCGTCTGCGTCGTCTTCGAGCTACTTGACTGCCATGAACGGGATCGGCAACATTCCCCAGGCCAACAACTCCTCCGCTCGCTTCAGCGAGTACAACCAGCAGGCGGGTGCCCCTCTTGCGACCCCCAACCTGACGCCGACCTCCGGCACTGCTGGCACCCCCGGAACCGACAGCAGTCTCCTCAGCTCCCTCGGAGGCTTGAACCTTGGCTCCTACGAGTCTGCGGCGCATACTCAGGCGCGTAGCACACCCGGTGCCATCGGCAGCCAGCGCCCGGGAGCCAACGGATCCAGCCGTAATGCGCCCGAGAGACAACCCCGGGGTCCTGAGTGGGAGACCTCTGCCGGTTTCAACGGACGCAACCGCTCCAACGGCCACATGCAGCGTGGTAGCGGTGAGTTCTCTAACCTCTAAACCATCTCCAGTGCGGGACTGAACAACTGTAGACTCTTCCGACAACATCCCCCGTGCCGGAAGCGCCTCTCGATTCCACTAGACAAGAACCCTAATATCCTCGCCGAGACTGCCACGACAACCACTACCATGAGGACACGATTCATGACTCGCGACGCATAGAGACTACAACGACATTCGACGAGTTCACCCAGCCCCCCCAGCTCGGGTAATCGACAACCCTGTGTTATTCCTGCCATTTGCTTTTCAATATGGACACTCTCCCACCGTACTGCTTATAATGATGATTTGTTGGAAACGAGCCTCTGGCAGCGTTATGATGTTTCGCTCGGCCGTCTCGGATTTGGTGGATAGAAGATTCCAACGCCGCGGCGGCATCCATCATCGGATTCACGACACCCGCCCGGCACGGAAACCTCGGCTCATCGCTGTTTCACGACCAGAGAAGGATGAACGGAAAAGAAACCTGGATACAAGAAAAAACAACTTTGATATGGGCAACCATTTCGGCATGGCACGGCGCCCATGGCGGTCCCCTATACCCCTCCTGTTTCCCCGCCATACCTCCTTTCATGGCGCGCGGAAGCATATGAACCACCTTTGACGATGAATACGCTGTTACGACCTTTTTATGTCTAGATAGCTGTACCAGCATGCTCGACAAAAGCCGAAATTTTTTTGGATGAAGAGACCATGCCCCGGCGACCATGACTATACCCACCTAATATCGCGGTCCGGCATTTTCATCATTGGCGACCGAGGACGGATGTTACTCCTCAGAGCCTCATCTCACGGTTAAGCGTCGACCCAGAACACCTATCCAGGAGCGGGGTCATTGAAGAAGAAAAACAAAAAAGTTTGATTTGAATTTTGGGCGTTGCTTGTACTCTTACTCCCTCCGATTTCCCCGGACTTGGGTGCCTCCCGGTGTCTCGCGGGATGGCCCTCTGGGGACTTTGGCAGGGAGATTTGGCGTTGAGGCTGCATTGGGGCTGCTAGGTCGTCTCATCTTTTTTTTATTACGGTCTTTATTGGGACCTCCAGCTAGAGTATTGCTGCGCTTTTCGTATTTGGATTTTTGCACCGTCATTTTGTTTTCTGTATGCATTGATTGGCGAGCATCGAAGTGGGATGACAGGACGAAGATGAAGCGGGATGATCACATGTCGATATCTTAGGAGACACATGAGAGAAGATGAGAAGAGAGAGAGAGAGATCAAAGATGCGTGGACGGCCAGACTTGTTGCTTTTTGTTGTGCAGCGTGCTTTGGCACGGAGATAATACGATGATGACGGTTGAAGTGGATGATGATGACGATGTATGGAGGGGGGAGAGAGAGAGAGCCGCACACACATTGGGGCCTCGGTTTGCGCCTTGTTGAATATATTTTGTTTGATTTTCATGACCATGACCATTATTATGATTGTACTGCATTTGTGCTATGATGCTGAATGACTACTGATGAGTGATGGACTCGACCGAGAGAGAGAGTCTCGAACCCCCAAACATGTAGCGCCATGTTCAGTCACAGCCGTTTTGTCAAGTTCGACTCTGCGGTGAAGTGTGCGTGTCTTTGTTGGTCCAGGGCGAGGCACGAGTGTGTATGATGCAAATTTCATAGACTTGTTGGTTCCGTTGGCGGTGACTTGGTTGCTCGAATCCTTGATTCACGTATCATCATATTTATAGTCCGGTTCCTGTCTTTGACTTGCTGTGGTGTTTGTTGGTTTGGGTCCGTCTCGTATGGGAGTCATTCGCAGTCACTCATCACCCAGCATCTGCCCTTCCGGAGGGAATACCCTCATAACCCACATAAACTCTCTGAATTCTCCAAATTCTCGCTGCCTTGATACATCCCTTCGTTGTCGTGAACAAAATGTCGCCACGCGACGGGCCGCCAACAGAAATCCAACTACCACCACCCGATACCCATCCCAGGGACAAGACCCCGACAGACGCAGCGTCACCGAGATCGAGAGATTCCCCCGCGAGCCCACGCATCCCCTCCTCCTCTACCACGACGCCACATCCTCCAGAAGAACAGCCGCCGCGACCGCCGACCCCGAAACCATGGCTCTGGCGCTGCCACGCGTGCAACACGACGTTCCGGCTCTCGTGCGGGCGGCGGTGCCTCCGGTGCGGACACGTCATGTGCACGCGGCGGCTGCTGCCGGGGGAGCGCCGGGGGGACGTCTGCGGGACGGAGTTTGACTATCGGCGGTGGGCTGCTTGGGGGGACTGGCGGAGGGAGAAGACGGGGAAGAGGAAGAGGGGGCAGGACGGCGATAAAGAGGAGAGGGAACGGGAGCGGAAGAGGAGAATGGGCGAGGAGAGAGGGGCGTCGACGTGTTGGGACGACTGCGATTACCCGTCGGAATGTCATCATATCAGGGCGGAGACGAGGACGGAAGACGGAGATTGGGATGAGGATGAGGATGATGGGTTTGGCATGTCGTCGCCTTGGATGAGTGCTGCGAGGGATGTGTTGAGTATGAGTGCCGACGAGGCCGATTTTATGTTTGAGGCGGCGGATTTTCTGGAGGGTCGGTTCGGCGGTGATAGAGACCTAAACTTGTACCCGCCGATGATAGAGATCGAGGGAGAGTTATACGGCGAGTATGGAACGGGCCCTTCGGAGAGCGTTGAGTTCTCGTACGATTATGGTGAACCTCAGCTGTGATGGATTTTCACGGACAGAAAGAAGCCAAAGAGAAGTGCACCCCATTACAATTTTATTCGTCTACCTAAGCCCATCAGCCAGTGCCATATCCGCGTGCCTTCTTTGGGACCGAAACGGGAACCTTGAATTGTTGTACATGTAGATTCGAAGTGAACCTGCGCGGGCCCTGACGTGTGCAGGTGTGTGTGTGCAGATACCCGTTGTTCCTCAGGAACGAGGCGCTCTCGGCTCCTCTGCGGCCCTTCCGAGCATCGTATAGCCCATAAACGTCGAGTGCAAAAAAAGAGCCAGCACGTAAACGCAGTCGCAGTCGTGCGTGCCTCGTCTTGCGAGACGTTCTTTTGGACAGACTTTTCTCCAAACCCCTGGCGCACCTGCCTCGTCGTCCCTGACCTGACCAGGATAAGGAAAGCAGGAAAAAAATAAAGCGTTCCCTCGGACCGAAACGTCACCACCCAAAATACCTGGAAAACAAAAGACTACCGGGAATATCAACAATTTGCGACCGATATCCAATGAGGGCGTGGTCAAAGGATATTCGAGTCCTCGCGTGCCTCGTCATTATTTTCTCTTTGGTGTGTATTCTTAAGCCTCGAGAGCCTTGGCCTTCTTCTTCTGCTCGACCTTGAGGAGGAGGGCGCGGTTGATGTGCGGCAGGACACCACCGAAAGCGATGGTGGCGCGGATGAGGGTGTCGAGCTCCTCGTCACCACGGATGGCGAGTTGAAGGTGGCGGGGGGTGATACGCTTGACCTTCAGGTCCTTGGCGGCGTTCTGAGACGTGTTAGTCGGGTTTAGGCAGACGCCGCGATGAGTCAACGCGGGACAGCGCGGGAAGGATTGCACTTACGCCTGCAAGCTCGAGAACCTCAGCAGTCAGGTACTCGAGCACTGCCGTGACATAGACAGCTGCCTTGGCGCCAACGCGCATCTTGTTCTGGGTGTTGGCCTTGAGGAAACGCTTGACACGACCGCAGGGGAACTGAGTTTTCTAGTTAGCAAGCTGCGAAGGCAGGGCGAAGAAATTTATCGCCAAATGCTTCGCTCGTCTTTGCGCCATCGACTTCTGAGCCCAGCCGCACGGTGCACGCGACCATGACGCTGTCAACGTGCCATGCCGCGTATTCGATAGATAATCAGCGGCGCACGACGGGAATAGATCGCCAATGTCGAAACGCGATCAAAAGCGATAGCCGTGAATGTGTGATGTCGAGTAGTGCAGCTGGACGCGTCGGAAACGAATCATCGGTCGGTGTTCGATATCTGGAGCTCAGAAGTCGAGGTGCAAAGGCGGCGCATCATCAGGACGGCGCAAACTTACCTGAAGTCCAGCGCGGGCAGAGTGGCTCTGCTGCTTCTTGGGGACCTCGGCGGTGGCCTTGCCTCCGGACGTCTTTCCGCCAGACTTTCCCTTGCCGCCAGCCATTGTTGATGTCGATACGAATGCGCGAAAAAAAGATTCGATAAATTCGGGGGTTGAATAAAACTCGACGGATCGGTCGAAGTGGGGATGCGCGAATCGATATGAAGTCAAAAAAAAGAAGTTCTACTCGAAGGGGATGTTTCGGGTGGTGGTTGGAGTTGGAGGGGTTGTCGAGAAGAGCTTCGGTGGAGGTGGATGGAGATGGCAGAAATTTAGCAAGAAGGCTGACGGTCGATTGTTGTTGTTCGTCGGTGACAGCAGGACCTGGGAGGACAGGGGGGGGCGAATGGGAAGAAAATCGCAGGGCAGGTCGAGTCGGTGTGGTGTGGTGTGGTTGGTGCCTTGCTGTGCTGCTGTGTTTTTTTTTTCTTGCTGTAAGAGGTGGGAGGAGGAGGAGGCAGTCCAGTGAGTGAGTGCTCTTTGCGGTTCTGCAAAGGTCCGCGGCCAGTGCTCTTTTCGTCCCTCTGATGTGTCCTCCACTGCTTTTCGGTTCTCTGAGGTGCTTCTGCTGAACCTGGGACCCGGTTGGTGCTCCCTTCCTTCGCTCTGGCTTTCTGGGCAGAGTTTGCGGAGGAGTTTGCTGAGCTTTCGAATGTCGGGATGTGATTGGTCGATGGGAGCTAAGCTGTGGATGGCTGTGTTATGGCGCTAGCGAGGAGTGCCCAGATTTCGTGTACAGAATGTTATCGCCGGAATGGATGCTGACCAGGTCCTCCCTTTGCCGAAGTAAACCCGGTCCGAACCGCCGGAGCCAGGCGCCAGCACAGAGCAGGCTGATGTGAGTGACCTGGACTGTGGTGAGAGGTAGGAGAGAGGCTGTCGCGCAGAGTCCAAGACATGGCCTTGCCACGTACAAGTCCCCGCGCCGACCAAGACGCGAAAGATGAGTTGAGACGTGCTTGTTCAACTCGAACAAGCAACGCAGACATACGGAGATGTCGTGACGGCTGAGAGAGAGAAACCTACCTTGGCCTGCCTTACCTTGAAGGTGAGGCTCTGCGACGGATGCCAGCAGCAGCCTTGGCCAAGTCCGCTGCACTCGGCGAGACAGCCGAGAGAAAGTCAAGAGATGGTAAGTAAATGGTCCCCATGTATGCCTGGGACCACAAGCAGCCCGTCTCGAGCCGTGGAGGTGAATGCGGCCATCTCGACCATGATGTTGCTGAAGCTGGCCTTGATGTCGACGCAAAACGCAGACCAAGGAAGCGTCCCGCACGAGGCTCGTGCCCGTGGCGGAGAGGTCACATGATGTGGCTGACACGATGTTCTGGGCGCCGTCGTCTTATGTAAGGCAACCTTGAGGGCCACGGCGGCCCGTTCGGATGGCTCCACAGATATCCAGTCTCCACCCAGCCAACGCCACGGCCCCGTGATCTGAGCTCGGCAGTCACGGGCGCTCGGGTGACGCTGCACCTAGCCGGAAGCCCGGCAGCTGCCACCAAGTGGTTCCAGTCTGCATCTCATCTGCACCGCATCCCCGTCCATCCATATCCATCCCCTCTTTTGAATCTTGGTGCACCTTACTTTACTTTGCATGCGCATCATCACGCGCTTGTCCAGCGACTCCGAAACTCTGCCCAACTCAATTCGAGTCAGCTGATGGCGTATACCGGCCGCAGCAAACGACGACGAATGGGACCCTTACTAACCATGGCCAGTTGAACGGTTGGCTGGCCGACGTCTGCCTTGGCTCTACGACATCGCAGGCCAACATGTGGTCCGAAATGTTGTCGTCTCACGGTCAGTCTGGTGAAGCCCGGCTTTCACTCACTGTGGTTACATCGCGTCGCGTTACGTCGATATTTAAGCAGAAACACTGGAACATGGCATGTGTATCCGTATCCCTACGGACTCCTCAGGCTCCTTTTTGCCCAGACAACCTCGTGTGATGGGCGTTCGCCGCGTCGGCTCACAAAGCTTGATCTGCCCCTCTGCTGTCGGAGACGGGGATCGTGTCGACCGGCTGCCTCAATGCTCTGGCCACAAAACAACAACACCACAGCCGACTGGTCCGACCAAACAGATGGATTCCACGATCCGATAATATACTTGGGGGCCGCGCATTCCGGGTTATTGGACCTACATGGTAGTGACGTGAGGTTCTTCCGAGAGCTTCTGCTTCGACAACGATATCGATAACCTTGCCATGCGGGCGGGTGTAAATGCGGGGATTGCTTCTGGCTACTGGTTACCGGCTTCTGGCTTCTGGCTCGTTCGGCGGTTGACTGATGACATGGCTACTTGGAACGTTCCTCGACCAAGGCTGGGATGGCTTGGCCAATTCGAACCACCGCCGTCCGCGGTTGTCTGCGATGTTCTACGATGGCCCTGGCCACAGCATGGTCCAGAGCCTTTGTCGGTGGTATTCGTTGGTATTCGCTGCCACATGGATAATGGATGACGAGAGACGGAACCCCTGGTATTCGAAACATGCAGCACACTACTTCAGTTATACGTAGGCCTATTAGCAGCCATGCAGCCAGCAGCGTTGCTAAAGATGGATATGGAGATTCTTGGCCACGTTTTGACGCCGCCGGAGGCTGATCTGAGCACCCGAAAGTGGTGCACCACGACCCATGATCATGCAGTAAGGCCTCCTGGCTTGGCGTTGCCTCTCCTACGTGGACTTTTTTATCTTCTAATTCTGAATTAATGCTTGAGGGCATGTCTCGTGAAAATGGATGGGTGACGGGTGATGGGTGATGATGTGGCTTAGGTACCTTAGGTATACCAGAGAACGACCACCATGATGGTAAAACCTTGTTCGTCCACCATCCGGATTTTTTTTATTCTTTAACCCTTCTAAAACTCCTGTCAAATTTCCATTTCACCACCACTCTACCAACCCAAAAAGTGTCTGCCCGCCTCTCTCACGGCTCGACCCTGACGCTTGTTGACGCCCAAACATTTCACGTTGACGCTTGACGGGAGCTCACGGACGGGACCCCACCTGGAAATCAAGAAGCGAAGACCCACGTGGTACTTTTCTTCTCACCGCCGCATCATACGATACACGTGTATCCTGCAGGTCACCACAGAGGTCCATCCCTTAGGTTCGCTGCAGTCCAAGACGGCGACGGCACCAAGCACCAACGCCAGCGACCACTTAGGGCCAGTTTCGGGCGCTCAGCGGTCCCAACCTCCCCCCTCAGTCCGCCCTTTACCCCCTGGGCTTATCCGTAAGGTACCTTGCGATCGCTCCATTCCAGCTTCCAGCCCGTTCGTTCGTTGCGGTTGCTGTTGCGCCAACCTGGCCCTAAAAAGGTGAGACCACTTCCTGCTGCATTTTCACGCTGCATCGAACCCGACGGAATCCCCAAAATTCAAGGGGACAGAAACCCTGCTTCTGCATCTCTTCGTCTCTTGTTTTCAATCGAAAGAGGTCCAAGGTCCGTCGGTAAACGAGTTGACTGACCAAAAGGAACACGAAGAAGAAAGCAAACGGACCCAGTCGCCAATCCAACCTACCTTAGAAATCGGCTACTACATCACCATCGATCATCACCCATATTCCGTACCCTCCGTCCTCCGTCTCCTCCGCAAGGACTTAGACATTTTCCTATTACTACTACTACTACTACTACTACTACCACATACATCCCCCTCTCCCTTACTTCCTCCTTTCTTCTGAACCAAAACAATGTGCTGCCGGTTTACAGCCACCGAGGCTGCCATCGCGGACGTGGGCTAAGACCAACCAACAAGCCAAGACCAGACGACGAGGGCGACTACCACGACTTCGAGACGAGCCCCTCTACCTTAGGTACGCAGGACTCACTCACTCACTCGCTCGCTCACTCCTCGCCTAACTCACCGCAGTACTTTACACTCTTGTCAACTCACCTTCATCGCCATCGCCCCATCTCTCGCCTAGGATTCCTGGCGCGGATTGCACTCCCGTTTCACATCGACTTCTCTGCAGCACGCCGGGTTCCATCCAGTTTCAACCTTCCGTGACGAGGGAATCCCCGGTCGCCAGTCTCCAGCAATACTTGAGTACCATTGCCTTCAAACAGTCATACCGCAGCAAGTTCTCGACTCGACTCGACTCGAAAGCTTCAAGTCCCGATCGGGCACACTATGGATGCCCTCGAGGTAGTCCGCTCTTTTGGAAGAGGCATCAATCGCGCTGCCCGCGGGGTACGCAACAGGGTACGACGTGATGAACAATCATCATCATCGTCATCTGATGCCCTCCCCACCTCATCGGCCCCATCCTTGTCCGCCTCCTCCACCAGCGCCGAGGAACCGCACCCACCGACCGGTGAGCAGCCCGATCTCGAAGCGCAAATTCCCCATCAGACGGCGGCCTCTTCTCAGTCTCACTCTCAGTACGCCTCCGTTCCGCTTGCTTCACCGCCGCCCTTCACCCCGACTTCGACTACACCGCAACCTTCGATACCATCACCAGCACATACCGCTCAGACCCATCATCAGCTCCCAACTCTGACCCTCACTCTGGGCCCTTCAGCCCAAGCCCCCACTCACGATGCATCTGATCAGTCACATCCACCTCAGTCTGCCGGCTCGACCGTCTCCGCCATGTCCAACACCCAGACCTTGAACAACAGTTATACTCATATCCAAACCCTCACCGTCCCGGGAAATCAGTCTCAACCCGTCTCGCCGCTGTCACCTCCGGCAATAGTACACTCTCCGGCTTCTCCGTCATTCGTGCCGTCAGCCATATCCTTTGCGCCTCAAGTTCACCCTAATTCTCCCGTACCTCAATCTCTGAACCTCTCGGCGGCGGCCTCTCCGTCGCAATATCTCCCCTCACCGCTCGACTCACCCCTGCCTCTGGATCTCGAGCGAGAAATATCGGACAAGGAAAAAGACAATGTCTCCATCCGGCCCCAGAGCGCGCGGCCCCGCACGTCCCGCTCCCGGCGTGACTCTGTCATCGAAAAGGTCGCTTCACTCGACCCCCGGCCCTCTCGTCGGCGCTCCAGAATCCTTGGGCCCAAGACCGGAAACAGCTTGATGGACCTTCCTCCGGAGTTGCAGCTTCTTATTATCGACCATCTCGAATTCGGCGAGCTTGAGAACTTGCGCCGTACGTGCCGTTTCTATCGCAACTTCCTTACGAAAAAGACCATTCGCGACCTCTTTGGCGAGCAATTCCGTCTCGCCTTGTTGGCGCATTGCTACATCTGCCTCAAGTACGATCCGACCCGAGGGAGCTTGCTGTGGGCTGATTACAACCACCCGCGCTACCCGCTCGCGAGCAAATGTGTCGACTGCGCGTACCAACAAAACGAGCTCTCAGTCGGCAAGAAGGTGGCTCTGGGAAACTACGCCAGCGTGTGGATCTGTCGGTGGTGCGGATATCCCGTTACTAACGCCTCCGCTCCGAACCAGCCGGAGTTCCACAAGGGGTGCTACGGGCACTACAACAATGTGCTTCTGGTCTATTTTGTCCTAGGCTGGATCCAGCTGTGTCTGGGAATCGTCGGCGGCGCGCTTTGCTGGAGGTATTTCAAGCAGAAAGTGCTGATCCTGGCGCCCTCCATTGTGAGCCTCTCGAGTTGTGTTGCATAAGTCTTCCGCTAACAGGCGCAGGCCAACTTTATTCTACTATGGTGGTGCTTGGCTCTCCTCGTCGTGAGAGGCGACCACAAGCGCACATACCACATCTCCCTTATCCTCGAGGCGGCGATCCTCGGGCTATGGTGTATGCCACTCTACGTTTTAGTTGGCCTTAACGAGGAAGATTTCGCCGGACTGCAAGACAGGAGAGTCACGGTGACCCTGGTCTTCGTCGTCCTGAACATGTTCTTCCGCCTCCTCAACGTACTCGGCAACCTGATTCTCGCATTCGAATGGCGTCACTTCTCCCGAAAGAAGCCCCGATCCATGCTCATCACGAAATGCATCAACTTCGTCCTCGCAGGACTCGTATATTGGACCTACCCGCAGAGCATAGAACAGGAATACCCCGCACAGTACCACTTCTTCAACACCGGCCGCCGGCGGATCAAGCGCATCCTCGCCGAGCGCAACCGACAGCGGCAACAGCAGCAAATGATGACCATGATGATTTAGACGAAACGGGAAAAGAAAGGGGGCTATACCAGGAGTGCTATACCAGGAGTTCTCACGGCCCGTCACTTCTTTTTTTCTTTCCCAACGACATGACGACGGAAATTCGGCGTCGGTTTCGAATAAGCGTATTGGGCGCAGTGCAATACCGGGTCCCGGAAGGATACCGGAAGGATTCTATGGGTTTGACGGCGTAGGGATTTGCAAGGACTCCGGGAGATATATATATACCTTTTTGTTTCCTTGTTGACGATACCTACCCACAGCAGCCTGTTGGATCCCACAGCACGACACCGGCGCTGGTAATGAACGATATAGCTGATTAGCAGCTCCTTTTATTGGAGCGAATGAAAGAATCAGAGACATTTCCTCTCAATTATACAAGACCTATCTTACCTCACTACCTATGCACGAGTGCTCGGACGAGAAAAGTATGGAGGCCATGGCAGAACTGGAAGCTTTGGATTCAAGACCTGTGACGACATGGAAACTGTAGGCCCAGAATATATCGTGCTGTCTCTGTTTGTACAGTCACCATTGCATGATATCAGGGTACAAAGCAGCAATCTTTCTCATTCGCGACGTGGTATCTTAGCTCATCACCGATCTAAGTCAAGCAAAAAACACCGCTTCCCAACTCCAATAGCTAGCTAGACAGCCCTAATGACCTTTTAAAACCCATGACGCCCTTGCTTATGTGTTTCCATCTGTGTGTACATCTCGATCAGACGGGCGGTGAGCGGCCGTTCATCTCCGCCGAGAGCGGGTGGTGGTCGGGGCGGGCTCAAAGGCGTCGTCCTCGGAAATCTCGTCGTCGCTGATCTCCACCGCCTTCTGCGAAGCCGTGGCCTGCGAGAAGTTGAGCTTCGTCTGGCGCGTCTTGGCGGGAGCCGCGCGGGCCGGCTGCGATCGCCTGCCCCGAGTGGGCGCGGGCGCGGGCGGCTCGTCGAAGTCGTCGTCCATGACCACGTCCTCCTCCTCCTCCTCGTCTTCGTCCTCGAACACGGGCTTCTTGCGGCCTCGGGCGGGGGCCTTCTTGGCGGGCGCTTTCTTCGCGGGGGCCTTCTTCGTGGCGGCGGCCTTGGTGGTTCGTGCGGTCGTCGCGCGCTTCGCGGGTTGACGGGTCGCCGGCTCGTCCTCGAGGTCCATCATGTCGTCGTCGTCTTGAGTCTGCGCCCGTCTCGATCTGGCCGAGGGCTGCGCGACGGCCTCGGTCTCGATGACGCCAGGCTGGTCTTCCCAGTGCCCGTCCAGGTCGGAGTCCCATTCCTCAGGCTTCGGCTTGACCTTGCGTCTTGCCGAGGTCTGCTTCAGACCTCCCTTGGAGAACTGCTCCTCAAGCTTGGCACGGTACTTCTCCATGGCGTTGTCGTAATCGTCGTCGTCCGAGTCGAGGCTGAGCATTTGCTTGACCTGGCCGGCCAAGGACTCGCTGACGAACTCCTCCATCGCATGCTTGTCGTCCTTGTTGACAAATTGGTTGACAGCATCTCCAAAGGGGGCCTGAGGGAGGATCTTGAGGGACTGCGCTGCCAGGAACTCCTGAACAAGAGCCTCCACCTTGACAGTGTCGAGGCCCAGAGCCTCCTCCAGCATCTCTGGGATATCTGTGTCGGCGTTGCGTCCTTCTCACATGTTAGTGTGCGCCATTGAGGGTGGGTACCTGGAACTTACTGGAGGCACCGGCCTTCTTCCGGTGGAAGTAGACAACGTCGTTGGTGTTGGCGACCTTGCCGACGAATCTGTTGGAAAACCGCTGTGGATTCTCGCAGTCGTACTGGCCGCCCTCGGGAGCTGTGTATTCCACCTTGAGCCGGATAAGCGGCAACGGAGGCTCCTCGTCTTCGTCCTCTTGAATAGCCGCCCAGTCCTCGGTCGCCTCCTGAATCATCTCCTCGACAACCACCATCAGTCTCTTCGTCAGCTCTTGGCGATTCTCCTTCTTGGTGTGCAGGCCCTTGAAGCGGGCATCGCTCGATAGCACGATCTCTTTCGTGATGAAGGGCCGAACCGTCTTCAGAGGGATCTTCTCAACCTTGAACTCCTTTCCGGTCACGTTCAGAATGGCAACTTGCTTCGGAACCGCCTCGCCAGGCACGAGGGATGTGGCCACCGAAGAGCCGGGCTGCATGACGTGGAACCCAGTCTCCGGGTTCTGTTGAGGGTCAATCAGGCACTCGTGCTCGTGGCCCCAGACGATCAGGTCCATCCAGTCTGGCAGGACGTTCTCGGGAAGATAGGATGTAGCGGTATGGGCGTGGTGGTTCTGGTGCACCGTGAGGAGGTTGAACCAGTCCCCCTGCTGGACGCCCGGCCGATACCACTTGACCTTGTGATCTCTGAAGGTCCGGAACATGCGCTCGTCACGCACGTTGCTGAGGCCGAACAGAGCGAGCTTCGTTTGTCCCTTCTGCAGCAGCACGGGCTTCGCCTCGATGTTGTCGGCCTCGGCGATGCGGCCAAAGTAGTTGACGAGTCCAGCGACCTGGAGCAGATCGAGAGAGCAGTAGTGGCCCTCGCCGCTGGGGTCGTCGTGGTTTCCGTGGATGGAGAAGACGGGTATGGAGATGTTGATGTCGGGGTCTTCGTAGTTGACGTTGGGGAATGCGCCTTCAAAGACTTCGTTCGCGTCACTGAGGAACTCGAGTTCGCAGGGCTTCATGCCAAGACAGTTCTTCCGGAGACTGCGCATGACCTGGTACATGGACTTTCGCGAGGGCTTGTTGTCGTGGAAGAGGTCACCGCCAAGAAGGACCATGTCGACCTGGGTGTCTTGTCAGCGAACGAACCGTCAACGGTGGGGTCGGAGGGCATACATCTTGGGCCTTTGCAATGTTCAGAATCTCGTCAAATGTCCTCCAGCTGTCGTCCTTTCGGATCGGATCGCGCTCTTCGTAACCGACATGGTTGTCTGTCGCAACCAGGATGCGGATGGTGTCCGCCTCTGCGCCGGGTTAGCAAACAGGTGCATCTAGTAAGAGGAGACACATACCTGTGAAGTCCGGCATGGCGTCGAGGAGATCAGCAGAAGATCTTGTCAATTGAGGGGCTGCTGGGCGAGGGAAAGTATGTAGAACGGCGTGGGTTTGCAGGATTTAAGAGCAATGGAGGGCGGCGATCGGGACTTAAGTGGCCGTCGCGAAGCAGCGCGCCGCGAGCAGGCAGTCAGCACGCGAACCCCCTGTAGCTGCAACCCGCAATCACGTGTGGAGGGGTGCCTGTGGTGGCTCAAGCGCTGAAGCTGGTGCCTTGGGCGGGGCAGCTGCCTGACAGCTTCAAGTGTGGACTCAGTGAGTGAAGGCTCACCTCAACAGTACACCTCACCAGCTCACCGAAGGCATAGCCAATATCGACCTGGCGGTGTTTAACAGGCAAACAAATATTCTCGTAAATCATCAAAGGATAGGTAAAGGCGTTCATTCATTGTGTTTAGGTCGTTCTCCGAGCGTCCTCCGGAGTCCAAAGCCAGCAATTACACACTTAGTCACCAGGCACCTTGCAAAATGTCATTCCCGAAATATCATTTTTGAGATGTTATGAGAAGAAACTCTCACAATCTGTTTACCAAGTCATAGCTTTCAATCCGAGAACTCAAGTTTGGATGCCAGCGACATACTCCAGGCAAATCAGCTTCATCCGTTTATACCGAACGAAGCCTTGTTCTCCAGGTCACAACTCCTCTGAGAAGGCAGATTTGCCTCCGCCATCATCTGCCCTCCTCGACTGCCTTACGAACCTCGTCCGCAAAGCAGGCAGAACTATCGCTTCGGCCTGATCTGCCTCATCTACACGGACAATAACTTCGTCAAGCATGACGTTGCCGTATGTGAAAAAGCCATGATTCGCCCATGAACTCGAGCATCTTGGACCCAAGGGGGACTGCCGCCTAGAGCCCTTGGGTATGGGCGTCGAGAATACTGCCCGAAACAAGACCTCTCCTTCGTCTTTGAGTCCTAAGAACTGCAAGTCTGCACCTTCGAAGCCCAGGGTGCCACCCACGCTCCTGAAGAAGTCGGTTCCGTTGTACACCAACCTTTGGACCGTTAAGCCAAGTCTTCCCGGGACCGCCGCCAGTTCGATCACGGAACTCGTCTTATCATCAGCAACATAAGTTCCCGCCATGTTTTTCTCCGCAGCTTCTCGCATCGCGGCCTCAGCTGCGGGAACCCACTTGTCCAGGAGAGTGTCGCTGAGCACCCAGAAGGTATCGTCCGGTTGACTAGAGCCAATTGCAGACTTTGAAGCGACATTGACCGTCATCCCGATTCCGTGGTCAGGGGAGAGGATCAGGTACGTAAGGTAGGCTCCAATGCCGCCATTCTTGGCGTATAAATCCACGAGGCGAGTGTTATCGGAGCCTGGGGAGGTAGGAACGTCCATCCGGGATATCTCCCATGCTTTACCGACCGCCGTGCGTGTGGACGCCGAGAAAGCGACAGGCTGAAGCCACTCACGGGTTATCGCCTTCGGTAACAAAGACGAGCGAATGATAGAGCGGCCTATAGCAGAAAGATCTCCAAGGGAAGAGTAGATGCCACCGGTTCTAAGGAACTTCAGTCTCACGCGTGATTGTGAGAAGACGTCATGGTTTACACTTACGCTGTATAGGAACCTAGACCTTCTCCGAACTCGTACCCAACGAGACCTTTCCCGAGAGAGGGATCGAGATCCACGACGTTGGCGTTCGAATCATTCTTTGGTGGGCTCCAGAAAGTTCGAGATAGACCGAGAGGCCTTACGATCGCGGAATTGAAGCCCTCCTCCATCGTCTCGCCCGTGATGTTTTCATAAGCCCATCCCAGAAGCTGGAAGGCTTGATTGCTGTAGACAGGCGTGTGCCATGTCGCGGAAGCGGGGTCCTGCTGAAGGGTGAGACGGAGGTATTCTGCGCCTCGTCAGCATTGAATCGCAGGGCGACGCGTTGTAGGTATGAGTGACCTTCTCTCGTACATGCGCGCTTCCCGGGAATACCGCATTTGATGATATCGGATTCATTCAAACGAGGAAACCCGGCATTTTCTGCCTCAGGTAGACCGGAAATGTCGGTAAACCCATCTGGCACTGATTAGCGACACGCCGTCGTTGAACACCTCAAATTGGGGACATACTGTTTCGCGCTAGGCCGCTCATATGGCTCATTAGAGATCCCAGAGTTACCTCTGACCATTGCACTTGGTGTACCTTGTTTCCCGTATGAGCGTTGTCAATCTCAGGGATGAAGTCCGTCACAGGCCGTGACCAGTATGATGGGTCTAGCTTGATGAGAAGCGTGTAGACAGTCAGCAGCTTCGAGACGCTTCCGATACGATACAGCGTGTCCGAGTTGAGAACACCTCCGGTCAGTGAACCATCCAGCTCTGTGCCGCGGTTGTGATGTTCGAACAGGAATTTGTCCGAGTCTGCCGAGAAAACACCAAGCGAAAAGGACGTCGTGGATGTGCCTACAGAACCCCATTCGGTCTCCCCCGTCGCGATAGCCTTTTCGATGAGTCTGGCGAAGGACTTCTGGGTGTCTTGGATGGTTTGTGTCGACCGTAGATCCTTCGGCGGAGGGTAAGCTGGTCCAGGGATTGGGCAGTTGCTCAGTTCAACAGCCTGGCTAATTGTCGCCACAGCGAGGAGGGTGTATGGTCTGAGGAAACGCATCGTGAGAGTCCAGACACAGTGAGGATTGATGAGAAAGAGGTGGGAATTCCATGATGACTGCCGTCGTTTCTTGAATTAATATGATGTGAGATAATGCGAATGCGCGGCACAGTTCCTGCAATGCCTGACCTGACTGGAGCCACCGAGTTCAGGACCTGCTGCTCGAGATAGGGCTCTCACATCCACTGCGGACTAAGTTGCAGGGGTCGTGTAAGTGCCCTGTAGGTAGGTAACTGCCCATCGTCAGGTCCTGGTGCCGACGTCAACAAAACTCGTGCTGCGCTTCGTGACAGGGCAACTTGTTCAAAACCAATCTCATTCATCTTACAGAGATTTACATTAAAGATCTTGCGCTTCATGTCATGATGTAGGGACACATTATGGCGGTCAGGCTGCCATTGTCTGGATCACACCAGACCAAGACTTGGTAAGGCCTATCATCAACTTCCCTAGACACAAGGCACTTCAACGCATTGAATTGAAGCCATCTTGTTGACACCTTCAATACCAGTGCCTAGACTTCAGAAATTCGAGCGACGTCGCGACCAGTTCCCACGCTGAAACAAGCAAGCGGCAGTTCGGTAGCACACAATAGATGAATGGTCGGCATCTAATGCATCAGCCTACATGTATGCACAGCAAGGGTATAACCGCCACAGCTTGCGATGCAGAGGTCCTTTCGACTTTGTTGTCTCCTTTATTGCTAGCATACCTGCACCCACTGCTTGATTTGAGTTTTCGCCGTATGAGTCTACGGCGGGCAATAAGGTAGCCACAAATAAGCCACAATATAAGGGTATATACCTGCACCCACGGTACACCATGATGACCGCTTTAGGCTTCCAAACTCACTACTGAAGTTGTCTGATGTTTTTTGCGCACCTTGAAGTTCAGTGAGACGACTGGAGCCTGCCCTGCGCTCCCTTGATCGAGGACTATTGCTTGATGCGGCTGCTCTTGCCTCCCACAAAACCTCACAATATCAAACCAGCAGGACCGACTGCACCTCCTTCCCCCAGGACACCTCCTGCCGCGCCGCTCCTGCCGCCTCCCTTCACTGTGCTTGCTAAGGTACCGTGTGATCTCAAGCTCTGATATGTAGCTATTGTGAAAGTCATGGTTCGATCCTCCGTGTATGAAGATAGCAAATAAGTTTTGCTCCCAGACACACGTGTGAGTCACCATGCAAAATCCAGATAACTATAGAGGTAAATGCGGCGAAACTTTTGGTACCCTTTACACCTTTGTAGAACTCAAGGGGGGAAAGCTTGCAAGAAAAAAAGAAGGGTTCGAAAGTTATAAAAAGAAGAACCCCTCATCTGAGGAAGTCCTGGTCCTGGTCTTGGCACATTGGAGCGAAGCTCCTGGCTCAGGGATGAAAAGCACGCGGGAACAGTGATGAGAAGACAATCACGGAGCCGTGTCCCCTCGCGGGGGAATCGTAAGACTTCTAGGATTTCATATCTGAGTTCTCTTGATCTGGCTCACAATTCCACAGCTCCAGATCATGCGTTTCCAATGGAACGATTTCCCTTGCTCTGTTGACATCCCTCCAGACGTAGTTCGTCGTTGTTGATTCGTATTTCCATCCTCTACCCACCTCACTGTGAGCGGAAGCCCAGTTAACATCCCCTGTTTTACATCATTGGGACGACTCGTACTGTGTTGAATGTTTTCCCAACATTTTCCTTTACATCCATACCATCTTCAGGCCTTTTGGGGGGAAGGATGTACTGCCTACGGAGTGTGTGGTAGGTCCTTCTAAGGAAGGAGCCGGTTCGAGAGGACGGGAGGGGAGGAAGGAGGGGGAGCATGGACGATGCTTTGAGAGGCAGCAACCACTAATTCCAGAGACCCGGCCCAAGGGAAACCTAAGGCAAGAAAGGTCAACATTGAGACATGGAACTCCAGTATTCCAACGGCCGACCTGTCAACGGATCTCAGACCGATAGACGACGGAATGTAAACTATTGAATTATTCTTGGACGACTTTAAACGCAGAAATATGCAGCTGTCTGTTCGATTACACGTGCCATCTGATATCTGGCCAATACGTCCCTCAAGTGCGGCCGATTCTCCCGCCGCTCTAAGCTCGCGCGACTAGGCCTGCAAGGGGTGAGGCAGGGGAGCCGAGGTGAGCACACATCTTCCAGATCTCTGTTAACAAGAACCTCATATCTGTTAGAGGTACAAGTTGGCTACCATATCAGCTGAGCTAAAAGTGGCGGTTTTGGAGCTCACATGTCCGTCTCACTTCCCCGCACCGTTCGCTCCCGAGCTCAAATACCGACGACGTTCCGGGCTTCTTTCCACTACCTCCTGGTCCCTCGAAGACATTCCTCACTGAACCAAGGATGAACAAAACCGATAGCGCTAGCGTGCTGGATATTTCTCAATGGCCGAGTGCGAAGAAATTCGTTTCTCGATGTGAAGAGTTCCTGAGCGAAGTACAAGACTTGTAAGTGTAATCCACGCATCTCCACGGCCTCATGTGCCGCCCCTGGAACGGCTGTTACTAATCATGAGTTCCTGATACACCGCAGAACTCCCGGGAAAGACCTAGAAGGCCGACTGAACAAAGAATACGGCCCCGGAAACCAGTATTATGAAGACTTCTGCTCCCACATCAAGCAAGGCCTGAGAGAAGGATGGGTGGCGCAGACCGAAATCGACGGACCGAAATATCGACGGGGCAAAATCGCTCTTCCATCAGAGGCAACCCGGTATTTCAGCATTACGACGGTGTACATGGAAAGTGAAGAGGAGTACACCGGGCAGTACCATGCTCACCCTTACGGGGAGATCAACTGTGTCGTTCAGCTCGACGCCACTGCTGAGCTCAAGGGTATGCAGGGTTGGCAGGGCGCAGGCTGGACGTCCCCGGGCCCGGGGACACATCACTATCCAGAAGTCAGGAAAGGGGCTTTGGTCGCGTTGTTCTTTCTCCCAGCTGGCCGCATCTCGTACAACGCCACACCGGATACCCCGCAACCGTTGTCGCTTTGATGCGAAATAACCATGTATCTGTCGAGTGAAGAGGACCAGAGTTAGATGCTGCTGATGAAATAACAGACCATATTACAGACTCCGATTCCAAGTTGATCAATGTGACAGCACCGAGGTCCTGAGGACATACGGAAGGCGGTCTTTCGGAGACCGAACAACCGCCTCTCGAGCCGCTTTGACTTCGACACTGCCATGGAGGTTGGTTTAAGCTTGTATGAAAATCAGACGGTATTTAACGTTGAAATGCTATTGTGAAAAGATATTTGGTCGCCGAGACCGGCTCTGAACACCAGAGGTGTGTCTCGCGCGGGAGCCGAAGACCATGCCATTTCATCTGGTCGGACGTCACGGACAAGCGCTACCGAGGCCGCGGCGCATACTGACTTCTGACAGCAGATGCGAATAAATCAACATGCATGTATGTATCTGAATGAATGCCTATATGAACCCTTGGTTGTGTATATATACATCATAACTGACACGCCGCTTTTTCAAACCGCTCTGGATTGTTCACCCTCTGCATGTGTTTTACCATACCATTATCCTTCAAACACAAACTCATCTACTCAGTAATTTGACTGAACCAATGGAAAGATCTACCATGGAAATGCCTTGCTCCCGCGATGGTTTTATTTGGAGACCCCAATTGGGCTTCAATTACGGTCAGTCATGTATATAGACCACGCCGGCATCATGCTAACGAACGCCACCAATAGGTCTTTCCACACCAGCAGTTGTACCTTCAACAAGCCATGACAATTTGGGAGACAAATACGACGTAATCATAATTGGAGCTGGATTTGCTGGCTTATCAGCTGCCCGTGATCTCGACCTGGCGGGCAAGAAGGTGCTACTCATCGAGGCTCGCGACCGTATTGGTGGCCGAACATGGACTACATATGACGAGAAAGGAGAATCTTACGAGATGGGAGGAACATGGGTTCATTGGCAACAACCGCACGTCTTCACCGAAATCCAGAAGTACGGGCTTGATGACTTCGTTGAGACCAACGCTGTTCCGGAGGGATCCACCATCTACTCTAAAGCCAGCGTTGCAGGCCCGATCGTTGCGCAGAGTGCTGAAGAGGCAGCTGGGATGCTTGCCAAGATTCAAAAGCTCGTGGCTAGATTTCTAGATGTTGATGGCAGTGGCGGGCGTACGGTGATCCCGTTCCCGTTCGACACAGCGAGCAGTATCCGAAACAGCCACCTCTACTCAGCGGTCGACGAGCTGAGCATCAAAGATCGAGTTGATCAGCTGGAAGACCTGTCCGATGAAGACCGGGCAATTCTCGAAGTGCACGCTGCCTCATTCTTCGGTATACCTTCCGACCAGGCCGCCTTCTCTGCACTCCTTCACACATACGCGCTCTGCAATTTCGACCCCAAGACGACTGAAGACGCCATCATGAAGTTCAAGCTAGCCACAGGCACCACGTCGTTGGCACTTGCGATTCTGAAAGACTTCAAAGGCGACCGCTTGTTCTCTTCTCGAGTCATGCAGATCACTCAAACAGACAATTTGCATGGCGCCAGTGTCACGCTTGAGTCTGGGAAGCAGTATCACGCCAGGGCGATTATAACCACCATTCCGATGAATGTTCTTTGTGCGACCAAGTTCGAACCACCGCTGTCCCTCTTGCGTCAGGCTGCATTGAATGAAGGCGTTGTTTCGACCAAGATGGGAAAGCTGTTGGTAACCACGTCAACCGAGCTTCCAACCGGATACAACATGTTGTGCGAGGGCGGCACGTTGCCCTTTGCAAGCGCTTTTGCCGACGGCACTAGGAACGGGGAACCTTTGCTTACTTTCCTGTGTCACCCAGGTCATGACCTAGACTCCAATGAGGACAAGATACGCCTCATAGAGACATTACACCCGGATGGGATGAAGGTCACGTCTGCTCGAGCTCACCTATGGTCGGAAGACCCTCTTGCCGGGGGCATCATGGCTGTTCGAAAGGCAGGGTTTCTTCGAAAGTATTACGACGAGGTGCGAAAACCACACGGAAAAGTCTTTTTCTGTGGCTCTGACTTCGCAGACGGATGGCGTGGGTTCATATCTGGTGCCTTCGAAAGCTCTTACCGTGTGACGAGGGAGGTTTTGACACTCCTAGAGCATTGAGTATCTGACTCTTCTCGGATATTTGGGCCTTCAAGAAAACAAAACAGTAGTTACTACAGATTTAAGAACATCAAATTGGATTCGTTACAGTCTAAACACATTTCCCGTTTTCGGATGTGCGGCCACGACCACTGACACCCGGGACAAATTCATGACTCTCGCGTATCGGCTGTTCATCTGATCTTGTCGTTTACAGACTGCCCGAAGTCCCACGATAAACCTGCCGGAAGCGTTGTAGGTAAAGACCGCCGTGGCATGAAAGTTTGGGCCTGACGCTTCAAAGCAACCGGGGGTGTAGCGTCCTTTACCAAAGAAATCCCACTCGACCAAAGCGACTTTACCAGCACCAGGAGGAACGTCGATGATGGCGTGAAACTTGATACTTTGCCCTACCCTAGCCTTAAACTTTGTACAGCCTTCAACTTTTAGGTGGATGACTGGTTGAATACCACCCCGTTCAGCAGCGGTTTGAGGCACACTGATGGCGTTATGATCGCTGAGACTGTAAGAGGTCGAGACCGGAGGTGGGACATTGTTTTCAACCCATAGACTCAAGTCGCGCAACGCTTGCTGGACCATGCCGCGATAAGGCACAACGAGAGCTGCCCGACCTTTCCTGGGTCCATCGTAATCGTGGTCCGCATTCTCGTTGTACCATAGCCGATAGTTGTCGTCGAACTCAGTGCCCAAAGACTGCTTGACTTGACTCCGGTACCAGTCCGCGTGCCAGGGGAAAGCGTCAGTGTCTAGTAGGTTCTGGACAACAATGACTTTTCCTTGTATTTTCCCGGTATGGGTGCTACCTCCCGAAGCCCCCTCGGATAGACGCTTGGAAGCATCATGGGGCCGCTTTGGGAAAATGGAAGACCCGTCTGGTCCACGGAACCTGTCGAAACCATAGAATCCAGGACGATCTGGGACCTGATATCGGTAATAAGCTCGCATGGCTATGGACCACTTGTTATCGATAAGCAGTCTGGTTCCCGGAGCTATCATCTCCAACAGAGGAGTCTGCTCTCGGGAACGTTGATCGAAGACCGCTATTTTGTTAACCTGACAGAACGTGCCGGTGAGGATGCCTAGCTTGGTGTTTTTCGAAGACAGGATCGTGAAGTCGTACCAGTCATTGGCAGATGTGATATGAGATGACGCAGTCTCCAGTTCGACTGAGAGGCGCATGCCATCTGCGCCCAAGATGACATGGCGAACGATAGATTCGAAGCTGACCAGAGAGTTTCTTATGAAATCCCCCAGAGGACCCGGTTCAGTCCCCAGATGCCCAGGTTTCGTCCAGAAATCGTCCATGTATTCTGGGTCTGTATATCTAATGATCGAATTCGTGAGCAATGACAGCGTTGAAGTGTCTGAAATGGAAGAAAAGTCTTCCCAGGCTTCTATGGGAACCCCCAACTCAGCTGCCTCCTGTAGGACGTGTTTTTCCAGAGGGTTTAGAACTGAGAATGGATCGCCGCTGCCACCTGGCTTCAGAGTCTCTTGGATACAACTAGCCTTCTGGCGAAGGACCAAGCTAGCCATGTTTCTTATGCAAAGGTTGTTTGGCGCGGAGACTGGTACAGCTTGCACGAAAGGAACAGCACCGTCCCAGATGCCTATGGTCTTTTCCATGGCGCCGATGACCTGAAGAGACCCCCCGCTGCCGCCGTAGATGTATCCGTAAACATGGCGCGGGCAGTTGCCGTAGTGTTGGATTGCAATCTTTCTGGAGAACTCGGCGGCAGCGGCTTCGGCTTGGAATCCATGGGTGCCAGTGACTTGGACTGCGTAGGCGTGGCTTTCGAATGCGAAGCCGATTGTCTCATCGGTGGCCTCATCCGATTGTGTGGGGAAAGCTAGCTGAAAAAACCTGCCGTGCCAAGTCGATTCTGGCGGAAAGTACAAGTTGAAACGTATTTCTGTGTTCTTGAAGTGTCCCGCGACGTGGTAGTGTTCGACTGGTATTACCCGGTGAGACTCGTGGTCGATGACGGGTAGGTTGTATATCGGGTCAATGTTGTCTGCTGTCACAAGCACCAGGTGCTGGGGCCCGGTTCTTGCGTTCATAGCTGTCTAAGATATTTATAGAAGTGGAGACGGTAGAAAGACGAGAAAAGACAGATGGCTAACGATCGCAGTTGAACATGCGCTGCCTTGACACTGGGGGTTCTTGTTGGAGGTCTAAGCCGTGGTGAGTTGATGCGCGAGTGAGTGATCAGCGACGGAGTACACAATTGAGATGGCTTTGACAAGATTTCGAAGGAATTATAGATGTTTGCCAGTGGGAGAAAGAGATAAACGCCGGCCAAGCCGTCCGCGTACCATTTTCGTATTTGATACGAGAAATTTCTCAGTCGCATCTTCGTAATCTTACCTGTCGTTTCAAGACGAAATACACAGCCAGACGGTTAATAAGCTTATGAAATACATATATCTGATTAAATAACAACCTAGTAGTAAGTAAGGTTGACTAGGAATTTATCATGGGTATCACGTTGACATAGAACACTCGTACTAGTATTTGAGAAGGGAAGCCAAGTTGATCAGTTTGTTTCCCAACCGAGAAGAATGTTTGCGGTGAAATTCTATTTCAAATAACACTAGAAAATTAGATTCTGTAGTCTATAGAGTCACATGGTAGTATCTTGTTGCTGAATCGTACTCGAGCAATACCTCCGCCTCCATTTGGTCAACGCCTACCACGACCTGTCGCCACATGCTGATTTCATATGAATCAGCCATGAATCCGGGAAGAACCATCGCACATAGATACTTCTGTCCCTGAGATTCGAAACCATTTTCACGAAGCACCAGGTTGCCATCGAGGTCCCGTGCATTGGGCCCAGCCACCAACTGAGGGCAAAGAATAACCACCATATTCAACCCTTCCAAGATACCGGAGAAGCCAGGCGGTGGGCTCCAACGGACTACCATACCGGGACGAATGCGCTCCTTGAAAGGAACTTCTGCGGAGTCCGGGTCGAGATCAACACTAGATGCCAGTCGCTGGTTCCTTGAAGCCGTGTCCTGAGCTTTAGCCTTAGGTGCTTCGTCAATCTTAGAGTCGGCGAGCTTGGCAGATGATTTTTGCGAGTCGATATGCATACGCCAAAACTTGGATTGAAATGCGCGAGCTTGGTCGGGCGTCACATCTGGGGTCTTGAGACAGCGAGTGAGGAACTCTGGCGTAGGAAGGCGGAGCAGTTGGGCGCCGGTCTCTGAAGGGGCCAGCAACTTGCCCGAGATCACAGGATTACCGGACTACCATATTGTTAATTGAGAATTCATGTTATTGATGAGAAGTCTTACATTAGTATTGATCCAATCTCTCAATTGCTCGTTGGTCCAGGTGAAAGGTGTTTCGGAGTCATACACCGAAGGCTTGGCCTTAGGTAAGAGTACTCTGAGCATCTCGGCATACTTGAGCGTGTTTTTCCCCGCAAAAGCATCGGGAAGACTTGGGTTCACGCATGCTATGACCACTGTCTTGCAACTGCGGCGGCTTGCGGGATCGAAGACATGCTTCAAGATCTTGGTGAGAGAGCTTTGGCGGAAGGGAATGTGCGTGGGCTTCTTCACCTTCCCATTCATGGACGCTGCATCAACCGTTGCTCTGCCCCGAATGCAATCTTTCAGGACCGAAAGACTCGTGTTGATCTCACGAGCTTCTTTCATTCGGTCGGCCGTGTGATTAGCTCTATCCCGTGCTGCCTCGGAACCCGCCAGGTCGATCAGATAGAGAAGTCCATCTTCAGCCGCTGGCATGACTGGGTTTTCGATGCGGATACGACAAATCGCATGAGATCGAGATGATGCGTCATTCTTCTCAGTTGCTGCTGTGCGGCGGTATGTTGCTGCTTTCTCAATGAGGTTTAGCAGAGTACTCGCTTCGGTCACCTCGAACTCGAGGGCCCCGGCCAACTGGGTGACACCGAAAGAGTCCTCAAGAACGGAGATTGGTCTGCGTGAATTCAGAAGATCTGATAGAAAGTTTGATTAGTGAAACCTTTCACAAGAAACAGGGAAGACTCACCAAATGCGCGGTTCCCCGCCAGTTCGATGATACAAGCATACACCTTGCGCTTGCCCTGGAGATCTTCCCTCATCAAGGACTCAGCGACCAAACGCTCAATGGCGCTGACGGTGAAGGTCTTGCCGGAACCGGTCTGACCATAAGCAAACATGGTGCTGACGCCGCCGCTCCAGGCCCAAGGAACCAATGGTTCAACCAGCTCTTCATAGATTCGCTCAGTTGCATCCTCTGGGCCATATGCGCGATCCAAACGGACTGAACTTGACTGGTGAAGTAAGCATCTGGGCTAGAAGCGCCCGGTATGAGGCAATCACGTACGACAAGACTTGGAGGGCCGTGGGGCTTGACGTGCTTTCGGATCTGATGAACATCTACGGCACCGCGCGCACTGGTCCGGGTAAAGACCCCGCGGATGAGACCGGCGGACGCCTCATCCTCTAAAATGGGCCGGAGCCGGGCCGCGACCACCATGTCCGGATTTGAGGTCGCATCCGGGTCTTCGGGGTTCGCTGAATCTTGCTTGGCAGCTTTAGCAGCGAAGGCGGCGACTGAGGCCTCGTACCAAGGTGTATGCTTGATTTGATAGTCGTCCATCATAAGTAAATTGAATCTCGAAGGTAGTGAGATGCATGAAACTGTTACAGCTAATCCCAAGTCCGCTCAACGCCTTTTCGTGACCCAGAAGCAGACCTTATATTGATAAGAAATCACGACTGCCAACTCGAAACTGGTATTTGCTAGGCCCCCCGCATAGTTGTTTGTTTCACCTCAGTTCTGCAATTGGTGTAGATAAAGCCACAGACGCTGTGAAATGGATGCCTAAGTCTCGTCAACTGAGCAACCGGAGCAATCGGAGTGATCGGAGTTTATGGTGAGAACGCCAATGAGAGCAAGAATCCTGTGACCTGGAACAGGAAGTTCCCTGTGACTGTCATGCATGATAACTAACTGACAAGCGCCTCAGTGAGTGACCAGGATGTTGATACGCGACATATGGGCATAGATCCGCTGGGTAGTACCGCTAATTAGCGGACGACCTTCCAGCCGATGTTCCACGGAATCTGGCTGCCTGCCAGGTAGCCAGAAAATGCTTGTGATGTTACGCACCGAGCATCACTTTTGGCCCATATCTATACTGTTTACTTTTAGGTATGATAAGAATGAATCCCTGGTTGCTGTAGTGCATCCATCAATAACCACCACAAGTTAGGCAGACGCTGACAGCAGAGGTAAAGGAACCAATGCCCGGCCAGGTAGCCAGTGAAGTACTGAAAGTACTGAGGCAACATCAGCTTTGCTGCTGCACACCTCATTTCGACAAGATAAAGAATTACTGCTTGAGCAACCCACATCATTCAAATGTCAACTGTTTTTGTTTTTCTCTTCTCCCTAAGAGATCAGCAACAAGGCGATCTGCCGAGCCCAGCGTACCGTATGTGTTATTGTCTCCGTATCTACCGAGGCCAACGCCCTAAAAAGTGTACATGACTACTCCCGTCATATCCTATTATTTGGGTCAAACCCGAGGCTGTGAGCGGAGCTTCTTCGCGAGCTTCTTTTTGGGCCCCTAGCAAAGGCGAAGCTTCGAGGTGATAGGCTTTTGGTGTTGCCATTTATATCCGGAGTCAGTTCCCGAACTTCCGTTGTAATCGCAACTTCCACATCCTTCCTGATGTTGTTGTTCCTGTGTCTGCTAGCGGTACTGTTGCTCCGCTTAGTGCTCTTGGTGCTCTTGGTGCTGTTAGATCTGCTGAGGAAAAGCTTGTCGGCGTATGGATCGCCCCAAGATTTGACATCTTGCATCTTGATCTCGTTGACAATGCGCTCCTCGCTCTCATTGAAGGTCACGTTGGTGATGGGGTATTCCGAGGGGGGGCCACGGCCTCGCCAGCTTTGGTTACTGCCGGCTCCAAAGGTGCGAAGGTTGTCTCTCGGGGTGTTTTCGGTGAGCTTCTGTGTGGATCGTATGGAGGTAATGAGAGAGCCGAGGATAGGGGTTAACCAATGCTTGAGGATGGAGAAGACCATCGGCAAGTTGGCTGTGATGACGGCAACAAATGTTTCTCGAACAGCCCAGGCGCCTGCGAGTTGGGCACCGTTCTGAGGATCCTGAAAAGCAATGTCAGTCATTGTGATTGAGCATCGGAAACGGTAGAGGCTTACTGTAACGATAAGAATACAACGAAGCGTAGCGCAAACGACAACGAATAGGCCGCCACTGAACAGGAAAAGTAGACCCCATTTCTTTAACGGTTTAAGCTTGGCCTGCCAGAGCATGGGAAGAGGAATCGATAGCAAGTAAAGATCTGTGGAGACGTTGAAGGAAAGATAAACCCAGACAACTTGGTTTGAAACAGCCGGTTGGCAGACATCTGCGACCAACTTAGTAGGTTTCATGATAGTAATTCTCAAGCCGATTGACTTACTTCCGGGGTCTGGATATATCTGCCAGTTCTTGTGGAAAGGTCGGCATGCGAGAAACAGGTTCGCAACGACGATGATCCAGCTCGCGACAAGGAAGCCGAAACCAACCCAAATACGAATTCGGTAGCTTTTGCCCAGGCCAGCCTATGTATTGTTAGAGGGTGAGAACAGCAAGTCTGGTCGGAATGGTCAGAGGCGTACTGTTAACCTCAGGTAGAAGACCAGAAGGGATGCCTTGAGCGACCACAGCAAGACTGAGTAACTTGACCATCCGCAGATTTGAATGATCGAGCCGATGACCCTTAGTCAAAGTGAATCAGCATTCATGAACACAAAGTTGAAGTTATCCTCCTCACCTTAGCCGATATTCCTCGCTTTCAGGGGACAGTGCGGCTCGCTGCTCGTCCGTCATGCCGTTGTTGGCCATGCCCTTCGCGATGGCTCCAACCGAGTGAGCAAGGGCAGTCTCGATGACATAAAAGATCTGACAACATGAAAGTCAGTCATAAGTGAAAACATGTGAATTTAACGATAACTTACCAATCCCACCCACGCTAAATAGTCGTCAGGCTGGAGGCTTTTCAACCCAACTGCTTTGGCTCGAGCATAGGTTCTGAGCATCGTGAAGAGGATACCAACAGCCAGAAGAGTCCAAGCTTCAATGGTGAACGACTTCATTGCTGCTGCTGCGGCGGCCGCCGCAGCAGCAGGATCCATTGTTGCAGGGTCTGGCGACGACATATTTACAGGCTTAGCGAGTGACCTGATCTGCACAAATGAAGCAAAAACATAAGACTCAAGAAAAGAAACAAAACCACCCAAGGAAAATCGGAAGAGAGTGTGACAAGGTCATTAGAGATTCTGGGGGAACCATTTGTATAATCTTTCCAGCGAGACTCAGAGTTTCCAACCGGAGCCAGAAGCCTCATCCAAACATCTATCTACGCTGAATAGTTGTGCAGATCCACTGCCATGGATGCGTCCAAGGTCCATCATCGCTGACACCCTGCCACCGGTTCAGCGTAACTGCTCCATGTTTTCTGTTTGAGATTTCCTGTGCCTGAGTCGGGGAGATGTGGACGGACAGCGGGCTACCATATCCGTACCCGGGTGAGAGATCCGGTGCCATGGTGGCGGTTGAGGTTCACCTGAGTCTCCGGACCTGTCAACTTAGAGAGAGATTGCAGCACTTGTTGGATATGTGCGTAACCGTTGTTGCAGGATTACAAATTTCGAATCTCATCAGGCTCATTGTCAAATGCAGTCTTGTGCTGCAGACATCATACCATATTCCAGCCATGATTCGAACAAATGAACCGCTCCGTCGCCTAGTTCTGATAGAGTTTCGAAGCATCGAAAGAGCAGATGGGTCATTGACCGAATATGGTAATTCCCAAGTCAACTCAATATCGCGTAATACGAAAATGGACAACACCAGGGATTGTGATGTGGGAAGTAAATACACATGCAGAGCTTGGCACAGAAAATCCGCCAAAAGTTACCTTTGCCATTGCATGCCGAGGACGGCGGGTTTCCCGAACGCCTGAGGAATCGCCTGCAATATGACTCGCCGTGGGCATTTCGCCTCTGGGAAACGTAGCATTCAATAGCTCAATGGCACTCAGTGTTGGTTGTCAACAAATGAGTATCCTTGGTCATAGTAGCATTGCGGATAAGAAACACCAATTGGCTACTCGTGTTTATTGGGTCCTCATTGCGCGTAACCTCGTGGGAGAGCATCCAATCGTGGATGCCGGTGCGGGGAACCCATGGGCATACGCCCGGATGGCCCCGACTGGGTTCCCGCTGCCACGACATCGCCAACATCCCGATGCTACGGAAAGCAAATTTCATAATGCGCCTGGGTTGAAGAAATCGTGCGTTCGAGGTGGAACCGGAGCTGATGCTCTCAAGGTTTGCTAAAGTAGTCCAGGGCCAAATATGTCGACATCAGGGGCTCGGGATCGCAGAACACGCCGAAATGGGAAATGCCTGTCTCGGTACTTCACCTACTGGCGATTCGCTTTCCAAAGGGATCAGAACGGCTTGCCAAGGGACCCCTGGATGCCGTTTCCCCAGCCGTCTCATTCTATCTGCAATTCAGCCAGCTGCACCTTGAGTCCCTCCTTTGCCCTCGACCAATGCCCAGGGGGTAAGCTGACGTCCTTCAGGATGACCTCTGTCACCGCTGATTCTTTCCGGCGTCAGCTCTCACGAGTTACATCCTTCGAGAGAGTTGACGTCCCGCCGAGAAGATGGAAAAAATCGACTGCGTTGTTGTAGGTGCCGGTGAGTCTCATTATCCATCATCAACGCTGGCATCGCAAACAGACAAGCTGACGCAATACAGGATGGTACGGGCTAGGCGCTGCGAAGCAGTATCACTGCACACAACCGGAGTCGTCGCTCGTCATATTCGATTCCCAGCCCGCTCTTGGGGGCACGTGGGCTGAAGATCGCGTATATCCAGGGCTCAAGAGCAACAACCTTCTGGGGACGTTTGAGTATCCAGATTTCCCCATGAAAAGCGATTCCTTCAACATTTACCCTCGCCAACATATACCTGGACAAACCGTCAGCAACTACTTGAAGGCGTATGCCGAAAATTTCGGCATTTCGGATAAGATTCGCTCGAGTCATAAAGTAGTCACTGCAGAACATCAAGAGACGGTCGAGGGCGGATGGATACTTACCGTATCTAACCAGAGCGGAGAGGAGTTCAAGGTGTTTGCCCGTCGCCTCATCATCGCGACTGGACTCACATCGGAGCCATGGTTGCCGCACTTTGAAGGCCAGGAGTCGTTCGGTGGTAGGGTTTTCCACGGAAAACACTTTCAGCAGAACGCGGATACTCTGGAAACGGCTAGGGTTGTGACTATTTTTGGTGCTACTAAGTTCGCCTGGGATGCTGCATATGCATACGGGACTGCTGGCGTCAAGGTGAATTGGATTGTGCGATGTAAGCCGTTCTTATACTCTTCTTCATGATCTCAGGCAATGCCAACTTACTTTACTAGCCAAAGGTCATGGACCGTGTTGGATGGCGCCTCCATTCGTCACTCCGCTGAAGAAGCAGCTTGAGAAGCTGGCAAGTGAGTAAATGGCTCTGGGTGTGAATTGAAGTTTCTTTCTAACAAAACACAGACACACGCATGTTGACATGGTTCAGCCCTTGCATTTGGGGCAACGAGGATGGTTACAGTGGCATTCGCAACTTCTTCCATGGTACTGCTATTGGACGAGCTATTGTGGACGGGTTTTGGAAGGTGCTGGGCAACGATGCGAAGGCTCTCATGGAATATGACTCCCACCCAGACACGGCAAAGCTGGAACCATGGACTGAAGCCTTGTTCACATCCACGAACTTCAGCATTCTCAACTATGACACCAGCCTGTTCGATCTCATTAGAAACGGCACAATCAAAGTTCATCTCGGAGAACTTGATCACCTTAGTCCCGGGAAAGTCCACTTGTCCGATGGAACGGAGCTAGAGGCGGACGCACTTCTTGCTCACACTGGGTGGAAGCATGTCCCGCCCATCAAATTTCTCCCTGAAGGCATTGACAAGGACCTCGGGATTCCTCATGTGCCTATCGAAGAGGCGCCACGCGAGGATTTGGCCGGACAGAAAGATCTTGTTGCGAAGGCTGACAAGGAAATCCTGGACCGCTTTCCCCGACTCAAAAACCAGCCTGTCTGGAACAAGGACTATGTTCCCATGACCGACATGAAGGGGATCGACAGTAACGATGAGATCACGCCCTACAAGTCTCTTACACCATACATGCTGCATAACTTCATAGTTCCGCCCTCCGAGCGTTTCCTCCTCACTCGCGATACAGCCTTCGCAGGCATGGTCAGTAACTTCAGCAACATTATCACAGCCCATCTTCAGGGTCTCTGGATCAGCGCCTACTTCTCAGGTCGCCTTGTGAGAGACCCTGCGAATGCAGCTGGCGATAAAGCGGCAATGAAAAAGTTGCAGTATGACACCGTTCTGATGAACCGCTACGGATTCTGGCGGTACCCAACTGACTGGGGCAACAACAAGTGCCCGAGTTTCGTCTTTGACGCTGTGCCCTACCTCGACCTATTGCAGCACGACCTGGGACTGACGCCCTGGAGGAAGAAGGGATTTCTGGCTGAGTGGTACGATCCTTATGGTCCCGAGGACTATCGGGGAGTGAATGACGAGTGGGAGAGCAAATATGGCAGACACAAAGCCGTGATATTCTCCGCAGATTAGCGAGCCTCCTTGAACTCGTTGAAGTCTTGATCGACATCAACTGTCCAGATAGCCTTGGCCCTGAGAAATATGCACACTCAAAGGAAAATCCTTTCTTTCTTAATATCTCTTATATGTAGAATTTCATTCGTCCAACGGGGGCTTGTTAAATCAAAGTGATAGATTTATCAGGCACGGAGATTACAAATAGAACTTGTCGTTTGATTCCAAATCTTCCATCCATCCGATGGGACAGCTGGTGCTCTGTGGCTGTTATGAGCCTTGGTGGAGTCGTCAGGTAACCCAGCTGACGACTGGCCCCATTTGGAGACTTCGAGTTGGAGACTTGGAGGCATTGAGTCTCCATATCCTTCACATTCTGGAATAACACAATCGCAAGAGCTGCGCAGGTAAAGAAAGAAATGACGACTTTGGTCAGGGGATCGCCTTGATTTCAGGTTTTACGCAGAGCACGATCTTCGCCATCTCTCAGCATTCCCTCTGTGCGACAAGGACCCGTTGGGCGTTAGTAACACACATTTCGTCGTCAAGATGACGGTTCTGATGCTTAGAACATCTAAATTTTGAGAAACTTCCCTTATTAAGTTATTGCGTATCGCTCCGAGGCTTGTTCAAGTGGTTGGTTGGCGCCTTTGATGTCGACATACTGGACCCTGAAGCTACGAAGCCATTCGACTACCGAAAAAACTTTTTCTTTTCAGTCAGCCGTCTACTTTACAATGTCAGAAACGAACACGAATCTGACAAACTCAACACTGTCACCTCCGAGACACTTCATCGGCACTGTTGATCTCACAGTCACATTCGATACAGAACTTCCCATTCCAATTGCACGCAACAACAACGCCCCAGCCTTTGAGCAGCTTCATGCGCCGACTCATTACAATGATAGGTTCCTATCACCGAGAAACTGGAGCAAACCCAGAAAGCTCTTAGTGCTCTGCCTATTGTGCGTCGCTACTATATTTGCCTCAGTTGCGGCTGGGTCTTATGCACCTGCGAAACAAGCCATGGCGGAGGAATTGGGCGTTAATCAGATGGCTGTCGCTGTCGGCATCACAATGTTCACAACTGGATTTGCCCTGACGCCCATGATACTAGCACCAATGTCAGAAATCTGGGGCAGAAAACCGGTGTTCACAGTTACTGGCGTAATCTTTGTCGTCTGTCAAATATGCAGCGCTGTCACCCGGTCTTTTCCAGGGTAAGTTGCCTTTGATCAGATTCCGCCTCCCAAGGACCGACGCCAGCATGAAGAGTTGTAGCTCACAAAATCTCTGAAGCATGCTAGTAGCCCGCTTCTTCGCCGGCGTGGGTAGTTCGACATACTCTAGTATGATAGGGGGCGTGATTTCCGATATCTACGAGCCCAATGAGCGTAACAGCCCTATGGCTGTGTTCTCCGGCGGTGCTCTTTTTGGAACGGGGTTAGGTCCACTGTTCTGCGGCTTCATCGTTCAGTACACCAACTGGAGATGGATATTCTGGGTACAAGTCATCGTCAATACCGTTACGGTGGTCGCTTTTCTTATTTTCTTGCCGGAGACGCGCGCAAATGTCCTGCTGCGGCGAAAAGCAGAAGCTCTAAATCGATGGTACAGCGAAAATGGGGAGGCTGTGTCAGGATTCCAGGTGAGGGCAACCCAAGGCGGCGATGTCATGAGCCGAGCAGTCAAGTGGCATCTGGAAGGCGATCAAGAACGAGGCTCACTTGGTCAGATGATAGCTTCCTCAGTCACATTACCATTTGTGCTACTCTTCACGGAACCGGTGGTCTTCTTCTTTTCCTTATGGGCAGCCTTCAGCTGGTCGATTCTGTACCTTGGATTTGCTGCCGTTCCGCTGGTTTTCACTACAGTCTATGACTTCGATCTGTCATCTGCCAACGCAATCTTCGCGAGTTCGTGTGCGGCATCGATTATCGCGACTCCGATCAGCATCTACCAGGAGCGGTGGCTGGACGGAATATCGAGTCGCAGATTGCCGTTGGACCGACCGGAACGGCGCTTGTACTTCAGTTGTGTCCAGAGCATTTGTTTGCCTGTAGGCCTCTTCATCTTCGGGTGGACAGCGCGAGAGCAAGTCCACTGGATCGTTCCAGCCATTGGCCTGGGCGTCTCAACGCTCGGTGTCTTCTCTGTGTACTTGGCCGTCTTCAACTATCTTGCAGACGGCTACCATGGCTACGCAAGTTCTGCCTTGGCAGCACAATCATTCTGCAGGAATTTCATCGGCGGCATCTTCCCGCTTGTAACAGTACAGATGTATACCAATCTCGGGTACGGACCGGCGTCTAGCTTACTTGGCGGCATTGGCTTGCTGTTGACTGCCGGTCCTTGGATTCTTGTTCTATATGGCGAGAGAATTCGGGCGAAGAGCAAATTTGCCCACAAATTGAACAAATAACGCCGGGTCCGGCGCTCCGACCCGTACTCCCGGACCGGGGCCGGAGGCAATCCGGAGAGGCCCGAGCCCACTAGCCGGATGTGGGCCCAAGCTTTCCGAAGTTTAGAATTTGCTGGAAAGCTCGAACTCACCAGCCACCCCCTTCGACCTGCTGTCTTGGTTACGTCACAGACACGGCATCCCGCTGGCGGTGTGCGCGTTGCACAACAGTAGTTCGTTGCAGACGCATGATTCCTCGAATCGGTGGAATCACAAGGATGGCCCTCGAATACAATAAATATTCCTTCAACTAGCTCGCTCTCCTCCCACCCACCTCTTTAAGCAAGAGCACCGGAGCTTCGGATGTGATCTGCGGGACATTTAGCCCAAGTGTGCAATTCACTCTGGATCAATTTTCTCATCATCTGGATCAATTTTCTCATCATCTGGATTCTGCCCATGTCGCTCGCCCAGCACGTTACTCAAGCCGAGGGCTTCGACTATGAGCGTCCTGTCGAACAGCCCGACCAAGCCGGGAACGGTGAGGCGGCTTTCGGTACTTTGCAGCTGCTCTCTACCGACAGCTTGAACAACAACGCCGATCCGCAATGGCGACGCCTGAGCTTCGCACCAGTCGAGCCAGTTCATGTGGAAAAGCCCATTGCAGCTTACAAGGTGTCCAATGCAAAGCGATGGGGTATGGATACGTCGGGTTTGCGAGCTTCATTGACGACAGCGCTAACATATCGCAGTACAGGTAGCCACTGGCATCGTGGCATGTTGGCTGGCAGCAGGCATCGTTTTTGGCTTCGCTGCACTCAAACCCATTCTGATTGCCGAGGGCGTGTATAGCGACCTCTGTAATGCCGATGACCCCGTTACCGTGGATGATGGCGACGACATCCCCTGCGTGGAGCAGGACATGCGTCTCAATCTTTTCTTCATCGTCGCGTCTGTCACTGCCAACGTGTCATCGCTGCTCGCTGGCTCGGTCCTTGATCGCTACGGTAGACACGCATGCTGGGTCGCGTCATCCATTTGCATCACCATCGGTTGTGTCTTGATGGCCTCGTCGCACAACTTTGAAGATTTTGATGGCTACTTTTTCGGCAACATCTTCTTAGCCCTCGGTGGCACGTTCGTGTTTGTTTCGAGTTTCCAGCTCGCCAACGCGTTCCCGAAGTACAGTGGGCTGATCATCGCACTTGTCACTGGCGCTTTTGACGCGTCCGCTGCCGTTTTCCTCATCTATCAGATGGTGTACAACGCGACCAACGGACAGCTGTCTCTGGAGAAGTTCTTCTACGCATACATCGCCATTCCCGTTTTGATCTTGATTGCCGAGTTTATATACATGCCGTCCCGATCATACCACACCATCCCTCAGCTAGAAGCAAAGATCGAGAAGGCTCAAGACGAAACGCGCGATGCCCACGACTCCGACAATGAAATTTCCGACAACAGAACTTTAAGGAAAGTCCGCAGTGCTCGGGCTGATCGTCGTTTATCAAAGCTGGATCAAATTGAGGAAGTCGCCGGTGATGCCCAGCACCGCGAGGAACGGGTCAAACGCAAGGAGGAGCGACAGGAAGCGAGCGGTGTCTGGGGCGTTCTCCATGGCGTTCCAGCACACAAGCAGATCCAGAGCCCTTGGTTCATCCTCATTCTTCTACTAACCATCGTCCAAATGTTGCGGATGAACTACTTTATTGCAACTATCCGAGCACAGTATCGATTCATGTTAGGCTCCGAAGCCACTGCTGATGCGATCAACCACTTTTTCGACATTGCTCTTCCAGTTGGAGGCGTCGCATCCACTCCCTTTATCGGTGTTCTCCTCAACAACCTTAGTGTGCCCACGACCTTCGGCGTCTTGACCGTTCTGATTGTCGCTATCGGAGTCCTCAACTGCTTGCCATTTGTCTGGGCGGGTTACGCCACGGTCGTCTTCTTTGTCATATTTCGACCACTTTACTACTCGGCTATCTCGTGAGTCTCCCCTGCCACAATCATAGCTGACGAAGTCTGACTTGAGATGCAGTGATTATGCCACCAAGGTCTTCGGTTTTGCCACGTTTGGCCGCATCTACGGAACCATCGTGTGTGTGTCGGGCTTGATCAATTTCGCTCAATCTGGCCTCGATGCTCTCACTCATGGTCCCCTTCACGGTGATCCGACTCTGGTCAATGTTACCCTCGGTGCTGCGGGCACACTCATTGGGCTTATTTTGACTGTCTTCGTGGCATTTAAGGGCCGTACATTCGTCGAAGAGGAGAAACCTGCTCTCGATGCTATAGAAGAGAGGCAGAGACTACTATCGAACGCCGGACAGGACTATGGTGCCCGAGACTGATGGATACATTGGACGCAGCCATACAAGAGAGGAGAGAGAGGGTTTGGAAGCCTTCTACTACGAGATTAAAGATTTGGGGCCGCGCGGCCACAATTTGGACTACCTTGCATCATGTGCGATGCCTTGATAACGGTCTCACTAGACGTAGACATGATTGGTTAGTACTACACCCAAAACGGTATCTCATGTAGTATTCAGATTCGAAACGAGCAAGAAAACAACGAGAACATTGTAGCGAGACTGGCGACATTCTCGATGAATACAAACAGTACAGCTCTTATCTACTACCTCGCATGTGATGAATGTTCTACATCCATCCATGACGGTAAAGCCACTGAGTATCTAAGCATCAAGCAGCTCGGTCTCTCTACGAACTTGCTTCTTCTCTCGCGAGTCGACACCCAGCCACAACAAGTCCGGTCGGCTGTAGTGACCGTGGACATCCAGCATAGCCTTCACCTTCATGATCTCATCCAAGTCAATGTCGGCGATCAGAAGACCCTCTTCCTCCTCGCCGAGGTCTTCAGTAAGCTTCCGGCCGTCTGGCGCGATGATACAGGCGCAGCCGCCACCGCCAATGTGATAGAGTTTACCATCGCCGAGCTTCTGACGATCAACCCCTGCCTGGGTGTAGAATGAAGAGGAAAGAACAACGAAGCAGTTCCCTTCAATAGCGTGAGTGGTAGAGAGGTTGCGCGCCCCTGATGCAAGAAGTTTGAGTCAGCAGCGGTCCTGTATTCATGGCTCAGAAGAGAGGAAATATCGTTGGCTTACCCTCGCGACACTGAGACCAGAGGGCTGAGCCCTCGGGGAAAGAACTAAAGTAGTTCATGGGAGGCCAGGCTGCCACGTGAATCTCTTCGCCCTGGGAGTAAGTGTGGTAGCGCAGCAAAGGCTGGGAATGCTCCCAGCAAGAGAGTGCACCAATTTTGCCAATGCCAGGCTCTTCGACAACATTGTGAAGAGACGCGCCGCTGCCATCGCCGTACAAGGTTCGCTCAACGTGAGTGGGTTTGATCTTGCGGCGGATCATCTTGATCTCTCCGTCCTTGCCGATGATGGATTGGGATAGATATAAGGAATGGTTGGCGTTTTCGGAGTAGCCAAGGACGACTGCAATTTTGTTCTTGCCAGCGCAAGCACATATCTTGGCCATCTCGGGTCCATCACGCTTGAGAGAAGACTTCATGTATTCCTTGACCATGTCAAAGTCAATAGGTCTCTGCCTGTATCGTTGAAATGAAGTTAGGTATCGTGTGTCGCCGAAGATATCGTCAGTACTTACCAAATCCACCCCGGGTAGTTGGGAATCCAGACTTCGGGAAAGGCAATCAGGTCGCATCCCTTGCTGGCTGCTTCTTCAATGAGCGTGCATGTCTTCTCGACTGCAGCATTCAGATCAAAGTAGCAGCCCTCGGCCTGAACGGCGGCAACACGGACGGTCTGGCTTGACATCTGGGAGAGTGTGATGAGTTCAGAGTAATTGACTAACTTGATGCTTGTTTGAATCCTATTTTCATAGCTCCAACCTCGAAAGCTTTTATAATCGGATTCAACTACATCATCTCAATGTTTCTTATCTGATGGACGGTTGGAGTTGTACCCAGAACTTTTCCTCCATTATTCCGATTGAAGATAAGAGGATGCACAACCAAACATCGTGTCCTGGTAAAGATAACACTGCCATTGGTCTTCCAGGCTATATTGCTAACGCTGCTGGATTACTAACTCAGCAAGTTTTGGTAAGATGGAGATAGGTATCGGAGAGTTAGAAACTGGGGACAATGGGACGTGAAGCTTCATCCTGTTCGCATCTTCAGATAAGAAAGACCCCAGGGCGAATGAGCCGAATGGCCCAACGCGTAGACCTTCTGTTGCTGCTGTAAGTGGTGTCATGCAAGATTTGGGGTACCCCAACTCCACTGTGGGTGTCTCCAACAACCCCAATAAAAACATTGCACGCAGAAATTGGGGACGGCGGGTGTTCGTCCGAGTGAGGGCATGGGTATCAGGGAATGGCGATTTAATGCGACTACTAAATCCGACTTAAGCTTATGATATTAGAAATAGATGGGATTTGAGCGTGTAAGTACCAGATAAAAGCTCGAGATTCTCGGAAATGGGAACCTTTCTTCGTTGAATCCCAAGCTTCTCTGAGTGCCATTAATAAGGATTGAAATACAGGCCCACGACTAGCTGAGTCGTTTCATGCTCCGAAGTACTGGGCCACTTACTCTCTGTAGCGTGTATTAGTAATGCCTAATGTGATTATTCTTACAGCGTTCTTCACTGAAACCTCGGAGGTCTCCTTGCTTAATGACATCCATCATTCTGATGTGCTGTTGGTCTGGCAAAGAACCGGCAATGAACATGCTTCTTGATTGAAGGCCCTGCGAACGACGCACAAGATCAAATGGCGCCAGATAGCGGACGCCCTTACACTTCTAAGATATGTCACATATGTCACCGCACCTTTGTGCGAGGCGAGCATTTGCGCCGACATCTGCGAACCCGTCAGCTCCTTCCAAGTGGTTCCGTGGTGCAAATTTTGCGAGTACCTACTGACATCGCTCTCCAGACACCAAAGAGAAGCCCTACGGGTGCCACTGCGGCCAGTCTTTCGCCAGAAGAGACCTGCTTACGAGACATGAACGGCTCTACCATGCTACCATTGCCAACAGCTCAATGGCGACTCCGGCAATGACAGCCAACTCGAGTCTCGATTCAAGTCCATTGAACGCCAGGGCACAAAGTAATGGTGGTATGACTGGAGTAACGCCTGGGAGTGGTCATGATGTTGCTCATGGCCAGCCCTTAAACTCACATACCGATTCTGTAACTGAGCTTGGCGAGCCATATGCGCTTGAAGACAATGCTGAGCTGCTAGTACCTCCATCTCCTATGGAAGCTATGCTGGACATATCCGATTTCTTCGACTCCGTTGGATTGGACTTCGATCACGGTTTCGACTTCTTCGCACCGACTGAGCTCGACACCAGTGTTGCGCCAGGACCGCTGTCGACATTGCACACAGCCCCATACGATGAAGTTGATCGCGAGAGCCAGCAATCTCATTCGACGCCTCCAAATGCGCATCGTCATCAAGCAGAATACAGCTGGAAGTGCATCCCGGACACAGAGACAGGAGAAGGTGAGAGGTACTTCCTTCAATGTTAAACTTTGTGCTTAATTTCGGCCAGATGACTTTCGTGAGCTGAAACCTGTATCTCAGCCCTGGAAAGTGGATGAAGAGAAACGAAGTGTCTTTGGACAGCACGTGGAAGACTACGCCACCGCAATCGGGCCTTTCAGACTTCCTTCAAGACTTTCCATATCGCGATACATCGCCGGGTTTGTGGACGGCTATGTCAACCACCACCCATTCATCCACATGCCCACCTTCTCCATCACGAAACACCAGGACGCTCCTGAGCTCATACTAGCCGTCATGGCCGTTGGTGCACAGCTGCGGTATGAATACCAAAACGGTCTTACACTTTATCGAGCGGGAAGGGCCATTGTCCTTCACCGACTCAAGTCTGGACATCTTTCACGTCAGCCAAGAGACCCGGGCGGAAGCCAAGGTTCTACGACGGCAACAAGTAGTGCCAATGAGGAGCATCAGTCCGCACCTGCCCGTATGGATAGTATCAAAGCCATTCTATTACTGGCAACATTTGCATCATGGCAGCAGGATCAATGTCTTGTACGGGAATCGCTTGAGTATCAAGGTCTACTCGCAAGATGTATTCGAGAGAGCGGATTGGCAGAAACTGCCCCCAACGATGGCGATGACTGGCATACTTGGGCCAGAATTGAATCCGACAGGCGCGTGAAGCTCTCCGCATTTTGCTTCTTGAACCTACAAAGCCTAGTCTTCAATGTTCCACCGGTCCTGCTCAGCAATGAAATCTTCCTACGGCTTCCAGTCACGTGCGACGAGTGGCTTGCGCCAGACACATTGAAATGGCTTAACGCACGATCGAAAGCGGTACCAGTGATATCTTTTCAAGAAGAGTTTGTCCCGCTGGTTCAGTCCCAACCGAGACGAATCCCGCCAACTTCACCATTCGGAAACTTTGTGCTCATGCACGCACTTCTACAACGTCTCGTCATCTCCAGGCAGCTGTGCTTCGATCCGCAAGGCTTGGGATTTTCCTCTCAGGAAGCAGCCAGGTTTGAATGCTCACTTCATCGTTGGAGAGAGCAGTGGTGCAAGGCGCCAGAATCTGTGTTGGACATTAGAAACACCAAAGGTTCCTTATCCTGGACAGCGACGTCCTTGCTAGGACTGGCTCACGTTCGTTTACACTTTGATCTCGGAAACCAGAGACAAGTATATTCCGGTAACCCTCAATCTATCGCCACTGCTGCATTCGACGCCCGACCCCCGGAACGTGGGCCGCACCTCGTATTTGCTCTTCTCCATGCGGTTCATGCGTTGAGCATTCCGGTTCAACTCGGCATCGAATACCTGGCTAACTGTCAGGCCTTCTTCTGGAGCTTGCAGCACAGCTTCTGTTCTTTCGAAGCAGCCATTTTCCTAAGTAAGTGGCTCTTTATGCTTGCGGATGATCAAGACTCGGTTAGTTTGGACCGTGAGTTGCACCCCTCCAAAGGAGTATTAGTCACAATGCTAAAGCGAGTTCTAGCAAAAGAACAGCAAATCATCAGGTGGCTGGCATTCGTGGTCAATGAAGCAATGGCTTCAGTCGATGAAACACAGGAAGATGAGCCTGACGTCTCTAACGGCACGCTCACCCAAGACGTATTGAGATTTCTTGGTACCGCAGTGGTCAAAATATTCGCCAAGATGTTCCAAAAATGCAACAACGCTTGGCCGATCATGAGGGTGATTGGCGAGAGTCTACACGAGTACTCGCAATTACTAGACACGATTGTCGGCCCAGAAGGTTCAAATCTGGCGGAATACGATGCAGTTCATCCCAAGAAAACTTCATCACGCTCGTTGGGCAGTTTGGACAGCGTTGGAATGATCAGGAAGCTCAGCTGATTGCCACCTTCTGGACCTACTTGGGACGATAAACATACGAGAGGCGCCCAATTATTTGATGTAAAGTCAATGATGGCAGTCTTGCCCCCCATATTCAGTCCGTCAACTTTTGGTCGTGTCTGCATTGACACGCGTGGGCCAAACATGGTTCAGACGACGATCAAACCGCAAGTGCCCGACCCAGCCGTTCGGATGACACCTGCCATGATCCGACGCCGATGTATCGTGGAGAAGATCTTCGAAGAGATCATCGTGATTCGGTCTGAGCTTTGGCATTTTCTAAGACGAGTTTCAGTCAACCTGGCATTGCCTCGAGAATTTATGGTTCCAGTGATACGGGCTTGTGTCAAGTTCACCGAGGCCGAAGAAAACTGCCGGTGGGACGATCGTACGGTAGAAAGCCCGTTCCTAGGCGGCGCGCCTGTCAATCGCACACTTTCGCTCTATTTAAGTCGAGTTCCCGTCAGAGTCTCAATGTTGTCATTCTAAGCTCCAACGACAACATCGCAACGACTTCGATCATTCATTTTGCTGTGCAAAACCATTCGCTTCATAGACCTGGTGTCATCATTCACTTTTAATATTCAATCTTTTTACATCTAAATCCTCTTTCACTACCGTAAAAATGGTCCGCATTGCTCTCTTCACCACTATCGCTTGTAAGTGATGACGCTTGACTCAATCGCCGATATCCTGGCCAGCGAAGACTGACACAACTTGACAGTTGCCATGACGGCTTTCGCGCAAATCACTCCCAACAAGGCCGGCGCCAGCAACGTTGGCAAGGGCGACGGCTCGCAGTTTATCACCGGCGGATGCGTCAGCGATGCCGACTGCAGCTCGTCATGCTGCGCCGACGCCAGCAATGTCGGCGTCTGCTCCGCGGAGGCAGCCCAGTTCCAGAACGGCAAGAACGGCTGCGGCTTCAACGACCCCAACGCGGATGCCACCATCGCCGCTGCCAAGGCCCAGGCCGAGAAGCAGGGTTTCTAAGCTGGAAATGCAGGAACTCTGGCAACGACGGACCTGAGTGGGTTGGATATGTGACGTACCGTGAGTAGGTGCATGCTGTCTACCTTAGGTTGCAATTAGTTGCAAACACAACTTAGTCATCACGACGAATGCATATCAAAATTTGTATGCAAATACTGGAGCATTTTCTACTGCACTTCAAGTGATTTTTACTCCTTTCGGTGCGAAAAATTCGAACTCGGCGTGCGGATGCCCAGCTGTTCATCGACCTCTCATAAGACAGACTACAACCTCACGTACTATCATGTTTCCACGTGCTAAGCGTCATTTTCTGTTGAGTGAAGCAACTTCGCAGAGTCTTTTAGGAAGCTCCTGATGCTGCAATTTTAAGCGAGGGGTCGCCAAGTCGATGAACGTTGAGCTGCTGTATCGGGCGCAGTGCCAAGTAAACTGCGTCTTCCGAAGCCAGTGAACTTCCTAAACTGCCATGGGACTTTTCGTGCCACTGGTTGTTTTCAGTTACGTAGTAGACCGCACGACTGACGTGACATCGACTTATTCAACGACCCTCGTCGAAAGATGGCACGCTAATGCTTCCTCAGATGAATAACAGCCGAGTCTATGCTGCATACGGCAGCTACAAGCAGCTTACTCCCTTGGCACCTCGGATAAGCTTAAAAGCACCACTCCTCCTGCCCCATGTTTCTCCTCGCTCCGGTCAAATGTTACCATGTAGACGAGTGCCCAGGAAACACTACCAAATGTTATGTTTCAACTAAGTAAATGAGAGTGGCTTCATGGGCCGATTCAGCCCAGATGCCTCATTCGGCAACCGGCATGACTGCCCAGCCGCGGGGGTCGTCCCCTCATTGCCATGGCGGGGAAGCTTCGGTGCATTGCTGGTTCCTCATTAACTGATTTCACTGATTGATCTTGGGAAGGTGCAATGTGACATTGTCGGAATAACACCACAATACGGCAGGAGCAGCGGCTACGTGGAAGTGAGGGGCCAGAAATGCAGCATTGCACCTGGGCTACCTTGCCTAGTATAAGAATTGACTGAATTCTCTTCGTTTTCAGCCTACGCAGGTAGATACCACATCTTTGGGACGCTACCAAAACTCCTAGCATCGATCTGCCACTTGGAACCACGACGACATGCGCTTCATTGCGACTCTCGCCGTTGCCGCGGCCTCTTTCGGCCTTGCTGCTGCCGCTCCCGCCTCTGACGACGTCAAGATTGACCCTCTTCTACGGCTCATCAAGACTTCCGAGGATGACGCCGGCACCTGGGTCACCGAGGACGAGAAATTCGAGAAGTACACCTCCAAAGGCCTTGGTTTCATCGATATCACTGATATCACTGTGAGTTCTTCATCTCCATCACCTAGTGGTCCCCAGCCTTTTCAACTTGTCGCTTTGCCCGTTACGGATGCTGAACCAACTTTCTGCTAGGAGGAAGAAGTTCTCGCCGCCCTCTCCACTTCCGACGATGTCCAAGTATCCAAGCTTGCCGCACGCCAAGGCGTCACCTACCCGACGACCTTGACCCACGTCACTGAGGCCAACTCGCTCATTACCCGAGTGACCAACACTGGCCCGCAAAGCTGGCTGCAGACCTTGACCAAGTGAGTTAGCTTACGCACTCGAAGGGCATTAGGAGTAGTATTAATGCGTTTATAGCTTCCAAAATCGTCACTACCGTTCTACCTATGGCACCCAGGCTTCCACCTGGCTGTACAACCAGGCTGTTAGCATCGCCTCTGGTAATTCGGCTATCACAGTGACTCGATTCACCCACTCTTTCAACCAGCCTTCCATTATTGTCAAGTATCCCGGAACCAGCTCCGATCTCGGTATGTCATCTATGCGCCTGCGATGCTTTGTTCCGACCTCAGATACCTTCCCACGTATACGAATGATAGCTAATGCTTTTCCTCAGTCATTGTCGGTGCTCACCTTGACTCCATTGCCGGTGGTACCGAAGCCCGAGCTCCTGGTGCCGACGACAACGGTTCAGGTACTGTTGTTGTACTTGAGGCTCTTCGTGTGCTTGTTGCTGCCGGCTTCAAGCCTAAGAACACCCTCGAGTTTCACTTCTACGCAGGCGAAGAGGGTGGTCTTCTCGGCTCCCAGGCTATCTTCTCCAACTACCGGAGTGCTGGCAAGCGTGTCCTTGGTATGCTGAACCAGGACATGACTGGCTACTCCCCTGGTGGACGCGCTACTGTATACACCGACTACGTTAACTCTGCATTCACCGCCTATGTACGCCTCATTGTCGCTCAGTACACTGGTGCAGCCCCCTCCAGCTCGTCTTGCGGCTACGGTTGCTCAGACCACGCAAGTGCCACGTCGAACGGGTTTCCTTCGGCTTTCGTCAATGAGGAGCCCTTCAGTACATCAAACCCCAACATCCACACTTCAAGAGATGTGAGTCAAAGCGAATCGGAGTTCTAAAGACTCAGTTAGATACTAACCAGAAACTCGCAGACCTATGCCAGCATCCAATGGAACTCAGTTCTGCGCCACTCCAAGCTCACAGTTGGCTTCTTGGTAGAAGCATCTTATCTGTAAGCGTACGAGGAGCGGGCGGTAGTGACATGATGATGATCCATTCGGTTTGTACCTAGAGTAGTCACCTGGCAGCCTGCCTGAGGAGTATCATTACAGTATTGATACATCAATGGATGAATCGATTCAACCGTAGCTTTCTTGTCTGTATTTTGACCCGGAAGATCTTAACAATAGTCTAGGTCTTCACGAGCGTAAACAATAACATAGCTAGTAGCACACGTACAAGGGCCAGTCGCCAGAACGCCTGCTGCCGTACGGAAATTTGGGCTCGGTGCTAGCCGGCGGTTGGCAACATGTATGCGGCTCTCGACGCGCCATTGCGTTTTCATGCCAAGCTTCATGAAATTCGCGTTCAAGCTTTGCCAAGGGACCGGTGTCACTGTTCTCCTCGCTCCAGGTTGTGGCCTAATGCAAGTTTTGGCGCTTGGCATATGATATGTCTTGGCGAAAAGCGTATCAGTCAAGGCTTTGATATTGAAGTCAACTTTCACGACGCATTTCAAAGATTGTTGGGTAGTCATAGAGGCTATCAAGTCGAAAAGGCACGGCAAGAACGCGTGAATTAATTGGTGAGGTGGGCTGGCTAGCGTGCTCTTATCTGTGGTCGTGGTCGTGGATCCCGGAAGGATGCGGTTGCGGGAAGTGAACTGCGGATTACATTCGACCAACAGCCTCTATCTTGACTGTGCCACCTTGGCCTACATACAAACGAGCCACACCAAAGGTCAGACACAAGCCCTTCTTCATAGATACCTTCCACATACAGTAAGATCTTGTAAGAGCGTTTTGGGGAATGCTGACTTATAAGTAAGGTGTGATGAAGCTGTTGAGCGGCACAGGGTGAGTACTTCGAGAAGAAGACAACAGACTCATTGACATTGGGCAACTCAGTCCTGGCAGGATGCGATTGCGAAGTCTTTATCTACGCTAGCGTCTAGTTGAAGCCCACCATTGTTGACGCGGTGTTATCATTGATCAACAATTCCGAACTTCCATCCACATCCCGACGTGACATCCAAGGGTCAAGCGCTAGGGAGAAAGAGTGGAAACGAGGGCTGGCTGGCAGTCCGCATCTTGACTGTAGTCCAACGGTCTGGATCACTTCCGTCGGTCTCTTCTTCTGAGATTTTACAGCGGCTATTAGCCAAAACTTAGTCATTTCGGGCAACATTGTGGATTTGGGAATGGCGAAATCTACATGGAATACTGCGTCATGACAAATTTTGACAAGTTCTCGACGGCCGGTCCGAATAACACTGCTTGGCTTCCGGGTTTCACAAGGTTCTGGAAATAAACTTCACCGGGGCGGGCTCGACTGCTGATTGTGGTAAAGATATCTGCAGGCGGAGTGTCCAACGACCGAATGCGTGCCCACCCTCCTTATCACGCAATGTATCTTGTGTCATGGATAGGAGTCGATAGGGACGATAGTCATGTTTTCAACCATATCTGCTCAGGCCGGGGGAACTGGGATCAGGGTCGTGAGGCCCGTCAATTGCAATGGCGCAACAAGCTTTCACAAGCTCGCGATCAGTCTTGGACCCGCCTTGGCCCCGCCTTGGCCGTCCAGACAGGGGATTCCTTCACAGTGTTCCCGATGAGGTTACGTTGGATGTGGTGTTCGTCTTGATTAGTCCGGGGTGTGTTATCGAATCCGTGGGGGAGCGACGCTGCGATGGACGAGTTTCGCTGGTGCTGGGCGTTGGTGGGCTGTTTGGTTCGTAACATGGGACAGCCGCCGTACAAGACGCCTCGGTATCTCTCAGGGTTGTGGTATATATGATCACTCAAGGTCTTTCCAAGCCACCCGGGTGCACATCATCTCAGTTTGACCTATTCTCCATCATCTTCCCCGGCAATCCTCGAGAAGAACAGCTGACACTATGGGTGAGTCGGTGGATGTCGTCTTTCGATTGACTTGGACTGACACGACGTAGCTGAGAACGTCGTTGGTCTCAACGTCCAGAAGGTCATCGAACCTGATGCCGACCAGGGCCTTCACCCCGAGAAGTCGCAAACCAAGACCGATCCCGAGTCCCAGGTCGGTTCCCTGGAGCATTCAAGTAGTGTCGTCGATGACGAAGCCTACCCACCACCCACCGCCGAAGAGCGCTCGACGCTGCGCAAGGTCCACGATTCGATCCCCCTGGCATCATGGTCTCTCTGCTTTGTAGAGATGGCTGAACGAGCCTCGTTCTACGGCGTCAAGGCAGCCTTCAATAACTACCTTCAATTCCCCCTTCCTGAGGGCGGCCCTGGTACTGGCGCCATCGACCCCAGCAAGCCCAACTCTCATGCTGGCGCCCTGGGCCTCGGCCTCAGAACAGCTTCAGCTTTGGGTCTGCTTTTCACGTTCCTGGCCTATGTCATCCCCATCTTTGGCGCTTGGATCGCAGACGTCAAGATCGGTCGTTACCAGGCTATTGGATGGGGTGTTTTCATTGGTGGTGTTGCACATGTCATCATGATCGGAGGTGCAGCGCCGGCTCTCCTTCAGGCCGGCAAAGGTGTTGCGCCTTTCCTCGTCAGCTACTTCCTCCTCGCCATCGGAGCAGGTATCTTCAAGCCTAACGTGGCACCCACTGTCATCGATCAGTACAAGCACCAACGGGAGTACACCAAGGTGCTCAAGTCCGGGGAAAAGGTCCTCGTCGACCCCGAGACTACCATTAGCCATATCATGCTGATTTTCTACGCCTTCATCAACGTCGGCGCCTTCTTCTCCATTGCTGTTGTCTACATCGAGAAGTACCACAGCTTCTGGCTAGCTTACCTTATCCCCGGCATCGTCTACTTCCTCCTCCCGGTTCTGCTGGCCGCCACGTATAAGCGCACCGTCAGACTTCCGCCTCAAGGCTCCGACTTGAACCGTTTTGTGAAGATCACCGTCTCTGCCCTCAAGGCAAGCAAAGGTAACATCTTTTCAAAAGACTTCTGGTACAAAGTCCAACCTAGCACCATCTACAGCGAGCGAAGTGTTCGCGTCAGCTACTCTGAGAAAGATGTCGATGATGCTCGACGAACCTGGGGAGCCGTCCAAATCTTCTTGTACATTCCCATCTGGTACTTGAACGACGGTGGCGTTGGAAACGTTCAGAGCAATCAGGGAGCTGCAATGACCTCTGATGGTGCGCCCAACGACTTGCTAAGCCACTTCAACCCCTTGGTCATCATCGTCTTCTCTCCTTTCATGGCCCAGGTTGTGTACCCATTCCTCAAGCGCAAGGGTATCAAGTACGGACGCATTAGTCGTATGACGACCGGCTTCATCTTGGCAACTATTTCCTCCGTCATCGGTGCCATCGTTCAGTGGCGCGTGTACGAGACCAGCCCATGGTAAGCTCCACCTCCTATCTAGCACAACCTCCTTGGCCTGCTGCTGACCTCTCCGATTTGCAGCGGCTACAATGCCAGTGATTGTGACGGGGTTTCGCCGCTCTCCATCTGGTGGCAGATTCCGAACGTCGCTCTTGGTGCCATGTCCGAGATCTTCGTCAACGTCACGGCCTACGAGCTCGCGTACGCCCGCGCTCCTGAACACATGCGGTCCACTGTCGTCGCTCTGTTCTTATTCATGACGGCTTTGAGCAGCGCTCTGGGCCAGATCTTGCTTCCATCAATCGGTGACCCGACTTTGGTGTGGGCCTGGGCTGCTCCCGGAATTGCTCTTGCCGTCCAGACCGCCGTCTTTTGGTACAGGCACCGCCATATCAACGATGAGGTGTTCATGACTTACAAGGAGGACTTCCAGAGCATTAGCTCGGGAGAGAAAACGAGCATTGATAAGGGTGAGAAGTAAAGAAGCAGGACTTTGAACAACTTCTCATATATTGCGTTAGACCATTGAGCAATTATCACATCTAAATAATGTGTTTGAAGATTAGTACAATAATACTTCCGGAAGTTGGGTACATTAAACCTCCGCAAAGACGACGCTGATCTTCTATTTCATGGGGTGATGTACTGATAAACCTGAAGAATTACCTGCATGAGCTCAGACAGCTATTAGTAAGTAAGAAGAGGCATATCGCATAGCTAGTATCACAACTTTGAAGGAACATAAGAGGTAAACGAACGGCCGTTGTTATGATTCCATCTATCTGACTGAGTGCCCTGATTGTCCCTTATACCCATGTCCTTGTCCTCAAGATATCATCCTCATGCTTGTTAAGCCCCCGGATGACAATATGCGCGAAAAGGCTTTATGCCATAAGAATGGCACGCTTGAAGGGCTGGTCGTGGACATAATCCTTCTTGTCATTGAAGTCATCAGCATTGACAGCAATGATCTTTGCGTTACCAAGGTTGGGGTACTCGTAGTTCTTCCAGAAGTCGGCGATCGGCTTGCCCTTCACCATCATAACATAGGCGGTTCCACTGGACTCCTTAGCCAGGGCCTCGCCCATGCGGGGGAACAGCTTGTCCTGCTCGGCGCCAGGACCGCACTCATCAAGCCAGTCGAGGTATTGGTCGCCGAAGACCTTGTTCCAGTACTGGCCGCCGCCGTCGAGAGTGGCCGCGAAGGCCTCGGCTTGAGCCTGCTTGGCGCCGGCGGTGTAGAAGACGGTGTTTGTGCCAACCTTGGCGTTGTCTTTGATCCAGTCCCGGATGGAGTCGACAGACGGGCAGTCTCGACGGTGCAATTCGCCTGCGGGCGCTGCCAGGATAGGAGAGACCAAGCAGATGGCCGTGGCGATGATGCTGGAGAATCTCATTTTGACTTGGGTTTGTAGAGTGTATGGATGGAGGTAGAAAGGCTTGGAGTTGTCTTCAAGGAAGATGGCTTAGAGGAGGAGAGGACTGGATGACAAGTTGACTGGCTGTAGAGATGTGCTGATGATGCTTTGCTTGTTGACTTGACTGATGTCTTGTTGTCTTCGAGTTGGAAAGGAGGAGATCATTAGGCTATATTTATAATGTCGTTGAATGCTAAGAAGCACGAATGAGAATCAACAAGTTCAAGACGTCGAGGCGCAGGAACGAGCGGTTTCCGAGACTCCATGGCGATCACTCGAGGCCTCACCACCCGTTGACAAAAGTCCTGAACCCACAAACTACCTTGGCCGGTAACATCATGTCAGACTGACTGCTAGACGTTCAAAGTCCTTCCCATAGTCATTACAATTTTGAGGCCGTAGGACTACAGCCCAGGCGATCGCATGTTCAGCCAACTCCATTGCTTACCTTATTTTTAGACACCATCGTCATTGTAGAATCACTATGAGAAGATCGCCACTGGAAAGTCTCAGGGAGATTTGGGGGCAGGAAGTCAAGCCAGAAGGATTAATGATACCAGACAGAGTTGTCGGCGACTTTCCAAGTGCCTTTGGAAGGTCTCAGTTGGGCAGGGATGCAACATACCCAGGCAGAACAGAACGGAAGTCAGCAATGGGCTGTGCGTAATGTGGGGTTTCTTCGTACCTACCCGACACTATTTTATCTTATTTTCCGTGTGTTGGTTGCGACTGAGTATTCGATATGTATTGGTCGATTGTGCGTTTGTTGGTTGTAATGTGCCTAGGGAATTGATGCCTGCTTGGCGAGCGCCGATCAGCTGAGGAACATTCTGATGTAACCTGTCCGCAGCGACCTAAACAGCGACACCTCACCTCCGAACGACACCTCGCCACAAGTTTGCCAACATCCATTAAAACCAAAGTCTCATAGAGAAAATTATCGACGAAGGTCGACCAGAAAACGCAGAAACCCTACCATACCCAGTCCTTGGCACCTTCCTCGAGTTACAACCATTTCTTCTACATTACCAAATATCCGCACAGCATTCGCAACCATGGCATCTTCTCGCGAGGACTCGCTCATCACCCTGGCTTCGGCAGGGGATGTCAACCAAATGAGAAACCTACTTACAGCCGCACAAGAGTCTCCATCAGAAGAGACTATCCAGCGCCTTCTGACGACAGCTGCGAAAAGTTCCCAACTCGACGTCGTCAGCTTCCTACTGGAACAGTACCCCTCTGTTCCCCTGGACGAGGAGATTGTCCGAGCCGCGGTCAACACGGGCTCAATCCCCATCTTCAAGGCCTTGCTCTCCCGGGATCCCTCGGTCATCAACATGCCCTTCGACATGCGCGGCTCGCCTCTCATCGTGGCTTGCATGGGCCAGCAGAAGGTCGAATACCTCCAGTTCCTACTTGAGACCGGCGCCGACCCGAACCAGGACCCGGACGCAGCCAGCTTCCCGCTCGCTCTCGTGGCAGCGCTATACTCTGACACTGCCGCAATCGACCTGCTTCTGAAGCACGGTGCCCGTTTGGAGCGCTCGGGCGCGCTGGCTGCTGCTGCTCGGCGCGGCAATGAGCCCATGACCCGCTGTCTCCTGGAGCGCGGCGCCCGTCTCGACGCCGACGCCCCCGCTGTGGGGCCCGGACCGTCGCCGCTCCATGTCGCCGTCAAGGCCGGCCACGCCGGCGTCGCCAGAATTCTGCTTCAGCAGGGCGGCGCCGACCCCAATGCTGCCGACGCCAGTGGAACCACAGCTATCGAGCTCGCTGAGCAGATGAGACAACAGGGAAAGGACGTGTCAGAGATGATAGAGGTTCTAGGAGGAGTACAGGGACGTTAAGCAACGTATTACGGGGAATGTAGATTAACAGTCTTTACGAGCAAATAACTGAGGCAACACAGACAGGTTGCCACTCTTTTTCAATTACAAATGATGGAGTATATCTTACTTCTCCTTTTTTCTCTTTTCTTTCAAGAAAAAAAGTTGTCAAACTGCTAGACTCAGTGCACCCAGTCAGCTCTACATTTCCGTGACTTCGGGCGGGTGATCTGCAGCGCAGGCAGCCGAGACAACATGCATCGGCAGCTCCACGCGAGCTTACACCCGTCTGTGAATGAGCCGCAATGCGTTTACAAGGCGCAGCTGGCCATCGTCTCGCCAGTCAGCCGATTAGAGGTAAGGAATAAGTCGCCGTTTGCGGGGTACATCCAGGTCGTGTTATTTTGACGTCACTAACACCAATGCCGAACAGAAGTCCATCTGCGATCCGCCTATGCTGTCGATACCGAAGAACCAAAGGTCCTTTCTGAACTCTTTTCGCCATATCAACTGACGGAACTTCTGCAACTACCACGCTATCCCACGATTTGTGACATGCCATCCCGTTGTCTTGCACCGCCCATGTATCTATCTACAGAAACGTCCGTCAATGTGACAATGCATTCCTCTTATGCCGATCTTCTATCAACAGCCTCACTACCTTGGACTTTTGGGAGTGGATTGGGTCGGTGTGTTCATGTTCTAGCAGCGAAGTTTGAGCTGTTGCCTGATGAGAGTCTTCCTCATTTTAGCGTTGTTAGGCAATACCCTCCGAGTTAGAAATGCTGCGCCCACACCAGTGGAGGCGTTAGGGTCCTGTTCAATTGTCAACCGACGAGTGAGAGGATTGATCGACTTTGCATCGGATCATATTGATTCAGCACGGCACGGCATTGCGCCGGAGAACCTCACAAGGCTGTTGGTTCGAGTTGCCGATCATCGCCAGTCCTGACTACTGCTGAACCTCAAGAGCCATGTGAGTCGGGGCAATGGGAAGTCCCTATCGCCCCCAATGGCAGTGAAATCCTTCGTGAGCAAGACATGCAACTATCATCATGGTTTCAAGGGCAAAGGTAGCTGAACGTGGGCTAAGCATTGTCGCCGTAGGCATCGTCATTGATGCCTCATCGAGACGTCTGGTCTGTTGATGAACGACATCATCGACGAATAAGACGGTAGAGATGCGTATAAAAGCCGGACCACCGTTGCCATCAACTCATCAAATTATCATCGCATCAAGGCACACATCAACTCACTTCGAGCTCATCAACTCACTCGTCAACTCCCTCACAAACTCACCAGCTCATCACTTTTATACCCACTCTACTTATATCTACACACACATTTGTTCCAGCTGATAAACAAATCTTCAAAATCTTCAACTTCCTACTCACCGGATCACACATCTTAGCCAAAATGAAGTCCGCAATCCTCCTTGCCATCACCCCTCTGCTTAGCCTCGGCACCTCCGCGGTCGTTCACAAGAACCGCAACCCCACACCGTCCTCCCTCAAGGCCCGCGACCAGGAGTGGTCCTTCAGCGTCTACCAAAGCAGCGTACGATGCACGGGAGCACGCGATCCGTACAGCGGTAGTGGCTCGCAGGGTTGCACCAAGGGGATCCGGAACGGATCCTTCGGCTCCTACACGAGCGGAGATATCGCTGAAGGATGCTCGGTTTACATCTACAACAACGACAACTGCGACTCGGAAGGAATCATTGATATCTTGACGAGCGCCGACCCCAGTGGTTGCTTGCAGCCGCAGCTTGAGGTTTCGGGGTCGGCCAGCTTCAAGGCGGAATGCGATTAGTGATATGCAGGAAGTCGCTGGCTTGGCTGTGAGAGATTGTCTGGTGAGATGGTATTGGGCGAAAAGAGAGCCCGGTTCTGGCGGATGGGTATGAAAGCCTCTTCACATCGGGAGGGGGGGCATGCAAGTAGACCGCGGATGTCGCATGGTTGTTCCGTAAGGGACCACTTCGTTCGTTGATAACCTGGCTCGATAGGCAATACACGTTCGTTTATGGTTAACAAGTTCGCGTTCCAAATCAGTCTCAAGAAAACTCGGAAGAGTGATTAAGCTCATGACTCTTCTTGTGTTGTTGATATCTCACATACGCCGTTGATCCTCCGATTATCTATCTGCATGCCGCTGAATGAAAGATGATGACATTAGCCACGTTTGGCGAGACAGCTCAGCTCTGGGTAGGTTAAGCCGGTTGAAGAGGATTCAGATATTGATATTGAAAGGTAACGCCGCAAGTCTATGCTCCAAATCTATACAAATTGACGCTTCTTGGTGTATGTGAGAGGTGTGTCCTCAGTTTCAACTTACAAGCAGAACGTCAATGTCGCTGTATTCTGTATTATTTATCCCGACCCAGTCTCTCTTCGTCGTCTTCCGTCAACTCGTAAGCAGGCCGAAATCCCGCGCCATTCTCATTTCCCTTCTTCAACTGGGGATTCGGATGGGTATCTTGCGTTCCGCCTAAACTAGTGTAACCCTGGATTGGTCAGCATGTTTGCTCCCATATTGTAGGTGGACGACTTACCTGATCGTATAAAGGACAGTATGGGATCTCCAAATGACGAATAAACTACCCAGTCATTAGCTCTGAAATGCCGTTTCTTCAAGCATCGCGTCCTTGGAGTTCTGGTTATTGTTTCTGCGATGACGAGGTCAGACTTACAGCCCAGATTTCAGCTGTGAGATTCTAATGTTAGCTTGAGTTTTGCAGGAGTGGCATTGCCGGTGAGCGGCCGGGTGAGCCGAGCCTTAGATGGACAAGACGTACCGTAGTGCCAGTCAATTACCGGGTGTATCCGCATAAACGCGGGCCATCCCGCGTCTGTCGGGTCAAAATGCGTCAACTTCTCGCCATGCGGGTCTGTCCTCCTCGTCCCCACGAAAATGGCCTCTACGTTTGGCCTATCACCCAGATATGCCTCCAGACCCTCCTTCATGGACATGGCGTATCTCTTGACATCGAGATGATATATTGAGCTGGATGACTCGACGAAGTCGTCAACCTCAGCAAAGGGGTGCTTCGATACGATGTAGACAGCCTGGACTTGATCGGGGAAGGAGGAGGTGTTGCCGTTGGAACCGTTCGAGCCATTCGTCTCGGCCGACTTGGAGGAGGATGGAAATCTTCGTGCGAGGCAGGCAAGGAGCATAATTAGAAGCACCAGACCTAGCGTCACAATGCTGTCAGCAATTACCCGGAAAACGGTTTCCACAAGTCATGGAAGCTCCGGGGGCAATGCGCTGCCACAAGAGACGCGTCCCGACGGAACAGAAGAAGGGAATCTAGAAGCGCACTTACAGTCCTTGCCTCCGTTGTATGATAGCGAGATCTGTTCCAAGCTATCGCGCCTCGGCGCATCAGCACTGCCTTTCTTCCTCTATGCCGAGGCAGACGCGGGGCAGACATACCTGTACCTGGCCAAGGCCTCATCCACTACTCCCATAGACACGCGCAGCTGCTCCTGAACATTTCGCAACACGGACGTTTTCGGTTCTTCGGCCAGAAAAGCGTCGACCTTATCTCGGAGCTCGACGCAGACGTCGTAAAAGGAGCGGGGAGGCGACTCGGATAGGTGGGGTTTCGCGGGGTAGCCGTTGGTGACAGCGGCGGCAGCGACGGACTGCTCGCCTTGGGCGTGAATCATTATGGCCTTGGAGAGACTTTCGTGTGATGATGCGTCGTGGAAATGGGCGGTGGAAAGAAGTCGTGACTTTCAGAAGACTGGGTTTCGGCGGCCGCGGCAAAGGATAAGACGGATGGCATTCGGTGTCCTTTCGGAGACGGCGATGGCGGGGGAACGTGCGGCGGGCGACTTTCCCATTTTGCCGAGTCCACCGGGATACCGCCTTCCGGAAACGGCAAGGTCCGACACGTGAAGAACCCCCACTTGGCTTAGCGGCAAAAGGACCCCGAAAATGCAATTGTAGCCGTCATTTGTTGTTTTCCCCCAACAGCTGCTTTCAGGGTCCAACAGGCATGATTCACTAATGACTGAGACAGATTCCTCGGAATAAACCCGAATTAGGGACGTTTCTTTCATTTGATTTCCGATAAAGATGAATTTCATTATGGTTGGTGGAGCTCTGTGAAGCCCTGGTATTCCTGAACGCCATGCTCAAAATCATTTTCCCAATGGTGAAATTTATTCCAGATTCACCAATATTTCCAGTGTCCTTACCCCAAATTCATCGACATGACTCCTCATCCTCGGGCGTCACGGGAAGCGAGGGGAACCGCGACCTCGTTGGGCTGGAATACGCCTTGGGTGGCGGACTCAACGGCGTCGCAACTTCTTCGTCCACCGGCCCGAACACGTCGGAGCCGTCATCCGAATCCCCCGCGGTCGCCGTCAATGCGGGGCTAATTGCCGTCCGGATCACAAGGGCGCCGTCCGGGCGGTGATCAAGCGTTGGCGTCTTTGGCTCTGCCCCAAACAACCCTGGGCTCACAATGCTTTGCTCGCTCGAGACTGTGGTAATTGCTTTGAGGGGTTTCCGCGTGAGACGCGAATTTTCGCCTTCGTATGAATTGGGCCCGGACCATTCCTTCCGGCTGTCTCCATGTCCAGTGATAACACGAAGAAGAGGTCGCAGAGTCGGAATGCATGCACACATGACCGCGCAGCACAGCTCGATTTCAGACCATACCAGAGCCGGGATCACGTCGTACGTGACATCCCGCGTGAAGGTATGCCCTAGCGTGGTTATTCTGATGATTGAGATGACTGTGGTTCTGCTCTCCATTAGTATAACGAATCTTGCGAGGCCTGTCTGTCTACTCACACAAAGCCTAGCCCGAAGCTGACCATCAAGGCGACCTTGAGCATTCTTTTGAGCTTGAGCTTCCGCAACAGTGGTAGGGGCAGCAGGAAGATGACGATGTCTGTGATGAGATGGACAACCGACGTAGCTAACCACCATGTGCCCTGATCGTATCTTTCGGCTGCGAAAGTATCCCCATTCCATGTTGGGACCGCCATGATAATGGATGATACGATAACCGCCGTGCCGAAACAGCAGATGAACACAAATATTATGTCGCAGATCAGTCGAAACTTCGGAACTGTAAAGACCCTACGAAACTGCAGGAGGAAAGCCATCTTGATCGTAATGAAGGTACAATGATAGCAAAGGGTAGCGATTATCGTCAACTATTGTGGATGTCAGAATTAACTTGCATGTCCCCTATTATCATCAGCTTACTTACTCTTCGTCCAGCTTGCTGCACTGACACAGGAATTGTCCACACATGATAAGAGAGGCCATATCTCGTGCCTGAAGCCACAGTCAGCTATCATTTTAAAAGGATTGAAGGGAAAAGGGGCATTACAGATTGAGAATATTGCGCCAGTAAGCATCACCAAAACCTTCACTCCTGTTAGATCTCCCCAATCTCTTCTTGGGAGATGGTCAACTTACGAACGATATGACGACAAGGGTGTCATCGGGACCCCATTTCTTGATCACCGCTGCTCGGACGTATACACGCAACACAACCAGAATGAAAGCTGCCGAGACAAATGCTGCTGAAATGCCGATGAGCAATCCTGCCCGGTTCTCGTCGGTATACGGTGGAGGACTCTGCCCAGGGTCCATGATTGTCTCATTGTGCATCGTATTTGTTGGCCCTGTCGCTCAGTAGGAAGCCCGATGAAGGCAGCAATGCTGACGGCGAGCGAGCCTTCTTTCGCTTCTGGGAGTATCAACAATGATTCTAGGTGAGTGGCTCGAGGTAAAGGAGTGTGGACAGCGTAGGTGTTGAGTGTTAAAGACAAACAAACCGAAGAAATGCCCCCTTGTCGGAGGCAAGACGGCGAGGTGAATCGCGCATGGCGCCTCAATAAGGAGCAAAAGGATCTGGACTTTGACTGGGCAAGTGCTAGTCTGATTGACTTTTCCGTGTCCGGTGTTGTCTCAGTCATGCCCCGAAGACAAACAGTAGGTTAAGCCGGATGCGGCAGCGCCACCGAACGATTCCAGCCGCCCCAAGCTCTAGAAGCCGAATCGAAAGCCGTCAACCCCGTCATCACGGAGAATCTTGGCAGACGGGCAGCCACTGGCATAATGGCTTCGCTTACCAAGGGCTCAGATAGCCAAATGAAGGTGTCGGTGGAGCCTGATGTGAGCAACCACGCAATCTCGTTGATCTCCAAGGCCGGGGCTTTGGAGCTGTCTGCAGACTGGAATGCACGATGAGGCTGAGATCACAGCTGGACATCCTCCCGCCACAACTCTTCCGAAATTGGTTGGAGTAAGACGTTGAGACAGAAATCCCGGTGTCCCGGTACACCAATGGCGCTGTATAAAGACTATTGGCGCTTGCGGTGATCTACTTGACCACACTGGGTGCATCGGTTAGTGAGAGACGATGGGGCTTTTCAGCCGTGGCGATGAGATTCAAGGTCCGCTTCCAATAGAAGGTGCATGTCACACAGTGCCTTCTGTGTCGGATTGTCAGGACGCGTCTTCTCGACTTTGTGAGCAGATAAGTCACATGATCTTGAGCAAGTAAGATGATGCTATTAAGCAGCTCCCTCGTCGCTGTATTTATAGTCTTGGCCGGAGATGAAATGATACGAAAGAAAATGTCAAAAACATGAACGTTGATCGAAAACAGGAAGCAGCTCCGAAATCATGCGTCTCAAGCCTTCGGCGCGTTGTCATGGTAGCTGTGGCTTATTGGCAGATGTTGCACCGTAAGCGTTGTTTTAGTGATGTCGGCGGACCAGCGCCAGATCTGCATGTGACGCCACAATCAGTCAAGTCACCAAAATCGAGATTAGCTCAGTGTTGACTACTAAGCCTGTTCTCTACTTGAGGCGGCAGGGATAACTCGCGCTTGCGTCCCAGTATCACGGTGACGGGATACGTACCACGTGCTTGATGCATGGGAATAAGCATTAAGAGTTGCTGGGAGCTTCTGAAATATCCATCTTAGACTTTTCTCTTACAATTCTACTGGATGATGAGGTAGTCTGGGTTTTGCTCCTCGTCAGGACACATCACAAACTGTCTACAGGGTGAAAGAGAGCATCAGATCTGAGAGCTTCATACATCTAACTGACCAAAAAGCAACTCAAGAGGCATTTCAATCTCCGTACATTACGTCCATGCTGATTGGCATTATCTCATTCATACTACGTGTTCTGTATTTACCAAAAACTCGTCTCAAGCAGGAAACCTTGAGTTCAGAGCATTCCACTCCGTCTGCGTCAATGGTGTGACGCACCCGTGCTTCAGTCCCTTGGGAAACCCAGAAGTGCTGGAAGCTGACCAGCTGGGTGACTGGATGTTGCTTGTCTGGAAAGGTACATATTGCGTGTAGTCGTCCAGCAGCAGATGGTACAGATTCGAGTTGGTGTTGTCAGCGAACGAAGCAGGTCCCTCACGAGGGCTCTCGTTTCGTACGTATCCTGGAATTCGCCTCCAGGTGCCAAAAATGCCATCCGAGGTGACCTCCTGGTACACCTAAAAAGAAGTTCAGGTTAGTAAAGTGACATCCCACCACATATAAAAGGGATTTGAGTTGAGTTGGTGTTCATCTTACCTGGTTTGTTGTCTCGTTCTTGAGGAAACGAGCATACGCTCCAGGGGTACCCAAGTACTGGAACTCTTGATCGATGAGTGGGGTATCGGCAAGAGCAACATAGTCCCGGGCAGGACTGAATGTGACAAAGTCTTTCGTCGCCGTGTAACGGATACGGTCGAGAGTTGCGGTGCCCGTGTGGCCTGTATCCGTAGATCTGTAGTGTCGAGAGGCCCAGAAGACGTACCAATGAGCCTTTGCGTCATCCCAGACTGCGGACGGAGCCCAGACCATGCCGGCCGTGTCAGCTTCCACACTACATAGCAGGTTAGTGAGACGTGGATTCTGATATGTTGTCTATTACTCACATTCTGAGAGACGGAGCAGACCAGTCAACTAAGTTGGTCGACTTCCAGACAACGATTCCGCGGCTGCCCGTTCTGGTGGCTTTGTCCCAATTGAAACCAGCGGCATTGATGTCGAGGTCTGAGCATTCCATGTTAAGCTTCTCGTCATTCTGCAGCAGACAGATTATATATACGACTCACCCGTGGCAATGAGATACCATTCAGATCGGGACGGGTTGGTTGTGAGATAGACATCTCGGACTGCCTTTGTGCCAACGGTTGAGGTCAGAACAGCCTGGCCTTTGTTCAAGAACTTGAAGCTAGAGGCACTGTTTCCGTTAGAAAGATGGAATTGGACCTTCGGGTTGGCATCGCTGAACGTCGAAATCAGGTATCCGACGAAGTTTGACGCTTGGCGGGGAACAGGGTTGGCAGCCACAAGTGCAGCCGAGGCCACCGCGGCTAGGATGGAGAGAACACGCATACTAACGTATGTTTGCACGTATCAGCTGAATTTCAACGACTCCTGGGAGCTCCGAGAAGGATCTTAACATTGTGGGACATCATGATTATTATATACTTGGCTGTGCTGTTAATGAAGTCATGCCCAACGTATTGCCTTGGCACTAACACCAATTCTGAATGTAGTCTATCACGCAACGCGTGCCACGGCAAGCTGACTTGGAGCTTCATATATTGAACGCTTTTCTGTGGTGCGGCTAGTTCTCTAGCTTCCCGTCGGGGTAGCGTCTTGCCGAGATCTATCATGATGCGGGGATGACAGACTCCACAAACGGCGTAATCATCTCCGTCCACGGGGCTAGTGTATGGAGAAGACAAACCCTTGTCGATAGTTTCCCCAGAGAACACTACGTCTGTGTGGGGTTTGACGTCCGGAGAAATACCTCGCCAACTACCTCTCTGCATGAGCATCATGGGGGGCAGCCTGTGCCCCCGGAAGCACCCGCTCAGAACACATGGTCACATGCCTTATTATCAAAAAGATGATTTAAGCGCCAATAACTTCCTTGGAAAATCACGGAATTAGAGTTGATGAGACGAACTCGTGGTTCAGTTGCATCCACACACCATCCCAGAGCAAGGTTCAATGACTCGGGACAGCCCGCCCAATCACGTACCAATCGATTCTGCAACCTGTAAGGTCAAACACTAGGAGAATCTATCGTCATTGGCGGGTTTTGATGTTGATCACCACACACCAGAGATTCACGTACCTGCATCTATCCGTTGTATAGACCCAGAGACCTCGTGCCCAACTTTGTGGTTCCATTGGAACTTTGACAACAACCTGCGTACAGGTATCTGAAGTATTTGGGCTCATACGTCAAAGGCATCGACTCCCCGACTTGGGCAGTCATAGAAACCAGATTGTAAAATTGAAGAGAACGAACAGAACGTTAACATGAAAGAGGGCACTTGAGTTCGTTATGTAGTGTCATCAAACCAAAATCTTCTGTTGAAATTCGCTCTATGTCTAACTCTCCAAAGAATCCAGATCAATCTCCTCCTGGCGCCGTCTAATGAGAAACTTCGTTGTAGGGTCCGGGATTATCGACATACCAAAAGGCGTAGCCTTCGGTCGGAAACCATCTGGTAACCTCCAATCATACTTCAGCAGGAGGTGGCATAGCGCGATCTTGATCTCGTTGGCAGCAAAGAATCGTCCTGGGCAGGCGTGGAGTCCGTGACCAAACCCAAGGTGCTTGGAGCTGGTGCTGACGAGATGGGCCGTCTTGCTATCCTCCTGCTTTTCTCCTTCAGTCATCTCTCGCAGGCGAAGAAATCGGTAGCCATCAAACTTGTCCGCGTCCTTCCAGTATTCCGAGTTCCACATATGAGTGCCATCTCCGACCAGATTCTGCCCTCTCTTGATGAGGTAGCCGTCTGATAATTCTATGTCTGCAAGTGCTTGTCGGCGCCAAAGTCCTTCAGGCATCTCATATCAGCACGCATCTGAGTCGCAGAAAAGGTTTCCATCACATACCTAGCAAAGCTGGCTTCATTCTTTGCGATTCTTTGATCACACTGTCCATCAGCTTGAGATTGTACAACGCTGTCTTTTTCAGGCCCTGAGATCCCAGAACCCTGACTACTTCTTCTCGAAGCGGCGACAGGATCTCGAGGTTCAATGCGATGTCAATCATGGTCTGTTGAAGAAGGTCGCTAGTTGTGTGAATAGCAACGACAGTGAGGGTGAGTTGGTGCTTGGCGTGATCCTTGGAATGACCATATTCCGTTTCCCACCATTCGATCAGATCGTCAAATGGAGAGGGCTTTCCTTGTGCCATTGCATCTTCTTTTATCTGATTGCGCCGTTGAATATGAGGTTCGAGAGCGGCGTGTGCCTGGGTAAGCTTTTGACGGAGGTCCCAGCAAGTTGGCATTGCCCAATGAACGATGGGTCGAAGCAATCGTGGCCAGGTTCTGACGTCGTCGGTGGCCGAGAATGCAGCGACAGTATAGTCGCCTGATGCCCTGATCCAGTTGTCGTCTCTGCACAGTTCCTCTCCCATGAATATCCTAGTCGACATTCGAGACACGATGCGGACGAGATCGTCTTTCGGATTAATCACATGCCAGTCTGGTATCATCAGCTTTCATTGGGACTGTACTCTCCATCGCCTACTTACCATTAGAGTCTGTTAGAACTGTCTTCAATGCTTGCGTGGCTTCATTTGAAATAGGTGCGGTAAGCTTTGCTATTATGGACTGTCAGCTGTGTTTAATTCCGGCACCAGTGGCTGCCATATTGCTCACCCAAGGCTTTGGTCAAATACTTCGTTACTATCTTGGCGAGACGGTCGTCCAAGGAAAACGCATCGAAGCCGGGAATGTAGCCATGTGTATCCTTTATTCTTGATTCAGCGCATGATGGAGTCTCTTCAGTGGTGCATTTTGAAACTCACATCGTTTGCAGGTACCAGAAAAGACAGGCGAGAGTCACCTCGAAGCTCTTCAATATGCCTTGGAGAGAGCACGATGACCTCACCCCAGTCGCAATAAGCTCGATAAAGTTGATCGCCAAAACGAGCTCTTCCTTGAGCAAGAATGTCTGTGCTCTTTTGGAAAAATTCGGAAACGCGACGTCTGTTGGTCAATTCGAAAGGTCTTTTCGGATTGATTTCTGGGAGCTTGCCACCGTTGTCGCCCAGAGACCTTGCGAGGACTAAAAGAATGGCGATTGTGATAAGATACGCAACAGGCTGATCAAGACACAGCAGCCAAGAATCAGCGCTTGCCCACTGCCTCAGCTGGAAGTCCATGCTGTAAATTTGAATTCAAAAGAAATGCCTGTTTGCAACGTTCACTAGTGAAGATGTGTAGAATGAGGATTCACTGGGCCAGTAACCGCATTCTACCTTGATGTGATTATCACGGTTTATATACTTCATAGAAGAAAATATCACAGCTTCTCGACGCCTCACAAATCTCCACATTGAATCTTCAACTCACTTTCGCAGGTTGCGGGATGTGGCTGATGACATGCACCGAATGCGAGACCGAGTGAAGTAACGTATTGAATGTCATTGGCGCTCAGACTAGAAGCCCGTCGCCGCTGACAAAGCCTCAAGATCGCCAGCTTGCGTAAGTCCTGACTGAGCCTATCTCTCTAAACCTCGCCAATCAGTGATCAAATTCAACCGTTTCGACCACGGCAGTGCGTAAGTTCCATGCCGTATCACACGTTAGCCGTTTGGCAGTCACCAATAATTGTTTGACGGGCAGCTATGAGGACACCGACGCCGTCAAGCCATCTACAATAGTCGGCGAAAACCCATCGGACAATACCTCACGGCATGCTGAACGAACAGTCGTTTGTAGCAGACGCGTCATATTATACTCTCAGTACCATCTAATTGAAGACCGAGAAAGCGAAAAAATTGAAAAATGCGAACCGCTCAGTTCTCAATAACACGCGTCATTTCAATAATATTCAAGTTCGATAGATTTTGGCTTGTTGGACCCAAGCATTCTGTCGTGTTAGACTTGTGCAAGAGTGTGGAGACATATGAGGCTCAAGAAAATGCCTACATTCCAAAACAGTAGGCATTATATTAGCTTAAACAGGTTCCAGCTGTCAGGAGATCAGGCATTTTGTTCTCTACGAGTCGTTGTCACCAGTGTCTGGCGCCTACATGCAGGCTTGGAACGACAACCAAAGTCGCACGACTGACTTCCTATCACCCCTAGAGCGAGCTATTGAGTCCTGGTGGTCCTCTCATAGCAAAATATCAAATGAAAGTTCTGAAAGTGAAGGGGGAGTACGGCTGTGGTGTCGTACGTGCGTGATGGTCTCTAGCGACAAGGCTTTAAGTAGGATTGGAACTTGTTGCCATGGTGCTATGCTCACATACCAACGGCATCCCACCGGCTTTCGAACCCCGTTCGAGCAAATAGGCTTAGAAATACAAGAGTATAGAGATGCGGACTTATGGAGTGACAACTTGTCCGTTTGTGACACAAGACACAGCTCTTAGGGAAAGCCAGGCGGGAAACGGAACCTAATCTAGCATCGCCAGTGGTTAAGATAGAAATAGATCCAGACTGCATGGTTTGCTTATGTGTAATCATTATACGAATACACCGCTCTTTCCGCCGGCCTTGGTCCCGAACAGCCGGCATCGGGACCGTCAAGAGCCGGACTGGCCGGGATCACATCCCACCGGCTGAGCGGGACGGCGATTCGGTCAGTGTTGGATGCCGAGTCCGTGCCTGGCTTGCAGCAATAAATACGGTATGCCGACAATTGTATCACGTCTAAGTGAAGTGAACAAGTTGTCTTACCACTCATCTGTTTGTTGCCATCGAAAGCGGGTATTATCAATCCACAGAATATCAAGATGACGAAGTCCTCAGTTTGGTTGATTACCGGCACCACCTCTGGCATGGGGGCTGCCATGATGGAACAGTTTGCCGCTCGAGGAGACCGGGTCATCGCAACCGGACGAAGCGCCAGCGCCCGGCTGGCAGAAAAGAAATCGGGCAACATCTCCCCCATGGATCTTGACTCTACGTCCTCTCTGGCCGTTATCAAGGAACAGATTGAGAAGGCAATCCAGATTTATGGTCATATTGACTTTGTTGTGCTCAATGCCGGAATCTCGGTGCCTCAAACGATCGAAGAGGCAGAGTGAGTTCTAAATCTGAGTTCCCTCTTAACATTGGTCTGATTCGGCGCTTTTGTAGCGATGCCTTTACCCAGAAGATGCTCGATACCAATCTCGTTGGCGCAATGAGGCTGGTTCAGGCCGTACTCCCCCATTTTCGAGAGAGGAAGGCGGGTACATTCGCCTTCATAGGCTCAGGAATGGGATGGGAAGCCTACCCGTTCTTCACTCATTATGGAGTCGCCAAAGCTGGTCTTTCTGGTAAGTGTTTATAGATCCCATCACCGGAGGTGCACGCCTAGCTTATACTTATAAACACAAGCCTTTGCCGAAAACCTCCAAAAGGAAACAGCTCATCTAGGACTCAAGACTGTTATCTTTGAGCCTGGAGCCTTTGTGACTGGAATAGGACAAGCCCGGACAGCAGCTGATGAGGGTGTTGGTGGCGCCCCCGATCTTGTGGATTACCAAGGCCTTTTTGGCGAGGTCATGGGAAGGTTCGCGACTGACTTGTCCGGAAGCATTCCGTCAACTGTCGAGAAACTTCCCACGGCCGTTTGGGACGTAGTCAAGGGAGAAGGCATGGCCTCGGGCAAGCCCTTTCCTATTCGTGTACCCTTGGGTCTGGACGCTCTGGCTGTTATCAGGCAGAAATGTCGCGAACAACTCCAGCTATGTGACGAATGGGAGGAGGTCGCGCTGAGCACGACGAAAGAGGGAGCTAATCCTACTCCTCCCACATACCTGATGGAGAAACTTTCGATTTTGAACTTGACGAACTGAAGAGAAAAGGACGGAACAGGAAAAATGATTTAGCGATACTTTTAGAGTACGCTCTATTTACATGTATGTGTACAGGCGCCCTCTTGATCAAGGAAACCCGAGCTCTGAAAGAAACATCACCAGCGGTTGGGTCTAAAGCATAGTCTTAGAAATTGAAAATGTACATGCTCGCACCCAGGGCTAACCAGTAGCGATTGACTTGACGAATGAAAGTGGCACCAGACCGGTGGGATGAGAGCACGCTGCCAACCAAGAGTTCTTTACACCTTCGTTGTAAGATAGGTAAAGGCGAATTGCCACAGCTTGGAAACACAAGCAGATCGGAAAGCATCGGAAGCATTCCGACGAACATACAAGGCTTTTGATTTGAATTAGTCCGCCGCCTAGTGCCCCTGATGTGATCCCAATGGAAGTCTTAGTAGACGAGTCCCGAAAGTGACACTGAATTGCACGATGTACGGAGGATCTAACCCAAAAGAGGAAGCTATACGCGCCGCTGGCCAACCACCCACCATGCACCTCTCCTTAACAGCCAATGCTACGATAAACAAATGAATGGCACCAGACAGTAAACAGTCTGTCAGAATAAGGTTCAACGTAGGTTTCGTTCATCCAATCATCAAATAAAATCATGAGGGCTCCAGCGTAATGATTATGCCTCCCCGTAATGAACTAATATTCCTATGTGACGACTCACACACATCATTCCGACATCTGATGTACGGTCCGGGTGTATAAATAAACACTGATGCCTCTCTAGAAAGGCCCTCTACAGCGTCAGACTTTCAGATCAAATTCTTTCTTCAGGCTCCTAAGATGCGTTCGCTCGTTACACTTCTCTCAGCCCTCGTTGCTTTCACCGGCGCACTTGACCCCATTTGCGACAGCGAGTGCCAAAGGGGCTGCGATGCGGAATGTCAAGCAGCGATACAGACCACATACGAAGCTGAAGCTGCACTTTGGGTTGGTGACATAGTTTCCGATTCATTCTATTCGACTCCGGCAAATATCACCGGCGGCAAACCTGGAGATATCCTTCGCTGGGAAGACGTCCCTGCGACACAACTTGCTTCTAACTGGACAATTCCAGCTAGTCTATCCCTCTCCCGCGTTCTTTACTTGACCGAGGATATCGATCGGAAGCCTATTCCCGCTTCAGCTTGGGTTCTTCTGCCGTTCACAAACCCTTTCGCTAAGCCCCAAGGCACGCCGGAAGAGAACAAGCTTCGAACCATCGTCTGGACTCATGGCACTGCAGGTCGCAGTAGACTCTGCGCTCCCACCAACAACAAGGGCCTCTACTACGACTGGAAAGCCCCTTTCATTCTTGCTGAGTCTGGGTACGCTGTTGTTGCTCCGGACTACGCCGGCCAGGGTTCCGATATTCCGCAAGGGTTCATGTATGAATCAGGCTTCCTCCACGCCGCCGATGTCGCCTATGCTCTCATCGCCGCGAGAAAGGGGCTTGGTGATGTTTTGAGCCAGAAGTGGATGGTATACGGACACAGTGAAGGAGGAATGACTGCGTGGCGAACCAACGAGCGCTTGGCCATGCCAGACCAAGAGGCTCTTTTGGCGGCCGGCGAATTTGTGGGATCTGTTGCTGCTGCTCCTGCGTTGCGCCCTCAAAAGCTCATCCCGGCTTCTCTTGAGCGTGCCAAGGGTCAAGCAGCTCGGGACCCTTTCTCTGTATACTTCCTCCAGTCCTTGTCGAAGCTGTACCCCGAACAGATCAAGGTAGAGGATTACCTCGGAGAGGCCCCTTTGCAGAGAATCGGAGCACTCGATAAGTCATGTTTCCAATCTGGCTTTGCCATCGTCGGCACCTTCACTCCCGACCAGCTGTACAAGAACACCAGCTGGTTGACGCACCCCGCGACGAACGACTGGGCTATTCGGTACAATGGCCAGGGACCACACGCAGTCGCAGCGCCTATGTTGGTCATTCAGGGCTCGACGGACACAATTACTCCAGCCGACCTAACTTTGGACGATTTCAACCAGACTTGTTCCACCTTCCCCGAGAGTCCAGTTCATGCCCGCGTGTATCCTAACATGGGGCACGGTCAAGTTCTTGAGGCTGCAAGGGCCGATATTGCAGCTTGGATTGCCGCTAGGTTTGAGGGTGTTCCCGTACAAAAGTCTTGCGTCCACGAGGATGTGAAGCCTTTCACCGAAAGATACGCTGTTGGAGACATCTTTTGGCATGGAACTGCGGTACCTTTCTAGAGGTCGCTTCGTGTATATCTTCTTGAGACTGACAGAACATGTTGGTCTATTCTGTCATCTGGCGCTTCTTTTTACGGGAGTCTAGTGAAATTAATCTCGCCAAACCCGAGCCATCTAGATAGAATACAATCATGAACGGCGCATCCTCCCCGAAGCTTTTCAACTGAATTTGAGCTTCTTCTCTCCTCTTTTTTGTCTCCAGTAATTGGTCCCTTCCAATATCTCATGACATCCTCTAATAAGCCAAGCCCATTTCTTGATAAAGGCAACGTTGGCTTCCCATCCCCGGGGATCCCAGGAGTCGCCCCATACAATAAGACGTGGTCGCTCGCCGTCACCACTGTCGTCTTTGTGATCAACGCCGAAGACGTCGAGACAGAATTCGTCTTCGTCAAAGAAGCCCAGTTCTTCAGCGCGGATTGCTCTTTCCCTGAGCGACGGGATCGGGAAGAGGTCGAGAAAGGGATGGTGGGTGATCTTGTACTGCGTCTCTGTTGGGCGAAGATAAGGAGGCCAAGTGGAAGCTTGCCTGGGGCCGCATGGTAACCTGGGCCCTTCAAGATTGAAAGGGGAGATGAAGTGGTCCTCGCATAGAGATTGGGGAATGAAGCCTAGAATGCGGGCGTTACGTGCTAGAGCGTTGAGCAAGTTGAGTCCAACGAGGGCTTGGAGCTGGGTGGGTTGAGGAGTTCCCATTGAGAAGTTTATGCGCGCGTCGCGCTCCAGGACAATCATCTGGCCTCTTTTGTTCGGACATGGCAACATAGCATATCCGGTGCCGGCATCTTCATCAGGACCGGAGGCCCCGGGTCCCGCCTCCGCGTCCGCACCGGCCGCTGCGGCTTCTAGGCGACCGCACAATTCTTTGAGTTTTCTTTTTCCTATGATAGACACAAAGATTCGTGTTAGCAACGCGTGATTTCTTAACCGAATGGTGTTCCTTTAGGGCACTAACGACGAGCTCTCTGGTTGAGGCGATTTTGTATTTTTCTCCTTTCTTTACTTGACGCCACCCCCGTCCAATCATCTTCAGGTTGAGTAGCATCTTGCTGCTCAGGCGACGCATTCACTTCCAATTCCATTACGGAGCTGTCGCCCCTTGACGTGCTCATAGTAGTATGATTTGATGATATGACCAGACTCTTGACACGTCGGCTGGCGCTAGTGGAGTCGTATGAAAAGGCTTGTGATATCTCGGCATCATATGGGCGCCAGCCTTGGTTTTAAAGTGTGCTACTGAGTCGCTGAGCCGTGATCGGGCCACCTGCTGTACCGCCAAGTCTCGCTATTTACAGCATGGTGGGGAACCAGATGCGTTCTGTCGTTGGCTGCTTTTCAAAGAAAACAGGGGTTAGTTATCTTCAGCTGGGTAATGCATTCTGAGCGGCGAGTCAGGACCATCGCTCCCTCACAGCGATGGCATCCAGCTGAACGAAAGCCGAGCAACCTAGTGCCGGAGCTTTTACGTACTGAAATAAATCCAAATGTCGACTGAACGTCATTTTCAGGTCAAGGACGCGCTGAGTGGCGGTTGTTATTGCTTTCATTTTTTTCTCAAAAGTTCCACAGACTATCATAAAACTCTTGTGCCTCCTCTTGCGTGCCAAAGTCCCCAATAAGACCGCTCAAGAGACTTCCGTAGGCGTCAGGCATATTAACGTCGGCAATTTGAGCAGCCCAGTTGGTCAGATCTTCAACGTTTGCGTTTCCAGACTCAGAGGGGGACGGCAGAGTTTCTTGTCGTTCTTGCTGATTCCGCTCAACCATCATAGCCATTGTCCGTGACGACAGCGCTTCGAACAGATTCCGGTATGGTGTAGCAGCCTCCCAGCGTTCCGCCATGATGGCGAGTAACATTGTGCAGGTCGTGAAGATATTGCTGGCACTATCGATTCTCACAGCCTGCCTAACGGCCGGAGAAGTCCAAAGGCAGTGCATGTAGGTCAACCCAGCCAAAAACAGAACATGAAGAGTTGACCAGGTGTAGTTGATCGGCTTCCCGATGTACAGCCGTTTGCATGATTGACAGATGTTGCTGGCAGCCTGAGTGCATTCAAGAAGTAGCTCTTCATTTGTGCTATTCCTGTCCGTCAGTTTTCCACGGTAGAGGAAGAGAATCGTCTCATAGTATGTCAACCTCCAGTCTTCAGCGTTTGCAAACACGGTAAGCGGAACACCAGCTCTCAGGGGTTCCGCTGGTGTCTCTGCCATCCATTCGTCAACATCTTTGCGGAGCGATGATAGTTGTTCCTGGTAACTCTCGTGATTTAAACGTTCTGTTGCGGCATTGGAGTAAAGTGATGCATAAATGCGAGCCCAAATGCATCGGATGCGAAACTGATGCAGTGCATGTGATGTCGTCGTCACAGGACCATTTGGAGATTGTCGTGGCAATCCTTGAATCCCAGTTTCAGTGATACACGAGTCGTTGATGTCCAAAGGAAACTACATAGACTTGTGAGTTATGATAAATATTATATGCTTGCATTTGTCTTCTCACCTCAGTGTCGACTTCTTGGATGGGAAGGCTCAAGGGAAGCCCAAGATTGACCGATGCAGCACAGTCCATCTGATACGCGCACCAGAAAACGCGTTTCCGCAACTCCAGCCTGAGAACACTGGTTCTGAGATTCATCTTTTTGATGCTTCGATGGTATCCAAGCTCGATGCATTGGCGCAATGCCAATCCAGAGAGATTCCTATGCGGAGCGTCAGTCACGTTCTCGACAGCCTGTATCCGACTCGCTCACCATACAGAGGGCCCCGTGGCAGATCGAATAGAGAACAATGCACAACATAGCAGTGCCTGGATAGACTCAAGGTTCTTTTTCGATAGGACATGGTCAAGATGTAAAAGTGCCGAGGCGTAGAGTTGCTTGAAATTCATCAGATTAGCCTATGTTTTGAGACACCAGCGAAAGGTCATCGGCCTACTTGTGGTAGTGACTTAGGATTGGATTTCAAAAGGGCACCTATGGCATACACCTGTGTCATTCAGGTTAGTAACGAGATACTTGATGGCATCAGAAGTATTGAAGATAGACGAACATACCATATTGACAAAGAATAACTGAGTAGGATCGGCACACGCAGAGTCAGGCCCAGCAACATCCTTCTCCCACTTTCTGAAGGTCGGCTCGTGCAAGAAAGGATATTGAAGGTGGACATTCTCGAAGTACGCTTTGCTGAACAATAAACCAATCTCATATCTTGGTAGACGACATGGGGAAACTGGAGGGTCGATATCGCCAGTGTTCAAGTCAAACTCGCCAACAGACTTATCCTGTATGACTTGGCGAACGCAGGCATGAATGACGCGTGAAAATGAGAACATGGAGGAAGAGCCGAAGTAGTGAGGCTCTGCTCCGGATGCGTGAAGACTCAAGACCCCGGCTTTGGATACGAGGTCAGCGGACCCATCTTGTTCATCAAGATCGGTAACCTCAGTAGATTTCGAAGCAACAGATGAGGCGGGCAAGCCTCCTGGCGCTTGAGGTTGGCCTTGCTGTCGCAATAACCCCTCCAAAAGTTCCACTCGTTCCTCTAGCGTCTCAACATAATTCCTTGGCAGTTGGCGCTTGGTAGCTGAGTCCTCGATAAGGCAGGCTGTAGGTAATAATAACGAGTGTCAGGGAACTTTGATTCTTTTCAAGGCTTGAGAATCATGGGATGGTGACCTACCGACGTCAAGACGACTGCAGTTGGCGCAGGACGGGACCTGGTCATCGCACTGCATTGAGAGATTCATGAGCACGGAATGTTCACCGTCAACAGATACGTTTGGATGTTACCTTGAGCTTTCTTTCCTTGCAACTGATGCAAGCCGCCTGCGCCCTGGTGCGAACCCGACGCGAAGGACGGAGCGGGCGTCTGGAAACAGGGCGATTGCTCTGCAGCATGGTTGGTACGACCGCAAGTCCTAGGTCAAAAAAGCTTCGATGTCTCTTAACAAACAAGCTGATTCTTGCGGCCTCGCGAATTCAACTTATGGACTCGCTGGTGGCCATCTTGTAGGTGTTTGGGAAGAAAAAAGGAGGACGACGTGCCATTTCGTCCGACGCTGAGGCGCCTAAGAGCAACATGGTGGGCCGTCTTGATAAGGATTTCTTGGGGCATGATTGGCACTGTTCGCTCCGATTGCTTCACGGGATGAAGCACTGATGAGCAGGATTACAGGGGCCATACCCTGGAAAGGCGTTAAACCCCTGTCATCGAGTCAGGGCCTGCGCTACTTTACATCAAATGGCTTCTGAGGAGAGGAAGATGTTGATGATCAGGACGATTACTAATGCTATTGATATTCTCGAAATGATTGAACGACACATTTTTACTCTTTGTAGACATCGATCTCCAGATAAAACCCAATGTCCACTACAATGCTCGAGGCTCAAACTGTCTAACAGCAAAGTAATGGTACCTCTTGCGGAATCGGAACCTGAACCGCTTTCCAAACACGATGAATATGCCACTTCCGAAAAGAATTGCGGTTATGAAGACTCCAATTACAATGTATACAGTCTGTACCCCTGCGGCGGCGATCCAAGGAGGCAGAGCGAAGATGATGATGAACGAGCACATGTTGCGAATGAAGGTCACTCCAACCATGGCATCACCGACAACCTGATGAGAGTCAGTGACTTTGATCCATTATCCTAGTTGATTTCATCTCTTACCTCGGTGTAAGCATCTGTGATGTAAGTGAGGGAAATGGTTCCAGCTGGCGCTGTGCCGAAGCTGCATAACGCATAGCTCACAGCCAGTACAGGCCATGGCCAGCCGCTGCTCAACCCGACCCCGAAAAGGATCATGCCAATGGGTACAAAAGGGGCAAAAGCTGCCATGACCCAAAGTCGCATTTCAGGCTCGTAGATTCCCTTGTTTCGTCTGGACAGATACAGGATCCACCAGTCGCTGAGCGGACCGCAAATGAGGGTCCCCAGAGTCGATCCTGTGAACGGAGCGAGACTCATGAGCCCAATCTGATCGGGGTTGAAGTTGTAAGGCGCTCGAGTCATCCAGTTGGAAAGCGTCGTGACCAGGATGTTGGATGAGATCATCATTGCTCCGTATACGAGAGACATGTAGAAAACCCCAGGAACCGAAAAGAGAATTTGGAAAGGCTGGTAACAGTGACGAACGAAGGACCCGAGGGACCCAGGTGAAGATGTTGTCAAAGCGAGACGCTCTCTGTATGACTTTCTTGAAATGGTGCTGTCGATGTCGGAGACCGTGAAATTAGTATTGGGCTCCTTTGAGGACAAGGGATGGTCGGTATCTTTCGAACGTCTGATTCCCTCAATACCCGGCTGATGAAGCTGGGAAACGCCGTCAATCGGCGGAGTAACAAACTTTGTCTCTTCATATCCGAAGATCATGGCCAAGAGAAGGACTCCGAAGAAGATGGCAATCCACCACCATACCCAGCGCCATCCTTGAGATATGGTGACATAACCAGCCGCTAATGGGGCCAAGGAAGCTCCAATCCTCGTCGACCAGAAGAAGATGGCGTTCATGGTTCCACGTTGGTTGACGAAAAAGACATCGGCGACGGTCATCTGAACCACAGTCTCGGCGAGGGCGCCCATGAAACAACTCAGAATGTTGACCATCATCAAATCCGCAACAGTCTGTTGATGGGCGGACCAGATGCTGACGCCGAACTGGATAGCAGTGCTGCAGATGTAGATGGGACGTCGACCATATTTGAGGGCGAATGGGATCAAGACACAAGCCCCGATGGCAAGAGCTCCACAGCCAACAGCATAACTAGTATTCAAGATGTCGTAGCTAAAACCCAGTTGCTCGTGCATGGGAGCCCAAGTTGGAGTGGCGGCATCAATCCTGCAAAGAGTTATTATGCAATTGAACAGGTTGGCCGAACAGGCCAAGGGGGTGGGTGAGGTACAGTGCAAAGACCATCAGAGTATAGAAAGCAGCAAGTCCAAAGTTCCAGTACTTCAAACGGTTCGGCCAGTTCTGGGGTGCAGTTCTTAGTCTTTGACGACATGGAAGTAGTTGGTGAAGATTCCGACAGGGGCTACAAACCAATGGGTCGTTTGGGTCTCTTGATGGCTGGGGTTGCTGAATGATTTGGCTTGCACGGTCTTCCTCTATGTGAATGTTAACGACGTATCCAGGAAGCCTTCGAAAAGATATCTTATAAGTTACCTTCAAGCCGAACGGTGCCTGGAGGCCAGGCTGGGTTATCTTGTTCTTCGAGTGAAGCCATCTTGGATAGGAATTCGGCAATGACTAAGACCGCAAAGCAATGATGGCTGACAACGATATGATGAGACGAAACATCAAGGTGGAATTGACGATCTTAAGTATCTGCACGAGTCTCAGTCTCGTCAATAGAAGCAGAAGTGCAGTAGAACCATGCAACCTACTCGGCCTTCGAACACGAACAAATGCCGCAAGGACAAGGGCGTAGAGATACGCCAGCCCAGCCACCAATCAAGACGATATTTCAGTATTTCGATAAAGGAAAACGAGTTAATAAACGTGAATGGGTTGCGATACCTAGTCAAGCCAAGTGTTGGAGACGAGTTAACTGAGGTATGTTAGTTAGGAGGAACCAGCGGGGCGCGGGGTAGCAGGGACGCCAAATATTGATATGTCATTTCCATGATAACGAGACGGATATGAGCACAGATCGCCGTCGGCCAGCTGGGATACCACTGCAATCGGATCTACTAATTCAGCTTGTTAGAAAACATGGTCTGCTGCGTTGCTAAAGAGAGAAGGCCTGGTCTCGCTGGACAATTGATCTGGATGCTCGACATCGGGTGTACCCGAGCATGACTTCCGATTCGTGGATCGGCAACCCAGTTCCAGTGAGATCGCGAGTCAAATACCTCCACATACTCGCGACTGTCCAATCGGAATTCCGTCTGAAGATCTCGTGCATCGGTCTTTGCCGGGGTAATTTCCGATCCTACAGGCCGACCAGTTCCCATTCCGCAGCGGGAAACCCACCGAACCGCAAGCAACTCACGAGGTTCTCAAGCGTAGTTCTCATTTTTCAAGTTGAGATTCATCGCTATGATGGATCCTAGCGGGGTGAATATACCCAGTTTGATACGATATGCTAAATCACATGTGTCATTGGATTGAGTAACATTTATTGAACCGGGACATTTGTACATCACGTCGAACTGATAAGACCGGTCCCTGTTTCTCTAAGTTGTCTCTTGGGCCCGAGGAGATGTCACTACGCTGCCTTCTATCGTGTTCTGTTTATGATTGCTTCCAACTGCAAGCCTCTCAACATAGAATTCGCAATGGCCTCAATCTCAGTACCGCCTTCTAAAACCGACACGATCATTGTCGTCGGCGCTGGCATATTCGGACTTTCCACTGCGATTCACCTGGCAGAGCGTGGTTACGAGAACGTCACCATTTTCGACAAACAGCCGTACGAAGAGACACTTTATTCTTACTTTAACGGTTGCGATGCTGCCTCTGCTGGTAAGCTGCGGAGGGTCTGCCTGGCGGTTTGCTAGCTAACGGACTCGTGCCAGATATCAATAAGATCATTCGATCAGCCTATGGCACCCAGAAAATCTATCAAGACCTCAGTTTCGAAGCTATCAAAGGTTGGAATGCCTGGACACGCGAGCTTCGACGCGGTGGAGATGCCGTGCCTCCGGGCATGAACACCGATGACGATCTCTGGATCAACAATGGCGATTTGTCGTGCACCGACGATGCCGTATTGCCTGAATTTGAGAAGTCCACGATTGAGACCATGCATAGGGCTGGTTATCAGGATACGCAACTTGTCAATGATAACCCGGATCACTTGCGGATGGCGGCCGAAAGGGGTCTGGCCTCGATGATGCAGCCATTCTCCAAGAAACTGCTGGGAGTTCTGGATTCAACTGGGGGTATAACCTTAGCCGACAAGGCATGTCGTTTTGCACTACACAAAGCTAAACGCTTGGGGGTTCGAGCCATTCTAGAACCACTTGCTGGAAAGGTTGTATCCTTGATCGAAACCCCGAACTCTCAGATATCTGGAATCCGTACTGCTGATGGTAAATCTCACGAGGCCGCCCTGACTATTGTCGCATGTGGTGGTTGGACCCCAAGTCTCATACCATCTCTAGACGGCTTTGCGGAGACAACTGCTGGGTCCGTTGCGCTTTTCAAGCTACCGAAGCATCTTCACCAACGCTTCGCCTCTTCAAACTTCCCAGCATGGTCATTCAAGATCGGCGACGGTGCAGAATATGGACTCTACGGTTTTCCTGTCGATGACAACGGCGTTCTCAAGATTGGGTACCGGGGAACCAAGTACACCAATCCAAAGATTCAACCGGACGGTCGAGAACGCAGTGTCCCTGTGACGCGATGGACTGAAGACGAACAGATCCGCAAGGTTCCTTCTCAAGCCCTCAAGGTAATCAGGGCCTTTGTGGACAGATATCTCCCGGAGCTGGCCGGCATCGAGGTGTGGATGACAAGGCTATGTTGGTACACTGATTCGTTCGACAACCATTTCATCATTGACCAGGTTCTGGGACAAAACGGACTGATGGTGGCCACGGCAGGCAGTGGACATGCGTTCAAATACCTGCCCAATATCGGAGGTTGGGTAGTGGATATCATAGAGGGCAAGGAGTTGAACAGACCGGCGGTAAATGCATGGCGATGGAGATCTTTAGAGAAAGACCAGAAGCCGGTCAATAAGCTCATGGAAGGTTCGACAGGAGACCGGGCTCTCGCAAATGTTCCGCTGGTTTCCGTAGGAGGTCCAGCCTCGAAATTATGACGCAGTGCGTTCTGTCAGGTTTGTATGAGATCTATCAGACTCGCATATGAGTTTAACTGCTTCAATATCATACTCATCTCCATAGTTTACGCAACTACGTCCCAAGCGTCTAGTCTTTCCGTGTCACTGACTTGCTAGGCAGAAGTGGTACTGCTGACTGGAGCGCATGAATGATGCAAATCGCGATCTGGCGCTTTACATGAACCCCGATGTATTTCCTTACAAGCCTTACAAGGGAGAAAATGGCGAAGCAAAGCGTCACTGGGAGCGCAATCGCAAAGGTCAGTACGAGAAGTGACTCACCAAGGTTTGGTAGACTCTTTCCTCATTGATTTCCAACTTCTGACGACCGGATCAAAATGGATACACCAGACATACATATGAAGATGGAGAGACAGAGTTTAGGATCAAAGCGATTGGCATGTGGGATACTGTCGGTACGCTAGGCATCCCTCCTGCGCCGGTCATTGGCCTTCGAGGGTCATCCTACCAATAAGGTGCCTCATGTTCTCTTATTTCCACGCATACTGGCTGACCTTCATGTCACGTAGACAATGTTTTTCACGCTGTCGCTCTCGATGAACCAGAATACGCGCTTAGACCAAACATTTGGGAGAGAACAGACAGCAATAAGACGAATCTCAGGCAAGTTTGTTTCTCCGGCAGTCATGGAGCCGTAGGAGACCTTTGGCATGATCAGCAAATAGCAAAAGTTTCTCTGGCTTGTACGCTTCTGACTGAGTACTTGGTATGTATGAGATGCGGCTCAAGATGACTTTTCCAGGGATTTGTGACCAGATCTTCACGATGGGCGTTTAATTCAACCCAGGTCGTATGGAGGACATCTTCAGTCAAGGTCTGCGATACCCTGTCGGTCACACGTACTCTCTTGTTTCTCGGGGCTCTTGGATAACATGGCTCTCCCCCAAACCGCATGTGCCGTGGGCCAACTCCGAGATCTGCTCCGTCAAAACATCCAGCTCCAATCGGGGTACGTCTGAAAGCTGAAAGCGATAACAATAAGTCACACCCGGCCGGCAATGAAGAAAGCTCTGGAAAGGTGCTTGTCCGTGGGGACTAGGCTCAATGCGTAACCCCATGACTTCCATGCAGAGCTTAGGTGGAACCACAGTCCGAAACCCTGGGACCTTCACACGTACTGACTAAGACATGAACGAGGAGACCGGCCAGCTTCTGCTGAATACAACGAGCGTATTCGCAGTAGCGTTCAAGTTCGCCTAGCCTGTCAAGACTTTGCTATGGACGATATGGAGACTTGGGGCTGTAAGCCCCTTACTCGGGCGGCGGGCGGCAGTGAGCTCTGGAAGCTAAGGCGCGGGACTAGGCTTAGTGCCGCGGAACTCAATCAGATCAAAGACTTCAGACCCAGGAAGTTGGATCTTGGGACGGGAGAGTACGGCCGAAAACTCTATTCGGTTGGGAACAACCAAGGCCAATGGAAGTGGTTACTCTCTGACAAGCAGTTTGGAATTGTGTCTCATGCAAAGGTCTTGCCAGAGGAACCCATGGCGGGTTACTGGGAACGGTATCTTCTGGTCCTGACAGCGGGAAACCCCGATGCGTGGAGTTGGGCAGAGGAGAAACCTCCCTTGGACACTGTCTAAGGCGTGATCTAAGGCTAGGTTAATCTAGGTCATCTTGTCTCAGTCAGTAGCGCATGAGAGGCGCAGCCGCGGGCTTAGCTAGGATCTAAGTTGACGGATATGGTTGAACGTCCTGAAGATCTTCGTTGACTCCCAAAGGACGGCAAGCCAAACAGTTTTCTCCTGAGTGATCGGCATTCCAGATGATTCTTGCCACGTTCAAATTCACGTTCTCGCAACGTGCAACTGCGCGTGACAGCCTGCGAACAGGCAAGCATGCCTCACACCACAACAAGTCGACGAGACAACTAAACCCCCATCACTCGGTGTCATCAAAATCTTTCTGATACTGGGCTTTGAGATGTTGAAGATATTTCCCATGGTGAAATCTGCCATTCTTCTGATATCAGAATCCGAGATACCTGCAATGCTCAGATGGCTGCATGCAACCATGGCTCTTCACTTCCGTCATACCCAAGCCACTGGAATGAGCCTCGCCATGCACTAACGGGCTTTACCGCCGGGCTGTAGAAAACGAATGGAAGCAATGTCTCACATGCAAGCTCTAGATTGGTGAGTTGGCTACCAGGCTAACGGCTTTGTGTGACCGTGGCGGGCTCCTCCCGTCCGGGCTGCCAGCCATCTTTACGACCAGGCCCGGCCGTCCGGGAAGACCTGTTTTTAGGCTCAAAGACAGTCAAGCTTTCAGCTTCAGCCATGTCAGTCGGCAGTAGAACAACGCTGCGGTTCTGAAGTTGTGATCACGTCAAGCTCAGTTCGAGACAGTGACTGCATTCGGCGATGGAGATGTTGTTCAAAGAGAACATGTCGATATCACGGAAGAGCTGATGAAGAGCTGAATATATAACTCATGTCGTATTCCATCTTCAGAACCTATTCTTCACCAGCAACAACACAGCTCAGGTCTTCAATCCAGCTCTTAATCTAATCTCTTAATTAATACCTAATCATCTTACTTACTTCCTCCTCACTTAATCTTAATCAACTCCTCCTTTAATATCTTCACTCCCCTTCAAATATCATCAAGATGTCTCCGATTCGCAGCTTCACCGCCCTTGCCTTGGCCCTTGGCGCTGCAGCCGCCCCAGCGGCTGTGGAACTTCCCAAGCTCGACGTCTCTGCCGGGCCTATTCATGTCTCGGCCGACGCACTCACCTCGAGCATCCTGCCGGCCGCCGGCACCCAGCTCCGCCGCGAGGCGGCTTTGGGCGAACTCCCGAACCCGCCCGCCGCCAATCTTCCTAGCTTCGAGCCGCCCAACTTCAACCTCCCAAAGGTCCCGTCCGCCGATCCTCCCGCTCTCCCTGAGATTCCTCAGATCAAGCCGGAGGCCCCAACCGTGTCTCCTATCAGCTTCAAGCCAGAGCCTGTCCAAGCCTCGGTGAAGGACATCAAAGTACCGCGTGTCATTGCTCCTACTGGACTTCCTGTTCAGCTCAACACTGAGAGCATCGCCGTCTCCTTCAGCACTCCTGTGGCGGTCCCTGGCATTGTTGTGCCTGAGCTGCAACCGCGGGAGACCGCACTTCCGATTGATGCCGCTCAGATCGATGCCCCGAGAGGTCCGCTCCCTACTGTTAGCGTCAAGCAATTCTCGGCTAGTATTCCCGCTGTCTCTGTCACCATTCCGTCTGTCGCGGACATCAACCCCGGAGTTCCAAAGTTGCCCCGCCGCAACATCAAACTCCCAGCAGAGGTTGCGAGCCCTGCTGTTGATCTCCCGGCTCTGAGCAGCGTTCTCTCCATGTTGGGCGCTCTTGTCACAACTTCAGCCACCCAGCCCGAGGCTCGCGATGTTGTTGTCGCTCTACCTGCAGTCACTTCGATTGTCTCCGTCTTGGGCGATGTCAAGGCCGCTCTTCCCCGCGACGACAAGTTTGCTGCAGTCAGCTCCGTCGTCTCTGTTCTGGGAGAAGTCAAGGCTTCGTTGTTGCCGCGCAACCCGCTTGTCGAATCCCCTATCAAGGTTGAAGCTGCCAGCACGACTGTCGACATGGCTGCTCTCAACACCGTTATCGCCGTCTTGAACAAGCTCGCCAGCCCTGAAGTTCGTCGCGACGCTTTGGTCCCTGGAGCCGAGCTTCCCAGTGTTACCGTCGATCTCCCTATCGTCAGCTCTGCACTCTCTGTGTTGGGCAGTGTCGCATCTGCAGGCCTCTCCGTCAAGGCTGCCCGCGACCTCCCCGTTCCCAACGTTCTTAGCACCGGTGTCGCCATTGGCGCTGGCGTCAACGTTCTCCCCTTCACCGTCACCGTCCCGATTCCCGGTGCGCCTGTCCTTGGTCGCGCGACTCTCGAACTCCCTCTCACTACTTTGATCCCGGTCCTTTCTGTCAGCAAGTCTCTTGACATCCTTGCTCGCGACACTATCGAACTCCCTCTCACCACTCTGGTCCCAGTTCTTTCCAAGCCTGTTGACCTCCTCGCTCGCAACACCATCGAACTCCCTCTCACCACCTTGGTCCCGGTCCTTTCTGTTAGCAAGTCTCTTGACATCCTTGCTCGCGACACTATCGAACTCCCTCTTACGACCTTGGTCCCGACCCTTTCCAAGCCTGTTGACCTTCTCGCTCGCAACACCATCGAACTCCCTCTCACCACCTTGGTCCCGACCCTTTCCAAGCCTGTCGAGCTTCTGGCTCGCGACACCATCGAACTTCCTCTCACCACTCTGGTCCCGGTTCTTTCCAAGCCTGTTGATCTTCTCGCTCGCGACACCATTGAGCTCTCTTTCACGACCTTAGTTCCAACCCTTTCTAAGCCTATTGATCTTCTCGCTCGCGACACCATCGAACTCCCTCTCACCACCTTGGTCCCAACCCTTTCCAAGCCTATTGAACTCCTTCCTCGCGATACGCTCGAACTTCCTTTGACTACCTTGGTCCCGGCCCTTTCCAAGTCCGTCGACATCGTTCCTCGCGCGACTATCGAACTCCCTCTTACCACTCAGTCTCTTAGCATCCTTCCTGCTGAGACCAAGATTCCTGAGTTGCCGACCGTTCCCCAGTAAACGATCAAGAAGATGTGCGATGCAAAAAGGAGCAGATGGGGGGGTGGCTTGGCTGGCCGACGGACTCCACACAGAGACTGGAACAAGGAGGGCCGCAGTAACAGAAACTAGTAGGATCGACGCTTAACGACAATTAGCTAATTAGCGGAGGAAATAATAGGGAATTGACAAGATGTTAAAACTATAAAAGAGCCCCTGAGGCATGAATCTATTAATTGGCCAGAAGCTAATTGAAGACCATCATTGTTCTGAAAACATGCCAAGTCGCGCTGATCATTTTCGTCCGAACATCCCGCACTTTGATTACACATGACTCCAGGCAGAGGAGGTCTGTTCCCCATCTAAGATCGGCCGTCCGAGAGTCCGCCGTTCACGTTGGTTTAAGGTTAGCCCATCCTCGCGGTATTATTGGGGACGCCAACGGCGACGCCATTAATTACTTTCAAACAGCCAAGTGGCACTTGACTTGAATCGCTTCAAACTCAATGACTTACAAAGCTCTGTTGAGGCCATAAAGGTCGACGCTCTCCCGTCTTACTGATCCCACGAGTTGAGATGAGGCACCCAACTCCAGTCGTTCATTCGCTCCCTTTTTAAGCTGTCCAACTCAGTCAATCATTCCATTCATTCTTTTTCCTAAAGCAAACCACTGATCAAAATGGTCTACTTCCACTCATTCCTCATCGCTCTGGCCGCTGTCGGGGCCGCCGCCGCCCCGGCCCCGCAAGCTTCCGGCAACGCAGACGCCCCTTCGCAAGACCGATGCTCCGGCGTCACTTGTCCGGAAAACTCGTACTGCAAAGTTTTCGACTTTCATCTCGAAAAGCCCGTCGCTTGTCAAGCCAACGGCACGGTAGCTGAAGACTCTCAGACCTGTGGCAGCGTGGTCTGCCCTGTTGGTACAACATGCTGCAACTCGTCCTGTGGCGTGTGCACTGCGCCGGAACAATCTTGCTTGCAGTGGGTTTGCTGAGACAGTTACGGAATCCCGCCCGTATCAAATGGGCCAGAACATCATTGTTATGGGAGTCTGGGCGTTGGGGTGGCCTTCTTTCTCACGGCACCAATAAGGTCTACATCTCGGGATTGACGGCGCAGACAACTTCATGGGCATATCAAATATCGAATGTTGGGAAGAATATTACTTCAATTTGCATGTCAGCTCTTGTTTCGCGACTTGTCGGGCGCTTTCAATCTCTCCTAACTGGTATTAAGCCTGGCCTACGTTTTTCTCTATGCTCTGTGTCGTTTCAATTATGAGCTGGTGAGGTACGCGATGTCTCCAAAGCCTCACTAATAAACGCGTAGTTCAAAGGTTCAAGATTGACTTCTTCTCTCAAGGAAATGGTAGAAAACGTCTTTCTCTAGTTGCGAGACCTATTTCATGTCCACTCTCTCCGCCTAGTACGCTCGCATCCCGCTTCCACATTGACCAAACATACGCAACTACGGGCGAGTTTTGCTGAAAAGGGACAAACCCCCCACAACCCGCCCGTCATCTGAACGCAGCCGTCTGATGTTTAGACATGTGCTAAGCCTTGGTAATGGGGAACTCTGGTGTCTGGGTCATCCCTGTCTCGGCATAGTATCGTTCCCAGTGATTGACGAGCCTTCGCATCACTTCGGGCTCTTTTTCTGACACGTCGTTCATCTCGGCCGGGTCCTTCTCCACATCATACAGTTCCCAGTCGTCTTTTCCCCTGGGTTTGTTGAGCCAGACAGCCTTCCACTTTCCTTCGCGGATGGCCCGAAGACCAAAAAGTTCCCAGCCATGGACATGCACGTCTTCTCCGTGCACGGTTGAGTCGACTGCGGAGTAGTCCGAGGACGAGAGGTGGAAGACCCAGGATTTCCCACGGGGAACCACTACCTCGCGCCCTCTGAACGAGGTACCGGGATGTTGGATTTGTGCCATTTCGAGGATTGTGGGTAGGATGTCCATAACCGTCGTGAAGCGGTGCGTAATGGCCTCCTGTTTCGCCTGAAAAGGGGGATATCTGATGAGACATGGACACCGAATCCCACCCTCAGTAATCCAGCACTTGGATCCTCTAGATGGTGCCGTCGCTGCACAAGCCCATCGAGCTCCTGTTGTTTTGTTAGGCAACCACCCGGTATAATGCGAAACGATATTGATTTTACGTACCATACCAAGCGAATGAAGACTTCTCTCCAACATTGTTCAGGCTGTTGTCGTAATATTTCTGTATTACACCCGCAAATGTCGTCTCCCCGCCCATCATCTGAAGTCAACGTTAATGGCGCTATTTGATGGCTGGAACCCAGTTCATGGTAGTCTCACAGGAATCGCTTCTAGGGCAGCCCCTTCAGCGCCGTTGTCGGACATGAAGAGAACGAAAGTATTGTCCAGCTCGCCGGTTGACTTGAGGTATTCAATCACCCGACCGATGTTCTCGTCGATCAGTTCAACCATGGCAGCGAAGACTTCCATCTTCCTTGCCGACTCCTTTCGTTCAGAGTCCGTCAAGTCGTTCCACTCTTTGCCGAGGACCCCCGTGGGAGGAGCATGCTCGATACCTTTATCAACGAGGCCAAGCTCTACAAGTCGTTGCAACCGACGCTGGGTCAGAGCATCTGGACCGTCGTCATATTTCCCAGCTAGGTTGTGTTAGCCATCAGTCCTTGAAGAAACCAGTTGGCACGTACCATATTTCTCGACAACCTCTCTCGGCGCTTGCAGCGGCCAGTGAGGGGCAGTGAAGGGCAGGTAAGCAAAGAAAGGCTCTTCCTTCTCCTTGTCATCTCGCTCTTCTAAGAACTTGATCATTCGGTCAGTGAAATAACGAGTTGAGTAAAAGTCCTCCGGTAATTCAGTCCTGTGATTGATGAACTTGTCACCATCCATCCAGTGCCCCTCCGTGTTGAGACATGGGATCTGAAATTCATCATCATCGAGCTGAGGCTCATAGGCGTGATGATTTCCGGATCCTGGTAAGAAAGAAAAGCTTTTCGTGAAGCCGCGACTGCATGGTGCCAATTCCTTCGATAAACCGAGATGCCTGTCCAATTATTTCCTTCAGTATTCATTGTTACGCGTGCTTTGAGTTGATGTTATCCTCACCATTTTCCTGACATGATAGTCAAATACCCGTTGTCTTGGAGAATCTCTGACAGAGCAGCAACTCTCCAGTTCAAATAACCCTCGTAACCGGGCTTATTCTTAAAGAAGTCTCCAAAACGTGACATGTGTTCAGCCATCTGACCTTCAGCGGTGGGTTAGTATCACGTTCTTCTGGATGAATGACAATAGTGACATACCAAGCCCTGCGATGTGATTGTCTGTTCCGGAGAATAGCATGGATCGAGTAGGTGAGCATGCTGAAGCAGTATGAAAATTGGTCATGCGAATGCCGTCCTTCGCCAGTTTCTCAAGCACAGGTGTGTGGATTTCGCCGCCGTAGGGACCGACATCAGAGAAACCGAGGTCATCGGCCACGATAACCAAGAAATTCGGCCGCTTGTTTGACATGTTGAGAATTGATCGACTTCAAGTTGGGGGGTACAATGAGAAGTCAGACAGCTGGCCTTAAAACTTTTCTACGGGGTAGACACAAGATAGACGAGGTCAGCGAAGCAGCAGGGACATGAAGGCACCAGAAGATGTCGCAATGACTTTTTAAGTTGACGCAATCTCTACTAGATCTCATCTGGGATTCATTATCCTGTTTTTGAGGGGCTGAAACTGCAATCAAATGGATCCTGCGGGAACCGTTTCCAAACAACGGGAAAATAACATGTTTTCTCCCCGTGCTTCCCCGTCGACGACCGCACCGCTGGCCGTGTCTACCCCAGGATCGACATCCGCCGAGATCCGAGGGCGGGGAGACTAAGGGATTGTAACCGGTCGCACAGTCGGCAAGTGTCATGGCTGTCACGATGGAATGCCGTGATTGACTAAAAAAAATTACCAGGGAAGTTTTCTTCAACTCGATCATGTTGGGAATCAGCGAGAAGAATGTGAGACAGTGCGCCCAGCAAAACACCCCAAGCCAGAACTGATTTCCATCATCAACCTGACTCTCGGGAACCTGCCCGTGGGGAGTCCTATGCTTATGATTGTTTTTCTTTCAAGGTTATTCAATGCCTTCTTTCGTTGTTTTACGCAAGCGGCAATGCTGTGTCTCTAACAAAGACAGAAATTGACTGAAGAGAATGTGCGGCAACGGGGAAGAACGGGGAGACATGTCTACAAAATAAGCCGCTATTCGGTATTAGGTTTAGGCCAAGAAATGATGCAGACACTAGTGGAGACGCAGATCCATCACGAGGGCGGGATGCTTTGCGTACCCAGTCGCGACTCTGCACCACGAAGCTGGGTCAACTTCTCCGGGAACCAAGTTTCTCAATGTCGGCGACCGGCAAATCGTCAATTCGAGTCCCAATGGCGCAATTGAAACCCGGCAGCTTGCAAGAAGTGAACTCACCAGGATGATCGGTATAAAGCTAGCTCGGCCAACTGCTTCTCGAGGGTAAGAGTTGCGTGAGCCGGTAGACAACTAGATCAACAACAACGGCACCAGACTCGACAATCATGTTCGGCCATCTCAGTCTCAGACAGTCTTTCAACAAGACTTTGTTTTCCACGATCATGCTGATTGCGGTCTCGCAGTTCAACTTTGGTTTCGATCAGCAGGGGTTCAACACAACTCAGGCGATGAACGCATTCGAAAGACAATTTGGGTGGTACAACCCCACAAAGAACATATACTATCTCGAAAGCTGGTGGCTGTCGCTCTTTGCAGGTTTGCCTTACATTGGCTTCGGAATTGGTACCATATCCTCGAAGACGTCTAGGCTGAAGGAGACTGACAGGATGCAGGAATTCTGATCGGAAGCTCTGTCAGCAAACGATACGGCAGAAGAATGTGCATGTTCTCCATGAGTGTTTGGTCGTGCATTGCAACAACTGTCATCATGACTTCCAAGAACCGAGATCAAATCCTGGCAGCTCGCATTCTCGCCTACATCTACATCGGAATGGAATTAAGTGTCGTGCCAATTTTCCAATCAGAGATCACACCACAGCGCGCTCGCGGGTTTGTTGTTGGTACATATCAGTTGAGTCTTGCGGTAGGTTTCCAGCTGTGGTTGTCCGAGATTAATCACGTTCTGACAATATTAGATGGGCGGGTTGGTTGTTAATGCTGTCGCGCGAGGCACTGGCAGTCTGAACTCTTCAGCAGCGTACTTGATTCCGTATGGTCTGTTCTACATCGTGCCCATCATCGTTATTGCCGGGATCTGGTTCGTTCCCGAAGTAAGTCTCTTCTGGTTTGATGGCTTGATGCTGTACTACTAGCTAACCAGTGTTATCTGCAGTCGCCACGCTGGCTCGCCATGCAAGGCCGGAACGAAGAAGCCTTAGTCGCGCTCACCCGTCTCCGTCGAGGCAAATTCACAGAAACCCAAATCACCGAAGAAATGGAACATATTCGCGCCGGCATCGACCGCGAAGTAGAGAAGGGCACTTTCAAGGACATGTTTCGAGGAAAGCAGACGACGAAGCGTACCTTGTCAGTCATGGGCGTCAACTTCTTTCTGCAGGCGACCGGTTCAATCTTTGCCAGTGTCTACGGCGCCATCTTCGTCAAACAATTGGGATTCATCAACCCGTTTACGGTCACGATAATTACTTCGGTCATCAACATCTTCATGTGTCTGGGCTCCATGGTCCTCCTCGATAAGATGGGACGAAGGTAAAGTTTCTTCATCCCCGCAGGGATTCTCTCAGACATTTCTATGACCGATTGGCTGACGCGAGCATCTGCAACGCAGGAATGTCATCTTCTTCGGCGGATCGATTCAGATGGCCGGGCTTTTCGCCATGGGAGGCCTCGGACTGACTTCAAACCCGAGCGTCCCCGTAAAATCCGCCATCGTCGCGATGATGGTCGTGATGACTGCTGGCTTCACCCTGGGATGGGCACCCACATCGCACGTTCTCTCAGCCGAGATACCGAGCATGCGTCTTCGTGACATTACGTACCGTACTGCCAGTGTCTTCAACATTGCGATGCAGTTCACGATCGCGTTCTCAATGCCGTATCTGCTAAACCCGCCGTATGCTAATTTGGGATCCAAGGTTGGTCTGATCTTCGGCAGTATAGCGTTTCTGTCTCTCATATTTGTCTACCTCTGCGTTCCGGAGTGCAAGGGCCGCACATTAGAGGAAATCGACATGCTTTTTGACATGAAGGTTCCAATGAGGAGTTTCCAGAAGATTGATCTGTCAGAAACACTTGTCCACGTCACCGGTCGGAAAGAGGATGAGGAGACTGCCTCAGAGGTGGCAGTGGGAATCCGGGCCGGAGGGAAAGTGTAAGCACTGGGAAAGCTTGGGAGGATTTAACCAGAGTGAGAAACTGAAATATTATCATTGAGATTTATTCACAACAATGAGCATATCACAATCGTCTTCAAGATAAAGTTGAGTACAGCGTCTATCCAATAATAATTAACCTAAGCGAGACAAAGATATAGTATACACGTTGCAAGCCAGATCCAAATACCAAAGGAGTGACGCTTTCCTACATACTCCACCAAAACACAACCGTTACATCATGAAGAAATACAAACTACCGTGTCATTAACCATCCTCCACATTTACCGGGTGTATCGCAGCGCACTATTCTTCGCAAATCATCCATTCATGCAATATGTATTTTCAAACGCTTGTGGCAAAGATCCAGCCAGGCAAGTCATTTAAAGCATGAAGGCGCCGAGGGCGAAAGCGCCAGCAACGGCAAGACCAGCAGCGCCGAGGACGCTGTTGCTGCCAGGGGCAACAACACCGGCGGCGGCGTTGGGGGAGCCAGTCTCGCGGCCACCACCGATGGTGGAGGTAGCGATGGAAGGGAAGCCACCGCCGTTGGAGGTCAGGAAGGTGGTGGTGATGGCACGGTCGGTGGTGCGGCTGCTGCGCTCGGAGGTAGGAGCGGGAGTGGCACCGCCGCCGATGGTGGTGGTCAGCTGAGAGCTGGCAGTCAGACGGGTGGCCAAGACGATGATGGTGTTGGCAGCGGAGGTAGCAGAAGAGGCGTAGGAAGTGGACTGGAAGCCACACTGGTTCATGATGCTGTTGATACCTGTAATCCTGTGGTTAGAGGCGATGAGATTGTTGACAAGAACCGGAGAACTCACCCTCGAGGCTGCGCTGCTGGTCGCTGGCAACCTTCTGGCTCATGCAGCTGGCGCACTCGGCAGCGAGGTTCTTGACATCGAAGGAGGTGTTGGTGCAGACACACTGAGCGTCGAGCTCATCCTGAAGCTGATCGCTGTTGTTGTTGGTCTGGCCGGGGATGAAGTTGACAGTGCAGATGTTGCCAAGGTCACGGATGGGACGGCAGACAGCAGTGCAGTCGTTGGGGATGTCGTTGGTGTTGAGGCGGAGGTCGGCGTTGACAACCGCGACGGCGGCGGAGAGGGCAAGAACCTTGTACTGCATTTTGAAGGTTGGGGGGGTTGTTGATGAGATAGAGAAGTTGGTAGTCGAAAAGTTGAGAGAGAGCTGAGCGAGCGTTACAATGAGCCGAGGCTGCTAAGAGTTGTAAAAGGGCGAGAGACTAGCTGTCGAAAGCGAAGTGAAGCTGGAAGATGATGATCCGATGAGGTGAGAGAGAGAGATGTAAGAGACGGGATCGTGATAGGATATTTATGTCTTGGAGTCAACCATTCATGCCCTGCGTGAACGGTATTGCTCCCTCGGTGCTGACCCGGAGATCCGCTTCGGCATCACACGGTAGGCCCCTAGGCGTCGAAACAACCGGCAGCTTGTGCCATGACAAGACGAAGAGTGGCACTGATGGAAGCAGGAAGGGAGATGGACTGGAGAGAGACGGCCATTCGGCCACGAGCAGGGCTGTGGTGGGCATTGCCAAGCTGCATTGCAGAGTCCCCGAGCAGTCCAAGCCTCATACCCGTGTGCTCAGTGACGCTATCGGTATCCCGACTTTGTCAGCCCAAGGGAGAATAGTGGCTCGTTCCTGATCAGAGTGAACGTACCTCTGTCGTGTTCTAGGCGCAGCGCGCAGCGCATCGCAGGGTGGCCAAAGAGCCCTGCAGGTCGAAGGCAGCATACGTCGAAGCATAACATCGTGAAACGCCTCTTTCGACTGACACCCGTGCTTGCTGCCTCTGTTTTCCCACGTGAATCGGTATACACTAGTGCCGTTGCTCAAACCTTGTTCTTAGTGTGCCCCGGTAGTCTATCTCAGATGTACACACGGCGAGGCGATTGGGCTTCTTCATCCATCCAGTGTATGAAGAATGAAATGAGATACAGGTTGACTCGGCGCACGGCAGGTCTTTGCGAGAAATTTCCTTGGTGGCCGTATTTCTCATCCCACATCTATCCTCTCCAGGGGCCGATTTTGCCGCAGTACTTCATGGTAACGTCTGGTGTAGTCTCTATTACCATAGTCGATGTAAGTTCCACATCGGGATCCTGCATGTTTAAAAAAAAGGAACGCGATATTTCAAGGGTTGGGAAGGATGCTCCGTTACCATGGAGAATATCTGACCAGCGAAGGCACAGATTGCGTGTCGGTAGCCGCGACCGCTTCTAGTTCAGTTCACATCCTGCTCCTAGAGCGAACCTTTCCGCTCCAAGGTTGCGGGAAATGACGCCGGACAGCTGCCAACGGTCAACTCTGTTCATGGCCACCCTCCCTTGCCTCCAAACATTCGGTCTCTCGTGGTAACGAGAGGGTTGGGCCACCACTCTCCCTCGGCATTACTTTTGCTAAGCTCAGGCGGGAGCGGCGAGCCTTAGATGGGCATGGCGCTAACTGAAGCCCGCCCCTCCTCTTTTCCAACCTCCAAATTGATCCTGGATGTCCTCCATGCGGCTCTCGGGCCTCCCTCATTGTACCGACGATCTCCCCGTAGTAAACTGTCGTGTTTCACCTCCGGCCGGAGGACCGGACCGTGCGCGGGAGAGCGAGTTGTTGGTTCTTTGCACCTCGTTTGAATGCTGAGGTTCCCCATCGTCCGTTAAAAGGCCCATGTATCACTCGGCTATTTTGAGTCCCATAGCCTGTGCCACGCCGAATGCCGTCTTACCGTTGCTGATTTAGTGATCCAAGGGCTTTCTCTAGATCTGTGGCAACCGTTGGGAGATGGAAGACAGTGGCGGCATGGCCTTCGCTGCTCTAGGCTAGTCTGAACCCCTCAGAAACAAAAACAGGCTGTGCTTGAATACATACTACGGTACAGCAGTGTGAACAGGGCTTTGCATCATTGAGTCCGACAAGAGAAATCATCGCGTATTGTCGCAAGTTGTCGCGAAACCGATAATCGCGAGGTGCATACGATATAGCACCAGGTCGGCGGCACCCTTTGTTGGGAACGAGATGCATTATGGCAGTGTACAGTTCTTGTATACATCACTAATCGTGACATTGAACATCACGCGAATTGGTCATTCGTCACCTTGGCAACTGCGAATGAGAAGTCCTGCGTGGACGCCACACCTTAAGCGCCAACCCTGAAGACGATTCGACCAAAGTTCTAGCTTCGTGCCACCAATTTGTCAAATCTCGGAGCCTCCATTTAAACGTGAAGGCCTTACGAGCGGATGGCCGGTCTCTAAACGAAGCTCCCGTGCTCACCATCCGTTACCCTCGTAATGTGGAACTAGAGTGAGGTTAGGCTGAGCACAACCATCGTCCTCTCTACCCCAGTATCACCACCCACTGGCCAGTTATTTGGGCAAAGTTGAGGGGACTCAGACACGGGTTTATGCCGTCGGGAAATATTCAAGCTGGGGCCAGGAACAGGCACACGCATGAGAAGCGGCGAGTTCATCCAAGGTTCGAGATCCCTCTGCCCCAAGCTTCCAGCCATCTCAAGTCCTTGGCTGGGATCGCGGGTAGCAACGCAAGAAAGTGGGCAGTTCCATGCGCCTGGTTCTTTCGCAGTACAGTTACCAGCTTCCGCAAATGCAAACGTCACCATCCTCGGAACCATCAGATGCCTCGCAAGCCGTGGCTGAGTGATTGCATAGAGGCAATAGTATGTACGTTTGTGACGTTGAAAAGCCCCAAACAGGAGTGTGCTCAAAGCTGATGCAAGAAAGCTTGGCACAGGACGAGGCGGGATATCCAGACATTTTCTCTGCGGCCTGCACCCCGCGTTTGAATATGAGAGGGGCAACATGGATATTTTGAGCCGAGAGGTTTGTCCCTCGTAGGAGATTCGCCAACGGGATTGCAGCTGTTGAGTCTCGCCACGCTCAGAGCTGGACCAAGTGCCAGTGCGTGTTCAGGATCACCAGACTAAGGACGACGAAAAGACTGCCCGCGTCTCTTTTTTCCTCTGACCGCGCGAACTAGCGGCCCGTGTGCCCGCCAACTAACCAACCGCCTCCGGGAGGCCAACCTCTAGGGAAAATCCTGCAAGGGGGGACGAGAGAGAAAGGGCTCGGTCTGCACCGAGATTGCTTGGCGGCGAAACATCAAATGTCAAGGCCGTCCGTGCTGCTGCTTCTGCAGGAACAAGCATCACATGCCCACCGGGTCCCCAATATGAGTGTTGTCATGGCGGCGGCGGTTTTTGCAAAGGGTTTTCTCGGAGCCAGAGGAGGAGAGGTCCGGCGATTCGCCTCCGGGTTTTCGGTGTAGATGGGGACGGCGGGTGGGCGTTTCTTCGGGGCAAAAAGAAGAAACGATAATGACGAGTGACGATTCGCATTCATCGTGGCTGGCGACTGAGCTGATGACTCTTTCTCGGGCGTCATCCAGGAAACAGAGAGCTGTTGCCGATGACATGAGTCTTGATGGGTCACGCGGCACCTGCAGACCGGAGGCTTCCTTCCAGGAAAGCGAAACTCCACCGTGAACATCATCCAGTCTCAAAATTCGCGCAGTGCTTCGCGCAGGTACGCAGGTGAGGAGCTTCTTAACATGGTCAGGCCGACGTCATCAGGACAACAACTCCGTCATTTCCTTGAAAGTAACAGATGAGTTTGCGACTGCAGCACAGCATGCGACAGGTGGACATATTGCGAGAAATGCGATGAATTATTCAATGTTATTGGCAAGCAAGTAAGCCACTCAAACTGCGACCGGAATCCCTTGGCAGGTACAGTTTCCCACCTCAATATCTGTCAACTGGCTAATGGAAATCCCATGTCTGCCAGGATTCCAGCCATTCGGATGCGACCTGCCTCTTCTGCATCCTCCATTGGTGCCGATGCAGCTGATGCGACGAGCCGCGGCGGGCAGATATGACTTTCGGAAGCACCCGGTGAGCTCAGGAAGCGGCCAATGGAGTACCCCGGGACGGAAGGAACGGGAATTGTGGGACGCTCTGTGGGCCGCGTCGGGGCGAGGGGCGGTGTTGTGGGGTTTGTCCCGGTGTTACTGTGAGGCGAGAGGTTCCATGTTAGCGGTGGAAAATAGTGTCCTCATTGCGGCGCAAAACTGGGAAATGAAGAGATCACCCATATGTACGTACGTTTGCTTGGAACCCTGGACCGCAGCGGTGGATGAGGTCGGCATGTTCAATGCTCGGCTGAAAGCCCGGCCGAATGCCACACCGAGTACGGGTGGCATCCGGTGAATCGGGATAAGTGGGCCTCTTGCGGATGGGTTTCCACTGATTGCCGAGTCAGACGGAGAACAGGAAAAGCTCGCGCGGTGTAAAGTCAAGAGCCTCGAAGACGTAATCTCAATGGGAGGTATGATGGGCATGAATGTAATTACTCCCGAGGATCGAGCCAACTAGAGACGGGGTGAGCTTTGTTCTTAAAGCTCGTCATCGGAAGCAACCCCACGCTTCCCTGGGGGAGATCTCGTGGAACACCACACCCAACTCGATCTGCGGAGGGAGCCTGGGCTAATAAAACGCATCCGCCAACGGCCAGAAGTGTTGATATGGGTTGCGAATTGCATAGACAATAAGGCCGGTGACGTGATGTCTCGTTCCAGACCATTGTCGTGGAAGCCATGTCAACTATCCATCGGAAAGATTCTTCGAGCCTGTGAACGGGTCGCGGACTGTTGAACATGGCAAAATCGATAAACATAACCTACAGAACCGTCTGACTTCACTCCGGCAAGGCGTCGGCGGGCGGGTAAAGCAGTCACCCGTTCCTTCAACTGTGGGAACCTGTTGGCGATCTGCAATTTTGAAGGGGCCTAGAACAGCTCGATTTCCTACACAGGATGTAAGAATATGGCGATGCAATGTGCGTCGCAACAGCTGACTCGAACCCCTGGCATTGAACCCTGATTGAGCAACCACGGCGACGTGTTTGCGGAACTGGCTCCGGCTCGCTGCATATGGGCACTGCAAACCCTAGCTGCCCCTGCCGGCCGAGTGAGACTAAAGACCCATCTAGATCTCGGCCCTTCTGGACTTTACCGCGCCCGGAGATGCGGGAAAACTTCAGTGCGTGACGTCACGGCTATTTCGCAGGAGAAAACGGAGCTGCGTCCGCGAGGAAAACGGACCCTGGGGTCGTGGATGGGTGTTAGGCAACCAGCCTTGGGGAGTGAGAAAGGTCCAGACCGTGATGGACCCCTGGGCATTCGCCAACTCGCGCCAACATGAGAGCGATTGGCCCCCGTAAGCTGGCCTCACTGCCCCGTTCATCGTGTCTGATGGGTTCGTCAAGCATCAGTCAATCGAGGGGAACATGACGTAGGCGGCTCGGGTCTGGTTTTCTGCTCGTTGCTATTGCCTCTGAATTAGAGGATCCGTTGGTCGGTGGATGAGGTCCGGCGTGCACCTGTGTTCTTGTCTCACAGGAAGAGAATACTCGAGATCAAGTCATGGGCCACAACCAAGGTTAGAAATCGGTATATTAATCTGCTATGAGCAAGTAAGCAAGTCAGCCAAAGTACGCTTCCAAAAGGACGGGAATTCCTGAGATTCCCATCCAATGCAGCCAATCTGCCATACACTCTGATCATGGCGGGACCCTGAACGCAGCCGTTCGGCTGTGCAAGGGGCCCATGGCACCCAACCCACCCTAACTCAGGGCAGATCGGCGTCAGCGTGCCTAACTAAGGCCAACCAAAATACCCGCCCCAGGCTCGTCTTTGGTATGGCAGCATTTGGCTGAAATGCTGGAACTCCGACCTCTCTCATCGCTCTGTCGTCTCCTCGTCTGCAAGTTAGACAACGAGACAGCTGACCGAAAACAAGACTTCTAGGACTGTTGAGAAAGTAACGCCGATATGTGCACGTCAGCCGATGACGTCATGCAGCAATGAAGCTGTCCTGCGGCGAATCTGCAGATCAAAAGACTGACGTGTGTTGGGCTGAAGAACCTGTGAAAAGCAATCAGCAGAGACGATGGCCCATGACGATGAATTGAAGCTCCGTAACCCGATCAGTCACCTCTCAAAATCCTGGGAGAACCCCTGGCAGATACTGTCCTTTCGTTGACCCAGACTTCTTTCACATGGGTCCCGAGTGCTTTTCCATTATGTATCAGCATTACTACTTGGTGTTTTTCTAGGGATTCGTTACTCGTGTCATGTCGTTGTGGTGCGCCAATGGATGTTATACACATGGTAGGAAAAGCAAAAGGACACCCCCACTATCCCAACCCTCGCTAGCAGACTCAACGTCGATGTCGCGTCTCGCCTGCCTCCCTTCTTACACGTCCGTGGACGGTGCGCTGCTGAAATCAAAGTCGTAGTGCATATTCTGTCCAAAGATGAAGGAAGCTTGAGTTCCCCAGGGCACTGGTAGAGGCGGAGTCGGAAGCGTCTCGGCCTCCATTGCTGGCCTAATTGTCGCACCACTCGGCAGTGGGATTCTACCCCGGCTAGCATCGTTCGGGCGCGATAACTTTCGTCTTTTGCTTTGGGACGTCTTCGCGGTCGAGTACGGGTTCGTCATCGAAATCTCTTCTCTATCGTAAACCCATTCGCAAGCCAGAACGCCAAACTTGACGGATTTTGGCCGCTTGTGGGTGCTGAGCTTGCTCTTGGTGGCGTATTGGACAAATCGTTTACGGACCCATGATATGGTGTCGAAGACTGAAGATTTGACTGTCCAGTCATCCGGATTTGCTTCGACAAATACCCTGTCCGCACTCCTGTATATCCGAGGGTCTATTTCTGTCATATTTGTCAGCTTGAAAAAGGGGGGCTTCTAATATGAAGGTTCGGATTACCTGATCTTGCCCTGCTCTTGTCGGGACATGTGGACGGCCAGGGCTTCTGCGCCACCACTGTTACTTGTCAGTGATGTGCTTTGGAATCCTTCATGACCGATCGACTTACCCATTTCTGTGTCCACGTCCATCATCTCGCAGTCCTCAGACTCGACAGGTCGAGGCTTGCGCAGGATCAAGTAGTCGACAAGGTAGAAAGCCTCGAGGTTTGGAAGGTGTCGAGCAATAAATTCATAGAGGTGGACGGGATGGACCCTCCTTCTAGAAGTGGAGTGGTAGTTTCCGCAGTGTGAACAGAGGTAGGTATTGCTGTCCGGATCCCACTGATGACAGTAAGTGACAGCAACTCGACGAATTTTGGCCAGTTCCTTGCAGCGAATGGGCAGCTTCAAGCGACCCCCTGTTTTGAATAGGGTTGGTGTCAAATACTCCAAGCAGACGACGTCGTTTGCGGGAGCAAAAGAGATGACACGGCCATTCTTGAACTTTACAACCCCCGGCAGGTTCGTAAGGCGTTTCATTACGTTGCGAGACTCGCTGCACGTGGCAGAAAGAATGCTCACTGTTCGGTTGACAGAAACGTAGTTCGATATGTCGGCTTGCGGGGTTGGATATCGAGGCTCCAAAGTAGCCTTCCTGAGCCTTAGCGGGACTCTTTCGTGGGAGAAGCTTGGTAAAGCATCGTTGTCGCTGTCGTCCTCGGCAACGTTGGCAAGTGCAACGTGCCCCGGGGGATATAACGGTTCGGCTTGACTGTGGAGACGGAGCCAATGCATCCCAGGCTGGAGAACGGCGGCCTCCCAGATCTGGTGCCTGATCTCGGGAGGCAGTCTCAGAAACGGCGTGAAAAATCGAGCGGAGTTTGGTATGTCGAACTTGATACCAAAAGACATTGTGCGAGGCGATGTGGGACAGGCGACTCCGTCCAAAGCCAGTAACAGATCGGCGACGTGGTTAAAATATGGTGGCTGACGATGCCTGGTATCGCGATGTTTCTGTCAAGGAGAGTCGACGACAGGTAGCCGGCCGACAAGCGAACGTCGACTTTTGAGGGGTGAACTGTGTGATTGCTCCGGCTAGCGGTGATACATCGACACGGCCGACTGTGGTGAATCAGGGACCTGATGATTCCTGATTGGGTGCACTGCGATCGGGATGAAAAGAAGAGAATGACGCCGGTAACTGATTGATGATGATGCGGTCGACAAGATTGACGGCGCGTTTGCCTTAATCAGATACTGGAGAGAGAGAGAAGAGAGTGGGAGATCGGTCGGCAAGTCGGGTGTTGTGTCTTGGGAAGCGAGGAAGTCAGGTCGGAGGACGTTGAAGGAAAGTTGCGGAAGGCGCGTCGGAGTTTATTCCGCAACGCGACTGCCTCATGTCAATTCCTTCTCAAGACTCCAATCAGTGAGATTTGGGCAGGAACGTTGGAGGCGCGCAATTGAACCGGATGAGGACCTCTCCAAAGTGAAAGGTGAAAGTGTGGCTGTCTGTTTAGCGTAATTTGCCACAAAAGCTACCAAGGTAGGGAAGGAACCACAAAGTGTCTCACTCACTCTTGAGATTTCATCAGGTTCTCAGTGAAATCTCATATGAGCCATACTCCTCATCTCAAAAGCTTGATCTCATTGTTGGCTTTGGTTGTTTTCGCTTCTACCTAGCGAAAGATAATGAGCGAGGACATCATCAATAAGATACATCCCTTCATAAACTGGAAATCCAAGCATTCGTTCATCTATCCTGATGTCACCGCCCTCTTTGCCGTATGGAAGACGTCCCGAAAATCATTGCCAATGGGCTCTTTGTTCCTTCTCGCTTCCTCCAACCCGCCTTTCCTGTAGCCACCCGGAAAGCACACCCACAAGATGAGAAGGACGATCAAAACTGCGAGGGCAATAGGCTGAAGGACCCAAACCCCTCGGCTGTTTGCTATCGCTCCGATCCCGAAAGGTATGATGGCGCCTCCAGCACCACCAAACGCTGCTGCGAATCCAATGACACTGACGTGGTTGTCGCTGGGTAGAAGCTTTGCGGCAGCAACGATGGCCGCGGGGAACAGCGGTCCGAGGAAGAATCCGAGAAGCATGACGAAGATGACCGACGCAACGAAACTGGGCACGAGCCAGTACAGCAGCTGCAAGACGATGGAGAGGAGTACATAAACTGCAATGGCCCTCTTCTCTCCGGCCCGGCCGGTGACGAACCCCAAGACGAGACGTCCTAACGTGAGGCCGAGCCAGAATAACACCGTCGTGATACCTGCGAGAAACGGCTCCGCATGCCGTACCCGCAGCATGAAAGTCACAATCCAACCGCCCAGAGCGACCTCTACCCCGACGTACGCGAGAAGGTAGAACGACAGCAGCCATGTGATTGGTTTGCGGATCACCGTCATTATCGATGTGCGGTCCGTGCCGTCCGTCGACGAAGGATGCTTGTCTCGGTGCACCTGTCCCGTGGCTCCCCAAAACGCCGTCGCCGTGAGGATGAAGGTGAAGCCCGTCATCGCGGTCATCACATAGTAGAAGGTATACCATTCCAGGTCTGCCTTCGTGACCATCGCCGACGCAATCAGGGGGCCGACTGTTGCTCCGAGACCATAAGCGCCGTGGAGGAAACCGAGAAGCTCGTTGGAGTTCTGCATGTTGCCAATCCAGGCGTTCCAGCCGCTGTCCTCGAGCCCGTTTCCATACCCAGCCACCAGTAGGGCGAAAGGTAGGACGGGATACGGCGGGTGCAGTGCTAGCGGAAGGAAACCGAGCGTTCTGCCGATTGGCCCGATGATGGCGATGCCGCGCTGACCTAGCGAGTTGTGGATGAAGTTGTTTGATAATGCGGCCACGATGTACCCGACAAAAGGTGCCAGGAATAGCAGGGACACGATCGTGTACGAAATGTCATAATACGTTTCGATCTAGGCCGTGTTAATCAAGCCGTCCGGAGAGTCTCCTGGTTTCCGAACACGTACATATGGAAGTAAAGCCTGTGGAGGGGTCAGCCAATTCCTTAGTTTGAGCAGGGGAAGGCAACTCACGCCAATAGCTCCGTCGTTCATTCCCATGACGATGAAGCTGTACAGAGTGGCGAGGTAGCGAAACGTGTTTACCCGGGTCCCGTTCCATTTTTCAAGGGCTGGCTCTTCTTCCTGACCATAGTTGACTTGTTGCTTTTCGTTCGCCTCCATCTAATAAAGGAGGAGCCGAGCCAGGTGATGGCAGTCGCTCGGAAGTCGAGAGTAGTAAAGGTGATGGTCTTCAGGTCTGAGAACCTGAGAGGAAGCGAGCTGGTCAAAATACCACCACAAAATGTTCATGTCGAGTTGTGTAATGTAGGGATATAATGAAGCGGAGAGAGAGCTCGAGGATCGACGGCCTCGTGAGGGGTTGCTGGTTGATGAGCTTGCCGGATTGGCTTGCCGGGCCCGCAATCGGGGGTCCGTACTCCCACACCACCACCACCACCCCGCCCGAAAGTCTGTCGACGTCGGGTACGATAACCTTTGGTGTAGTGCGACAAGCCGTGTTTTCGAGTTGGACTTGGTATTGCTGCCCGTGTCGTAGAACCTGAAGTATGCGGCACAAACTGCCGTACGGACTGCGCCGAACGAGACTCCCCCCGCGGAGTCCACGGTCCGGTGAAGCGGGGTCCGGAGCCGAGACGGAGCCGAAGTGGAGCGATCTCCGTCTTACCACAAACAGAGGACAGAAAGCCTCCGAACGCCCCCCGGGGAAAGCCTCCGAATTCTTCTGCTTACGGTTGTATTCATTTCTTTCTTGCGCCCCAACTGCGCGCGCCGTTGTTGAGGACAACGAGGAAACAAACAATCAAGATAACGAAAAAAACATGACGTTTGTCACCCATCCCAATCAAAAGCGGTCAGCGTGCGAACGATGCCGAAGACAGAAACTGCGGTGCTCTCGCCAAGACTCCGATCGCGACTCGCGCTGTTCGCGATGCTCCAGGCTGGGGTTTCCCTGCGTCAGCGGCCAGCAGCGGCGAATTGGCCGCCCGTCACGAGCTGAAGTCCAGAAGAGAACCTACGACTCTCCAAACGAACACCGGATTGAGGACGACTCCTTGGAGAGGTCGCCGACCGGACGTTGGGACGGCGGTGCTGCCATCACCCCCAGCGAGGTCCCGCTTGAAGAAGGCATGCTACCCGGGGAATTGGCACTCCTCGAGCCGACTGTTGGAGTCGGCGTGGATGAGACGGATGCCGAGGTCGATGTTGACTCTTTCTTTTGCGATTTTGTCTGGGATGAAACAGCGCTGGAACCCGAGGCCGTCGGTGAATGCACCGAGACATTGGGTTTCGAGGTCAGGCCAGTGCGAACAGTGAATCCCACCGCCCAGCACGAAGCGATGGCCAAGATATCCAAAATCAACCTCGACCTCCACTCCCACATCTCCAGGATCAACGCCCACCGAGAGAGCTTGGACCTATGCTCTTTCATTTACCCAAGCTCGGTATTGAGTGTTGCTAGTGTCACCGTCGTTGAGCTGGGACTCATCCTATTTCAAGACTTTGTCCACACCCTTTCATCCCTGGAGAAAACCGTCACTACGTCAGCCGCTTTTCCCGCGCTGCAAAGTCATCATGACCTTCCTCGCTTGCCTTGGGACAGCGAGGACGGAACACCAGCCACGCTCGACAGCTCCAACTTACAAGACAACAGCTCTTTAGCAGCTGCCGTGCATTGTCCTGAGTCGGCGATGACAGGTGTCGTAGACGCGCCTCTTGCGCTCACCATTACGAGTTGCTACGTCCAGATCATCACTCTCTTCGAACATATCTCCCGTCACATCCTCACAAGGCTCGAGTCCGTGTTCGACGTCCCTCTCACACCGATAGAGGGCCTCAAATTCGGCGCCATGTGGATCGCAGACGGTCACTTGCAGGGGCTGATGTTCGCCCAAATCATCACCAGTCTCTTCGACAAGGCAGATCGCCTGCTCGGTCTGGGGACACCCACGACGTCGACCATCCCTGCGTCGTCTCCAGGAGCACTACTGTCCGAGAAACAATCAGAATTACTGCGCGATCAGCTCAAGTCGACTGTATCAGGTGAACCTGTGTTGAGATCAGAGAAGCTCAAGAGGGATGCCGATTCGATGTTGAGGTGTCTTAGAAAGGCATCTGCTGCTTCTTGAAAGTTGGTGGACCGCGATGGGTTATTCCGGCATCCTGCAGCGTTTCGGGAGGGTACAACTCTAGAACTAGAGACCTTTCCACATTGCTTCTGATGACTATATGTTCCTATTCATTAGAGATAATGTCCACCGCCGATGCTTCGGTATAGATGCAGACTGGATACGTTGCCGGAGAGTTGCCATCATTCGTCCAGCAGCTATGTTGGATGTGTTGATGATTCGGGTTTCTTAAAACTGCAAATAATAGTCGAACATGCCTGCAAGCCCCCATATCTTACCGCGCATCTCATCATGTCAATCAATCACTCACGACCTGGGGTGGCCGGCTGCGCGGCATTCTTCATTACGAGTCTTCCACGCAAACACAGTGGCGCACACGGCAAGTCCATTCCGCGGCAGTCACTTCCGTGTGGCCTGCTCATAAGACCTCAAATGTGCTCAAAATGTCTCCACCTCCTCTCCCCTCGATCAAGTATATATCAGCCGGCTAGGGCGCATTCCTCCCGTGGAAAGTTTGTTTCTTGCTTTAGGCCTTCGCCTCAGACAGTTTGTTTCCCAAACGGCATTTGCGATATGTGTCGCCGACGCGGACGGGGATGAAGTCAGGTACCCATGTCACGAACTGGCCGCCGTACTCCCGCTGAACCGGACCGTCTTCCCGATAAGACGAGTCATTCAACAAGTTGGTTGCTTACTCGCACTTTCTGAGACTCTGGGCTCCCGAAAAGCTACCTTTAAACACAAATTGCTCACAGTCACAGGCGCGAAGAGACACAAGATTTGGTATGAACAGTTGATACATTGCAAAAGCTTGAAAACGCCCAGCAGCGAAAAAAGGTGCGCTGGACGTTATGAGGTCGGCTAAAAAAGGTGTGGGTGCTTGCAGCGATATATACACCGGGTATAAATCTATTTACATGGTTGAGAAACGAACAAGTGCTCATTCATAAGGGGGTGGTTTTCCTTCTTTTTCCATCGACTCGCAAGTGCGATTCGCCGCTTAGTGGCGGGCGTGGAAGAGGTCACGGGCGTGACGGCGGAGCTTCTTGGAGCAGCCGGCGTCCTCAGCAGCAGCGGAGGCAGAGGCGGTAGGGGCAGCGGAAGAAGTGCCGTTGGAGGGAGTGGCGGGGGTGGCACCAGAGCCGGAGCCGGAGCCAGAGCCAGAGCCGAACAGAGCAGGGCCGGGAGTCGTGTAGTCAATGGTGGCGGCGTAGGGGTTGAAGAGGATACCGGCGTCGGTGGACTTGTACAGGGCAGTGCCGAGGGTTCCCTCGGGGTTGGCGGTGCCGGAGCCGGTGATCTCGACGTTGACGCACTGGGGGTAGTTCTGGGCACCGTTCTCAGAGCCAGCACCGTGCAGAGCAATGATCTCGTGGCGGAGGACGTAGTTGCCAGCGATCAAGTCGGAGGGGATGGTGGCGGTCCACTTGTTGCCGTCCGCGATGAGCTTAGCAGCAGCCCACTGCTTCTTGTCCGCGTCGTAGCCGTCCTCCTGGATCTTGACCCACTTGAGGGTGGCGGGGTCGGCCGAGGTGCACTCGCCGTCGCACTTGGCGGCGTAGGTCAGGACGGGGCCGATGTGAGACTCGGGCCAGGCAGACCAGAGGAAGTCAACCTTACCGCCAGCAGCGATCTTGGCGGAAGTGGCACCGGGAGCAGCGTTCTTGTGGCAGTTGATGTCGACGGTGCCGTAAGCATCGGGGGCAATGAAGCCGTTGTCGAGGTTCTCGGCGGACCAGGCGGGGATGCTCGGGGGAGTGCCGCCGTTCTTCTTGAGGTAGTAGTAATCAAGCTTGTAGCCTGGCTCCGCGACGCCAGCGAAGGTGAAGTTGGTGACGGTGCCGTGGGCGAGGACAGAGGTGGCGAAAGCGCCAACAAGGGCGATGGTGTTCTTGACGGAAGGCATGGTGGATGAAGGAAGGTTGATTCCTAAAAGGAGGTTTGGTTGAAAGTGAATGAATGAGCTTGTTCGTGGATGTAAGAGTTGGCAAAAGAATGTCCCAGCTTCACACAGTGAAGAACTGACGGTTGGATGATGGAAAAGAATGAAGGTGGTAAGAACCAAAGAGTGTGCGACCTTGCAATGTTGGATGCTGAACAAGAAAGAAAGACGGAAATGTGAGGGCGTCGTCGCTGTATTTATCCCACCGGCCAGCATAGAGAGGAATAGAGAAGGGCACCCCTTTCCACGTCCTATCTGCCGTCTACCGTCTGCCAAGATAGACTCGCGCAGACACCGATAGCTGAGCCGCCCTCACCCTGGAGGAGAAGCAGGTGGAGTGGAAGAAACTTCATATGACCGAAACACCAATATGCAAACCGGAGTGGTGGAATTTTGGGGGGTGGCACCCGGTCGAGGCCGGGGGGCCATCGCCGTCGTCGGATGTGCTCCGATTTGGAAGAGCGGCCGGTCTTGGAAAGATGAGATGGATTGATCCACTGCGCTGCGGCGTGGCGCCCAGCTCCAGCTGCCAGCGTGGGCCGTGGATCGTGGCAGCGTCGTCGTCGTCGTCGATTCCGGTTGCTCAGCCGTCATGGCAAGGGGAAGGTCGAGGATCAATGATCTGGCCCAGGGGCTTCAGCCGGGATCGTTGGCCGGGATGATGCGGCACAGGGAAGGTGACGGCCACGATGGAGTCGTTGGCTCGGCTGGACTTGAAAGAAGACATTGACCAGCATGACTTTTGCCCAGAAACGGTGCCTGGCAATAGGCAGGGGGATCCCGTATGATGGTCGACAGCCAAAGTCGCAGACCGCCCTGGCCTCGCAGGGCATGGGCTGGCCATTAGCGAGGCTTGAAAGAGTTGCTGATTGATACCTTACTGCGTATTCGTAGAGTCAGTCGAATGATGCCTCTGGTTCATGACTTGCAGACTTGCCGTTTACGGCAGAGCACAGGACATACCGGAATCTCAGACGTAGCGTCGGCCATGAAACAGACCCTCCCGGCGCCCTTAATAAGGCAAGGTAGATCATAAGAAGATGTGCGTCGGGTGTGGTTCGTGCTCCACTCAGAGCCGCCGGCCAGTGCGTGATTGATCGGATTCGGTAGCCAGAGACCGAGGAAGTATGCGAATATGCATATCCCCGTATTCTCATCATTCTGTCGTTAGCGCCCTCGCCTTCATATCATACCGTGCAATTATCGATGGCGCCGGCGTTGAATTTAGAAGCCATTCACTTCTTCTTGATTGCGGCCAGCGAAATAAACCCCAAAAGGGAAGAGAATCCGCCGGGGGAAACCCGCGATCAGGATTAAGGTGTGGTTCCTGGCGCCATTAACCCCTGGATTATTGCTCCACACCTTTATCACCCACGTTTTCCTTACGAAGGAACTGATTTTTCTTCTTCTTCTCCTTTCCACGGGACCCAGCATCGACGTGATCTCGTTTGGGGCGCCTCCCTGCGACGATCTCATAGTCGAGATGAACGCAACGGTTCGACAGCCGCCAGACCGGTTCTTTTTCATGCGCCCAGACTTTGCCAATTGTGCTTTCATCTCATTGTGCCGAACGCCTCGTCCGAGGGCACTCTCGATGAAACGTCCCTGCATACCCGTCACCTACCGTCTGACAACAGTCAGCACCTCATTGAATCATTCGCATTCATCACCCAGCCGCCGCCTCAGGCGCTGACAGCCTGACCCTTCGGGCTTCCCCCTCTTCCCGTGATTCTCAAGCCCGCCTCCTGAGACTCCTGCAGCATGAACCACATTGCTTCGGCGCGAAATCCTTGGAGGGAATGCATTTGCCAGGGCTGTCGTCGCTAGACTTCCCCAGCTCCACGAATCGCGACCCAAACCTCAACCATTCTAGGTTAGCTCTTGTTTTGGATAAACTTCTACTGTCGTCAAGACTTCCCCAGCAGCGATGCTGGCGGTTGCACTCTGCAGAGACCATCCCACTTGCTGACGTTTAATGTGACGGCGGCGGCAACGAGCATGCCCTAGAAGTCATCAAGGCGGCAATGAGCATGGCCTAGAACCTCCAGCGAACGTCTTTGCTCGGCTGGGAAGCCGGTGTATCACGGCAGATGAATCGCATCACGTTTCTCTCCTCCTGACGTTCCGTCAAGGACCGACGCTCATTGTGACAACACTCAATTGGTGGTAGTCTGAGGACGCGCTCGGCGACACGCCGACTGAAATTTTCTAGACAAAATCTTGGATAGCTTCCCAGAATGCCGCAGGGGATTCCCACATTGGGAGATGGCCGGCGTTTGGGACAATCTTCAACTCGACGCCCTTCTCTCCGACCAGGCCCTTGAATCCGTCCATCGCCTTCACGAGGGCGCCTTTGCCGTCACCGTCTCCGACGACCAACAAGCCGGGCACTCTGCACGAGCCCAACGCCGGCTTCAGATCGTAGTCCCACAGAGCCTGGCAGCTGTACTCGAAACCGGTCACGTCGTTGGCAGCCACCATCTGCGTCATCGACTTGACGACGTCTTCCTTCTCCATTGTCGCCGGGTGGAACCAACGACCTACCGTTTGCTGCGCCAGCTTGGCAATACCGGCCCCGTCGTCTTCCTGCGCGACCGCGATGCGATCCTTCCACGCCTGGGTGTTGGCAGCGCTCGAAGTGGCATTGAAGTCACAGGCGATGAACTTTTCCAGCCGATCGGAATACTTCAGAGCAAAGTTTGTGGTGGTGGCACCTCCCATCGACACACCGATGAGGGCATGCAGCTTAGGGATACGCAGAGCGTCTAGGACGGTGCGCAGATCAGAAGCCAACAAGTCGAGCGTGGCCGGGACAGGCGGGCTGGGGATTGAGTGTCTACCACGGGTGTCGTATCGTAGAATGCGGAGATCCGGGCGCTTCTGCTTCAAGATATCGACAACGGGATCCCACATGTGCAGCGACGTCAACAAGGAGTTGCAGAAGGCCACAGTTGGTGCTTCGGGGGACGGGTTGCCCTCGAGCCTGTAGGGAATAGAGAGGCTGTCCTCTGCTGTGATGTAAGAGCTGATGGCCTCATTCTCACCTGGCGTCGTCTTGGTCTTGCCATCGGGCGACGTCCAGCTAGCGGTAGAGGCAGGCAACTTGGCCAGGTTGTGCAGGTCGCGGGGTGCGGGGCCAAAGACGTAGAAGAGAGAGTAGGTACGGCGATTCATGGCCTTGACGTGCTTGGCGATGCCGGCAGCGCGTGGTGTAGCGGTAGAGGCCTTGTGCTCAGGGCCTCCCAGACCGTTCTCTCGCGCATAATCGTGGAGGACGAAGAAGGTGGACTTGGCGCCAGCACCGTCTCCGAGACTGGAGATCTTGAAGACTCTCGTCCTCAGCCAGCCGAGCACCTTGGACAACATGTCGATGTGCTCCTCCTCGTACCACTTCTTGAAGTCCGCCTCTGCGGTCTCGTCGTTGAGGGTGGTCTCAATGGCCACCAACTCGAGCCCCTCGGCCTCTTTATCAGAGAGCTGCTCAATTGGGCGAAATGAGGGTGCGTGACGCTCAATGACCAAGTCAAAGAAGTATCTCGTGACATCGACCTGGCCGATGGTTTCGGCCTCGCGCGAAGATCGGTTTGCTCGGAGGGTTGTGTAGGTTGGCGTCTCCAAATGAGACATGGAGGTGACGTCGTAGCTGGCGAGGAAGGTCGGCTCCTTACCGTCGTTGGCGCGGTATCGCAGGCCGTTGGTGAAGATTTGGGGGAGACGCAAGCGAGTCGGGCCGTGCTCGTTATTGTACCACTCGTGGAACTGCTCGAGAGCCAGATCTGGCTTCGGCTGCATAGTAACGTAGAGCATGCCAGGGGTCGCCATCGTTTCTCGGTGTCTTGGGAGTAGATGTTGGGCTTCAATTGAGGTTTTCTCGGCGATCACAAGTCGTCTTCGGGGGAGAAGAGAAAAAGTCGTCAAAAGATTATGCTCAAAAGTCTTCAGCGCGACTTCGGTGGTGTTGTTGCCGGCAGGGCGGGGCAGATGACGAACGCGGGGTCGAATTGGGGGAGGGTCGGCAGCTTCGGGATGGTGGCACTGCACTCTCGTGCGAGTCAAACAGCACCTAACGATAAGGTAAGGTAGCTTGACTTGGTCAACTTTCGGCGTAGATGTGGGGAGAGATCAACAAGTTGATTGAGCTGTCACTGCGGGTGTCGTTCCTCGCGGAGCTTTGGCGGAGGAGGGACATGGTGCTTCGGCGTCGTCGAGATAAATAATCGGAGAGCGGCGGAAAAGTGTTCAGCCAGAGCGTTTGGGGTCTGCCGTCTCGATTGATGATTCTTCCTGGTAGTGGTGGGCGAAGCGATGTCGCTCACGTCGAGTTCTATGCGAGAGTTCTCGTTGAAAATCGGTCACATGAGAAATAAGACCAGTTTGATTCGGCTACCTACCTAGGTATTGGGTATTTGGTGATGTCTTGTGTTTTTCTAACAAAAGAAACTCAGGCCATGGATCGAGTTGACTGAGGTAAAGTACGAAGGTGGTTGAGAAGTAAGTTCTATTGGGCTGATCGCTCCTGCGCCAAACGTTGCAGACTCCTTTGATCCTTTGCCTTACCTAATATTGATACATGAGGCACGCGCTTACTCAGACAAGAGAGTGATTCCATCCTGAGCCGTCGTGGCAGGTGCATCACGACCTCGAGGTTCGGTTCCTGCCTCATCTTCAATTCGCGTCGCCGACGCGGGGTACCACACCTCAGGCGTCAAGATCCACCCAAGTTATTTTCGCCAATCAGATCGACACGCTGCTGTAGGAGGCCGTTGCATGATTGGCCAATCACATACCTCCCACCAGTGGGTCAGAGCTAGCCCTGGCCCCGCCTTGAACCCCACGGTGCCGTACCTAGTCCATTTCAGGCTCCCTAGCAAAATCCCAATCGGCAGGGACGACGTCGACTTCGACATGGGCACTTTCCTCGCTAATCGAAGACCAACCATTCCATTCCTCAGAGCTCCCGTCGCGTCTAGGTCGTGAAGCTCCCCTCCCCCACGTCAGGCCGCCAACTGCCACCCGTGGACACCACCTGCACCCGCGCTCGAGGTGGCTCAGCCTTCCGGGCTGCCTTGCATTGCAGACACTGGACCCGACCAACAAGGTTATTGTTTGCTTCAATTTCGGTCGTTATATTCAACTGCCCCGGGCTGCCTACCTGTTTGCCAAACCCCGCTTCACCGCTCCTTTCGCATCCTCGAGGAAGGCCTCTGTTCAAGTACTTCCATCCAGACGCTTGATCACCATCCCCACCCTCAGATGCCATTCTCACAGGTATGATAAGTCTTTTCATCAAGTCGGGAATGCTATCATCTACAAACACACAAAGACTGACAACTTGCTCATTAAGCCTGGCCAAGTCTCTTATTGCCTTCCTGACTGATCGATTCATTGATGTTGTCATCTAATGTCACGCGCTGTTGCTTCTCAACTCACATAATAACAAGCCTCACCTGCGTTGGCCGTTGGTTACAGCGCATCGTCGGTCATAGGCAACTTTGCTGGCCTGATTCTTCCCTTTCCTTGGCTACTCCTCTTTTCCCTTCAAGTCGCCTCAGCTTGCTCTCGTCCGACCACTGCACGACTTCTTCAACCGAGAAATGTTTCCCGGCCATAGCAAGCCTGTTGTTGTCTAGGCCCATCTTCGCCAGTCGAAAGACATATCCTGTAGCTCGCCATCATGGAGGTCTTCCTGTCCAACGTTCCCCAGCAGCTGACGGATCGTACGCTGGAGAAACAATTGAGACCGCACATGAACGCCCTGGGCTTGACTGCTTGGACTTGCTCTACCAGATCCAATAAGAATGTCGGTTGGATAACCTTCTTGTACGAGAGAGATGGCGCTGCCTTTCTACGGCGCCATGGGAAGCAGCCCTTGCCGGGCTCAACAAATACGCATCCTCACCAACCCCAAGACAGTCGCCACTTCCCGACCAGAAACAAAAAAGGCCCAAAGGAAAAGGCAAATCTTCATCTGATGGGCGTTCCCGTCTTCGTCGCAAGAGCCAATAAAGCACCAGACCCCTTCATGATCAAAAGTATCCGCCATCGCCTCGAGGAGCAGGTCAAACAAGCGCCCATCGTCGACGAAGCTATTGTCTTCCCGGCAAGGCATCTCGCCTGTGGTCACAACTCTTTTCGAAACGAGGCTCAAGCCTTGACTTTTGTTGAGCAATTCCGCTTAGATGTCGGAGCCGAAGCCAAATTTGGCAGGTTCATGCTCATTTTGAGATTCACCAACGACGTCAAGGTCGAAATCCCTTACTCGTCCATCATTGAGATGATTCATTCTTCATCTCCCTGCACCTTCACCCTGGTGCTTGCTGAACCCCCGAGATTCTATCATCTGTCGGGTCAGGATTTGGACGACCAGCTGTCTCGACTATCGCTGTCAGCACCGGCTCCTCCTCCGTACAAGCAATACGTGCGCTGTCCTGGTATACCTGGCGACAAGTCGGTTGCCGGTTATGCCGGCAAGTGTCTGGTGTACCAGCTCAGTGTCATCGACGCCGACTTCGACCGCAAGATGATTGCTCTGGAAAACAGACGGTTGTTCGAAATCACTCACTTCCAAATCGCCTACGACCCGCGACCAGCCCTTTGGAGCCTCGACTATCAAATCTGCTGGGACAGATTCTACAAACATCTGACCCAACTGGGAACGGACAGGGTTTTGCCCTTTCGCATCTTGTTTCTTCTGCAGTCTTTGGTGTGGAATAACTTTCTTCATCCCAAGGTCGCTCACGACTTGGTCGTCAAAATCGAAGTCTTGTTCAAAGATGCGAAAGCTCATAGAAGGCCCGACCCGATTTCTGATCAGGCTATCCAAATCCTGCGGGATGGGCCGACAGAGAGCTTGCCCTTTGCGGTGACCGATACAGACCCGCGGATGCTGGATCCGGCCGAGATCCTGTCCTTTTTACTTGAGACTGAGCAACGAATTCAAACCGAGGGTGATTACAGGAGTACCTTATTTGGCCTTGATGCCTTCAATCACCACACCTGGGTTTTCAAGGCGGTGGTAACCCCAACCAGAGTAACCCTTCATGGGCCAGAGATGGAGCCGCTCAACCGAATTCTTCGCAAACATCCGAACCACGCAGACTACTTCATGAGAGTTCAGTTTTGCGACGAAGATGGCACAGACTTATGGTTTAACCCCAGAGTGTCGTACGAAAAGGTATTCGAGCGCTATCGAGCTGTACTGAACGGAGGAATTGCGGTTGCAGGTCGCGTTTATCAGTTCTTGGGATTCTCCCACTCCTCCCTCCGCTCCCACGCCACCTGGTTCTCGGCTCCCTTTGTCGACGATAGCGGTAAAATGCAGCTGTACCAGAACATCATCAAGTCCCTCGGCGATTTCGAACACATTCAGATTCCGGCTAAATGCGCAGCCAGAATCGGGCAGGCCTTCTCCGAGACACCCTCTTTCATCTCACTCACTGACAGCGGGATCGGATCGTGGGACATTCCGGACATCAAATCGTTCGATGGCGACATGGAGCGCGTGTTCAGCGATGGGGTGGGAACCATCTCGCAGGAAGCGCTGGAGCTCATTTGGCCCCGTTTACCGCGAGGCTCCCTCATCCCTACTTGTCTTCAAATCCGTTGCGGAGGCGTGAAAGGCATGCTGTCATTAGACTCAAGGCTACCGGGACGTGTCATGTGCATCCGGGCAGAATCGATGGAAAAGTTCCCAAGCCAAGACAAGACAACTCTCGAAATTTGCGATGCCGCCTCGAAACCGCTCAAGCTAGTGCTCAACCGGCAAATGATCAAGATCATGGAGGACTTGGGCGTACGAAGCAGCTTTTTCCTTCGGCTGCAAAAGACAGAGCTTGACCGACTGCGTGCTGTTACGGCCGATGCCTACAACACTGGGACTTTCCTACATATGCAGGGCATTGGGTTGAACTGCTTTCTGCCGACATTCGTCAAAAGCTTGGATCGATATGGCATCGACTACAGGCGGGACAACTTTCTCCGCACTATGGTCGAGTCCATCGTTCTTCAAGAATTGAGGCTCCTCAAACACAAGGCAAGGATTCCGGTTCCGAAAGGCGTCACTCTCTTCGGCATCATGGACGAGACCGGCTTCTTGAGGGAGGGCGAGGTCTATATTGCCTACGACACCTACCGCCGTCCCGGCAGGGTCATGATTGACAACTCCCTCAAAGACGGCCCAGTCCTTGTAACACGGTCGCCGGCCCTTCACCCCGGCGATATTCAACTAGTGAAAATGCGAACACCGCCACCGGGACACCCATTGAGGAATCTCAGGAACTGTATAGCTTTCAGTCAACACGGCAAACGCGACCTACCCAGCCAGCTGAGTGGCGGAGACCTCGACGGCGACCTTTACAATATTATCTGGGACAGAGAAGCTATTCCCAGAATCACTTACAATGCCGCTGACTATCCTCGAGTAACACCGCAAGCACTTGGCAGGACGGTACAGAGAGAAGACATGGCCAACTGGTTTGTTGACTTTATGAAGTCAGACTGTCTAGGATTGATCGCAACAAGACATCTCGTCGTATCAGACCAAGATGAAAAAGGAACTGTCGGGCAAGACTGCCTAACGCTCGCTGGACTACACTCGACTGCCGTAGACTTCTCCAAAACTGGCATTCCCGTCAACCCCCGAGATATCCCAAAGGCCCCAAGATTCCGTCCTGATTTGTATGACCCATCTTGCAGTCCCCCCAAGCTTTGCCATCGATACTGACAGAAGCAACTTAGTCTCGCACCCGCCCCACCCGCCCATTTGTACGACCGCAATGTGATTGACTTCGTCGGCAAGGATGATACCACTGCCGAGGATGACGAGGATATGCTACCTCCGCACCAATACTACAAGTCAGAAAAGGTTCTTGGGACTCTCTACCGTAATGTGGATGAGAAACAGATTTGGGACGAAGACATCAACCGAGTTGTATCCAGATCCGGCCCCTCGATGTGGGAGCAATTTGTTGGTCTCATGCAACGGAAGATTTACGACTACAGTTACGGAAGGATATCCTGGCAGACACGGCGAGCTGATGCAACAAGGCTCCGAGATGTGTAAGTTTTATTGTCTCAACGGCATCATTTTCCTGCTGACTTGGTACTAGATATGAAGACACCGTTGCCAACGCTCGTACACACTTCGCGGACAACTATATGAAACCATTGACAGAAGTCGAGGTCTTCTGCGGTTCCATCTTCAACAAAACTGGCGCGCAGACTCGACGTCAGAAGGACAACTCGAAGAAACTCAAAGCGGAATTTGATCGCCTCTCAGAGTGGCTCGTGGCGCAAATGCGGCGCAAAGTCCGGAATCCGGAACAGGAGTCTGGATCTGCCGTCTTCGGTGCGGCCAGTCAGATATCTGCTCATGGGGACGACCCTATCGCTCGGATTCTTGCGCCCAACAAGGAGGCTCTTGAGATGTCATATGCCTGCCTGATGGTTGGTTTGACGCGCAGCGAGGACGTCGATGAAAAGCCGTTACAGAGTTTCAAGGTGATCGCAGCCAGTGTTGTGCTGAAAGAGCTGACGGAGCTTGCCAACCGTGTGCGCGGCGGACGAATGGTCGCTCCTACTAATGAGTACCATGGCTCCGGTGGAGGCTTTGTTGGCGTGAGCTCTGGACCTGGTGTGTCGTACGCCTACAACGGGTTTGATGTTGATGTTGGACAGTATCCAAACTATGGGTATAGTGAGTATCTCTGAGAATTGGAAATACGTGGCAATGGACTGCATGTGGTGATATATCAGCGTCTTTTATTGAATCAACATACTATTCCACGTTTCCCCGCGGTTAGAACTGCGGAAAAGATGTTTTCCTCGCACTCCATCAACCCCGAGTCGGCCCCACAAACCGGGCCAAAGACCCGATGAAGTGGGGCCACCCAATCGGATGTAACATGTAAGACACGGAGGATAATCTGCAAAGCCTCCGAATCCTACTTTGAACGATTGTTCATCAAGACCGTCAGCTGCTTAGTCAAAGAAAAGCCTCCGGTCATCAATTGGGAGTGTAGAAAGCCCCCTCGTTGTGATCATGCTAAATACTGACTCTCTCGACCTGGCTGTCCGGCGAGATAGCGAAGACAGCCGGGAGTTTTGTCTGGGACTCCAACATTGACACGAGTATCCTTCAACATTAGCACCCAAAATGGAGCCTCCTGCAGACGCAACAACCACAGTTATCGGGAAAGATGCTCGACAACATACCGCGGCGCTTACGGATGACAGCCCAAACCTCGATGTCATCTCAAAGGAGGTCCACGAAAGCGACGATGTCGCCGTTGCGTCTGCGAAGAGTTACAAGAAAGATTACCGATTTTGGGCCATACTGTTCGCACTCTGCATCACCTCCCTTCTGGCATCGCTGGAGAACACCGTGGTCGTAACCTCGCTGCCTACCATCGTCGAGAAGTTGAATTTTGGAAGCAGCTACGTCTGGGTTGCGAACGCTTTCTTCCTCACTAGGTAAATCTCTTCATACTCCTCGCCCGAAACTGTCTGCATGCTTCATTGCTCACAGCTTCTAGCGCCTCTGTTCAGCCTCTCTTTGGTCAACTTTCCAACCTTTTCGGCCGGAGATACCTCACAATCTTCATCGTGGCACTCTTCACCCTTGGCAGTGGGGTATGCGGAGGGGCAAATAGCCCAGCGATGCTTATAGCTGGTCGTGCTGTCCAGGGAGCTGGAAGTGGCGGCATCAACATGATCATCGACGTCATAATCTCTGATCTCGTCCCGCTTAGAGATAGAGGCTATTACATGGCCATCATTCTTGCTACCTACGGCATCGGAACGGCGATCGGGCCAATAGTGGGTGGCATCATCGTACAGACGACGTCTTGGAGATGGGTAATGACTTTAATCTTCCCTCGCTACTATTCGGCTAAACACTAACCGGAACAGGTGTTCTACATCAACCTCCCTGTTGGTGGGCTTTCCATGGTTCTTCTATACCTCTTCCTTCACGTAAAGTGGGACAGAACGTCCACCTTCCGCGAGAAGATCCGCCGAATCGATTTCATAGGCAACTCAATCCTCATCGCATCAACAGTTTCCGTCCTCATAGCCCTGACGTGGGCAGGATCGGTGCATCCCTGGTCTTCCTACCACGTCCTCCTTCCTCTCATTCTCGGTCTTCTGGGCCTGATCGGCTTCTGTCTATTCGAACGTTCCGGTCTCGCCCCCGAACCAGTCATGCCTCTCCGCCTCTTCGGCAACCGTACTTCAGCGGTGGTGTACGGCACGACCTTCCTCAACTCCGCGATGTTATACTGGGCCTTTTTCTTCCTCCCGCTCTACTTCCAGGCCGTCAAGCTCTCAACACCGGGACGGTCCGGTGTGCAGCTGCTTCCGGTCACGCTGATTTCTATCCCCGGCGCAGCCATCTCGGCCGTCGTTCTGGCGCGTTGGGGACGCTACAAGGCCCTCCACATCAGCGGATTCGCACTCATGACCGCCGGGTTTGGCATCTGGAGTGTCTTGAACCGGGACAGCGGCACGGCGGCGTGGGTCCTCGTACAGATGGTGCCGGCCGTGGGCTCCGGGTTCCTCATGAACACACTCCTGCCGGCGTTTCAGGCCGGGCTGGAGGAGAAGGACCAGGCTGCCGCGACGGCGAGCTGGTCTTTCATCCGGAGCTTTGGGAACATCTGGGGCGTGGCTATTCCGGCTGCCATTTTCAACACGTATGTGTCGAAGTACGCGGGCCGTATTGATGACGCTGTCGCGCGAGAGGTCTTGAGTGGCGGGGACGCGTATGCGAGCGCGACCAAGACTTTTGTGGAGAGTTTCCCGTCGCCTGTAAGGGATCAGATCATCGAGGTTTTCACGGAGGCTTTGAAGAGGGTCTTTTGGATCTGCATGGCTTTTGGGGGGCTGGCTTTCGCGGTGAGCTTCTTTGAGAAGGAGGTCAAATTGAGGAAGGAGTTGGAGACTGAGTATGGACTGGAGGAGAGGCAGGAAAGGGAGAAGATAGAAGGGAGAGATGTTTGAGTATTGATGTGGCCTTGGCCACACTGGCGTGTACATGTAATTGAAGTCATTCAACATTCATGCCTAGGATGCTACCCTCTCCCAGGGACGTGGGTTAGACCCAAGTCCGTCAGACATTACCTAGTTCGACCAGCCGGGAATTGCCTTACCGAATAGCTGCCTACTCGTGTCCGTGTTCTTTTGGCAGCTGGGTCGCAAGGTTCGACGGCAGGAAATATGCTTATTTGAAAGGCGTTACGGAAAAGCGGAACTGCCAATGTTGGCCAAACAAGCGATCGCACCTTGCATGCGGCCAGGCATGTGTGGATCAATGTGCGTGATATCAAGTCGGGTTTCATCGTCAGGCAAGGAAGTACTGCGGAGATTCGTTGAACCCCAGACTTACGCCTCAAGCCGTCTTCGTGGGTACCAGGCTGTGTTGACGATGATGGTTGCTGTTGGTACATGCATTCTTACAAGCAAACAAGGTGTTCATGATTCTCTATGAGGCTGAACCATATCCCTCGTGATGAGCCAGCTCAAAGGGCCCAGATCGGCTGCGCATGCCTGTAGGCGAGTCGGTGCGGGAAGTTGAGGAGGAAGTCTAAGGCGCACGATCCTCCCTGTTTGCCGGGATCTGCATCATAGCACGGATCGGTATTCAATTTACCCAAACTCAAATGAGATGAGAATATGGGGGCTCCTATTCGTTTGAGAGTCTACTTTCCACGGATTCTTGTGTGCTGTTGCGTGGCAGATGAGATGAAACTCAAATTCGGTTGTTCGTCGCACTTCCCGTCCTCTCGACTGCCCGCCCGCCACATAGCGTTTTCCGTTTCCCCGCATACATAGCAAGCAGATGAGACTTCAGTTTTCTCGCGGCTTTTCCGCAAATGTGATCTGCTAAGTACAGCTGTGGGCGTTCCCGGGAGGCAGGAAGCTTCAAAGGTAAGCACAACTTCATGCAAGCAGACGACCTGAATGTCCATAGGACCAACAGGACCCTTGTCATTCAAGCTGCCAATCGACCTAGACGAGAAACATATTCTTCCCCCAAGGAACCAAAGAAAAGCCTATTTCTTACTTCGTAGTAGAGTTCCTTTCGCTCGGCACCTCAAGTGAGATTACGTCGCCGGCCGCCGGCCGACTGTGTCACACTACATCTCGAGCTCATCTGCCAGCCAACGTCGTCGACATCTCAGAGATATGCTGGCAGTCACGGTGTTTGCAAGGTCATGAAAAAGTACCGAGTCAAGAAGCCCAGCGGGCCTCATGAGCGGAAGGGCGCGGTACGGCGGTGTCCGTCTTGCCGCCAGGTATGGGCAGTGGTGGGTTTTCATGACGGCTAACAGCCAACGGTTGAAATTGCTAATGAAATTGGTAGTGCGACTGCCGACGTCGTCGCGATAGACAACGATCGCAATCATCCTCTTCGGTTGCTTCGTTGATGAGCCAGTCGTCCCCGGGCACCGTCGCGTCAAAGATTACGACACCTGGTGATCTGAATTCAACGCCGGGATCTTTAGAGCCGTTGCCGCATGAGATTACTACGGCCTTTTTCGCGTTTGTTGGCGATTCACCGTCTCCTCTCACCGATGTCTTTTCGCAGTCTTTCATCAAGACATACCTGGACACCTCTATTCCAGTACGGGCTATTGTCACAACTTTCGGAAAGGTCCTGTTGGAATATGGGCGCAAGGTCGACCTCCCGATAAAACAGGCGGCTGCCAATGCACTTGTTGCGGCGGATCGTCCAAAGCTGAACGAATTTCTTGACGTTCTCACCTCGTCCGAATGTCATGATCAACACGTCACCCTCTTATATGGAATACTACTCGCCTATTTGGAGGTAAGAGATAGTCATTAAGGATCGCAGCCGTATCTTGAAACTGACGTGGAGCGTGACAGACCATGGTAGCCCGGTCCTGGCTCCTTTATCAAGGCATTCTAAGGAAGCTGTCGGACAAGATACGAGAGCAGCTCAAAAGGGAACGTCGAAGACCTCATCTTTACTTTGACCGCGGATTATTGATCAATTTCTCACTTCATGCGGGATATCATGCCTTGATATCTTTTGAAGATACCTTTCTCGTTGACGTCGAGCTCTACGACCCGTCCCCCTTCGCAGACATCGACACGGCGACCAGCCATGTCCGCACCAATGCTGCTATCCTTCATCACTATTGCAGATACGTGGCGAATTTTGCACGCCTACACCACAGGTAAGCATTCAACATGTAGACTGTTGCTAGAGATCGTTCTAGAGCACATACTAAGCGACACCGAATGATAGAGCCACCAAATGGGTGAGGCAAGCACGTCAGGTCATTGCGGACCGTCAAAGCATGTCCGAAGCAACAGTGGACGAATTGCGACAAACGCTTGCCAGCTTCGGGCTACTACAAACTGGAAAGGAGGTCGTCGAGAGTTCAGCGAGAGTCATCGACGTGATGGAGATGTTCCGCGGCAGCGGCGACGACAACGACGAAGACATCGACGGAAGCGATTTCGGCTACATGAGAGCTCCTCTCTACCATTTTGCTCTCATGGGCCTGACGCGCACCTTCTGGGATCCGACATGGAAACTCATCGACAACGACCTGCCGAATATGCACGACATGCCCAACTTGGAAGCCCATGCTCTGTTCGTCTTGGAAAGGCTGGAACAAAGGATCCCCTTGCTTGGCCTTGAATCTTGGAGCTATCTCGTCATAATGATGGGCGTTGCGATGGAGGTTAGGATGCCCGAGTATCAGAAGCGAGTGGAGGCACTGGTTAAGAGCGTCGCCGAGAAGGGTTTTGCTTGTGCGGAGTCCATGCTAGGCGACATGAAGCTGCTTTGGGGGGTGGACTACGCTTTGCAGCACGATATCAGTATTGGTCCTTCAAGTTGAGCGTACAAGTAGCTGAACAGAGCTTGCGTAAGAGCGTTGGCCCGCAAATAATAAGATGTCTCCATGACAATTGTAGGTATGGGGAAAAGACGTCAACGACGTGTGAGAAGTAACACGGGCTGTTTTACTTGGCGACGCCGGCACCGGTCGGCCCCACTTCGGAGGCCCGGGGCTCGGGAGCCGGATGGTTCTAAAGACCAAAGGATGTTCTTATGTCTGGAAGAAATCATGATCTACTGATTCATGAATCCTTAAAAACTACAACTTCGATCGCTTTTGATGCGAAGAAGAGAGGTTTTAGGTTCTCACTGGATGCTCGGCGTCTATCGATCAGTGGAAGCCGCGCGTCAGCGCACAACATAATAGCACTGTGCCTTGAAGGATCATCGGCGCCAGTGACCATGTTTACAGAATGACTACTCATTAAAGACATCAACTCGCCAGTTGATATCCCAAAGCAAATGAACTTCTTTGAACTTGAATCGCAAGCTGAGGCTGAGGAGCGACAAGAAATGATGCAATTGAGGTCGGAAAACCTATCGATTGCCGCCTTCCATTGCCAGGGCGGCATATCTGTCGATTCAGCGCTGTTAGCGACGCGTTCTGCCCCCGGAGTGCAGTGGCAGCTGCAGCACTTCGCCCTGACTAACACCACGCTGGAAGCCTAATACAAATTGAACTGAGCAATTCATTTGTGATCATCTGATTCTTTAACTAAGAATAGTAACTGATCGTGAAGAGGTTGAGTTTATCTACCTGCCTTCCCTCGTTCGTTACTTCTTTCAGGTTCCAAGGTGTTCAGGACTTACAGGGCATGCGCCGTGGTGGTGCAAGCCTGACCACCCTCAATTATGTAGCAGCGTTATTATGGCGGGCTCTCTCAGTCATCAAACAGGAGAAAGCCGTTGTGATCAATAATAATTCCATCTCCATATCGTCCGCTGACACATGCTTTCGGATTTTCCCTATTCTCTGGGGGTTTATGTAGGGATGGAGTCAAACCTTGAGCTGCTCAAACTTAAGACACTTGTGGTGGGTGATGACGATGGCTAGGAGGTACCTTATGGTACCTGACGTGCTACTGTAACTTCCCAGCTGTTTTCCAGCTGAGGCGTTAGTTGTGAAGACCAGTTCGGCAGCGATGGGTGCCCTGTTCATGTTCCATCCACGCCTTTCTCGATGATTAATCGCAACATTCTCACTTGTACCTATGTTTTCATTCATTCTTATTATGTATTTATTCAATTTCGTGTTCAAAAACTTATGAATCTGCGCATCTTCTGTCCTGCTTCAACCTCAGACTTTCGCTGCAGATTCATACAGCCGGCAGGTGACACCCACAAGAAGAATACTGGATCTGTCGTGGGAAGCGTGTCAGAGATTGTAAAGATGCCTCATGGCCAACGTCACCGATTCCAATAGTGACATACCTTGCTTCTGGAGAAATAAGTGAATCCTTCAATCGAAATGCTCAGAGGTGATCGAGCCGGCTTACAGTCCCCACCCCCGCAGTCATGCTGCACACCGGGTGCTCAGCGCAGTTCCGGTCGAGGAAAAATGCTCTACCGTCGAGAACGATTCCAGCGGTGTGCTATGTCTTTAAAGCTGCTAATTCAATTGCGTTAAATCCAATGAAATATGAAGGTTTCCATTAGCTCACATGACGTCATTCACACCCACAGGCCTTTTTCCCCGCAAATAAAGCGTCGCACAGAAGAAACAGGAACCGCCTTCCGACATCGCCAGACACACATCCTCAGGAGCGAATACGAAGCAATTATCACGAAATTTAGTGTTCATATCAATTCCAGAAGAAACCATGGCACCTCCTATCTGCACCAAGACTTTCAAGCTGAACAACGGTGAGCCTTTCAGTTCCGAATTCAGGAGAAGAGTGCGTTGACTCAGGGTTTGCAGGCATTGAATTCCCGGCAGTTGGTCTTGGCACCTGGCAAGGTACGTGACCATGACTCTTGACATAATTCAATTTCCTTACGCCTTCCAGGCAGTAAAGGAACAGATGATGAGAAGGCTTTGGAAGAGTCGATCATCCACGCCTTGAAGGTGGGCTACCGCATGGTCGACACCGCTCAAATCTATGGTGTCGAAGAGGTCGTGGGCAGAGCCATTCGCAATAGCGGTGTGCCTCGTTCTGAGATCATTGTCGTCACCAAGTTCTGGGGCGAGTGGCACCATGACCCGGCTGCAGCTCTGAAGATCTCACTGGACACCCTTGGCCTCGACTACATCGACGTCTTCCTCATGCACTGGCCCTGGGCTACAACGCCTGCCCCTGAGAAGAAGCCTCTCAAGAAGCATGAGAGCCCGACGATCGTCGAGACCTGGAAGAAGATGGAGGCATTGGTCGGAGAAAAGTGCAGAGCCATTGGTGTCAGCAACTTCATGCCTAAGGTGATGGATGAGCTGCTCGCCGAGGCCAAGATCGTGCCTGCTGTCAACCAGGTTGAGTTGCACGCTTTCAACCCCAACCTGAAGCTGGTACCTTACTGCCAAGAGAAGGGTATTCACGTCACCGGCTGGAGGTAAGATAAGATATCCGCACGCCTACTTCTCCGAAGCCTGCTAACCCGCGAAGTACTTTGGGCGGTTCTCGCACGACAAAGAATGAGATTCTCAGCCACGAGCTCTTTACAAGCATCGCCAAGTCGCACGACTGCTCTCCTGGTGTTGTCTCGCTCTCATGGGCTGTTCAGCGCGGCACAACGATCATCCCCAAGAGTGCGAACAAGTCTCGTATCGAGGAGAACATCCGCTTGGTCACTCTCACGGATGAGGAGATGAACAAGATCAACGAGGCTCACAAGATCATCAGGAAGGAAAGATTCTCAGATGGCATCGACAAGCAGGGCTGGGACAACATCGATATGGGATACGAAGACGAGAATGGCAACTGGCTGGCCTAAGTTGAGGATGTATGAGAAAACAGATGCCACATCACGAACATGATGTAGATCAATACGACTTATGTTCTCAAGACATACATCTAATCTTGAATCCCTGAATACTTCCTCACTTTTTGAATATTTGGACATGTTCATTGCATGAGACCACGCGTGCGCTACCCACCCTTAACAGATCTATCACGGAAAGTAGCTGGATACAATCTGACGTTTAGTTTTGATACAGGTCAAGGGGCCTGGATAATGACTCAAATTTAACGTAGTCTATATCAGAACGTATGACTAGGTATGCACAGCTATTCTCAATCAGGTCCTATGATGTGACCTTCGTTGCCAATTTACCATGCCAACACATCTTGCGCAGGTGTCGGTTTCAATTCCTGGGCAACAGGAGGCTTCGTAGTACCTTTGCCAGTCAATACGTCATAAATTCGCTTTCCAAACTTGTTGAAGCCATTTGTCATCCCGCCCATCTTGGTGAGCTTCTTCTCGAGCTCAGAAAGCTGGAATTGGAAGGTCTCGCCGTCGACGGCCAGGGTATTACGATCTAAATCAATCTCGATACCAGCTCCCATCGTGGCTTTCTCGTAGAACTTTGGATCATCAACGACGAACCCCCAAAGGCCAAGTGATGGTTGATTCCTGCTGTAGATGAACGCGAAGCTTTGTGCTATAACGCACTTGATTCCAGCACCTATGTGTTCATTAGTAACTCCCTTACGTTCGAAGCCGTCTCCAACACATATTGAAGTTTCTCTGAGATGCGTGAATGATGCGCGAATAGAAACTTACCCAGAAGCGATTGAACAGACTCCTGACGACTCGACCCGCACCCGAATGCCTTGCCGGCGACCACCACTTGGTATCCGTCTTTGACCTTCTGCCGAAAGTCTGGATGTGTAAACTCAAGACAATGAGCCCCTAGTTCTTCGTTGTTTTGGGATGTGAGAAGATATTGAGCTGGGGCGAGCTAACACCGATGAGGGTGGTCAGCTGAGGCATAAATCAAGAGGTTGAAGTTCGCCCTCTATGTCCTTACCGCATCAGTGTCTACGAAGTCTCCTATTCTGAAGATCTTGCTTTTTATGATACCTGAAGTTGACTTGTCTTCTGTATCCTCCACATTCACTGAAGAGGGTTCTATCACTTGATCGTTGCCGTATTTGCTCTGTTCAAGTGAGTCGTTGCCTGGTGGTTCTACCCATTGTGGTTGGACGAGATCTTCGTCAGGAAGGGAACCTTTCCCCTTGATAGCATTCCACCTTTCAGTGGAAATTTGATCAATGAGCTCTTGGGGAGACGTGACAGTCATATCAAATGAAGATGCTGCAACTGTCGCTGCTGAAGCCAAACTTCCAATCGCTCCTTTCATTGTTGTCAGTTGGATTCGTCCACATGAAAGGTAACCACCAACCTTTGCCCATGCGATTTTCAAAGTTGCGATTCTGGCTGCTCAGCCAGATCTCTCCTGGTTGCGCCATATCAGCGCCCATTCCCACGCAATAGCTGCATCCAGGAACCCCAATGGTGAAGCCTGCGCGCTCGTATATATTTGCAAGTCCCGTCTGGCGCAGATAGTCTGCGATAGGACGGCTGCCAGGGACAACCCGTCGACTTCCGCGCGCAATAGGAGTTTTGCCAGCATTCAGACCGGCCTCAAGTACAAGAGCTCCCATGATGAGATCCTCTTCCGCAGTCGTGCAGGCTCCTATGAAAACGCCATCGAGCTGGGTGCCAGCTACGTCGGCTATAGGCACAACATCATCAGGGCAAGGGTAACGGGCAACAAGAGGCTGCGCTCGAGATATGTCGATGACGTGTGACTCTGCGTATGAGCAATCTTTGTCTGCTTTGAAGTAGTACGATGCCGTCTTGTGGCGAGCCGTCTTCCTGCGATCTATGAACTGTTTGGTCACCTCATCGAGGAAGATACCGGTAATGCCACCAAACTCCTATGGTCTGGTGAGTATTTACAATCTGAAAAGCAGAGATATTTGGTTTACCGTAGTCATGTTCGCGATGGCGAAGCGAGCATCGGGACTCAGCCATCGACATCCAGGGCCAGTGTACTCCACGACTCTGTCAGCAGCCACGGTGTTCCGCTTGAGCTGCTGGAGGATGTAGAGAATGATGTCTTTGCCTCCTACTCCGCGTTTTGGACTGCCGACAAGGTGGATTTCAACTACTTCTGGAACTTTGAACCAGATCTCTCCCGTGACGAGGGCCATCGTAACCTCTGTGGCACCAAGTCCAATAGCAAGGCACCCATCCGCACCGGCGCTGCAGGTATGGGAGTCAGAGCCGATGATTATCTGTCCAGGTTGCGCACGCTCGCGATAGAACTCAGTATGCATGATTGTGTAGTTGTGACCTTGGAATTCTGTCATCTTGAATCGTTTTCGTGCGTAATCCATCTCACCGACGAGTTTCTGCACCAACGGGGTGTCCATAATTCTGGGATCGACAACATGATCACCGGCCAGCCAAAACTTGGAGTTGGAGAAAATCCCAGGGTCACCCAGCTTGTTGTATGCTTGAAGCATACCCTATTGACTGTTACTGTATGCATCTCCGAGTCTTTCCAGATCGCCAAACTTACGTGCCAAGTAGCCTCGCTCGCCATGACCCAGTCAACTGAGACTCTGATCATATCTCCAGTTCGAACCCATCCCCGTCGATCAACATCGTGTAAAGCGAAAATCTTCTCTGTGACATTCATAGGCTGACGGCCGGCAGGTCGATTGATCAAGGGGACGATTGGTCCGCCGCATCTTTCTGCAGAATTGAGCGATTCGAGCCCTGGAGAATACACGGCCTCAGCGATCAGCAGATTCGAGAAAGCCCAACCCTTGGGTGACGTTTGTGATTTTCCTGCCCGCATAAAGGATGATCTTACATGCCGATGCCAACAGGACTAGCTCATCGCTGTCCATCGCTGACACCCTAGCTTCACAAGATAACCCCATACCCCCGTAATCTGGGGATGAAGTAGCGATGCGAACGACATCCGAGATGGCTCCGGACTCCTTGGTTATGCCTCTTTGATGAAGTCTTGTTGCCAAGGCAGACAAAGTAACGAGCGGGTTTTGCTCTCCTTCTGCTGACACCTTAGCTCTGACCAATACGCCGGAGTCTGATTGGGAAACTTTTACCTATGGGCATCCAGTCGTCGTCTATTTCGATATGTCGAGTCTCTAGTAAAACTGCTCGAAGCCTGTCCGCAAAGCTATGTGCTTTCATTTTGGCTATTGATCTTCTCGCTGTATGATGCTCGATCAGACCCGGTCGACACTAGATCTTTTCGATGTTTCGAGGGCCTCGGGAAAGAATTCGCTCACGATAGCGGAACCTCGCACTTTTTGAGTTCATGGTCATATCTTAGAGTTCATAACTGTCGGACTAGTCCAGTCTTCCGTTCCGTGTGACAATTCATGCTGCTGGGGTACCTAGTCATGGCGTATCTGCGCACAAGTCAGACAGATGCAACGCTGCTCTGCGGTGCTTCATCCGTGCACCCGATGCTCCCCTTCCAACCTTGTGCGGAGGCTGGGATGTTGCACATGAATCCTCAGTTCAAGGTTGGAATTCTTTTAAAAGTATGCCAGCGGATAGCTATGAGCCTTTTCCTCGTATCGTCGAATCAAAGAAATATCTTGCAGCTGTCCCGTATGTCACAAACTCCACCTGGGAGCCCCAGCTTTTCAACCATAAGATCATACTCTCAATAGTTCCAATGATGTGAGCCATACCTGAGGTGTCAGGGTGTAAGATCAATGGGAACACAAAATCTCCTGGTCCGTCGCCATTTGAGCCATTAGCCCAGAGCCAAGTGAATCGATCTTGCCACATCTTCTCGATAGACTGGGGTGGAACATATCCGTGGGAATTTTCTACATTTGGCAGGTATTGCAGAGGCGTCATGTCTTCCATATACCAATTTCCAGGAATCTCAACCACATTGGAAGGCTGAGGAGCACCGCATGGACGCATCCAAGTCTGTGCGGGCTGCTCATAGTCAACAGGCTCAGGCAAAGGGCCTTTGTCGAGTCTGTACAACTGAGAATCATGCCCACTGAGAGAGGAATCATAGAGAAATCCCTTCTCCTCCAACAGAGTGATCGTTTCCTGACGCAGCCGATACAGAGGCGCCCGATATCCGAGTGGCCGTTTCCCAGTCAGAGATTCTGCAAGAGCAATGCACTTATCGAATATGTCCTCTTCTTGCTGCGCGGTGAGCTTTGTGTTGTCTTCGTGACAGTACCCATGCAGTGCTATTTCTGCCCCAGACTCCACGATTGACCTGGACTCGGCTGGGAACGTCTCCATAGAGTGTCCAGGAATGAACCAAGTCATCTTGTCAGCCACATCGAGGCGTTTAAAGAGACGGGTCAGGCGACCGACGCCCACATGCCCAGCAAAGAAACCCGACGAGTAGTCCGCGAGACAGTTACGAGGATGATGTCCAGTTCCTAGCCAACCAGAAACTGCGTCGAAGTCGACTGACAAAAGTACACGAACACGCCGTGAAACTGCGGGCATTCCACGGGGAATTTGAGCTAGAGCTGGAGTGGCCTTCAGCTGCCATACAAGGGTCTTGAGTGATTCCAACGATTCAGGCTTGTCGTCCACAGGAGTAACTCGAACTCGAACACCGCCGATTTCGATCACTACGCCAGTCAGATCTTAGTTGAATGTATTGTAAAAGACTTCAAGTTACTACCTTACCTTGCTCCATGTTATTTCTGTTCTTCGACTACTGAATGTCGGCCAAGGCTTGAATGTTTGACGGTCGTTGCCGGGTCGGTGATTTGAAGTTCATCGATTATTGTGAAACTCTGGCGAGATAGAACATTCACTGATTTATTACGCTCTGGTTGGATGTTGTTGGAATAAGGTATCGGCACTTGGGATGATAAACATGCGCCCAACGGCGGCGGCTGCTTTTGAAAGGGGTAGTCGAACCCAGTGAGGGGGAAGAAACTTGGAGAGGAGAAACTTTGCACCTGGTTTCTTGTTCAGTCGTGATGACGTCGCATATGCAGCTAGCAAGGCCACGCATAGCCGAGCCCATCCTCCTAGGCGGATGTTTATTGGCGGTCAGAGCGGATTCTGCGACGTTACGAATGCAGGCTCCAGACTGATCCGGTCTTCAAACTCAACACCTTTTACGTTAAATAACTACGCAGTCTCGGTAGCTTAATTCTTAACCTCAACCAGCTTCAATATTTTTCTGATCGCTTGCTGAAGACGGAGCTTGTAGAAGTTCTGATCCAGATCTAGTCATTGGCACATCCCTCATCATGGCTTCGTTGTTTTCAGTGGAGAACTGCAGAGAGCATTTCCCAGCTTTGGAGAAGGACCAAATATTCGGCGACAATGCTGGTGGCAGCCAGGTTCTCGGAAGTGTCGCTGATAGGTAGGCTTTGTGTCTACAATGCAGCCTGATATTGTCAATAGTAACTCCAAGACAGCATTTCAGAGTACTTGATCAACAACAATGTTCAGTTGGGTGCAAGCTACAAGACTTCTCAAAAGTCAACCGCAACATTTGACAAAGCATATCAGGCTGCTGCAAAATACATCAACGCACACGTTGATGAAATTGGTAAGTTGTCAGGATCAACAGCGTTGACGTCTGATTCACTGTTTACGCTACAGTCCTGGGGGCTTCTACTACGCAAGTTCTTCGAAACCTTGCCGCGTCAATCAAGTTCGAGGCTGGCGATGAGATCATCCTTTCTGAAATCGATCACGAGTCCAACATCGACCCGTGGCTTCACTATGCCGCGATTTCCGGGGTAATCGTCAAATGGTGGACACCAGTTGATCGCTCGAACCCGAAGCTTGACACTAAGACGCTCAGAGATCTTTTAACGAGCAAGACGCGATTAGTCGCGTGTACTCATGCTAGCAATATTCTCGGAAGCATACACGACATCAAGGTCATTGCCGATACTGTCCATGAAGTTCCCCGTGCTCTTCTATGTGTAGATGGAGTTGCTTACGCACCACACCGCGCCATTGATGTCAGAGAGATTGGCGCCGACTTTTACGCCTTCTCATGGTACAAGGTACGTCAAGGCTTTGTGCGCCATGGAGAGAATCCGAGAGTCCTTGAGTTGACGCACTCACTTACGGTCTAGGTATACGGACCTCACATCTCTCTTTTGTACGGGTCACGCAGAGCACAACAGCATCTCAAACCTCTTGGGCACTATTTCAATCCTTCTGAAAGTATGATGGATAAGTTGGAAATGGCTGGCGCAAGTCACGAGCTTACGCAATCTATCATACCGCTTGTGGAGTATTTTGGAAAAGACCCCAAGCAAGCCTGGAAGGAAATAACCCAACATGAAGAGCTTCTTCAAAGACGTCTCATTCAATACCTTGATTCGCGGCCGGATGTTTCGATTCGAGGCGAAACTTCATGCTCGCCTTCACTTCGGTTGCCCACCGTGAGTTTCACGGTGAGAGGATGGTCATCTCAGAGCGTGGTAGAGGCCGTTGAAGCGCAGTCTAATGTTGGTATTCGGTGGGGTCATTTTTTCTCCAAAAGATTGGCGGAGAAGACTCTTGGTCTTACTGACGACGGCGTTGTCCGTATCAGTCTGGTCCACTACAATACGTGTAAGCTTTTCATCAAGACGGCCCGAGTTCAGGAATCCCGAATGAAGCTGACAGAATCAGTGGACGAAGTTGAGGTAATTGTCAGGGTTCTGGATAAGGTTTTGGGGCCAATATAGTAGAGTCGGAGGTAACGAGGGGGTGGTTGTCACAACAAGGATGGGTGGTTTTGTAGCCGAGGGCGTAACGCATCAACAGTGATCTGTCGTCCTCGCGGTCTGCTTCTTTCGTTTGGCAGCTTTCATTTTTTTGGACTTCGTGCACCCAGAAAGCTTTCGGGCAGTTTCATAACCTGAAATTTGATAAAAGCAATCCTGAAAACTGAGGCTTATGGGTCAATATAACTAAGCACGTCGTGATGTGACTTCCATTGGAATTGACGGAATGACAATAACGATCTAAGACGACTGGTCTTATAGGCAACAAAGTTTTCCAGGGACAAACCAAGGGGTCTGACTCGGCTGCTGGCACTTGCGCGTTTGGGAAATCCGAAGCTTCATAAGTTATGAGGTTACTGAGGAGACATCCCTTCGGGACAAGTGAAATAGAGTTTGACAACGTACAAGTCATGCAACGGGGCTAGACAGATCTGTGGTGGAAGAATCCACATTCTCGTCCAAATCAGAGGTTTCATCCGGGCTGGGGTCAGTTCATCCGCGCTGTTCAGGGACCACGGCGTGCCGAGGCGCCGTACCGTCGGGGCGGGTTCAAGAGGTCACTCGAGTTGTCATCTCTTCTTCAGCAAGGGACCGTCACATTCGGTGACCCTCTGGACGGTGTTGGATGGCTAATGATGCCGGTTGCCCACATTTCGCACCCCGAACTTGCGTAAGTAACTTTCCTAGTATGGAACTTGAGGAAATGTAACACAGACTGAATCAGATTCAAATCAAACAAGGTTTACAGGGCTTCTCCGAGAATTGGATTGTACAACATGGAATTGCGGGACCGATAGCAAGCAAACGCACTTTTACCGCTTCATGTCCATCTTCGAACAGATTGGTTGTTGATGAACCTTGGACTTCAATGACCAAAACTTCTCTTGCGTAAGACATGGCTACGAATATGTATGTTGTCCATCTCGTCTATGAGCTGCAAACATTCAGATTCAGGCCAGAGTATTGCCGACAGACGGTTGCTAACTCTTCTCACAGGCTGCCTCAACCTCATACCAAATACGCGGGCTTCCTGCATTTTGACAACCCCGGCCGTAAATGGCCGAACAGAACATTGAAAGAACATCCTATTTGGTTATCTACAGATCTTCGAGATGGAAATCAATCTTTGATTAACCCGCTGGTACGTCATTTCTCATGACAGAGTCCCAATCCTCATCGCGGCGACTGGTAAAGTATGCTCACTTATCTTTCGTGGAGACCGTCGATCAAAAATGGGAGTACTTTCAGATGCTCGTCTCTATCGGCTACACAGAGATTGAAGTAAGCTTTCCAGCTGCATCTCAGGTGGAATTCGACTTCACTCGCCGTCTTATTGAAACCCCTGGCGCTGTCCCAGACAATGTACGGATTCGGGGCCTTTCACCAACTCGTGAGGATTTCCTGGCACGAACTGTCGAAGCACTACGCGGGGCCAAAAGAGCTTCAATCTGCACATACATTTGCACCAGCGACAAGCAACTGAAATATCAAGGGTTTTCCCGCGAGCAGGCTGTGGAACAGGCTGTCAAGTCGGTGAGGTTCTTGCGATCCATTACCAAAGACGATCCCGAGTCTGCGTCTATGACAGACTGGACATTGGCATTTGGACTGGAAGCGTTCAATGAGGCCAGCCAAGATTTTGCCGTGTTCATCACAGAGGCCGTCAAGGAAGCTTGGGGTGCCACCGTCGAGAACCCACTCATTGCAGTCCTAGCTACCAGTACCGAAGTAGCCACACCCAACGTGTTTGCAGATCAAGTTGAGCTCTTCCATAATTCTTTGACGGAGCCGGAGAAGATACGTATCTCGCTACACCCACACAATGATCGTGGCTGTGGGATTGCTACAGCAGAACTTGGCTTGCTAGCGGGCGCCGGCATGGTCGAGGGTTGCCTCTTCGGCAATGGGGAGCGTTGTGGCAATGTCGACTTGGTCGCCTTGGCACTAAATCTTTACTCTAGAGGCATTCATCCTGGCCTTGACTTCTCGAACATTTCGGTCATAAGGCAGAAGTTTGAGAGGCTGACTGGTCTGACGGTGTCTCAACGTGCGCCGTATGCCGGGGAGTTTGCTCTACAGGCCTTCAGTGGCAGTCACCAAAACATCATTCGCAAGGGAATCGCATGGCGAAACGAAGCCTTGGAGGAAGGAAAGAACCCTATTTGGGACATTCCCTACCTTCCCCTTGATCCAGAAGATCTTGGCATCCCACTCGACCAGATCATCCGTGTCAACTCTCAAAGTGGCAAAGCTGCTGCCACCTGGATCCTCCACCGACGCTGGGGCCTTGATATTCCCGCTGAACTGCAGGTAGATTTCGGTCGCCGGGTGCAGATGATGTGCGAAGCTTTGGCTCGAGAGATCACACATCAAGAAGTCATCAATCTGTTCATCGCTAGTTACGCCCTCTCACCAACCGAGGAACGGGATACGACCAGTCAGCTCGGAAGAATTAGCATAGATACTGACGGCAGCCTCTGCAATGTTATGGGGACGGTCAATTCTGCAGACAATTCCTCAATTCGCATCCACGGGTCCGGGAGTACACTCGAATCTGCGATCATTAGGGGCCTTCACTTCACGAAAGATTCGAACAGCGCTACCGCCACAATCTGTCACACGCAGAGGCTCGATTCTGATTTCGGCCAGGGAAAAGTATGCGTACTTGCTACGTGTACTGAGGGAGACATGGTCAGCTGGGGTTATTTCATCGAAGAGAACGAACAACATGCTCAGGCAATGGCTATTGTTTCGGCATGCTTGGTAGGTACTTTGATTCCGATATGTTTTCGCAATGCTGACGTGTGTTGCAGCATTTGTATCGTCGCAAGCGGTCGGCGTTGCCAACGCAGAAGCAAAGCACGATTGGCAGAATTGATGCGAAGACGGCCCCTCCACGAGCAGTTACAAAAGCGTAGAAAACGCCGCTTCAGTTTCAAGCTTCATTGTGTTCTATGTCAAAGACATCGGTCGGAATTTCGAAACTGGGGAAGCTTTGACTTGCGTGTTAGTGTTACCTATGATGCCTTGAGCCTTCCCAACGTATTGCTTGCCTACATGCATCCATGGGCTGAATTCCTCAATACTCTGGCAGCTTTCCTTAGAAATATATTGCCATTTTTCCCGACATCGAATCCATGTGCTCGTTTCCCATGAGCCTATGACGTTTCAGCAGCAATTTGGGCCCTCTGAATACTAATCTTAGGCGCTTTGTTAGTTAGCCCATCACCCCTTTGAGTGGTGAGAAATAACGTGTAGTAAGACTATTCCCGTCTCTCTTTCTTAAAAAAAAGTGGTCAGCAATAACCTGTTGTCGTCCCTAGCAGCCAGTTTGTGCTATCATGATCCTGTTGTCCAAGTCACTTCAGAGTCGAGACTTCAACCTGTGTGAAGTTACTCCTTGTCATAGGATGAATCGGGACGTAACTTCAGATCTGATAACTTCTGACGAAGTGCCGCTGAAACCGGAAACCTAGATCGGCCTTTAGACCGAGTGATTTGCAGCGAAAGATGCATGATGGATCTTCTGTGTTGAAATTTAATGGTAGCGCGGTAACAGGGATTAAATCAATGCTATCTCGAAATTTGTTGCGTTGAGGTAGCTTCCAGGGCAATCAGCCACGAGCTTTCTGTACTTCAATTGTCTGCGTATGACTATTAATTAGCTAATGTCTGAAATACACGTTTATAACGATTGAGATGCGAAACTTGGCCTTCGGGGTTTCGTCGACCATCAATAGTCAGCAAACCGCAATATCATGGGTCTTTCAAACTGTATCCGCTGTCTTTTCGCAGACAGGAGAGCCCAAATCCTTGCGGTGCTTATCTACATGCATCACCAACCCTGAGCTGAGGTTCCTTCACGGCATCAGCGTATCGCCGTAAATCCCACACTGAAATTCATCATCAGATGTGAAAGTATTATTATGGAGCTTGTACGGGCGGGTCTTGGGGCAACTTGAGGGGAAAGACATAAAAGATTGTGCTGTGCACAAAAGGTCGACTAAGCCAGATGGGGTCAGCCTTTCGACGTGGAACACAAATTGTGAAATGAGCTGGGATGTTCAATCTAATGCCGGGGATTCCACGCTTTTCAGCGTAGCGACGGCCCCCAAACACAGCCATCAGCCAACAGTTACCGGCACGTCAGCATGGTTCGCCTCGACACATCTCCAGTCCCCCCATCGAGTCGAGAAAGCTTCCAACGGTGAGGGACTTTCGAAGCGGACCACATGTGCCCGCGGTCACACAACCAACACTCAGAACATCCTCTCAAGCCAGGTCTTAATGATGGTATTCTCCGGCCGGCCGTCTGATGCGTGCTCCCCCTGTCGTAAGGGAAGACTCAGGGTTCGTACCATTTCCCACCCAAACCCCCCTTTTCCTACTGGACCGCTCGTATCCTCGGCCCTCAAATCGGCGAACCCTACGGTGCGGCGGCATCGCGCCACCGCTCACATTGCCTCTCATCACGCGTAGCCAACATGAACCAGATTGTGGAAGTCAAGGCTGATTTTCTTATTCTATTGATGGTGTTCAGTGCGACCGCCTGCAGCCTGGCTGCACTCAGTGCTCCCGCAAAAACATCACTTGCCCGGGCTACAGGGATATTTCGGACTTCTTGTTTAGGGATGAGACAGCCAACGCCGCTTATAAAGTCCAGAATCGGAAGCCAAGGAGACGCCTTCAGGTCAGAATGAGGCAGCCGGCCGATGCACAGTCATCTCAGCAAAAGCAAAGTGATCGGAAACCTGCAGAGGTGGTCCCGTCGACGCCGGCAGCCGGAGTGAGCGCGGGACCAGCCGCTCCGCAAGCGGCCGGGAAAGTGATCGAAATTGATACCCCTTTGGGATCGCCTGCAGATCCACCACCGGAGCTTGCTCTGGCTCGTTATCGGAACCTTACTCAGCCTACTGAGGACGTTGCCCGGACATACTTCATGGTTGACTATATCTCGTCTTCACCTTTCGAATGGCTCCCTCAACTCTGTCCCCATGGCTTGCCTAAGCAGGATGCCATGTCGGCCGCCATATCGGCTGCGGCGTTAGCCAGTCTCTCGCTGAAGATGTCGGATCCCAGACTTATGAAGCACGCTCGAAAGCACTACTCCAACGCGCTGTATCACACGAACAATGCTCTCAGCACTACAGAACTTGCTATTCAGGATTCAACTCTCGCCGCTGTTCTTTTGCTAGGCCTCTTTGAAGCACTCGTTTTCACAGGTCAACAGTCCCTCGATAGTTGGAACGCCCACGCGATTGGGACCGTGGAGCTTCTCCGCCTTCGTGGGACCCGGCAGTTCCAGACGCCTCTTGGCCGAAGACTCTTCCTCCACTCGAGTGGTAATATCCGTACCAGCTGCGCGCACACGAAGCGGCCAGTTCCTCCACGGTTCCTCAAGCTTTATGAAGATGCGAAGCCACTGCTCGATCTGAGTGGCCCTGTCCACCAAGTGGCTCCTCTCAACGATCGACTCGCAAGTCTGCGTTCCAGAATAGCACAAATCGAAGGTCAACATAGGCAGGAATTGGTACTTGAGGCCTTAGACCTTGACGCCGAGACCGTGAGAATAGGTCAGAGCGTTCCAGAAGACTGGAAGTTCACGGCAAGACTCCCAGAAGAGAGCTCCCCTTTGACGTACAAGGGAATTTCCCTTCGGTATCCGTCTTTGAGTGCTGTTCGATACTGGAACTCCCTGCGGATTATTCGCATGTTTCTCAATGATCTCATATGGGCACAGTCTTCACTTGCACTCAACCAAGGTCCCGATCTCGACGACGACACCGATTACGAGGAACTCCAGGCATTAACTGCAAGAAACATGTCGACACTCGTGGTCGAGGTGCTAGCCAGCTGCGGCGAGTACCTGGAATCGTCCGAGAGGCGGTTCTCTGTCACAGCCAGGTGCCTGATATGGCCGCTGTCCGTCATCGCAAACGCTTCCCTTGCACCACAGGATGCACGTCAGTTTGCCAGCGACTGTCTCGAACGGCTTGGGCGGGATTGTCGCATCCCTGAGTCGATTGGTCTTGCAACCGGGACACACTTGATCTGCGAAGCCGAATGGTACGTAGACTAACTATCTCAATTATGCCAAAGCATCGCCCCTATTGAGTTACTCCTCAGGTGCTCTTCCATATCTCATCACTTCACGTTCGATATAGACACGACTTTACATCATTCAAACCCACTCACGCAATGACTAGAATGGCCTCGAACGAAGAGAAGATACGGTCATCCGCCAAGAAGGCTCTACAGTGTTCTCTGGCATATCATACACTATTTTCAGTCTTCAGAGCACTCCTCCAGCATGTCCCGTTTACCCAGCCTACACAATACCCGATGTGTCGATGATGATCAATAGCAGCAATCATCACACTGGATGGAACCATTTTGGCGACTATGCGTCATGTGCGCGCGGCGTCATGTTGCAACGTGCTGAGAGCCGTGCCCTGGGTCGTTGGTGAAGTGTTGCTGCCGACGGCCCTCCTGCGTTTCTTTCTGATCTGAAAGCAAACCCCAAAGCCAGTGATGATGGCACTAGCTATCCCAACGACTAAGCCTGCTATTTCACCCTTAGTCAACCCATCGCCGTCGGCCTTCTTCGAGTTGTTTGGGGCATCGGTGGAAGAGCTGCTACTCGAGACAGATCCAGAGGTCTGCGTCGCCCGACTTTCACTCGAAACCGTCGCATCTCTCGTGGGTATGAAGGGAACACCTTCGCTCGTCTGGGTTACCGGTGTGCCTGGGTCGTTGGGTGCGTTGAAAATCGCTCCGTTCGCAGTCGCGCAGTATGAGTCGTAGAAGTTGACCATGCTGGTTAGGTCTGCCGACCAGTTATCGCTCTGGCTGCATCCACTACTGACACAAGAAGATATGTAGGATGTGGCGTAGCTCCACAAACCCGTGTTGCAGTAGCATCCGTTCATCGGCTCGCAGCCGCATTGCATCGCGATGCCGAGATCGTGGTATCCGCCGACACCACAATGGTAGTTGCCGTTATATATGAGGCAGCCAGCAGCACAGGCTCTCGCCGTCGTGTAGGGACGTTCAGAGTGTATGCTGACTCTGCCGAGGGCGCCTGTCGTGATAGCGGCAGCTGAGACAAGATGGTTTAACAGCACGAGGCCGATCCCGGTCATTGGGAGAGAGGTTGCCTTTTCGGGGTTCTTCAGCAAGAGCATGGTGAACGCCTGTGTCTTCTGTGATCGGACGAAATACTGTTGAACGAATCTTGGAAGTGCGGGATACGACCCTTCAAAGGTTTGGAGTTGACGAGGTCCTTGTGACACAGGCGAAAAGGGGCAAGAATTTATTGTGCCTTGCCGTCTGTTATACTTGGCAACCGGGCTGAAGAAAGCCCAACATGAAGGCGCAAGCAAGTCGATAGTTGCAGATCTAGCCTAGTCACCGCCAAATATCAATAATCCTTCAGGTGATGTTAAGTGCGGCTGAAGCATGTGTGGCACTTCTATCTGCGACAATGTGGTAGCACAATGGCGTTCCATGCAGGCAAGGCGTCTCAGAGGTCAAGCCCTGGTCCAAATTGAAGGTCCAATGGCATGGCATCGAGAGTGTTTGCAAGCTCCAACGCCGAAGCCATGGGCCAGTCCCAGACGTTCCACTGAAGCTGGTCCATCCCCGGCGGTTGCGTTTCTTTCGATGAGAATGTCTTTACTCGGAGCATGTCAAGCACTTCAGCACATTGGTTGATGTAGCCTTTGGCATTCTCCTCCCTGAACTGTCGTAGTGTTTCTGCGCAGGTTCTGACGAGATCCTCATCCCCCTCATCCGTGGTGATGGGCTGGCCTTTCCATCTAGCAAAAAGTATCGTCAAACCAGCCTGCCAAAGCATATGCCTGCCATTGGGATGCAAGTGAGCAATGATCATGGCGTCCAACTTTCGATGGGTCGTATCGAATGTCAAGTCGCCCAATAAACTTGAAGACAGTCGGATGAGCTCCGCAGAGGCACGACCGCACGCCATCAAAGAAATGGTGAACTGAGGATCTGCGGTCGTGAAAGCCAGGGCCGGGCGATGGACATGCACAGTGGCATTACAGAAAGCGGCACGAAGGAATGCGACTTCAAATGCGTCAATACTGACTGCTGGTGGTTCCACCCCTTCGTCGTCGGCATCGGCTGCTTTGTCAATTGGCAGCATTCTTTCCCACATGGTAAGTTCCGCTTGTAGCTGTGTGATCTTTGCCACACCACCGCGTCTCCGCGTAGTTGTGTATAGCTTCTCTAACGCCTCTCCAACGATGACTGCAAGCTTGAACATGCATAATGCCGAGTCTACCTGTGATCGCTCGCCAGGTAAGGGGAAAGCCACGCTGTTACGGGAGACTTGATCGTGGTCGACGCGTGATGGTAGATCGGTGTCGACGTCTTGATCGCGGATGAGTCGTGGCATTCCATGGTAAGCACTTGAAAATCTGACTAGAACGTGAGCAGATGAATGTATGAATCCTTGGCTGGAAGAACTAACGTGTCAAGAGAGTACTGGCACCACCATACACGCCGCCGCAACTCAGTCTCCAACGGGTCAAATTTGAAGCGTTGTGAGTGACGATGAAGACCAAGATTTTGAGCCATTCTAGTGGCCATTCCTCCCAGATGAGAAGCAACAGAGTGCCGAGAAGATAATTGTAGGTAAATCTGGGCTATTTCGAGCCCTTGCAAGGTCGGTAAGCAAGGGCGTTCTTGAAGTCTGCTGGTCAAGTTTGCCGACATCGTGTAGTACTTGTCTGAAACGCATAGAAAGTGCCGATGAGTCTGATCGCAACTTCCTGCGTGGCCCAGAGTCCCCAAAGCCAACAAGCCCAGAACCTGATATAGGATGCTGAGGTCGCCGTGCTCAGGGTCATCGTAGAGCTTCTGGAAAGCCTCTATGGTAGACTGCTTATGCACGATGGGATACAGAGGTGTCCAACGGTCAATAGTTTTCTCGAGGATATCGATAGCGTCCAAGGGAATTTGGCCGGTGATAGCAGCGATTATCTGAGAGTCGGAGTCTTGCGATGGAACGCTCCATAGGTTGTGGAGATAGAGGCTGTAAACGCTGCTTGGAAATGTGTCTGAATGAATCCTGAGCATTTGCAATTGTTGTTCAGCTTGGCTGATGAAGTGCACTCCCGTCGAAGACCCAGCGAACATGGCGATTTGGTCGTCGTTTGAAACTAGCCGGCCCATGTGGCCGATCACTGGCTCTGGCCCATGTCTTGTCTGCCTGGCTGATGTAGCCTCCGCACGATGAGGCCATGTCGACCCAGGCCCATTGGCGATGTTAACTGAGGCATTCGACGACGAACACCCGGTGACGGCTGAATGCGATTGTGTGGCATCAGGAAGGTTCGAATTGAGGTCTATTGCCGCACCGATGGAATCGGGCGTTCGTGTTGGGGTTGAACCACTGCGTCTTTCATCGATGACTTCATTCTCGTAATAGCTGTGTATTGGTTAACTAAGATATCTTCTGAATCTGTGAGGAAACGTACCTTTTTCTTTTTCTATTCCGCTTCAGTTTCATCGATACTACGCAGGCTACGCCCCCGACAGTGCAAGGCGTACACTGAAAATACATGTTAGTATGTGTGTCTCGACTCTTTACAACTTGCTTAGAAATGCAACTTGCCTTCTCTCCGTCGCCGTAGCATCGAATTTTCCTTCTACCAGAGTCCGTTGATGTCAGAGAATACGCAACAGTCAAAACGAAAGCACACGTACCGTCTACAACGATCACTGTTGAGCAACGTCAGCAGAAGAAAAAAGCAGTAGAGTGAGGTTTGCAAAATGGGGGCTAACCAAACTTGTCCCGACTGCGCTCCGCTAGGATTGTTCTGATCGTTCATTGTTTCAGTCCATTGAAACCATTAGCATGTTGGAGCGTTGTGATCGCAGCTGCCTACAATGGCTCGTGAGTGGCGTTGCAAACATGAGCAGATGGCGATGGGTTGTTGTGGGGAAGATGAAATCGAACACCAGTCCGAAGCCCACCGTGGTAGTGCTGGTGTTGTTGCATGACTCGGTTAATTGCATGACGTTCCGTGACCTACGTCTCGGCCTATCACAGACCCAACATGGATGAACAAACAAGTGTCATTGCTATGTTTGAGATGGAAGACTTCATCTCAGTCTGTCAGGTTGATGTGCATCTAATTTGACTGGTGGGGAAGTTCCTAAGAAATCATGAGAACTTCTCGGGGCTCATTCACCCTCTCACGACAAACTTTCTCATCCGTCTTCAAAAAGCCTGCGATTTTGTTCTAATAAATAAATCCAAATGATTTATGCTCAATTAATAGAAAAAAACAGATTTCTTTCTTCCCACTCCTGGAACAGAACAAAAGACTTGAAGCTCTGTGAGAATCGATGATGAAATGATGAGAATCGGTAAAATATTCGAGATTTGGTATCACCGGGAGTTCATGTAGCTTCATTTTCTTCGTCTACTTTTGGAAGGTAAATCTTAGTGTGTATGGTTTTTGATGCCGTTCCCGTTCACAAGGCTTTTATCCCCGTTGGCCCTAGCAGTTGTCTGTTCAAGCAACTCGTCAACCATGAGCTGGCAGCACCCCATGTACTTGGTAGGGTCGCAAAGCTTGGAAAGCTGGGCTGAGTCTAGATGTACTGTGACTTGCGATGACTTCTCTAGCGCATCTTGCAATGAGACGTCGTTCTCGTGCGCCTCCACACATGCCTTGTAAACAATCTCGTGCGCCTCCTGTCGGCCGGTGTACTTAGCCAGGTCCATCATCACGGCCTCGGCCACAATAAGACCTCGCGTGGACTTGAGATTAGCCAGCATGGCATCCTTGTTGACCTGCAAGCCAGACAGAGCAAACTCGGCTTGGTAAAGAGATCCCACAATCGAGATAAAGGCTGTCGGAATTGCAGCCCATTCCAGATGCCAGGGACCAGAAGCTCTCTCAAAGTCGGAGACCATTCCATCTAGAACCAGACCGGCTTGGGCGCGAAGGATCTTGGATTGAGCAAGGATAACCTCGCTAGAAATAGGATTTCGCTTTTGAGGCATAGTAGAGGAGGCACCGCGGTGAGGAACATACGGTTCAGCAACCTGAGAGACCAAAATCACTATGTGACATCTTTACGGTATGCGGACTTTTACTTACCTCGTTCAACTCGTTGGACGACATGACAATCAAGTCCAAAGCAATCTTTCCCAAACTACCTCCAACTAGTGCAAGGTAATTGATTATTTCTGCAACAGTATCGCGTGCCACATGCCAGGTGATGACGGGATCTTGAAGGCCAAGGATTGTGGCCAGACGCTTGCGCACACGGATTCCGCTGTCCGAAGTCCCCAAGGAGGCTAGGGTGCCGGCAGCACCGCCGAACTGCACAAGCAAACAGCTTTCTTTGATCTGTTCAATGCGCTTGACGTGTCGGCGAAAGCCCGCCAGCCATACAGCACATTTGTAGCCGAACGTGATAGGGAGGGCATGTTGCAAGTGTGTCCTACCAGCCATTGGCACATCTCTGTAGGCGGCCGACATCTTCTCAAGGGTAGAAGTGACCTTGCGGAGGAGGCGCTCAACAATTTCCAGGCCATTCTTCATTTGAAGAACGGAGGCGAGATCCATGATGTCTTGAGTAGTCGCGCCCCAATGGATGTAACCAGCTGTATGAGTACTGCTTTAGTGACCTGCGTGGCCATTGATACTACTAGGGTGAGTGAACCTACAAGTCTCTTCAGGAACCCATTTCGACATCTGCTCAACCAAGGCAAGAACCGGATATCCAACAATCTCAGTGCGAGCTGCCAAAAGTTGCCAATCGATTTTGGACACGTCGCAATGCTCATTCAGCACAGCAGCCGTACCTTTGGGAACAATGCCCTCGCCCTCCTCGGCCTCGGCAAGTGCGCATTCCGCCTTGATCAAATTGGCAACATAAGAGCGCTCGGAGAAGGCTTGGCGGGCTTCCTCAGTGCCGAAGATGTTGCCAAAGAGAGTTGAGTCGAATACTGTGGCGGCAGACATGATGGTCGATTTTGCTCCTGGTCGTTGCAGCGAGAAGATCGGTGGACAAATAGGAGATATAATCCGTTCTCATGCAAGTACGACCCTACCGCAAATCGTTCCAACGGATTTGAGAGTTCGTTCGAATCCATTTTATTTTCTTCCCTGGATGAAATCCTTCCCCTCCGTCCGGTCTTACACCGAGCCCCGCGGTGGAGCACGGGATAACGCGATAACGGGGGCCGGCAGGCGGGATAAGCACGGCGGCCAACCAGCGACGGCGTAGCGGCGTATCGGCGTAACGGCGTAGCACGGGCCAAGAAACCCGGCGAACTGGTCTTGGCCCCGTATCCCCTGCCCCGGGTCCGCTGCTAACGTGAATTAAACTCGTTGCGGGGAATCTGGATTCCTGGGGATTAGTCGAACCACCCCCGCAAAGCCGGGGATGGAGAGTCAACAGGTATATCAGGTATAATTCTGGCCATGTCCGGCTTGATGTTTTCTCGCCTCTTTTGCTAGGAGACCAACGGACCTTATCTTGGATTTCTATTTCCTCCCATCGGCACCAGGTCATCAATTTTGGTTTCCTGGCACTTCTATTAACATGTCAACCGTCACGGACAAGCCTGGCGGGCCCCTTGAGGTCGAGCATGACGAAAAGTCGGTCAAAGGGGAGGCTGTTGTCTCGGGTGACTACTCTGGAGCAGCCGAAAAAGCCGATCCTGCTGAGATTGCCCTCGTGCGAAAGCTTGACAGGAGAATCATGGTGAGTTCCGACCAAGTCCAGAGATTATCCAAAGCTAATGACATTGATCGCCAGCCGATTCTTTGGGCCATGTACTTCCTCAACTACGTGCGTTGATCCTCGAACCCAACAGCTCGCGACGATTCACTAACAGCTAAAAAGCTCGATCGAAATGCCCTTCCACAGGCTCGACTGAACACTCTAGAGGAGGACCTAAATCTCAAGGGTGTGGAGTACAACACGGCTATCTCGATCCTCTTCGTCGGCTACCTGCTGATGCAAGGTAGGCCATCTCCGAGAAGACACGTAACATACAATGCTGACAGCTCCAGTGCCTTCAAACATGTTTTTGACTCGCACGAAGCCTTCTGCATACATGTCCATATGCATGATTGGCTGGGCCGCCGTTTCGGCTGCAACTGCTGGGGTCAAGAACTACTCCGGACTCGTCGCGGTTCGGTTCTTTCTAGGCTTTGTCGAAGCTGTAAGTTCCATCAAGCGAAACTGCGAAGCTCATTCTGACGTTTTGACTAGCCATTCTACCCCGGCGCGCTGTACCTGCTCTCTATTTTCTATACCAGAAAGGAGCTTGCTACCCGAATCTCGCTCCTCTACACAGGCCAGGTTATCAGCACCGGTTGCTCTGGTTTGATCGCCGCTGCAACATTTTCCACTCTTGACAAAGTCAAAGGCCTTGCTGGGTGGCAATGGTAAGTTCGATGTCCGCCCGACAGTCAAATTACCATCTAACAAGGAGGCGGCTAGGCTTTTCATTATTGAAGGTTCTGTCACAGCTTTGGTTGCCATTTTTGGCTTTTTCCTTTTGCCAGACGACCCTTCCGAGACCCGCTGGCTTACAGAAGAAGAGCGGAAACTTGCGGTTGACCGAATTCGTCGCGACACTGTTGGTCAGCAGGAACGCGGATCAACTCTGGATGGCCTCAAGCAAGCCTGCAAAGACCCAAGAACATGGCTCTTTTGCTTTATACAGAACACCCATATCTCATGCTGTTCTTTCAATAATTTCTTTCCCACTATCGTGCGCAGCATGTAAGTTTTGGTGGTGAACAATCTCCCGATGCAAACAGAGCAAAGTTGACACAATTCCCAGGGGCTTCCAATCAACCACCGCGCTCCTGCTCACTGCCCCACCTTACTTCGTGTCGGGAATCTTGGGTATTCCTTTGGCTTGGTCAAGCGGCAAGTTTAATGAGAGAACCTGGCATATCACTGCTGGCCTGGGCTTAGCCATTGTGGGTTTCGCCATGACTTGTGGCAGCACAAACAACGCAGTCAGATATACTGCCACCTTCCTCTATGCTACTGGCGCTTACGGTGAGTACCTTTATCTCCTTGAAAAGTTATGTGACAGAGTAATTGGCTGATTTGGCGAAGGAGTTGGCTCTGTGATTCTGGGATGGGTCAGCAACACGCTGTCTCAAACACCTGAAAAGAAGGCCGTTGCATATTCACTCGTCAATGTGACGGCAAACCTTGCCTACATATACTGTGCTTATCTGTGGCCCAGCTCTGATGGACCCAAGTATATGATGGGCTTCTCGAGCATGATTGGTTTTGCAGCCGTCAGCATCGCCGGCACATGGGTTATGCGCATTTGGTTGATGAGGATGAATAAGAAGATTCGGGAAAGTGAGGATGAGAACGCAAGGCTGTATGCCTACTAATTCTTCTTTTGGTCATCATTCGGCTAGTAGAAGATGATGGATCGCAGCTTAGCTTAGTGCAAGCTTCGTGGCCGGACAACCTTGAGCTTTGCGGGCCAGCATATGACTACTTGGTGGGCACAGTAGATATGAGAGAGTCAATTCAACCCACCTCGCTTAGTCTATCCATATCATCTCATTCGAGCTTTCATCAAATTCCTCGCCGTCCATTATTCCGTGGACATATGTCTCACCGACGAGTTTCCAAGTCCTTCCATTTTGCCTGAACGCCAAAGGGGCCTTCGAGCCCTGAACGAGGAAAATCTTGTCCCCGATCCTTACAGTTGCTGGTCCGAGACCGATGTAACCACGTTGTGTCTTGACCATTGTTCTGTTCCATCCAGTGTACGCAGTAAATATCCAAGACGGGTCCTCTGCACACAGGCTAAGTAGCGAGGCATATGCAATGAAGGTATGCCATATGCTGAGAATCGCCAACCCAACTTGGACCCCAAACAGCCACTTTGGTAATAGGCTTGTAAGCATGACCACAATCCTGTCGAATGCCTCAGACTCTTCAGTCTCCTCAGCTACCTCTATCGGTAGTACTAGCTCACACCATCTCAGCATCTTCCAAAAGACCTCACGCCTCGATTGATTGGTGGGCCCATATGCACTCGGGCAATCAAGACTGCAAATTTCACGCCAGGAGAGATATGCTCGGAAAGCAGATTTTCCTTGCCTTGTAGGATTGTCTGGCATCGGAATTCCGATAGCCGTGACCTCATCAAAATGGGTACCAAGCAGTCCGAGGACCCTTCCGTCTGCGCTAAACTCCACGTGTGCCTTGGAATCACGAGTAGCTTTTGCGTGATAAACAGGGCGAATGCCATCACTGTGACCTGCGAAAGTTCTCCCGATCCATATTTGATCTGTATCATACCCCCATCCAAGAGACCAAGACGGGAGTCCAGTATAAGAAAGGTTGGTTCCGTGGCTCCGTGAAAGAACGTCCAAATCAACTCTGTTTTTGAGGATCGCGGCAGTGAATTCGATGAAGACTTCAGAACAGCTTTTAGAGTAGTCGACTTTCACCCCAATGGAACTGTTGTGCTTAATGAAGGCCATCACTCCATAAATCTTGTCGCGTGGATTTGTTGCTGAAGAGTCTTCATTGACGGAAAAGACATCGAAATGGTCCATAATAGGATCTCTTATCCATGCGATCCGACTTTGCACGGGACCTGAAGGTGCAATGGGCAAGAACGTTTCGTTCCACTTCGAATAATCGACAAGATGCGCCCAGTTTATCTCATCAGGACCGCTTTTCAGCAAGGCTTCTGGACAGACGGCGGCCTCTTGCAGAATCCATACCCGAGTAAACCATGGCAGTGCCCACAGATGTTCAAGTGCTATGGAATCAAATACTCGATCCCAGAACCAGTTTTCCCTAAGTTTCTTATCCGTCCGTGGGGTTCGACCGGTCGTACGTTGAAGGTTGTGCTCAGCATGACGCCAGCAACGCATGGAAACCTTCATGTCACCGAGAGGGTATGCATGAGAGTATTCCATCAGTACACGAAGCACCCGAAACGCTCTCCGCGTGAGAATGTTTGGCGGTCCTAGCCATATGACCGTTCGTACGCACTGCTCGTAGATCTTGCCCATGAGGGGTACCTGAGTATTCTTCTCCGCGGCGTCTTTCTGGTTTATGCAGATCGCATCGATCCACATGGTACGGTGAGGATCGGATCCTCGCAGGTATTGAAGAGCAAAGTAGAGGTTCTCGCCCGCGGAAAATTGTCTTCCATCAACGTAGATCTCCTGCATTTTCGTGGACGTGCCCCAGCAGTACGATAGTGCCTCGTATGGGGGCTTCTCGGAAAGTCGTGCGTGCCGCAAGCGGCAGGAGATAGGTCCCGGTCCGGGCAGCAAGTCAAGGACCCGGATTTCATCTTCGGAGGAGAGAGGGGTGTACTGGAAACTGGCCATCGCGATGTTGATGCAAGGGAAAGGAATCAGGCTATGTGCGGCTGAATGTCAGGAGAACGACCCCCTGGTCCGCTCAAAGCCTGACCCCGCTCGAGATCGCGCTGCCTATGCGAGTTGTCCAATGATGATGACTTGCTTGTGTGCGTTTTTCATTGTCCCGCTGAGGTTGACGCGTCCGACTATCTCTGCCATCATAACTTGCCCTAAGACCACACTTGTAGCAATTGCCGCCGAACAGTTCTATTTTTGAAGTGGCGTCCGGTGGCTTCGCAATGAATATTTTCCTCGAGTTCTTATTCAGATATTCCTGATGCGTACATGCCTCCTCCCGTCTTTGTGATGCTCTTACTGGTGCGGCAGTTGTTTTTATCGATTTTTGGATGCGACTTTAGGCTGTAAGTAGATGTAGGTTAACTGTGCGATGAGAGGCAGAGGATCTGCGTCAATCATCGTTCTTGCATCATTCACAATCACGGGTCATCAGCTATGGGAAGCTTAACGAGTTGTCAATACCGGGCATGCAGCAGGGCGCACAGTCAGATGGTGGATTAATCTATGCAAGTCTTGAACTTCGCATCCATTGGATAACAGAGCTTCCGCCTGGATCAAGACTAGAAATATGTCCGGCGGCGGGTCGGCGGGTGGCATGCCGCCGGTCTTCATTGTGCATGAGTAGCCTAAGGCGAGAGGGTGTCATTGTAGATGTCAGAATTGATTAGGAATCTTGTCCTTGGCAGATCAAATCGTTTGCTACCTTACCTCAAAGGAGAAACGAGCTAGCAGCCATCGGTGCCAAGAGCTTGAGCAAGATTTGGGTAGGAAAACCGTTGGAACTTGGTAGTTGGGATAGGGAAATTCGAAGAGCCTGGTTGTTAGGCCATGTCATTAATCACTACTGACTGGGCAATTTGCAGTTCCTGGCGACGTAAGACCCCTGGAATCTCACTTTCAGCAATATTTCCACTGGTCCTTCATGGTGGCCAGTAATTTGACCATGAGCGCATGCACACGTAGACTCCTCGGATTCCACGGCACGGGACCAGTCTTCCTTGTTGACTGTTCAGTCCATAGTCAATAATTGCTACATGTTACCTCATGTCCTGCTACCTCGCGGGTATGCAATTGATCGAACCAAGCTTGGTCAATTTCAGGCTCGGGCCATTGTCATCGGACATGTCGACGGCACTCCGGTAGTTCCACGCTAGATTTACGACTCCATATATCCGGAAATAGTACCCGATGAGATGGGTCGAGAGGGTCTTGTTAAGCTTAACCTTTTCTTGACAGGATCAGGGCGAAGTGTTTCCCCAAGTTGGGACGGAGCATGATTCAAATAAACGCGTGAAAAAAGAAGGTGTCGGAAAACTCCATCCAACTGCGATGCCGCATCGCCGACTTTTAAAGTCCCGTGCTCCTCTCATTTAGCTGAACCCCTGCCATCCACCTGTATTCGGACGGAAGCGGAGTAAACAGCTACCTTGGCGTGTCAATTAGAGAAGCTTAGACTGACAGGCCCGCTTGACATCAACGCCCGGGATATGCCCCGGCTCACAACTCCCGGATGAGGGAAGACTACCGTGCCTTCCCTTCCCCTTCACATGTCTCCGCCAATGACATTCTCGGCGACCGCTGAATAGAGTCGGCGCGGAGGCAGATCCAACGGCTTTCATTGCACGGAAGTTCCCAAGATTCGGGGACCACTGCATCGGTGAAAGGGTGGTGACAACAGCGCCCCCTCCCCCTCAGCACAAAGGCCAACCCTTGTTTGGTGGGAATGGATTCATACGAAGCCGCTTGTGAGATGCCGGCCCAGCCCTATAGCGTCTCTTGGCAAAATCGTCGTGTTCTAGCAGGTAACATGGGAATGAGACCGAGAGCGAGTGGTTCGGACTTCGTGAAATGAGATGCTGTCTGGGCAGGACGGGACGAGTCATGGGTTCCAGAAGGTTTAGACTTCTTTTTAAGATTGTATCCCCCCGGTGCAAATCCAACGATCTTCCCTGGTTTTCCGTCTTCACCTTCTCCATTGCGTATTGACGACGTTCTTTGCTAAGACACACATCATGAAGGCCACCTTTTTCTCTTTTCTCGCCGCCCTCGCCGGCACGGCGACCGCCCAGGTCCAGGGTAAAGCTTTTGGCTTTGCCGCTGGTACCACTGGTGGCGGCTCTGCTTCTCCTCAGACCCCTACAAGTCTTGCTCAGTGAGTCGCGGGCCTTCATGCGATAAAACACGGAGGTGTCGGTGATTAGGCAGAGAGCTGACTATCGCCAGGCTTAAGGAATGGCTCACAGACAGCACGGCGCGAACCATCATGATCGACCGTACCTGGGACTTCCGTGGCAGCGAGGGTACGACCTCGGGCAGGTGCTGCAGTGACAATCGCACAACCAAGTGTCCCGGAGGTACATCCAAGGGACAGGCTTGGATCCAGGACACCTGCGATGCTGCCAGTGGCACCTGGGTTGACTGCACTTACGACAATGCCGCGAAGAGCCCCATCGACGTCAACAGCAACAAGAGTCTTGTCGGTGTTGGCACCAAGGGTGTTATCATCGGCAAGGGACTGCGCGTCCGTGGCGGCAAGAGCAATGTCATCATACAGAACGTTAGTCAACATGAAACCCCTTTCTGTTCAGGAGACCACCACAGGAAGACAAGATGAGCCAGTACTAACGAAAATCCAGATTCACATCACAAACCTGAACCCTCAGTACGTCTGGGGTGGCGATGCCATTACTCTCGATGGGTCTGACAGGGTTTGGATCGATCACTGCAAGATCTCTCTCATCGGTCGCCAGTTCATCGTCTCTGGCTGGGGCGCCGCCGGCAAGGTCACCATTTCTAACACTGAGTTTGACGGCAAGAGCGAGTGGTCGTCCGGCTGCAACGGCAAGCACTACTGGACCGCACTCCTCATCGGCGCTAAGGACTACTGTGAGTTTCATCATCAACTTCACCACCATCAACTTCTCATGGAATCAACCGCTCATGTCAAGTAACCAGATACTTTTGCTGGCAATTATGTGCATGATACTTCGGGCCGCTCCCCCCATCTCGGGACTCTCAATGGCGTGACCGAGAACCTCTTCCATGGAGTTGTAAGTTATGAAGCTTTTTGTGAGTGCACATCGTGAGACCATCATCTAATCGCACCACAGAACAACTACTTCCAAAATGTCGGAGGTCATGCGTTTGATATTGATGGAAACACCTGGGGTAAGCAGCTCGATGCGAGTCTCAAGCGTTGACGTTAGTGCTAACGCCAGAGAAGTCCTCCTCGAGGGTAACTACTTCGACAGCGTGACGACCCCCATTACGCCCGCGACCTTGACAAACGGAGGCCAAATTTACATCGTCAACACCGTTGACGAGGCCTCTCGTTGCACATCTTACCTCGGCTACATCTGCGAATGGAACCGGGCGAGTAACTCCGGCACCGTCAGCTCCCTCACCAGCACCAACGCCTTGACCAAGCTTGGAGGCTTCAAGTCTTCCCTCATCGGTCACATCCCTGTTGCTGATGTTCCTGCCAAGGTCAAGGCCAACGCGGGTATCGGTAAAACGACTAGCACCAATGCCTAATCGGATGAATTGCCACACGGATGGACTCCGGCTACCTGTATAACCCTCTGGCCGGGGCCAACGGCTCCTGAACTTTGAACATACTTGTCCTTCATTGTATTTACTTCACACGTATATATCTGGTCTTGCGGCTATGTCGTATTGAGCCTCACTTTTATGACATGATGGAGTGGTTTGATTGAGATCCTCATCACTCATGAATGAAATGAAGTTGACCCTTCGTATATTGACTGTTACATGTAAGGAAACCTGAATAGAACTCGTTCTCAACATTGAACGAAAGAGCACCGCTAGCTCCGGGTATATGGACGACTGCCAAACCGCTCGGTGTTCACTCGTCCCACGCCCAATCAACGCCATACACCAAGTCCCGGGACACGGCAACCAAACCGTAAACCCCAAATCAACCCAACTTTTCTGTATGCCGAACCGCGTATCACTCCGTTTATCATGATTCCCTGAACTCCCACTCCTGTTGAATTGTGGGGTTCTGTATCGCCTTGGCATAGCCCGAGAGCCAAGCATGGCAGGCCTCATATCTTGGGTGATCGATGCCCCGCCTGCCCGTTACAACCATCCGGTCGGCAACGTCGAGAATACTTCGTCCCTCAACATCTCGTGCCTGCACATTGGCGCCGTGTTGCGTCAGCGTGCGCATAGCGAGCTTCTTTCCTCTGCGCACAGCAATGTGCAGCGCTGTCTCGCCGGACCGGTTTCGTGCGTTAATGTTTGCGCCGGCTTGGATGAGAAACTCGAGTATCGCCACTGGCTTCTTGTAATCATCGTCTTCGGGGAGCTGCGCGACAAAGGCCATCAATACGGTGTTGCCGTACTTGTCGTAGTGGTTCGGGTCAACGCCGAGATCAATGAGGTCCCTGACAACATTCTCCCGGGCCGTGAGGCGCTCTTTGGACGAGTCGGAGAGGGCCTTTTGGAGAACAGGCTTGTTGTGTTTGCGCTTGCGGCTGACTGGAGATGTTTGCTGTTGCTCGTCGGACGGAGCACCGAACTTGGCCAGGAGGGACTCTTGACTGAGAATAGCGTCGGCGAGGCAGTGCAGGGCGTTTCGGCCTTGGGAGTCCTGTAAGCGGGGCTTTCGGTAGGCTTCGTTGATGGTTCTGAGGAGATTGGCTTGCTGTTCGATCGGGGATGAGAGTTGTCGCTGAGTCCGGGCGTTCCAGGTGGGAGACATTTCCTCTCCGACGGCGTTGGTGTAGGCTCGACGAACGTTCAGACCAGGAGTCGCGGACTCGGGGATGTTGCCGAAAGCATCGCGGCGACAGTATTCTAAGGGAGAAAATAACGCCAGAAGAGCGTTTTTCGTCTCCTGGCTCACTACCCTGGGATCTTTTGAGTGAATGATGTGGCAAAAGTTACGGCCATACACATCGCATGCGTAAAGGTCGAACTGTTGTCGTTTCAAGAACCGGATGAGTTGTGATAATAGCTCCGCTCGACCCGTAAACCAAGAGTCGTTGAGCACATGCAAGAAGGTCTGGCCGGCACTGTTGGTGGCTGATGGGTTCGGTGACAACTCCCGAGTCAAGGCACTGTAAAGGTGGGAGTGAGGAGCGTTGCCGGCTGCAAGTAGGTGAAGAATTGTGTTGCCGAAAACGTCGCGGCGTGCAAAATTATCATCCGGAGGCTTGCCGTAAGCATAAACATATTCGGCAAATTGGCTTGGCCCCTGTCCGAATACCCAAGACTCGTGCGATAGCTCGTCTCTGACATGACAGTAGCAGGATCTTCTGTTGTGCTCCGGAAGCCCAGGCATGCAGGCACCTTGTTGTTCCAGACGGTGATGAAGACTCAAGAAATCGCCGGGAAGTGGTCTGGCCTCGGTCTCGGAGACTCTTTGCGGGGCGTCGTACTCGAAAATCCATGAAGCCGCGTTTGACTCGTTTGAACTCGAGGTTCCCGGGCGGTCCTCGTCGATCGGAGACTGATTAAGCATCATGTTGCTCGGCATCGTGTATCGCTTCAATAGTTTGTTGACTTGACGGATGAAGCCAGACGAGTAATCCGATAGAACGTCTCCCAGAGATTGCATTGTGCCGGAGCGGTGGAGTTCGGCAGGTTCGGCCGGGGCGACGGAAACGTATTCGGGGGTCATTAGGGTCGGGAGCGGGCCCGTGGCGCCCGGGTTCCACCCGGCGGACGAAGCACGGGAGTGGTCATAGGACTGAATCTCGTGCACGTTTGGACTGTTGCCGCCTTCATCCTTGAATTCGGGATTGACGCTCAGAAGCGATCTTGCGCCTGGGGAGGTGTATTCGGGTGAAAAGGCGTCCTCGGGCGGGGTCTGGCGCGTAGGGGAACTATCAAGAGCGGTGATGCGCCGCTCCATGTCGGTCCGAGTTCGAGGGTGAAGCCATCGCGGTTCTTTGTCGAGGATCGCATTGAGCTTCTTGTTGGCAGAGTCCTTTCTGGCTTGGTGTCAGCATAAGCATCGGCGCAAAAAGTTGAGTCGCCATACCCTGGACAATCCCGGTTACCGGGCGTCGCTTTGTGGACGACTTCAACGATCTTGACAAGAGGCAAGGTCGTATAAACGTAAAGCCTGGCCAACTTGCGCTCGGCGGAATCAGTCCACAGCGAGGGGCGACCGGTCTGAGCGCCGTAGGTGGCTTGCGAACTAGAGGGCGATTCCGACATTGAGCTGAGGGTAGTGGTAGCCCACCACAGCCTTGTCACGCTGGACAATGTAGAGCGTGTAAGTGAGTGCCTTTGGGTAGAAAGACGTCGTAGGATGCAAGAATGGCTATTGACCAAGATTCAGGCGAGAAATTGAAGCAAAGTACTCCAGAAGTGAGGAGAGGCTTGACGCGCAATGAAAACTGTTTGGAAAAGGTCTTGATGACAGGAAGTGAGGGGGGATGACCAGGCTATTCAATGGAGCTGAAAGGTGGTTCGCGCCGCCGTGGCGCCGTGGTGCGAGAGGAGGGATGGGATGGGATGGGCGGCCCAGACCAGACCAGAGAAACGGGAGCCGGCACGGCGCAAGGGTGGAACAAGCAGCTAATGGAAGGTGAAGAAGCTCGGGAAAGACGATAAGACTGGCTGGTCACCAACACTTGGCCGGGGGTCGCAGTTGCACAGCACTTGTTGGAGCCTGGGGGAGAGGAGTCCGAGGAGGAAGGTCTTGAAAGTGGCCTGGCGGAGTCGCATGGCCCAATGACTTGTTCTCCGAAGTGGAAGAAGGGATGGTGGTGTTGCCAGCAGGCTGGTTTGCAGGGGCTGGGGCTCAGCTGTGTGCCTTGGAGCATCCCGCTTGACCAACCTGACCTCGGGGACTCGGGTGAGATAACGAGGGCTGGCGAGAGAAGGTCGTGATTTCAAGTCCTCTAACGTTAGAAGCCGTGGAACATTGCATGAGGCGGCGTTTGCCCAGCCGAAGGTCAAACTGACCAAGAAACGGCGTCAGTTGAGGGGATTCGCGACTCGAGCAGCTTGCTCACGTGCGCCCACGAAACAACGATCCGTTCAAGCGGCTGATGAAGCGGCGGAACGCGATGAGGTTGGGTTGCTTTGGTGTGTTCAGCTCGAGGCACCAGCATTTCACCATCCTTGCCAGCGTCCACTACCCAAGGCATCAGCGACATACCCTCGTCATGGTCATGTTGGTAATTTCATTCTCAAAGGCGGTCAAAAACACTCGAAAACCGTCTGTTCCGTCGGGGCAGACTGGATTGAAAACAATGACTTCATTCCGAGATGTGAAATGCCACAATGGAGGATGGTGGACAACACGAAGATTAGGTCGTTCGGTTGGTCCGCTGTGGACTCGATATGGGCGCAGCTCCTGAACTGCTGTCATCCACAAAAAGCGATGAAATGTATGTGACTGGAGGAATGCAAAAACAGCCCTGTCAGGCATAGTTGAAGGAGGGGAACCGCTGGGGCAGTGTCTCCAAGGCCTCCTTGCGCTCTGTGCAATGAGTCGACTGGCGACGGGGGAGGGAATGACGTGCGTGCTGTGCCATGCCGTTCTGTGTTGTGCTGGGGCATACCGAGATCTACGTATATCCCCTGGTCCTGGTAACAATCTCGAGGTGAGATGAACATGACAAGAGATGGGATGCTCACAGTAAGCACAACCTCAGATATCTGTAGTTGAGGTACACACTCAGTGTTTTGGTGAAGTAAAAGCGAGAAGATATTTGGCTGCAATGCTGTCGAGGCATCCCATTGCTATCAGGATTGGCCTTTGAATTGAAACGTCAGTTTAGTCGGCCTCAACTCCAATACATATGTTCCACTTGTAATAACAACTGCTGTAAACTGAAGCCCGGTACCAAAACCTGGTACGGATAGCTTCAAGAATCGCCTTCACCTAAGTAATCATGTTTGAAGAGAGAATTCAAGTCAAAGAAGCAAATGAACGATTGGATGCCGTCCAATTCACAACACGATCAGTGATGCAGACACCGAGAACTCTGCTAGGTTGCTTTGGGTCAACAGGACCATCCCCGTCCTTCCCGTGAGACTGCCCCTCAATCCTCCGGCATCCTGCGCCGCTAAACACAGCCACCTTTACCTATTCTTCTTCGGACTATTTTTCACAATTGCAACTCTCAGAACTGAGAGAGGTGTGTTCCGGCGGCCTCGCAAGCGATTTGTTGGAGAGAATCTCGACTTTCACTACCAACTCCAGCCACAATCTTCCCGACACTCTGGTCAATCAGCGGAGTCACCGACTTCACCAACGTAGCAGCGCGGTGTTGGTGCCGGATGCCTCCCGTCTCATTCCAGCCAACATGCCTCTCCTCCGCATCGTCGGCGACGTCCATGGGGCCTGTCAGGGTCACCACTTGCCCCGCCCTTGGAGGCAGAGAAACTCTGAAGGAACTGATGATCCCCTCTTCCTCCCGACACGCAAATCATTGAAGCCAAGAAGAACATCCGCCCCTTGTTGAGCCAAGATTCCACCCACTTAGAACCCTGGCCTTGACCGATTTTTTCGTTTGGAGCATCTAACCATTAGTGCCCTAATGCACCTTCTTCGACTTCACGAACTTACTCCTGATCGCTATCCCCGTCCCGCCGCGGCCTTAGTCCCCGCGCCCTGACTTTCCCGCCCGTCCAATCCCGGCCGCTAACTCACCTTATTTTCAACCTCCCATCCACAGCCACTATCATGAACTACCAATGCCTCTCTAGCACATGCGCAAGCTCGCGGGCAGTGGGTACAACTCTCTCGGAGACTTTGTCGTGATACTCTGGGCTCTCTGGTGGCGAATATCAAGCATGAACCCAGTGATGCCACGCGCATCGGCGCGTTTCTGCGGCCGGAGGTTCTCATGACAGCTCTTCTTTTTTCCAATTCTCCATCAATTCGGTCTAATTCCAAACTCACCTCTTCTTTGTTAGCGCACTTACAGTCTCGGATGACCCAGATGATCAGGACCCCTGATGAAATTCCCCATATGCGATTCCTAATTCGACGACCTCTCCATCCGTTGGTCGTAAACTGATGATGCATGGCTGAGCTGAGTCCAGTCCCAGTCTCGCTCTACAACTCATCTGCGCTTCCCTAGTTAAGTCGCGTCTGTGGTAATTCGACTTGGTTCCTAAGTGTTCATCACGGGATCCTAAGCCACCATACATGATTCACAACAACTCCCCTTTGGTATTTCCCATCCTATCGACAATGATGATGTCGCCAACTCCCTATCGCCTCTATCTTTTTTTTCTACTTTTCACAGTCATCAAACCTTTTTTGGCAAGTAGTCTTCATACATAAACCCCAAGTGTTTCCGAAGGTCTCGTATGTCAGACCCAACCAACAATCTCATCCATCTTGAGACCCATCATCACGGCCATAATCGAGACCACCCCAACACAACTCATTTCCCGCGTGACCCAATCGCCTGTGATCATGACGGGGTCTAGCAAGTATTACGGATACCAGCCTTCTGCTGCCAAGTATGGAGCTCTCATCACATCCTCCCACGGGCCGTCCCTTGCTGACCCGTGCTAGGTACGCCCAGTCATCCTATAGCACGTCTGCCAATATTAGTGGACACGCAACGAACAGCAACTCGTACAGTACGGAGCGCTACGCGGCATCGTACAGTCCCTCGGACAGATTCTACGCCACCGGGCAACCCACAGGCAGATCAACCCAGGGTATGGCTAGGCAGATAGACTCGTTGAGTCGGCAGTTGGGTGATACTCGAAATGGTTACGTCAACAGCAACAACGATGGCAGCAGTCGTGCCAGTCAGGCCAGCAACGATTATGTCCGCAGTGGTTATACCAACAGCGATCGTCGTTGGTAGATATGGACCTCTTTCGTTGATTAGCCCTGTACGCTACCCTTTGCCTGTATAACATTGCTTTTTGTAAACTAGATCGATACCCAAATCAAAGAATATCTTATCCCCTTGTGTCTTGTCTGATGGGCCCCCATCTGATAGTTGCCTTGGGGCAGGCCTTGTGTTGATAAGCAAGCGAAGTTGCCGACGTATAATGTCGCAAGGGGCAGACGAAATCACATCTATTCCATGGGGCAATCGACCCCGTTGCCTCACAACTTTGGCCTTGAATCGGGCTCGAAAAACTTATGTTCGTATGAATAAACTAGCGACGACGCACGACGACGACGACGACAGCGACGACTACAGCGACAATAGCGACAGTAACAATAATGACGGCAAAGATGAAGACGACAAAGAAGACAATGAGATAATGGCTCGCCCCGAGAGAAGGGTGTTATTTAGTCTATCCCTGTCAAAACTTGAGATCTGGTAGGTTTGGCTGTAGGGAAGGGGCTGAGAAAGTATGGTATCTATTGACGACACGATTTCATGAGCGCAAGCCTATGTCGCAATCATCAGCATAAGATATGGGAAAGTTCAAGGCTAACTTTTTGATTGATCTAAGCTGTCATCCGTTGATCATACGTACATGAGACGAGGTGCACTGCTCCTTTTTGCACTTCGGCCGATAACTCCAATAGATCTTGGAATAGCTTCAGACGCATATGACACCAAGTGGCACCCAAACACTGTTCCCAAACAGACCACCGAGCAGAATATCCAGAAACGGTCGAATGCTATATGTGAGTCCGCTATGCTCATCCACAATAGAGAAACAAATTGTAGACCCGCCTTTGTCCGGTTGAAAACCGAGCTGTAGGGATGCTCTCGACTTCAAGGGCCCAACGAGGGCCAGAGATGAGATTCCCATCTTCTCAACTACCTTCTTCGCCGGACCCTCCCGTATTCGGAAAACTAGTCCCGGCAGTTGCACTTCTCAAGTCTGTGTGAGCCTCAGCATCTTGGCGACGGCTGAAACTGTCACTCGCAACAGACTTGGGACGGACGATGTCGGCGGAGGAGGGGAACTATATCAGCCAGATAAGTTCCGAAGTACCGAAGTGACAGGTCTCATGTTTTCTCCGTCGAAATTCATGCAAGCCCGGGCCGCGCTTGTTCACTTCAGCGAGGCCCTAGATATGTTAGCGGTGGTGGGAATTTGTGTTGATTAGTCTTGATCCGGAGACGCAAGGGAGCTCGCGCCAGACCGTGGCCGGACGACTCTGGAACCCCGCCGGCGCACGAACCGTCACTGAGACACTGCTCCAGCTCATTTCTCACTTTCATCTCACCACATGTTTCTCCACCTTACTTTTATTCCCCTGAGCTCTGTTTGATCTTACGGCGATGAGTAAATTCGACGTTTACCGATTCTTTGGTTGAGATGTGAATATCGGGGTTGCTTTGCGACTGTCATTTGCAATTCATCGCCACCAACACGACGATCAACATCCACCTTCAACAACCAGGCTATCACCACCAAATGATTCATCATGACCGAGACAAGACTGCGCAGAAAGCGCCTCGCCGAAGACGACGATGAAGACGAACACCATAGCCCAAATAAGAGAAACCGCGCAGGGTCGGCCGCCTTCAAATGGCTCTGGGCGCCATCCACACCACCAGACCCTTCATCGCATGGCCTGTGGACGTACTCGGAGACCGAGAGGCTATTTCACAACCAAGCCGACCGCGACGTGCCGCGTTCGTTCTCACTACCGCCGGAACCTACATTTAGACGCTCCAGACGCCGGGGTGCCATCTCGGTGACGTCTTCATCGCCAAGCGAACTTGATCGCCACCTCGCCATGCAACTGCAACAGCAAATCGCCATCATACGCCTCAAAACGGCATCAATGGACGACGAGGACGAAGTCGAGCGGGCGCGACGTGAGCTCGAGGACGTTCAGATCGACGCAACACTCCCGTCCATCCTGGGCATCTCGTTAGACTTTGACCGCAAGCTCAACCTCGGGTCCAGTGGTTCGCCAGAAGGTTCGGAGCAAAAAGGCAAGTCATGAACCCCTCAAACCCCTCCCTCGCGAGTCAAGACGTTCCCGTCTCAGACTCTCAGTTCCCGGCGTAAAGTAGCCGCACGCTTGATTTTTTTTCCCTGCTGTCAACTGCAACCCCCCCTGGCCGACGATCAAACAAGAAGTCAGGAACCAGAGGCCTCTAACACATGCAACCCTGAGCGTAGAAACCGGTTCGCCCGCACGCGCCGGCTGCCTGTGGGATTCCGATAAAGCCAAATCGGGCGGCGTAGGCGACGGAAGAGACCTGCGGCAACGACAGCACCGGCAGCTTGGGACTGGGTGTGGTGCCGTCATTCAGGTAAGCAATGCCGATGGCGGGGTGGACGGGGGTCCAACATCTCCAACAGGCCCAGGGCTCTGGAGGAGACCTCGGACTTGAGACCAAAGTTTGCTTTTTGCCAAGCTTTTCTCTGTCCCAAGACACGACACAGTTGCGCGGGCAGGGGCACATGTAATAAGTACTGGTGAGGAAGAAGGCATTAATGCACTAGATGTGATGGCATGTTGGAGGGAGGGACAATGGCATGAATGTCAGATGTAATAATACATTTTGTATTATAAGATGTAGTCGTTGTTCGGGTATTATAACCCTGAAAAGTAATTAATAACAACAAGAATAGTAGTAAACGAACGTCATGTTTTGAGCGCATTAATCATAGGTCGTCCCATCAATCCAACAATGTCTTCTCTGTAGTTAATCAACGCCCAGGAGGAGGAGGCGAACTCGACCTCGTAAACGGCCAGTTCCCGCCCTTCTCCCCTGTCGGGCTGTCAACCAAGTCCCCAAACGGGCTCACGGTTTGCGTCCGTCTCAGCCAGCCCTTGCTCCCCTCCCCAAACTCGGCCTCCTCGTCCACCTTGTCAAGCTTCTCGTTGGTGGGCGCAAATGGTGGAGGAGGTCCTCCTGCGGGCGGCGGCGGCGGCTGTTGTTGTTGTTGCTGCTGCTGCTGCTGCTGTTGCGGCGGCGGAGGTTCCCGGTCTCGATCTCGAGCAGGGGCCGGGGTTGCAGGTAATGCTGTGTTCGGCGGCCCGTCTCTCGACCTTGGCGGGAAGAGAGAGTAAGGAGGCTGCTTCTTCGGCGACGGCGGCACCGGCCTTCGACTCACCGAGGGCTCCCTTTGTATCGTCTGCATGCCCCCCATCGGCGGGGCTGAAGTGCTCACAAAGGTTGTCGTCCTCGAGAAGTTGGGTGCCCCGTCGCCAAAGTCACTCACTGCGTACCCCATCCCACCTGACCCCGTCGTGCGTGCCGTGTCTGGTCTCGTTGGTGATAGAGACTGTTTGAGGTCCGGTGGATAACCGTTGCTCCCCGCCAGCGCGTTCGTCGTCATGAGAGTGTCCTGCTTGGGATAGCTGATCTCACGGCGGATAGCTCTGGCGGTCGCGTCTTTGCGTTTTCCGCGGCGGTAGCGTGTCCAGATGTAGAAGCCCAGAATCGTGAGAAGTGAAGAGCCGATGATGGCACCCACGACGGCCAGAGCTGCTTGCGTAACTGAGACAGCTGTTCCCTGTGCCTGAGAAACTCTCAAGTTGGCATCGTCCTGTGATGTTGTTAGTCACCGTCTATGATCATTCCAGCGTGAAAACTCACTCTCGCAGCCTGAATCTGTTGCTGCGCTTGCTGCTGAGCGTTCTGAATAGCCGCGCTCGCCGACTGCGTAGCGACGGCGATGGCAGCAGCCGCACTGGAACTGGCACTCGCCTGGATACTCGCGATTTGTGACGCCAACTGCGTTTGGGCGCTGTTCGTCACGAGAGCCAGGTTGGCGGCAATGTCCTTGCTGGCGCTCTCCCTCGCCTGATTCTGAGCGTTAAGAATTCCCTCCCTCGCGCTCGCCTGCGCCTGCACAACGGCGTTGTTCGCCGAGATGGACGCTCGCGTGGCCGCGTCGTTGGCCTGCCTCGCTTGCTCCTCCGCCTGTCGTTGCCTGTCCTGGGCTTGTCGAACCTGGTCGTTGGCCTGCTGGATGGCCTCCCGAGCTGATTGAGACGCTTGGGCGATCGCTTGCTGGGCTGATCGAGAAGCCTGGTTGATGGCCTCTTGAGGGTTGCCGATAATCTGTCTGCCGAAGAGGGCTGCTGGCGTTGGTACCGCCAGCACGACACGGTCTTCGAGAGGAATGGGCTTGTTGATATCCGCCGACGCCGTTGGGGGTTCAGCCCTCTTGCCCAAGACATCCATGACGATGTGTCTTCCCCCTACGCTTCGCCTCCGATGAGGCTCTGCCGGTGATCGACGACCATCTCCTCCGTCAACCCATCGTGCCCACCGCCCTTTATCTCCATCCGCCGCCGCCGCCGCTAACACGAAGCAGACCCAAGCAGAAAGCAGTAATAGTCGTGGGAGGCAAGCCTTCACCATGATTTCATGTCGGATTATGTATGCCTCCTCTTCACTGTAACCATATTATATCTCTGTTCCCGTAAACAACACGATACGTCTCCCGGATCACTTCAACAAGAAAGGAACAAAGGAAAGCAAAAAAAAGGACCAGTCCAAGAAAAGAGCCAAAAACCAAAGAAAGGCCCTAGTCGGCGGCCCGCGTCCATGTTATGGACCGCTTCATCCTAATTGTCGAACGAAGAGCCCCACGCCCACGACTCTGGCCCTACCGGACCATTCCTCTTTGGTTGACCCCATTATCCCTCCCGCTTCTCCGCCCAATATTGCCCTGATGGTTATCCAGTCGGCTTCTTTGGAGACCGGGCTAGAGGCCGGTTGTTGCCCGTTGTTAACGGTGGTGGAGTACACGATGCCATAGATCAGATTTGGGCCCGTCGCGAACCGTCCCATCTTCTCATTCGGTCAGACGCCCAGGCTCGTGGTGGTTGTTAATGCACAGATGGTTTCACAAGTCAATTTGGAAACAGAAAGCTGACAGAAACGACAGCACAGTTTATGCCTGCCTGACGGGAGCGGTTTGTTATACCCTCGCGGCATCAATATTCGGTTGCGTTCCGAGCTTGGTACTGTCTCAAAAGCCAAAGTCGGTTTGGGTCCCTGGTTCAATGAGGCTCTCGAGGGAGGGGCTCCCAACTGCGGGATCCCCCTCTAGCAGCGTCGATCCTCGAGTTCTTGGTGTCGCATATCCCTGTCCACGGTCACTTGACTCGGGCCCGGCTTGCGGGCAAGGTCGGGGTAGCCGGAGGAACTCAAGGGGAACTGGCAACTTGGCCAGAGTATATCCTGAATCGACCAACTCAAAAGGAGGAGGCGTTCCTCCAGGGTCTTTTTGGCTTCCCCCCCTCCTAGACAAGTAATGACGACGAAAGACAAATACTGAGCAGGGAGCGACCTCTGTCGGACCCAAGAACAAGATCAAGATTCTCGGCAGCCGGCGAACTAACCGAAAGCACGAGTCATCCATGTGGTTACCGCTGCCGCTCGACGGCGCGTGCGGGCGGTTAGAAGGCGGTGGAAACGTTCCTCGGTGCGACTAGGAATTTGGAAACGTTCTTCACATTGACCATCTATATACTAGTGGTGTCCCGGTCTTTCTTCTCGTTCGTCGTCGTTCTCGACGACCTGTAAGGGCAATCATCAGCAGCTCAACCAACACTCCCAAAAAGCGTGGCGTGACTGACTGGTTGTGTGGCCGCCCCATGCAAAACTAACCATATCTCCCAACGCCGGCCATGCATCCATCCTGCACGGAGAGGATATCCCGTACCCACTACCTGGCCAACTTTTGTGTGTGCCTGAAATTCGATGTGTGTTTGGTGAGACTGGATGAAAAAAATAAGAAGCAAGTCATGCTTGTTCCTGAATCCCCGATGCTTCTCGGAGCGCTAGCGCGTCTCATGACTCCCTTTTTCCGCGTCGTGGCCCGATGTCTGGACGGAAGTTTCCAGAGTCGAGGGCGCACGAATATTCATTTAAAGTTGGCGGAAGAGACTTTAAACGGGCAGCTTGAACTTCTTGCCCTTCATCACCTTGGTGTAGTAGATCCAGAAGAAGTCCGAGTAGAGGATGGTCTGGATGATGCCGGCGACGATGGCAATCCAGTCGACCTTGTGGTTCACCTCGGTGAAGTAACGGTAGATCCAGTTGGGGATGTACAGAGCGCGGTAGATACCGAGGGCGGCGAGGTAGTGGGTGGTGATGGTCTCGGCCTCGCCGGTGCGCTGAAGCATGAAGAGCTGGGGGAGGATGGCGACCGACTCGAGCCAGATGGAGAACGCCCACAAGATCTCCCAGAAGGTGTAGTAGTAAGGGAATATGATGGCGAGAACGGCGGCGCCTCCGAGGAGGTACTGGACGCGGAAGGTATCTTGGTTGGGGTCGTTGGTCGGCTTGTAGGCGGTGGTCATCAGGTAGACGATGTAGCCTTGGGAGGAGATGAAGAGGATCTTGAAGACCAGGTTCCAGAGGCTCGAGGTCGAGAACAGGTCTGTTTGATGGCAGAGTAAGCACATAAGTCAGACAGCGAGGGAAGGCCATCGTGCGCACCAAGATATCTGGTGATATAAACCAGCAAGTAGAGGGCTTGTGATTTGAACGAAATACCGGCACAGCTCTGGATGAAGATTAGATAAGGATCGGGTGACGACATGGAAGGCGTTGCAAGCTCACATTCATCTGTACCATCTTGTGGAGGAGGATGCCAATACTGGCAAGGTGGGACAAGTCCCCTAGACGGCATGTCAGTCAATCAAGCTCTTGATCGGTGAGGCTAGCATCGATCGCATAGCTGCGCGACGAGAGGGCGAAACATACCGAGAATGCGGAAGAGGTTGAGCATCGTTGCGGTTTGGCGATCGGTCGCAGTAGGACGAGAGCTTCAAGTGGAATCAAATCGGAGCTTGTAGCTGCCAGCGACAGCAGCGGGGTCGTCGTCAAGCGAGGCGTAGATGGGAATTCAGAGCTTCGGGTGATGTTTGTTATCGATGCTGTCGTCGTAGGTGTTGTCGCGTTGCGTCTTGACGTTGAAATATGCCCAGGGAGAAGGCTCGAACTGCGTTCAGTAGCTATTTTTTTGGCCCGTGGTTCAAGGAGGTCGAAAGGACACGAACGCGATTGCAAGCTCATTGGAAGCTGGAACCGATCAGCCAAGCCACACCCAGCTGCCAGCTCAACCTAACGTGCCAGGTTTACGTGTTTTACCTAAGGCAGCTCCCTGGTTTCGGCTTAGGTAACGAAGAAGTGATCCGTGCGGTGCAGGACCTTACCTAAGTACCTAGGCCGACAGCGGTGCATTCCCGCTGTCCGCGATGGATCCACTTCCGCTAGCTGCTGCCTTAGCCGCCAGGAACACGGCGGGCATGCACAGACCATGACGGAAGAACCGATGCAAAACTCCCGTCTTTTGCTGATGTAATTATCTGACTTGCCGAGGCTTTTCCGGACGGACTGGACTGAACCCTGGACCCTTCGGACCCGGACCCGCCCCTAAGTCCAGGCCGAAGAACAGTGACGTATTACAAAGCTGCCTGCCTGACAAACCTCCAGACGGCCTCACCGGTGACCGCGTGCGTCTGCTTCTGCGCCTCAACGCCGTTTCCTGCACATTCTACGCCGTCTCTCCTTTGTATATATCTCCCGACGCCTCTCTCCACCTCCTGAAACGGTATCGCATCTACCTGCAGTGTCAAAACATTTACATCGAGAAACCAATTTGAACAACAAACCCAGATTACCAAAGTCAAACGTTCAAAACCAAATCCCCCACCATGGCCGAGCCCCAGCGCGAACGCGACGGATCGGACTACGACTCCTCCGACGAAGCCATCACCATCACCCTCACCCATCGCAACATCCTGCGCACATTTAAGTTCCCTAGCGACGGCACGATAACCCACCTATCCGAAGATGTCGAAGACACCCTCTCCATCCCGCTATCGAACCAAAAGTTCATCGTACCGAAGCTCGGCCTCCTCAAACCCCCGTTCAAAGACCTGGAAATGTCCCTCGCCGACCTGCAAGGCAAAAAGATCATGCTCATGGGCGCCGAGGCAAAAGAGGTCGCGTCGCTGCAGGCCGCGTCCGAGTTCGCCGCCAGACGAAACGCCGCCCGCAGCGCCGCCCGGAAGGCGAACCGCCCGTCGAGGAGGAGGGACCAGGCGCGCTCCCAGGCGCACAGCACCTACACGTTCCTCTCCGTCAAACCCCTGGGCGGACTGCCTCACCCGGAGCGCTCGCTGGCGCTGTTGGAGAAGCTGAAGGAGGACCCGGGCATCCGCGCCTCGATGGTCAAGCACAAGTTCAGCGTCGGCTTGCTGACGGAGATGGAACCGCTGTCGAACACGCAGTCGAGCCACGAGGGGACGACGAGGCTGCTGGGGTTAAACCGCAATCAGGGCGAGGTCATCGAGTTGAGGCTGAGGACGGATGCGCACGACGGGTACAGGGACTACAAGACCATCCGCAAGACTTTGTGCCACGAGCTGGCGCACAATGTACATGGCCCCCACGACAGGAACTTTTGGGATTTGTGTCACCAGATTGAGCGCGAGGTCGATGCGGCGGACTGGAAGCATGGCGGACAGACCGTAGGGCAGACATCGTCGTATCACGCGGCCGCCGAAGATGATGACGAAGAGTTCGAGGATCACGGGGGCTGGGAAGGTGGCGACTTCGTTGTTGGAGGTAGCGCCGCTGATAACAAGGGTCTAAGTCGGCGGGAGATCCTGGCCAAAGCTGCAGAGGAAAGGTTGAGGAAGATGAACATGGAGAGAAGAGATGGCGGAAAACCTGATTCAGGGGCATCGCCATGAGCGTAACGCTTCTTCTGGGTATGTGTAGCGTTTGGCATTCTGATTACGTAGCATTGCAATGGCGTTGGTAGACATGATTTATGACAGGCCTCGCCGGCCAGGAGGATCTGGATAATATCTGCACCACTTAATTCAAATTCTTGCATATGATCCTTCACAGCCTCTTTGTTTGTCGCAGCGACATGGCCAGGACTTTTCCACATGCCGCACTCAAGAGAGCGGAAGTGCCTCCGCAATGTAGGAAAATCTAATAGCAATGCCTTTGATTCTGCATAGTCTGGGCAAGCAGGCCGCGATTAGGTCGGGCAAATAGATCAAGTCATGATGGGGCGTGGCATATGTTGAATGCTGAATTAAGGCATGCTTGCCTTCTGTCTTTGGGTATCTATTGCGCACATACACAATGCCTCTAGTGGCGCCGTCGCCGATTCCATTCATATGGCGGCCCAGCCCACGATGTCTACCCAACGGGTGATGCTCTTCGTACAAATACTCCTTCTTCGTGATGTGTAGTAAAAAAGGTAAAAAAAAAGGTGAGGGAGGCATCGTCCGAATGTCCTCCCAGTGGAATCCCTGACCCTGGAACGCCTTAATTCCATGCAATGCCCTATCCGGAACGCCACCGATGCATGTAAGCGTGCCAAAACGCGAATGCTGCCGCCAGAAATGCTCATGTGCTTTTGTAAAAACAAGCCCGTCGCGATCGAAAGTCGTCGCCTGTAATGATCCAATTCCAATACGATCCTTACTTTGACCGCTCAAGATCATCCGCAAGGTCTTCTGCAGTCGCCACCTAGGACTCCTGCACCTTCAGCCACTCCTTTTGCTCCGGTTCCCACTTGTGTCTGCGAAACCATGTTAGTGACGGCCCCAGAAGCAAGCTTAGATTGGCAGATGTTGACTTACCCTTGCCATTCGGTAGTGACCAGGCTCTTAGTACCGTACTCGTCTGACAGGATGCGCTCGAAGCTGTAGGGAATGATGGCGGGAACGCCCTCGAACTCGGTCTCGCGCATGGGGAAGAGATCGGTTGTGCGGTAGCGGTGGTAGTTCTTGCAGCTCCAGACGCCGGGCATGCCAGAGGGGTCGCGCTCGGCGAGGCCGGTGATGTCGATGAAAGCGCCGTTGGCCATGTTAATCCAGCGAGCGTCGATGATGTTCTGGCCATCTCCGCGGTCCTTGTCAGTGCCGTGGGGGTTGACGTCGAGCAGATAGCGTTCCTTCTGGGGGTTGCCTTCAGCGTCGGTCCATTCGTAGTCGTGTTCGGTACGGTTCATGTTCTGGCCGAGCCAGTAGAGAGTGGCAGTGGACACTTGCACGTCGAGGTCGTAGTCCCAGGGCATGATCTTGCCGTTCCACCACCAACCTAGGAGTGTGCCGTGGGCGAGCCAAGTCTCGACATTGAGCTTCTTGGTGATGGTGAGGTAGGAGCGGATGAGGTTGCGCAGAACAACGCGGTGTTCGTTGTAAGGGACGGCCTCCTTGAAGTAGCGGATGTCGTAGTGGCCCAGCTCCTCACCGCAGCAGGGCTCGTGGAAGTACTTGGTGTCTTCGCGCTTAGCGATGACTGGCGGTGACGCTCCGTTGGGTGACTGTGAAGGCGCAGCGGCAACTGTGGTTGTGAGGCCCAGGAGGGCGAGAGGAAGTGCGAGACTGAAGCGCATGGTGGCGGTCGTGATATATCACTCTGGTGAGTAGTCGAATAAGTTGATGTCGACGTTGTGTATCTATCGGTAGTGCTGAAAGTGATTCGCCAATCCAAGAACTCAGGAAGGGCCGTCGTTTGCTGTTTGCGCGGGAGGCCTCGTAATGCCAAGAATTCGTTGGGTTTGTAGGGAACTGATGGGGCAGGAGGTAGGTGCAACGCCGAGACAGCAAGCGGGTGCGGCGATCAAAAGAAGCTGGAGAGACCAAATCCGATGGGTATCAATGCGCAGTAAAGACTGAAAACCAAAAGTTCGTCTGGTGAAATACGGCCTCGAGGTGGCGGGGTATCGTGAGGTGAGGCCGATGATGTGAGATGGTATCGTGAGGTGAGGTAAGTGGACGTTCGGTGTAAGCGTCGACAGCGGAGGCAACAGTCGTCACTGCCGGGATGGCTACCTATGTGCAAGAGGCCAACGGTGGAAGTTGAAGGTGCCTGCGGTGAAGACTATCTAGACGAGGTCGAGTCTAGTTTAGAGAATATCGACGTTAAAACAGACGGATGCCAAGAAGTGGGAGGCAGGAAGGAGGACGGGAGTATTCATATGTGAAGCGCAAGGCGGGAGATATGTAAAACGAGAGACTGCGAGAGGTACGAATAGACATGGAATGAGTGAAAGTCGTGTGCCACGCCATGGACCATGGACGGTGTGGGGAGGGGAGGATTCGTGGACACTGGGAGAGGTGTGTCTCCAGAGAGAAAGGGCGGTTTGTGGGAGGTGTTGTTGGGCTGTGATGGTGACGGGAGGCGTGGAGGGCGTGTACGGTAAGTGTAGCCGTATCCTTTAGCGTCCACCGTTCCCCTTCCCGAGTCCCGCCTTCTTAGTTATTGTGACCCTGTTTGCCTTGCCAAGATCTGGGCCATCGTTTTTCTGCTCCATTCTTTCCGAGAGTTCCTTCTTTTTATTTTTTGCATATTTCGGGGCATGACAAGGGACGAGATACGGGATGCCTCTGAAGAATCAAAAGGCGCACACAAAGACTGGCAGAAACAATAATGCAGCTAAAAAAAAATAAAAAAAAAATTGGTCGACAAGACATCGGACAACAACAACATCAGACCGAACAAGACTTACAAGACATGGCAGGGTCTTTCCAGCCGCCAGATAAAGCGTGGTACGTACTCATGCCTACGTACCACCATCACCGCCCCGACATATGGATACCCTTCAGTCACTCTCCTCACCTCACCTCAGTCCTCCCACATTCCTTGGCTTGAAAGAGAAGACGGAGTGCGTCTGCGCGGATGTGCCACGATGAGTGGCATACGTAATCCCGCGTAAAAAGGAGGTCCTAGTCATGGACTGGAGGCCCGGCCTCGAAGCGGCGCACGGGAGCCAGTGATAGCCCGCGCCTGGGACGGTTTTGGTGACGAGTCTCCAGCAGCAGGTGGATAAACATCCGGTTACGGTACATAGAGTTAATTAAAAAAAGACGACCAAAAAAGAAGCTCGGGGCTGGCCTAGTCGCGTCAACAGTTCACGGTTGTGTGGTCCGGGAAGGACGGGCGGGGAGAGGAGTTGAGAGTGGGAAAATGGAAACAGGGGCGGGACATGGATGGGGCAAGAAAGATTTTGATATTCCTACTTTCCAGTGGCTCAGCACTTCGGACTATTCCATCAATTCATTGAATCCTACTCGTACTGAGTATTTCTCACGCAACTCACTGCAAAGTTGATCGCGTGAGGTCGCAGGGTTGCTCCGTTGCACACTTCCTGGATCCCGTCCACTGAACGTCCATCCCTTATCCTGTGGTCAGGGGGGAGGGTGTCACCGTCCCGGAGGCTGTCGTGTGCTCTCTTTCCTTGGTGTTCCTTGGTGTTTCTTGGCCCCAGTCACCGCATAACCCGCTAGGCGTAGCGGTCTTGGCAGCATAACGGGGGCTCCGCTAACACCACGGATACCTACCTAACGATGTGTCTTGCACGTATCCAATCCACCTATACAGAGAAGCAAGTTTTCCCTCCTAATCTTTGGAAGAGGCGCTCACGACCATGTCAGTCGTTCTTCGTGCCGCAGTTGCTTCTAATTAGCCCCTATGGTCTGAGCCAGAAGAGGTGTCGTCCTGTCTCGACCATCGGATATCAGCCGCGTCGTGGAAAGTCTCTGTCAGCCGCAGTAAGACTCTTCAGATGGCTTTTCATGGGATGACGGATGGAGTGCATATGCATCTACCGAGATCCATGCAGCACAGCGTTCCGTCCGGACTTAGCGGTGCACCCGACCCTGGACCGGTATCGAAATTGGAAGGCGACCACCTGCCAGCAACGTCACAATGGAACCTCCTTTGACATTTTCTCCATCGGAAGCCAGAGAACCCTGCCACCCACCGCGGGCCAAATCTGGGCTTAATCAACACAATTCACGGCGACCAGAATATCGATGACGGGCGCATTTCGCCGGACGGACGAATGAGAACAGGGCAGTCGACTGTCGCGTGTCCGTCATCTCCTTTCCAACCATCATCCATGGCTCCCAGGATGCATGTTTTTACCCGATGGTCAACTTCAAGAACTGCATATCTGCATTTGCCTGATACCGACAACCGCGACGCCAGGCTGACTGCCAAACGAACAAAACACAACGGTCAACGAGCTGAGCCTGCCGTGCCGTTCTTCCAGCGCCATTTCCCAGAAATTGGGCCGCTCTTGGAAACCAATCCGCCCGCTTGGCACGTTTGGCGCTGGCCTTCAGAACCTCAGCCATTGCGCCTCCGGACCAATGATCCGAGGCCCTGCGCCGGGGCCTCATCTTGGCCTCCCTCGGCATCGCTTCTTGAGGTCGGGCGGGAAGCGAGAATCGTATCGCGAAGCAGCCATTTGCGAATTCCGTTCCGCTGCTTGGGCTGTTGGGGGCTGCTTTTTCTCGTCAAGCTGGACCGGCCTTCCATAACCACCGTCTGACCTGAATACGGGCTGCATGTCACCCAGGTCGTCATTTTGCATTGCTCTCTTCGTCAGCCGTTTCCCGTATCGCGAATTTTCGTCCCATACCGAGAGCCTCGGAAAGAGAAACAGCAGCCCGAACGGCCAGGGACCACCCTTCTACCGTGATCAGCGGCTCTGCGACATCAGAAGATGGATGCCCGAGACAGGAGGTGGCCGCTGACGAACGACACCACACGATCGAATCGTCCCAAGTTGGAGCCAGAACACCACCGTCCCCTACCTACCCCGACCTGTTTTCAACATCCACCCTCAGGGTCAACACCCCATACCGCGGTTACGTACGGATGCGCATCGCCAGATAACGACCTCAAGGCTCATGGCAGTCTGGAACGGGATTGGGAATGAGATGGCCAGAAAACCCAAAACTCCGGCGGAGCTTATCCCCAGCGTCAGCCGCCTTCTGGTTCCATTGGCCGTGCAACATGGGAAATGTCCCACAGTGACGCGTGGCCCTGCTCCCTTAGCCCCTGCACCCCTTATCCCTCTTTCGGACAACGGCTGTCTGGCCCAAAGTCGGGGCACGTCCGATGTTCACTTGTTCGGGTCAGTTTTTACTCTGTATTTTCTGCCTGTCTGCCCATTGTCACTCTTTTTGATGCATAACCCGACTCAGATTGACTTTCCACCGAGGGGGGCGTGGCGCAACTTGGCCGCTACGCAGGGCTTCCGCTCCGCCCGTCCATGATCCATCGTCCGCCTCCGGAGTAGCGCTCCCTCAAAGTTGACAGTCGAAGCCTGTGAAGGCTACGAGTGTGCCGCTTATCCTTACGGCTGCTCTACTGCGTCCTGAGGGGCTCGAAGGCTAGGAGCTGCCGCCTCCGTGAACGCTACTCCAGCTGTCCCAGCGGCTCGGTAGTCTCACGGCAACATGGCATCTCTGGCGGTTAGCAGCAGACGCATTGGGTTTCAGGCCCTCCTGTCAACATTGGGGGACTCGTCACTGCCGCGCAATTCCTGGAAGTCGGCACCGCTATTGCAAACTAGCCGCAACTCGGAATTCCATGTCTAGAAACATCGCGAGAAAACACTGAGCAAGACGGCAGGCAAGGAAGCAAAAGCCATTCAATGTCCGCATCCTGGAAGATCCCGCTGGTGGCTGCATCTCGGCACCGAAGCGGCAGCAGCACACAACACGGATAGAAGTACGAACACTTACTAGTAACGACAGACAACTCAAAGCTGCAGCCTGCTGGGCACCCTAGGCAATCTGGGCACCCCTCATTGCACCACAAAACGGCATGATCGACATGTCGCGTGTTGGCCTTCCTTTCGCAAGCAAAGGCTGGGGAAACTGAGTGGTTGGCGGCTGGGGAATTGGGGATAAGCATCGATCTTGGCTCAGTGCCGGTGTCCCGGCTCACGTCGCGCATCGATCTTGATACTCGGATACAGCAATAACGAACGCCTGATGCGAATGCACAACCGTCGGGCGTAGAGTGGAATGTCTCAATCAACATTCGGAATCCTTCGAGATGCACTCATTTCGCTGCCAAGAATGCTGCTTGCTATCTTTGGCTCCGGCCACCGTCCGGGAGGGAAGCAGAGCCGCCGTGTTGCCTCTTCATCATTCCTCGGCTTTGCGTCTCACCAGCTTCGGACAAGCCCCACCGGGCACGAAATGCTAAAAACAGTTCTTTTGTTGTTGTTGGGCAAGCCGCGAGCCCCATTTCTGTACACTATCCGTACGCGAATCACGGCGTGAAATCACAGGCTTACGGGCGCCGTAGGACAGGGCGCTGTCATACGCGCACTGCAGACGGGTCCTGTGGCGCCACAACCCGAAAGCATCTGCGCCACTCTGTACTCATCGATGGTAATTGCCCGGTGCTGTGTCGTTACTTCGTACGTGTGCAATGTGCCGTAATGTGGGCAGGGCTGGCTGGGATGGTGTTCCGGGATTCGGGCACAGTCGCAGACAGCACTGCCCCCGTTCCGCACCCGGGGACCCTCCAATTCCGCCCCGCCGCTACGGTTCTTACCCGGTGCCTCATGCGACACTCCCGCACCAAGCTGTACCGCGCTTGGCAGCGACGGCCGGCCGACTTTGCGGTCCAGGTTTCCCGTCCCGGCAACATGATGAACTCTAATTGACTGCCGGTTGACTGAGCCTCTAGCCTCGTCATCGGTGTCGTTAAAGATGCTGGATCCAGCCGGCGGGCAAGTAGTGTACGGCATATCGGCACAACCCACGTGAATGGAGACGCAAACGACTGTCTCCAGAAGGTTGTTTTCTTTGCATGTCTCTAGATTCCAAGTCCCTCGGGACAACGGCAGCATAGTGGACCTAGCAGGACATTTCACCCCGGATTTCAACTTTGTATAGATGCTTAAAGTCAAAGTTGAGGTATGAGAAAGCCGTGTTATCAATTACTCAAAGAAAATAAGCCTCGACACGTCATATTACAAAGTTAGTCAACCTCGTGATTTACTGCGAGAAGATGACGATGACGGTCCTTTTCGGAGCATACCAAGCACAGCCATTCCCAAGCATGATTCGATCATAAGAAGCCTTTATTGTTTCCAATGTAAGCAGCAGGGCCAATGTAGGTAAGTTGTTACTTGAGCTTTCTCCGCGCAATACACGGCAGACCCTCGATCAATTTGTAGCTACTGTCGAATATCCTGCCGGGAAAGCTACTACACACCATGTACTGCTGCCCTTCTACCAGTCCGATGACAATGTTATGACAGGCTACCTTAGTGAGGGGAAGGTTACCTGACACGTTACCAATCGGTCAAACTCCTCACAGTTGTACAGCTAACGCACTGAGGATTTCATCGTGATAGCTCTTTTTGCTGCGAGAAATGCCGCCCAACAAACATACAGCCGGATCTATCCACTGACCCTCATAACGCGCGCCCTAACAACGCCATCGTATGCACCTGAAGCCAAGCCTGCCCGGAATCGCGTATTGATTGTGCCATCTCCAGCTATGGCCGCAGCACGATGAGCAAACGCGAGCCTTGTCATCATTCATAATCATCAACCCTCCCTCCCTCTTTATCCATAATCACAACCGGATGTTGATATCCAAGCACTCGACTCTCCATTCCCTCCGTCCTAACAGGCTGCGCAGCCACTCAATACCCAGACCGGTCCATTCCTGCCTCTGCCTCGCGAGTTCTTCGGCAGCGGCCCCGGCCAGGGCGCTGGCGGTCGTGTTGATGACCTCGACCACGGTGGCGTTGAAGGTCGCGTTCGGGTCGATTTCGGGTATCGGGGACGGGGAGCCCAGAGACGTCGGCGAGCGCGGTTGGAACCAATTGCTGCTAAAGTCGAAGAAGCAGCGGTCGGACCAATTACACGAGGTCAGGAAGAGGATGAGGAGCAGGAAGCTGCAGTAGACGCAGGGTCGGTTGAGGAAGTAGGTGCAGATGAAGAAGAGGAAGATGAAGGCGGGAGAGGCGTTGGTCGGGATGAAGAGGAGGGGGAGCCAGCTGTTTGTGGTGTAAGCGAAGAGTTCATATAGTCTTGAACAGTCTTGAGGGGGATTTCTTGACGTACCTCCGAAGGCAGAACATGGCGGCGGTGGGGATGCTGGTGAAGTAGGTGAGGCTGGAATGTGGTCCCTGAAAGGATGGTTCGGGCTGCTATTCTCAAGGGCAGTAGGCGCCTGCTTGCACGACGAGAGCGGAGGCGTGATCGCGCGAGATTCCACCACCAGAGTTCACGATCGAAAGCGCCGAGGAGTTGTGCGCCCAAGCCCCGTGCCGGGTTTCGTAGTTTCGCAGGGCGGCGGCCGGAGCGTCGCGGGTTCGGCGGGCTCTGGGAGCACACTCTCGTGGGTGGACGAGGCTGGTTGAATTCCCGGGAAGCCTTGGAGCGAACCGATCGCGAACGGAGATCTTGGTCGTGCTCGAAACAGCAAGCCGGGTTGCTTCGACGTCAACACAAGCACAAGTGGAATGTAAGGCAAGGCAGAGGTGAGGATGGTAAGGCAGGTATCCGTACGCTGGCTGCTTTCCCCTTGTGAGCCGGAACTTGCTTACGTCAGGAATTCCAATTTAATTCTGCATGCAGAAAACTTGAGGTGGGGGCTTCTCAGAGAGCACGGCCCAGATGGCCGGATCCACTCTATGAAATGCCCCTGGCCAACCAACACGGAGAGAATTGGTTCTGGGCCAATGAGATTGATGAATTAATCGTAGCCATTCGATGGAAAGGAAAGACCTCCCCCAAAGCTTCAGCGCTGGTCCAGGAACCTCCTGCGCGCAGCTGCACCTTAACCCGCACCAGTGCTGCACCAACCCACTGAACGGGCTCGTTCTTGCACGCTCAAAGCTGCCCTAAGCTCAGTGGTCAGTGGCAACGGCAGGTCGCGGACCTTTCACCAAGGTACCTATCACCTAAGGTTGGACCTCACCTCAACAGCTCTCCCGCAGCTTCAGCAACAGCAACAGCAGCAAGAGCAGCAATTGGACGTCGGTCGGCCCTTCCTTCCTTCCGCATCTTTCAACCACGTCACCCCCCTGCACCTTCGCTGGCGCTACAGGGTTGTGTTGGGTTGGGCTGAGATTCCAGCCTCCCAAAGTCGTACTTTCCGTCCCAAAATTATTTTCAACACCGTCCGTTTTTTGCCCTTCAGTCCTCTTTTTATCTCTTCTCTCTCTTCAAACCACCATCAATTCGTGTCACGACGGAAGGGTCTCCTTGCCAATTGTCCCTCGTTTCCCCCGTCGAAACACCCTCCCCACCGGTGCCATCATGGTGTCTCCTTTGCCTGCGGCGCCGACACCTCCCGGTGGCAGCGTGCCTTCAAACGGCGATCGCACCACCAATCTGTTGAATCTGCTCAAGTTTAGCGGTGCTGGCGGCCAAGCTTCACAGGCGCAGTCGCAACCTCAATCTCAACCCCAAGCTCACCAGGAACCCGCCAGCTATCAGCAGCATCAACACCATCATTCGCAGTCTTCTCAGCAATCCCAGCAGCAGCAGCATCTTCAGCACCAGCAGGACTATCAGCAGTCGCCCCAGCAGCACCACCAGCAGCCGCAACTGCATCAGTCTCAGCACCAGCAGACGATGCCTTCGTCCATCCCGACACAAATCGTCGCTCCCGCCCGCGCTCCCGCCGATCCCACCGGTCTGCTCGCCGCTCTGATGAAAGGAGCACACGACGGCGATGAGTCGAGACCGGAGCCATCCCAGAACGGCTCCTTCGCAAACTTTGGCGCGTCTTCGCCTCCCGACGACACTCGCGCATACCTGCTGAATCTGCTGAACCGCCCGAAGCCTAGCCAGAACGACATGCTCCTGACCGAGTCGGCTCGCTCTAGCTTGCTCAGTCCCGCCCCCCAGCCCGGCGAGAACATCCTTGGGAGAGTCCTCGCCGAGGCCGGTCAAGCTCCCTCCAACCTGTCGCACATGTCCTCGAACTCCTTCGAGTATGATCCCAACAGCTACGCTCAATCAAGTGGCAATTACGGGACCTACTCGTTCCCTTCGACCCAGGACTCCAACCTGCAGCCTGCTCACCCGCAGCACCAGCAGCAATACGGCTACAACAAGGCCAACAACAGCTTCGAGGAGCCTCAGATCGCGTCGCCACAGAACCGCACACCCAAGTCTGGTTCCATCTCGGGTATCGCCCCACCTCAGTCTGCTGGCCAGTCACCTGCCGGCCCGGCTTTCCAGATCCTGAAAAAGACCCACGATTCCCCGAGCTCCCATCACGGAAGCGAAAGCAAGCGCATCAACAGCGAGCGCAGCCCTCTCGCCTCCCCCGAGCGTGTCCGCCACAGCATTGGACACGGTTCTTCCCCTGCCGACAAGCTTGCTAACCCTACGCCTGGCTCAACTGCCTCGTTTGCGAGCATACCCGCCGCGGACAAGAACAAGGAGACGGTCTCGGAGGCCATCCACGACATTGCCGAGCAGGCGGACCTCGAGGCCCAACAGGCTCTGGCTCGCGCTGAGGAAGAGCAGTCGCGGCCGGAGTACCTGCAGGATCTCGAAGACATGGACACCGCCCGGACCGAGAAAGAGTTCGAGGCGAGCGCCCACCACGCCGCCCAGGCCATCAAGAAGGAGCTTGACCGCGAGGAGAACAGGGACCTCCTCGAGCGGGTCGTCTCTGCCGAGGTGGCGGAGGAGGTTCGCGAGATCGTCGAGGAAGCTGCCGCACACGCCGTCGCCGACAGCTGGGAGAGCGCCGACCAGGACGAGATCGTGGTGATTGAAGAGGAAACTCCTTCGCCCGTCAAGGTCTTCAACTTCCCCATGAAGCCTTGGATCTCAATCGGTCTGCAGGATGGAGCCACCGACCCCCGCCCCCAATTCCGTGATGATGCCATCATGGATATTGCGCGACTCAAGAAGGAGTTTGATCAGATCGACCGCAACCTTTACACTGCGACCGAGAACTACATGGCCTACGGTATGTCCAAGGCTGGTGGTCTTCGTGTCATTCGACAGGATGACGGCAAGGACGCCAAGATCTTCACTGACACCAAGGACCGCATCTTCAACGTTGCCATGTCCGTCACCCCCGCCGACCATACCGGCATCCATCGCGAGGCCATCATCGGCACCGGCATCAGCGGCACGGTCTACTGGGTCCAGATCAAGAGCGGCGAGAAGGACCACATCGAGGACGCCCACCCTGAGCAGTACGGTTTTGCTCTGCCTCCTATGGCTTCCCACGAAGGTGGCGATGCCCCCGGTGGTGTCCTCAAGACCCGCGCCCGGACGTCGACTATTCACCCCGAGTTCTTTGCTGTCGGCCGTGGCAAGTCGATCAACATCGTCTGGCCCACCTACATCATGCAGAACAACCTCTTCAAGCCCGGTCACGACCGTGTTGTTGACACCGAGAAGCTGGCCAAGCAGTGTTCGTTGAAGATCAATACTGGTAAGGCCGGTAAAGACTTCACCTTCAGTCAGGATGACAGCGTGATAGTGTCTCTTGACAAGTCTGGCCGTGTCAAGTTCTGGGATGTCCGGGATCTCACTGCCGCCCAGGAGGGCAGCGACCCGCGCTGGCCCATGCCGGCGCACACCTCTCTTGAGATCAAGGAGCCTCTTATGACTCTCACCAGCACTCCCGAGGGTGAGAAGGCCTGGCCCACCTCTGTTCTCCTGGTTGATAAGCTCCGCCCGTACCAGAAGCGCTGCGCCCTGCGCTACATGATTATCGGCATGAAGCAGAACCACACCCTGCAGCTTTGGGATCTTGCCCTCGGCAAGCCGGTCCAGGAGTTCAACCTGCCGCACAGCAAAGAGTCTGACGCTGTCTGCAGCGTCATGTACCACCCTCCGACTGGCATGCTCGTCATCGGCCACCCGACCCGCAACTCGATCTACTTCGCGCATCTTTCGGCTCCTAAGTACAACCTCAAGAGCGTGTCGCAGGTTGAGTACATCCAGCGCCTGGTCGCTCAGGACACATCCATCCCGCAGCCAGACTCGACCGCCGTTATCAGCGGCGTGCGCGAGTACTCGTTCGCGAACCGTGGAATCCTCCGCAGCCTCGACATCCTCTCCAGCCCTGCCATGAGCCAGGAGACTGACGAGCCGACTCTCTTCGAGCTCTATGCGATGCACTCCAAGGGTGTCGCCTGCCTCTTGATCAAGCAGGCTGAGCTTGGCTGGTCAAAGGACAACAAGGTCTTGGCTCCTGTCGATGCCGTCGAAGCTGGCGTCGTTACCATCTCCAAACTCAAGCCGCCTGCCGCTCAGCCTGCCGAGCCTGCCCACCAGAACAACGACGTGGGACACCCATCGGCTCGCAACATCGCTAAGGAGTCTCTCCTCCAGACCACTCCTTCCCAAGACGATAACACTCCTCGTCGCGGCCCCGAATCCGTGACTCCGGTCAAGATTATCAAGGCTGAAGCGAAGGAGGACGACACACCGGCTCCTGCCCCTCCCGTAAAGGAAGAGAAGCAGGAACGCAAGAGCCGAAAGAAGAAGGCAGCTGCCGCCGCCGCCGCCGCTGCCGCCGCTGCTGCCACCGATCCCCAGTCCAACGGATCTCCTCGTGCTGGTCCTTCCAACGGCAAAGACAAGCAACAGCAACAATCTTCCAACACCATCACCCAGGAGTCCGTCGAGACCGCGATCAGCAGCATGGAGTCACGCCTGCAGAACAGCTTCAACGGCCTCCTCAACTCATCCTTCAAGACGCTTCACAGCCGCATCGACGATGGTCTGCGCGCCCGCGAGGCCGACTTCACCGAGCGCCAGGGTCAGCTCCTTAACATGGTGTCTGACGTCCTCAACGAGAACACCCAGAAGGTGCTCCACGCGCTCATCAACGAGCAGTTCAGCAACGCCGTCATTCCCGCCATTTCCGATGTGGCTTCGAAGGCGGTGTCTGACCAGTTCTCCAAGAGCATGAACGCCCAGGTTTCCCACTCTGTTCAGAAGGAGATTCACAAGGCCCTTCCTTCCGCGACTCAGCACGCGCTGCAGAACGGCGAATTTGTGAAGGCCATCTCTGACAGAGTTGGTTCGAACGTCGCGGCCAGTGTTCAGCAGGAGGTCGTTAACACCTTGACCGCGCGTCTAGGTCCTTCCTTCACCAACATGGCGGTTCAGGCTTGCCAGCGCGTCGCCGGCGAACTGCAGAAACAGCACCGCACCGAGATGGAGGCCATCAACGCTCAGCGTCTCGCCGAGACCAAGAAGATTGACCAGCTGACCAACGTCGTCACTCAGCTCATGGGCACAGTCTCCAGCATGGCGGCTACCCAGGAGCAGTACCAGAACGAGTTTGTCAAGCTTCAACAGCACATGGTTTCTCAGCAGCAAATGATTCGTGTCCAGGCTCAGCAGCAGCAGCAACAGCAACAGCAGCCTCAGGTGCCGCATCACCACGCGGCGCCTTCCTACAACGCCCCCTCAGTTGTCAGCCAGGTCCCTAGCACGACGCAGAGCCACGTCTACAGCAACGTTCAGAGTCCCGACCGCGCCTCTCATCACTCCATGGGCTACGGCCACTCCCAGGCTTTGACCGTCGCGAAAAACCAGGAGATGGACGCCGATCTCCAGTCTCGTATTGCTGTCATCAACCAATCCATGAAGGAGGGTAGGGCCGAAGAGGCTGTCGTCCGATGGATGCAGTCTGGCCGTGAGCAAGAGGTGTTTGAGAAGTACATGTCGAAGTACAGCCCTGAGTTCGTTCGTAACCTGCCTCATCTGGTTCTCTTGACGGTGACCGCGACCGTCAGCTTGAACCTGGAGTCTTACACTCGTGAGCGAATTGCTTGGCTTGAAATGGTCGTCCACAGCCTGCAGGTCTCTCTGGGCAACATGGTAAGTCTCGACGTCATTCATCTGCCTTCCACTATTCACGAATACTGACACTTCTCCAGGATGAGGATGCTCGCGCAGTTACGCCAAAGATTATGGGTATGCTGGTGGCTCGTGTCGAGGGACTCTTCGTCCGCATCAGCAGCTCGGCGGGCAACGACCCGGTTCTCAAGAACCTGTCGCAGATCATCATGAACGCCAAGCGCGTCATCGATGCCTGCCAGGACGAGCCCCAGTACGCTTAAGCGACGGACCACGGAAAAACAAAATTTCTTGCACCGAGCTTTTTGACGACATGACGATATCAAGTACATAGGACATTTCGACATCATACACTGGAGGATGGCTTCGCTGTTACGCGCGGTCGGCATGTTGAGAAGATACGGACGGCTACGGATGAGAGGATGAGCTGCAGAGGGCATGATACCAGTCGGCAGACACTGCACATATCGCGTTTCCTTGGCTTTGGAGAATGGGGTTCGTCGCGTTGCGTTTCGTTTCGTTGGGAGGCGTGTTACGGGCATGCGAATGGAGTAGCTTTGGGCCTTGATCGATCTCTGGCGGGTGGATAAAAGTCCAATTTTCTCTTTCCTTTTTCTTTTCTCTTCTTTCCTTAGTTGTAATGAGGGCCTTCGAACGGCTTGGGTGTAGATTAGGGAGTATGTTTGGACACCAGCCCAGAGCTATTCTTGGGTTTGGATGTTCCATTCAGGGGGGTGGTCGTCTTAGATAGGAATGATCTCAGTTGATATGATCAAGGGCTGAGGCTGATTGTGACGTTGATGGTGTGGCTGTCTCGAATTTCCGATTCTTTAACCGTGCTGACGATTCCCGTGTTACTCGGCTGCCCATGAGCACAATGTCTTCATAAAAGAGAGTGTCTTATTTCATTAATCCACGATAAGAGATAAGCTTATTCTTACATAATCTGCAGACATCTGGCCTGTGCCCCTGAAGAGAACACGGAACCTTGCTGGAATTGATGCCTTATGGCCTTATCTGGTGCTGTTGGTATGTGATTGGCTGAAATCCAGAGGTTGGCGGCAAGGAGCTCAGTCAGTCACACAAACACTGGACTGGACAGGTGCTGTGTACAGCACACCAACAGCGTGTGCTCCTGGGGATTTTACCGGGCTACCTAAGGTACCTACCTATCGATTGACGCAGACTGGCAGGCCAGGGAAGTGACCACCTCAGCCCTGCCTCTTGTCTCTGCCAAAAAAGCCACCAACGCGACTTGTCGACGAAATCTCTGCGGCCACCCATCACCGCGGAGCTTCTTTCCTCGTACGACACCTCCTTTCCCGTGGTTTTCCTCGTTTGATTCGAAGTGAGGACAGCTGCGATACCACGACGTCGAACCCCTAGGAACCCCCGACTCCGACAGCACTGGGCCAATTGCGTCCAGCAGAGTGTTCAGTGTGGTACCAAGTAAGGTACTTTGATACCGGGCAACGCGACGGTGGAAAGCTCCCAATTGACCAGGGGGTGCCACAGCTCCGAACACCACTTCCCGTCTGTCTTCCAGGTTTGGGGGGTTCTCGAATTGACGAACTCGACTACGACGACACGCCGAGACGACGCCCACGACAGCCATCTTTGGCTGCGCCAACATCACGACGAGTCGCCGCTGGTTCTCATCACCTCGGCAAATGACATAGAAAAAGACACCGTATTGCTTTTTCTCCGATCAAAAGCGCAGCCGCAACCGCGGAACAGCCAAGGAGAGACAGCGAACCTCGACCGAGCTCCATCGTCACCCGTCACCGACCTTTCTTCCCTCCCCACGGATACCTCTGCCAGCAGTGCTGAGCTGCTAGCCGGGGACACGTTCCCCTTGCGCGCGTATGAGCTGGCAGGTGGTCTCGGGTATGGGGACGAACGTAGGAAACGGCATGGGCGGGCCTGGAGGGAACGAGATGGGCGGCGTCATGCAGGGCAACGGCTCTGGTCAGCCTAATGCGACCGAGTATACGCTACAGGGTAGGTCTTCCGTCGTGTGTCTAGAGGTACGACGACCGTTTTGCTGATCATGGCAACCGACAGGCGTCATGCGATTCCTCCAAACCGAATGGCACCGTCACGAACGCGACAGGAATGCGTGGGAGATTGAGCGCCAGGAAATGAAGGCGAGGATAGCTGCCCTCGAGGGCCAGGCGAGGCGGTCGGATGCCACGCAAAAGGCCTTGAAGAAATATGTCACCATCCTCGAGAAGAAGGTTAAGGATCAGTCGGTGCAGCTCAAGGGAGGATCCAAGGCCGAAGAGGCTGCGAGGGCCGAGAAGGACCGCGCCGCCCAGATTCAGGAGAAGCTCAGATGTGAGTCAACCATGCTTCGTGAAGGCAATAGAGATACTGACAGCTGCGTGCAGCCTCGACCAAGAAGCCCACTGATACCGACGGCAACGAGATCGACATCGAGAAGGGCGACGACGAGTCGCAGCGTGCCGACCTCAAGTCATTCCTGGATCAGTGCCAGGCCGAATTCACCTACCTGATGATCACGCCAGCCAACCCTCTGCCTCCCCGCGAATCACCTCCGCTCCCGATTTTGGAAGACTTGCGCGAGGGCGAGCCTTTCGGCGTGCCGGGCGGCAAGCCTTTCCAGGAGCCGCCATTCTCCTTCGCATCCTCGTCGCTCGTGCCGCAAAACCATGTCCGAGAAGCCAACCGCCCGCCTCCTGCTCCGAATCACGCACCCCCTATGCAACGAAGTCAGCCCCAAAGTCTACCCATGAGGCCAGCCGAGCAACAGCTGCAACAGATGCCGCCTCCTAACCCCGAACCTGCACCCCCCGTCATGTATGCTGCTGGTAACGAGTGGCCGCAGCCTATGTCCGTGACCGGGCGTATGCTGGACGACAACATGCAGCAGCGGCCCAGCCATGCCGTCGAGTCGGTCAGCAGTGTTGAGCCCGCGGAAGAGCCTCAGCTCAATCGGCCCGCGCCCGAGACTGACGGATGGGAGTTCCCCGAGGGCGCATTCCCCGAGTCCAACTCTTCGCAACCTCTTCAGCAGTCCAGCAACCGCCCCGATACCGATGCCTTTCCTACCGCCGACAACCTTCCCAAGTCCCCCAACCGCGGGCCGGCCTCCCATCGCCGCAAAAGCTCAATGTCGAGGAGGCGTAGCGCTGAACATGAATTGTCGTTGAACGCTGCCGCTCAAAAGGCGGAGACTGGAAACTTCAAGTTGCGGTTCGGGCTGCGTGGTCATTTGGATACTGTGCGAACCGTCATCTTCTCTGGTGGCGGCAGCCCAGGAGAGCCAGAGATCTGCACTGCGGGAGATGACGGCATGATCAAGCGTTTCCATATCCCCCGTGTCGACAGTCACGGGCAGACAAATGCTGCGTCGGATCTTGACGTGACTGCTAACTTCTCTCATCGCGGTCACACTGGCGCGGTTCTCTGCCTGACTTCTTGGTCGCCATCTCCAAACTTCTCTACTGGCGGACGTGCTCAAGGTGACGGCTGGATCTTCTCTGGAGGCCAAGATGCTTCCATTAGAGTTTGGGAGCGTGGCAGGGTAGATCCCAAGGCCACTCTCGAAGGCCACACCGACGCTGTTTGGGCGTTGTGTGTATTGCCAACGACGCTGGGATCGGTCTTTGGGCAGACCAACCAGTACGGCGGTCCTGATCGCATCATGCTCGTCTCTGGAGGTGCCGACGCAACCGTCCGTCTTTGGGCTGTCAGCGCGCCGCCTCAGTTGACTAGTCCTCAGCCAGGTACGAACAGAGCTGGTCCGACGGGGAGCAGAGGCCGTGTTCGTGGCAATTCTATGAGTTCGGGCAGCGCTTTCTCGAGCACCCCGCAGCCCAACATGGCATCCAACTCTCCATTCAATCATACTCTTGTGCACAACATCAGAAGGGCTGATGGATCTACGGCAAGCCCTACCTGCATCACACCCCTTGGCGCCAATGGAGAGTCTTTTGTGGTTTCCTACTCTGACGCTGCCATCCTTGTCTACGACACCAGAACCGGCGAGCAAACGGGCACCATGGACAGCTTGGAAACCTACGACGGAACCCCCAATACCAGCGTCAATGCTGTTGTGGCGACAACCGTGGGCTTGGAGCAACCCCAAAGCGGCATGTCTGAAGAGGACGCTGGCGCTGGTGGTGGACCTACTGGTGGTGGCAGGTCGATGGCAGGATCAGGCGTTGAGGGCGTCATCATCTCTGGACACGAGGATCGGTTCGTGCGATTCTTCGATGCCAACAGCGGTAAGTTGAGGACTTCCCCTTTTGTGAATCATGGCTCATTATCACAGGACAATGTACATACAACATGCTCGCGCACCCCGCATCGATTTCGAGCCTTTCCCTCAGTCCTGATGGCCGTGAGCTCATCAGCGCGGGCCACGACGCCTCTTTGCGATTCTGGAGTCTTGAGAAGCGATCCTGCACGCAGGAGATTACGAGCCACCGCATCATGCGTGGCGAGGGCGTATGCTCGGTGGTCTGGAGTCAGGACGGCAAGTGGGTCGTCAGCGGCGGAGGTGACGGCGTTGTCAAGGTGTTTGCGCGGTAGACGGAGAGGAGAGGCATATCTGAAGAAGAAGAAGAAGAAGAGAGCAAAATATACAGCAGCATAGCGTCCGTTGAATGGCGTCGTTGTCTTTGGGTTGCATGCTCTTGGGACGGACTTCTGATGGCGGGCTGACGCATGGCAGAGAGGAATGGGTGTTTATGGCTGCAGATGCTTGGCATGAGGAAACGAGCTTTGGCGGTCGGCAGTGGGCTGGCGCGTCGGAGCAGATGGGGACAGGATATGGGTGCGACTGGGTGCCATCCGTCCTGTTGTAATATGTACCGGGGCATTGTTCACTACACTTGTCGATACCCCCTCCGCTGCGCCTGTCGTGTGACTTTTGATGTCCATTGTTTCGTCGTACATAATTCAAATGAGAAGATGATTGACTGGGTATTACGCTACGAGGCAACTTGACTGTAAGATAGGTAGGTAGGCAGTTAAAATTCCAACTCCTCGACTTCCATCCCGCACTCTTTGCATTTCTTCACAGTCATGCCATCCTCGTTCTCAACAGCCCGTCCCCAGTCATGGACATGTTTGCCTCCGCCGACGGAGTCGCCAAACTTCCTCGGTCCCGATCCCGCCGCACCGGCGGCCTGCTGTCGCCTGATCGCCTCCGTCCGCGTCTTCCTCTTCAGATCGTTGAGCTTGTCCCGGAACTTGGCCTCCTTGCGCCGTTTCTTGTCGGCCTCGCGCTTCTCGAACTCGGCGTCGAGCTTCTCTGCGGAACCCCATTTCGTGTTGAACGCGTACTCCTCCACCTGGAAGCGCAGGAACAGCATCATGTCGTGCCAGTGCGACTTGTGCGGGTTTGGCCGGGACAGGTGCGGCAGCAGGTCCGGGTCCTTCAGCTCCTCGTCCGTCAGGAGGTAGTCCTCCCTGCACTCCGTCTTGGTCAGGAGCGAGTACTTGTCCGGGTTCGAGTCCTTGCAGGCATGGCAGACCTGCACGTTAAACACCTCGTCCCAGACCCAGTCGATCTCCAGAGAGGAGCACTCGCGGCACTTCTTGCGGGTGGCGTCGTCGGCGAGCACGCTCAGGCCCGGCTCGAACGGGCCGGCCTTTTGCCTCCGGAGCTTCTTGAGGAGCTGCAGCCTCTCCCACTCCTGACTCGACATGCCCTTGGGCTTTTCCTCGGTGGGCGGCCCGCCGGGCTTGGCCTTGGGCACGAGGGCGGTGTTGTGCGGGTCGTCTTCGGCCGTGAGGAAGCCGCCCTTCGTGTCCGTCATGGCGGACATGTTGTAGTCGACGAACTTTGCAAAGTTGCGTGCGGGGCGCGGGGCGGTGGCCGTGTCGCGGGCATCGCGGTTCGTGGAGGGTTGGTCGGCAGAGGTCGAGATGGACGAGTATGTGCGTTTCGTGCCTGCGCCGGATGATGCGCCGGCTTTGGTGATGCGGACATTGTCTGTTGCGATGAGGCCGGAGGAGGTCTTTGGGATCGGGGCTGACGGGGCCTCGGCTTCGCGGCGGTCGCGGAGGGCTTTGGCTTTCAGGCGGGACTCTTCCTGGTGACGGGGTTAGCATTGGGGATCGCGAATGACGGGTGAGGGCCGGGGCACAATGCGACGAGTCACTTCCGGTGTTGGAGGTGTTCCGGCAGGCGCGGTTGACCTGGGTTTCGGCGGAGGTGTCTTTGGGCGATCCATTTTAGACTGGCGAGGTTGGAGACGTTGTCTAAGGTATCTGGAGATGTTGTGGTGTGTCACGGTGGTATTGCGACGAGAAGTTGAAGATGGGAGGCGTGAAGGGTGGAGGGGCAAAGAATCCGGGGTGGATTATGTCACCATTTGACGCGCGAACGCACGTGCCTGGCGGGCTTCCGCAGACCGAGCTGTCCGGCGGGAGCTGCGGCCGCGAATAGCTGCCTAAGCGACTTGGAACAAAACGCCTTGGGTGACGAGGTCAACGGGATGTTGCGATTAATGTGCAGTATCTTGGGAACGTATCATCTACACCGTGCCCCCCGACCTTGGGGCTCTATTCCAAGCCTCGCCACCACGAGACAAAAACAAGTGTGTGCATCGCGAACCTCCTGTATTCCAAAAGCCCTCCCTGCCAGGTTATATGTGCCTGTAGCCGGAAGTTCCAGTTTACTCCTCCTTGGCACCACCACGGCCGGCACGCTCGGCAGCCTCGACGGCCTTCTTGTCGCTCTGGGCGGGGCCGGACTGCAGGCCCTGCATGAAGCTGGCGGGGGCCTTGAAGGGGCGCTTGAGGTCGCCGGAGGCGGGCTGGCCGAAGACGTGGATCTTGACGAGGTTGCTCTCGAAGGCGGACTTGAGGGGGATGATGGACTGGATGAGGAGGGGGTTGGTGTACTTCATGTAGATGTGCATGAAGGCCATCATGGCGATACCCATGGCCTGGGAGCGGAAGGCCTGGCGGAGCTGGGTCGTGTCGTAGGCGTGGATCGTGGTGGTGACGAGCTTGCCCTCCTCGGAGGAGCCCATGGGGGCGGGCTCAACGTATTTGAGGGTGGTGAGATCTGCAGGGGATTGTCAATATCAGTATGCCTCCTCCATGTCGGCCGTATCTGCGATTACGAACCCTTCTTCTTGTTGATCTGGGCCTGGACGTAGAGGTACAGGATGGCGATCAGGATGTTGCTGGCGATGTAGCCGGCACGGCACATGTTCAGGACGTTCGGGTCTTCGAAGGGAACCTTGCGCGAGACCTGGACCATGCCGAGCATGATGATCAGGTTGGTGCTGTGGCATTGTCAGCTGTTGGTTCTGGGGAGGTTTCTCGCGATGGTGCTGTTTGCGCTGGCAGAGATTGCGACGACGTACATCTGAGGGCTAACCATTTTGGCGGTATTGCGAACAATTGACTCGAGGGGGTTGACGAAGGAGACAAGAATCCGAGGCCTCGGGTTGCGACGGAGGATTTGATGGTTTAAAGGAAGGGGGGGAGGGAGGTGGCTGGTAGGATGCGAATGGCGCGAACGTGAAGTTGGCGAGTTTTTGTAGCGTGGCACCGGCGAAAGGGTGAGGTGGTCGAAACGGCTGGGTTAGGTGGAGGTGGGGAGGTTGCTTTAGTGGAGTTTTCCTTTGGTTCCAGTGGTCAGTGTCTCGTTTTTGGCGCGGTCCGATTTGCGGCTTGGGCTTTGGGTTCGGGGTCCAGCGGGATGGCGAATTGCGAAATCCATGGCATCCGCCGTGTTTTGTTTTTTTTTCCTATGGGCGGTCGGGGTTCTGTAGCATTCTGCTGGAGTCTTTTTCTCAGCCACCAAACTCAAGGAAGACAGGGTATGTGAGCCTCATCTCCGTCTTCAAGCACCATCTTATTACGCAGCACGTTGGTTGCCTCTCCTTAAATGCTTCACAAACTCAATGCACCTTTCCCGTAAAGACCCCAAGGCATGCACACTAAAACAGATGGAAGGTCGCCATCCTGCATGTGTTGTTGGTGGCTTGAACCGTCCGCCTGGCCGATGACCCAACGCCACCATCCAAACTCCGCGATGTTGGTAAGACGACAACCAACAAACAAGAGAATCTAATGTAAGCCGCGTGACCTTTCGGACTATTGAGGACACGTTCATTAATTGCGACGTGGAGAATCCTGCTGGATATCCACCCACCTGCCTGTTTGAGAGAGCTTTCACTCTGCCTCATATTACAGCTGAGATTTGGTCATAATCAATTACCTGCTTTTTGACGTTGGCTGCACTTCCGATAAAGTCATGCTTGAGATGCAATGAAGACAACTAGCAAGCCTGAATGACAAACATGTCTTCATATTCCAGATATGTACACGAGACTGCATGGCCTCTGACAAAATATCTACACGGTGAAATTGTTCTTGTCCGCTTGCATATCTCTTGTGCTTAGATAATCCTCAGATAAGGTTTATGCTGCACGTGAGTGGACCCATATATCCCGCGAATCCGGTGTTCGTCTCCACCTTTCCCGAATATCACGGCCCGGCCTAAGCGAAGCTCTTGAGAATCGGGAGATATGTGGCGTACGCCTTGCCCGTCGTAGGCTCCATGGAATACATGTAGTCGGCCCACCAAGGCCCGGCAGCCCACCCTTCACAAAGTCAGCTTTTTGAAGGGCCTTAAACTTGGTGAGTAACTTACAGAGTGTGCCCTTCCAGACATCCGAGTTGTCCGAGAGGTGTTGGAGAGCGCCCTTGACGGCGGTCTGGCACTGCTCGTTGGAACCGGCACCGATCTCGCCGAGAACACCTTGCTTCTTGTTGTCCTTGAGCCACTTGGTCGCCACGGCAAGACGCTCAGCTCCGATGGTGCTGCTGACGCACGCCTCGTTAGTGCCTGAGCCGTCGGTGTCAAGGTACTGGTGCATCTCGTAGAAGAGAAGCTTGCCGGTCGAGTCGGCGGGGTCCTTGAGGTCCTTCAATGCGTCACCGGAGCCGCTCTCGATCTGTCCACAGCCGGTCAGCACATGTCCTTTCCTGTTTCGACAAATGAAACGTCACTTACCCAGTGCCAGGCACCCGAGTAAGAGTTGCCCTCGATCCAGATGAACTGCTTCGTAGCACCGGCAGCGCGAATGTTGTCAATGGCCGCCTGGTTGAGGTCCTTGACAAGCGTGTTGTCCATGTCATGATATTCGTTGTTTGTGTCGAAAATCACTTTGTCGTTGTCCTTGAAGCGGGCCGCGACAGTCTTCCACCACGCACCAAAGTCGGCGGAGCTGGTGATGATGTTGCCGTAGTATCGGCCGTAGTTGTGAGGGTCGATGACGGCGTAGGAGCCCCTGTTCTGTTGTCAGTCTCGGTTCGTGTATTCGGTCAAAACTAGGTTGTGCTCACTTTGAGGTGACGTCCTTGACGAGCTTTGCTGAAGTTAGTCTGCATGTTCGCTAACCAAAATCTGCGAGCACTTACGTCCTCGAGACCCGAGAAGTAGGTCTCATTGATGGTACCAGTCAGCTTGTCGGGGATAATGCGCTCCCTGCGGCCCGGTCAGTGGCTGTATTCTTTTCTGCACGATACTAAGATACTCACATCATGGTTCCAATGCGGAAAGTGTTCAAGCCGGCTGATCTCAGGGTCTGCATCCAGTCAACTCACGAACTTCTATCTGTTCGTGGCCACTCACGTCAATGGCCGTCTTGTTGGGCCATGTGTACTCCTTGCCGAGCTGTCCAGGCAGAGTGTTCTGGCCAAACTCGCCACCGGACTCGTTGACACCGGTGAAGGTGAACCTGCCGGCGCGCTTCTCCTTGGAGGCGCTGTCGACAGGGGCCGCCAGGACCGATGCGACGGACGCGGCTCCCAGAGCCAAGTTGGTAAACTTCATGATGTCGAAGAAAGAATGAAAATGGGTTCGGACTAGAAAAGAAGGTAAGAAGGTCGGATGAGGTTCAAAAAGCCAAGACCACCACCCCAGATCAGCCAAGAGGCACCACGGGCTTTATACCTCGTGGCCATCGTCCCCTCGTTTACAGTTTAGGGGGTGGGCGTGGTCTGAACTCTGGGAACATTGCTGCCAGGGCCCATCGTGACGGAGTCCCTTGCTCCGTCCCATGTATAAAGCCGAAAAGACATGCGATTTGCCAGGAAATTTAGGAACGCAATCAACAGGGCCTCATCAGAGGTGGCTCGCGAGGCACTCTAGCTAAGCTTGCTTGGCATGGGCGATGTGCCGTGTGGGGTAGGTCCGGCAGGGAAGGGCAGATCTCGGGACATGGACTTCCTAGGGCGGTCTCCTTTGCACGTTGCATCGTTCCTGGTTTGTGGTTACTGATGCCGAGAATGCCGAGGATTGCGGCTGCTGAGTCTAGTTGCGTCGGGGTTAGATTACATGCAGCTTGTCTGCGTAACCAATTGTCCTTCATCAACGGAGCATTTGACAGTGACAGCTGACGGCTGAGCAGGTTTGAACAGATCAACTACCGGCATGAAGAAGCAATATGTCGCAGACCTGTTGGCAGACCGACTTCGCCGCCAACGTAGGTATTTCACTTCAGTCGTGGACTGATGTTGGTCCCAAGGGGGAATTAAGTTGGGACGTTTCATGTAGCCGGGGAAACTCCCTCCGCGTGGTATATTGTCCTGGAATTAAGGGATCGCCAACTTGACCACTTTCCCCACATTGATCATCAACATGGGAGCACAGAGAGGCCCAGACTGAGCCGCGATGCCGGGAGGATGATGCTAGCACGGTTACAGGATAAATGACTTCCATATTCCATATGGACGCCGGTAAAGGCTCGTGATGCAGGTACGGAGTTGCTGCTGTTTGTTGATCAAGCATGACGTTGGTTGACCGATGTGGCGGGGAGGAGATGCAGCAATGAGTTCATTGCGAGATCCTCGCGAAGGCGAGTTGTCACTTTGAATTCTCTTTGCGGCTTTGGCTTGCAGGGCCGAGCAGGGAGTTCCTTGGATGACGTGAAGACTTAGACTCGGCCGTTTCATCAGTTTGTTGGAGTTGGAAACAATAACCTAACTGAGTTCTGTGCTTGACACCGTCTGAAACGATGAAGACAAACTTGCCAGTCCTCATCCAGCTTTCCCATTGAGATACAGGCCCCAATAGTCATCAAAAGAGGTATGGACGGACTTGACATCAGGTGAACTCATGATGCGACTAGCTTGATCGAAGTTCTGCTTGAGCATGGTGATTTGTGAACCGCGCAGGTGCAAAGATCGAAGTGGGTCCTTTGTCCACCCAGGAATCGGGGACGCGGCACTGCAGTGTCAAGGACCTGGCCGGGGATGCAACAATGAGTCACGTGACACGGACAAATTCTGGAAGCTCGGAAATTCTTCCCGCGCGGCATGAGCAGAGCCGTCGTTGAATCGCGACCTGTAGCACTATCAATCCCAATTAGGGTCATCAACCGCCAAAATGCAGCCCACGAGGTTTCTTCTGAAGAGATCGGTTTGGAAGGGTCAGTCGTCGCAACCGATCGCAAACATCAAATCGGGACTCGCTGGCTAACATCTACCTTCCAGGACCAAACATCGTCCCGTAAGGACATCCTCTCACGATACCCCTCGATCGAGACACCCGATTCTGACTTTGCTGCGAATAGTCTCCCGATCGTCCGACCGGCGCCCGGCAAGAAGGTCCCTCCCATCAGGACACAAGCCCGTTCCGCCACCATTCTACCCAACTTTGTCGGCCTCAAGTTCCAGGTCTACAACGGCAGGCACTACCTGGATGTGACGATCACGGAAGAGATGGTGGGACACAAGCTGGGAGAATTCTCGCCGTAAGTGGCGCCTACACTGGACTTTTGTCGCAGTCGCTGACGTATGTTTAGGACGAGAAAGCCCTTCATCTGGTCCAGATTGTGAGAGGGCGCCTGCTGAGCAGAACTCGGGCGTTCCTGGCGAGAGGAGGAAGACAGAAAGACGACAACGATTGTACAACATTGTCAAGATACCAGCGATACACTGTAGCATAAAATTCCAGGCCATGTGCCGTTGATGACCCTCTATCATGTTTATGGATAGGCGCCTACTGTGCCATTCTTTCCATCGTACGTGACTTGCCCGTCGAAAGCATAAAACCCCTCGGCCGTGATCCGGGCCCCCAGACGCCGAAGCAAACCATCCAACGCCGTGATATTTATACACCAGTTCCAGAAGAAAACCCCGACGAAACGAAACCCCATTATCGGTAGAACTCGCTCCGCTTGACGTTCACCCCGTACTCGCCCACGGCCATGCCGAGGTCCTCCATCGTCAACACCGTCCGGTTTTGGCTTCCTCCCTGCCCACCACCTCCGTAACCAGGTCGCTGGATACCCAGCGGCCCGCCGCGACCTTGATCCTTGGCGCCTGCGGGACCAGTCGGCTGGCCAGGGATGGGAAAGCCGGCGGCGGCGCCGAGGTTGCCCATGGGGTTGTTTGCGTTGCTGTTAGATGCGCGGATGCGGCTGTATTGGTACGCGTCGGCGGCGATGTCGGCGATAAACTTTTGTGTTGCGAGAGCGAGGAGGCGCGCGAGACGGGGATCGGTCTGCGGCGGAGGGGGAAGACCGGCTTTGGTCATGTAGTAGTTGGTGACTGCGTCGGGGATCTGCAAGACGTCTTCGTCAGCGTACTGTAACTTTTGCATCATGCGGTCTTTGAGATGACAGGTATCGTACAATCGGCGCGTAGTCGTCCATCTTGGTCAAGAACTCGCGAAGAGACATATCCTTGCGCGTGATGGCTTTCGGTTCGGGGCCAGGCGCGACTGCCTCGGGAACGGCAGCTCCGTCGGCAGGAGCAGCAGCGGCGGCGGCGGCACCGTCAGCCGGAGGAGCGCCGGGGGCAGAAACCTCCTGCGAGTTGGGTGCCGTCGGCGCCTGCTCCTCGTTCGTTTCGGGGGCGTTGGTCGACATGATTCGACTGCTTTTGTTGAGGAGAGGTGCTGAGTGTATTCGTGGGGTTGTTTGACGCGATGTCCCGCGAGGCTGGTGAGGCTGGTGATGTAAGGCGGAATTCGAAACGGGGAGTGGCGCTTGTCACGTTGAGTGGAGCCTGAAAGCTTACCTCAGCCAACTCCAATGGTACTCTCGTCCCTTCCAGTCAAAGCGCTTGAAAATTGGGGCAGGATACTGCAAACATCACCCTGCGCTTCCTGCTCACTCACCGAAATCAATATGTGATGTTCACCGAGATGGGCAGGGACGAGCGACATGGAAGCGCGATTGCCTCCAACAATTGCAAGTGTGCCAAACTTTCAAGGCTCCTATCACTTGCGTCCCAAATGTTGCCTTGCTTCAATACACTCACGATTGAGGGACATAGTACAGAGTAGCATCCGACTGTTGTCTCCTGCCATTGAAGGCAGGAGACGAAGTGACGGACTCACGCCCCGGCGCTTAGGTTCTATTTTTCGTCGGTCTCGGAGTCCGCAAGTTTCCGGTTCTCATCATATTTCTTTTCATCGGAACCCCTTTTTGTCATCGTACATCTTCTCATGCCGGCATTACTGGTCGAAAAGGGGGAGTCCCACATAATGGTCCAAGAGCACTGTACGGGACGTGAATAGCCTCTTATGTTGGCGCCGGCGCTGTTTCAACGCACCAATTCGACCGGATCGGCCATTTGTGGGTCCATTTCAGACCGTTCAGATGGTCTCCACTCGGTCAACTTCATCATCAGGCCCGATAATCTAAGGCCGGGTCCGATCCGGAAGATTTTGGCACTGTGAAGACGTGCGAACCGGACATCGATGACGGCACTTCCAGACACAATGGTTTGGGTCAATTTGAATGTGAGTATTCTGTCAGATTGGCATGGACCGCAGTGTGCACGATCATGGCATAATAAATAGAGGCGATAGTGCTCCAGCATGCTGAACAATCCTTCATCTCATACCTACTCTCATCACTCATCCTATCATTGCCTCTACTGTCCTACTCGACTTCTGCAAATCTCTCAGCATGACTTCTTCATCCTCATCTCTCCTTCGCCATGGCATTTACCGAAATCTCCCCCAGTTTGATCCCTCTTTGAAGGGGCTTTCTGCCATCATCACCGGAGCGAACGGCATTTCTGGCTTCAACACCGTGCGGGCTCTGCTTGACAGTCCGGAGCGCTGGCCCACCATCTTTGCCCTCTCGCGCAAGCCTCCACCCCAGGATATGATGGACCTGCTCACACCCGAGGCGCGATCTCGGGTCGAGTTCGTCTCATGCGACTTCCTCGATGACCCTTCCTCAATCGCTGGCAAGCTCAAGTCAGCCGGCGTTCGCGCTGATCATGTCTTTTTCTACTCCTACATCCACAGGGATTGGTCTCAAGCTCAGGCCCTGGTTGAAGACAACGTCACTCTGCTGAAGAACTTCCTTGACGCACTGAAGCTGGCGGGCATCAAGCCCGACCGTTTCATGCTGCAGACTGGGGGCAAGAACTACGGCATGCACATTGGCCGTGTCCGGACGCCCCTGGTCGAGTCGGATCCCCAGCCGAGACATCTTCAACCCAACTTCTACTACCCTCAAGAAGACCTCGTCAAGTCCTTCTGCGAGAAGAACGGGTCGGCGTGGAATGTCATAAGACCAGCCGCCATTATCGGAGCATCATCCCACGCATCGATGAACACATTCTACCCCTTTGCTATCTACGCTGTCGTCCAGGCACACAAGGGTGAGCCTCTTGTCTTTGGAGGCGACTGGGAGCAGTGGCAGTACGAGTACTACCACTGCACAGCTCGGATGACTGGGTACTTGACCGAATGGTCGGTCTTGAATGCCGATTGCGCCAATCAAGCCTTCAACACCCAGGATGGAGGCCCTTTTAGTTGGGAGCGCTTCTTCGCCGAGCTTGCTCGCTGGTTTGGTGTCAAGGGAGTAGTCCCGCCGCCTGATGAAGAGTTCAAACTCAAGAAGATCGATGGAAGACCTGGAAAAGAGTCGCCGCTGGGATATGGTCCTCCGTTGTCATCCAAGTCCAGTTTCACGTTGCTGGAGTGGGCCCAGAAGCCGGAGAACATTGCAGCTTGGCGCGAAGTCATGGAACAATCAGGCGGAAAGATCACTCATGATCCGTTCGAAAGTCCTGATGACTTCTTCATTGGCGACTTTGCTTACCTGCGGTTTGGGAGTATGTGCTTGAACAAGGCTCGTAGGTATGGATGGACCGGCTTCGTGGACACTCTGGAGAGCATCTTCGAGATGTACCACGAGATGGAGAAACTTGGTATGCTGCCGAGTATGCAAGTCGAGGCTGCTCGTCCTTTGGGTTGAGGTCTGAGTAGGATGAAGTTCGAGCGACATTCACTGGAGTGAAGGCAAGAAGAATGACCAAAGTTGTAGATTGAATCATTGAGAGTAAATCTCAAAACACTGGATCTGATACGAAGTTCTGTGACGACAAAAGCAAGGGGTGCAGCCGTGTGGTGGCTGTTCAGCAGCCGAACAGCCTGAATTCCCTTGTTTCCGTCTATCTGCATGTGGTCTTGCTCTGCCTGTTCATGTTTCGTTCTCGACGTTTCTGAGCCGAAGGGTCGATGGCGGTCTTCTCCAACTTACGTTTCGCGTGTCTCACTTCACTAATGCCACGATGGATCCTCTCGGAAACGCTGCATCTGCCGCTGGATTCGCAGCATCGACCGCAAGCGCAAGTCATCCCTTCGCACAATCAAATCGATATTGCATGTGCTCACATGGTTACAGCTCTCAACTTGATTTTACTGACTGGTGAACAACATTCAGTAACATTGCCAAAAAAGTCGCCGATCTATGCAAGGAAGTAACGCAGCCTTCCGATCCACTTGTGTCGGTCGAAAAGACTGTCAAGCAATGCCAGGCTTAGAGATACATCAACAGGACCCAATTTGGGCGTCAAATTCAGGTTTTCCATGACAATGATGTCTACGCTACACCTGGCCGTTGATGGTGGTACCACAGGTAGCCCCCACTTTCGCATCAGCAATACAATTACACGGCACCGGAGTAGGGCACCGGAGTAATGAAGTAGGTCGTCGGAGAAGGGTATCGGAGTAGGCTATCGGACAAAACTGAAATGTCGCCGGATCATCAACTATATAACGGGAGCCTCAGCAACTTGGCAACATAATGAGAAGACTTTTGACATTGTTTGAATATACAAATCACGCAACTTGAATATCTCGGTAACATTCCTTCACGACAATGTCTGAACAAACAACCACCCTCCCCGACGGCGCAGTCCAGATTGCTCCTCGAACGGGCACTGCGTTTCGAGTCTCCAAAGGTCAGAGGTTTTCAGTCATTGACCCGCAAGGCGTCTCAGTCGGCGACCTTGTGGCGTTCAGTGCCAACGACCCCCGCGAAGCTCTCAGCAACGGCCGATCTTTCGATTATGCCTCCAAGATTTTCTTCTCGAATGGCGATAAGCTCTATAGCAACCGGAGCAACGTTATGCTCAGCATTGTCGAAGACACCGTCGGGAAGCATGATTTCCTGTACACACCCTGTTCCAAAGACACGTTCCGTTTGATGTACGAGAATGTTCCGGAGTACCCAGGTTGTCAAGGCAATCTCGCTTATGCTCTTGCCAAGTTCGGCGTTCAAGAAGATGGCATTCCCCCTCCATTCAATGTCTTCATGAACGTGGTTGTGGATGGCAACACAGGAGCGCTGGAGATCAAGCCGCCTATTAGCAAAGCTGGCGACCATATCGACTTTGTCGCCGAGATGGACTTGATAATCGGCCTTACGGCATGTTCGGCACCCAAGACCAATGATGGCAGTTTCAAGCCCATCCAGTACAAATTACATTGACGGATACTTTGAGCTGGGGATGTACTTTAGTAAAATCTATGGAAACTAGCTGTGGGCTGGGACGACACAGACAGTGCATCAGATGAACTGGATTCACCTTCTAAGTTGGATAAAATATTCTCTCAAATTGAATCTACTTCAGACTGCAAACTCTTGAATAACTGATAGGAAACACTCTGTCGAATAAATGGCCGCTTTTGGTGGGGAGTGCTCAGAAAACCGGCCATTCACTTCGGAATTGAATCCCGAGTGGAAAACTAGAATACCGGAAATGTCATTTTCTCTTTTGCAAATAGTTTCTAACACAGGGCCGGCGCCCGGCGTACCTAAATTGCACATCGGCGGAGAGATCACTTCTTCACTCCGATTCTCCGAGGTCCAAGCCGCAAACTTCACCGTTCCTATTCCACTCACCCTACACTTTCTAGTTCTGGACTCAATATTTTTTCCCTCGTGGTTCTTGGTGGTAATCGAGGCAGCTATCTTGTTCCAGCATCTACTCAACGCTGACGAGTTTCCCCTAAAGAAATGGCACCCATATATAAGATCGCACTTTGCCAGTTTACTCCAAAGGTAATGCAATTGAGGCACTATTAGCTCATCAGCTTCCTTTAATGTTTTTCTTTCTACAAATCGTAATCTCTTGATAACATTCATTACAGGTCGTCGCGATAGCTGAAAACTTCGCCCTCGCAGAGACCTACCTGCGCTCAGCTGCTGACAAAGGATGTCATCTTGCTGTTCTCCCAGAGTTTCACCTGACCTCCTGGGAGCCCAGCCATCCAGATTTCTTTAGTGCTGCGAAACAATCCACACTATATTTGATCAAATATCAAGCACTTGCTCGAGAACTTGGCATGAGCATCGTTCCTGGCACATTTTGCGAGCCTTATTCCGAAGATGGAGGCAAAGAACGGCTAAAGAACGTAGCTTACTTTCTGGCTGGTGGAACAGGTGAAATCTGCGGAAAATACCAGAAGAAGAACCTCTGGCATCCTGAACGGCCCTACTGCACGTCTGGACAAGCTCCCCATCTCGCGTTCGATACTCCGATGAAGGGTGTCGACGGGCAGTGTCTGCGGGCTGGGCTCTTGATCTGTTGGGACCTCAGTTTCCCCGAAGGCTTTCGTGCTTTGGTACAAGATGGAGCCAATTTGATCATCATTCCAGCCTTCTGGTCTACTAAGGGTGGGGAGGATATTCGCGAGCTGAACAGCGACGCGGAGGTGGCCTTTCTCAACAGCGTATTGACAGCAAGGGCTTTCGAAAATAACACTGCGGTAGTTTTCTGCAACGCAGGTGGGCTTAGTATGGTTACTTTGCCTATTCTGGGTGTCTTGAGAAGTATCTGTCCTGGCGAAGACAAGGTTGAAGTAATTCATGTTGATTTGGATGTTCTCCGGGTTGCGGAGGAACGGTATAAGATTCGGGAGGATATGCAAAGTCTTGAATGGCACTATAAATAGTTTGTAGGCATTTGTGTTAGCCGTTTCACCTGAAAACTAGAACATACGAAACTGAATATTAAGAAGAGGAGATGGTGAATTCACTGAAGCTAGTAAAGCCTTCCATGACACGCCGCGATTATGGTAAATAAAGTTCATCGACTTCTCCCTCCGCCAAGAGATATTGGCCTTCCAGGCATGGGTGGTCGGCGATACCCTGCCAAAAAGAGATATCGGATTCCAGAAATTCCTGCCCGAGCTGCTGCTCCCACGTAACCTCGACTTCAGGCCCCTCTGGCACAGGACGGGCTGCGCACAGGTGGGAACTACTTTCGTCGCTCAAAGCTGAATCTAGAAAGCGATGAATTGTCCGAGCGGCCTTGGTAAGCAATGCGTGATTTGGGTCTCCTGCTTTCGCTATCGTACCCCTCTCGATTTCTGTTGTCAAAACGGTGAGATCCTGGAGAACACTGCTTCGTGAGATACGTAGACAGCTTGGTGTGATGTGAGGGTTGAGCATAACTAGCAATATGATGCCCGCTGCTGGCAATCCATAATGGGCGATCTGGGTAATCAGCGTGTGGTCAAAACCTTCAAGAAAGCAGCCTTCCGACAAACCTTCCACGATAGTTTCGTGCCCGAGTTTGATAGCTCCTCCCGTAATAAGATGACATCGACTACAAGCCTGAGCATCTCGATAGCGACTTCGACCAGAGGTGTGCTAGTTTCTGAGAGTCGGTCCCATGCTAGACGACGGAGCAAGAAACTCAGATGTAAGTGATTGAGTCTAATACTGGCGAGAAAGTCTCGTTCGAACGGACTAGCGGAGTGGTCTCGAATGCTTTCTCGAATACGGAAGTGCGCCGGCAAAGAGTTCCAGTGCGAGTCTGCTATCTTTTGAAGCGTACTGAGTAATTTGATTTGAATGGTCAGAAGCTGGACCGAAGGTCACGGATGATGGTGTGGGCTATTTTCAACTTACTCAATAGTTTGCCGGCAGTCAGACCGGTTGGTGTCAAATAAGAGCTCTATCGCATCTTCTTTGACTAGAGCACATAGAGCTGACCAGCGAGTCTCTGACCGGTAGTTCATTTTAGTAGTGGGATCCCATTGAAAGAGTCCTGGGTCATCCGACAAGGGCGCCTCGCAATCCAAGGGAAGTCGGCTGTCCGGGAGCTGGAAATGGCAAAATCTTTTGCTCAAACGCGGCCGGCGACCAAGAAAAGGAGATGAGTTCTTATCGAGTGAGTATATTCTAGCGAATGCTGTTTTCCGTAACTCGGTAAGAAACAGGGGCGTATTAGCCTTTTTCGACAAGTCTTCGTGGTACCCGAGAGCCATAATGGACGATATAACATCACCCACTCGTCGCCACATATGGTAGCCTATGCATCATTAGCAAAGAGTCAGTATGAATGGTGGTTGAGGCTTCTGTACTCTGATCACCGTAGATGTAGGAGTGAATGATACAATGCTCATACTGGAGAACATGCTGCAGATCATTCGGGCAGTCTAGAGCCAGACAGATTTCAAGGCAGCTCGTAGCCAATCTCAGCGACTGCTCCCGCAGCGCTATTCTTTGTTCATTGGTTGTGTAAAGAGGAGGAAAGAAAGGAACATCCATGGAAGCTCGAAGAACAGCGCACATAAATATTCCTAAACTCTCCCAACGAGTGTTCTTACCCAGGAACTCAGCCGAGAAGGCCGAAAGCGTTGTTGCTGCGTTGATAGCCAGCGGACGATTAGTATTCCTTGACAACCTGTGAGCTAGCTCAAAGTGCCATCCTGAACCTTGAAATGAAGTGAGGCGGGAATAGTTTGAGTATCTGGCGAACATGGCAACGAAAGGCTCAGCAAGGGCCAAGTTGATCCCCTTCTGTAGCCATAATGAAACAAGATCTTCCAAAGACCGAACACCAAATCTTGTCATCAATGATTTGATCAGGTCCGCCCCTTGCTTTACTTGTGGGCAATCGTCCAAGGGGGCTTGCTCAACATGGATTGAAGCCGGTGTGGAGTTGTGCGTAGCAGCTGCGCCATCATTCATGTTATCCTGGCCAGAATCCTCGGGAAAGATCTCGTTGAAGATGGCGACATGGCTTGACCGGCCTAGGTGGCCTGGGTTTGGATGGAGCTGAGTGCGACGTGTCCCTGGTATTTGTAACAGGGCCCCGGTCTCGGAGGGACTGTCACGACAATGTCTATAACGTATCTTAGCGTATTCATCAAACATTACGATCGGGCTGCCGGGCATAAATACTGTGGCGATGGAATCTCTTGTGGCATCTGCTGAGAAGGAATAGCTTTCGTTTGCTTCCTTTTGAAGGGAGCAGCTCTGTAAACACATAGCGACGGATCTCCTTGATGCCTACACCTTGAGCAGCACGGCCGACTGTGGTCGCAGGCGAGTTTTGCCTTTCTGCAAGGATCGCATGCTGCTTTTCTGGACCTCATAGCGTCGGGGATCCGTCATTGGACTCTTTGTGCTTCGTTTCGGAGTACAATGGGGTAAAATTTTTAGGGTAGAGAGAATGACGGCGGAATCAAGGTAGCTTGTTCATCGAATCAATCGAGATTGATCCCAACTAGTCAGCAGCTATCCGCGGATAAATAATCGACGCGATCCGAGGGTTAACATCTATGAATTGCGCCCCACTGCCAGCTACCTTGCTCCAAACCTCCTACTCTTGCTCTCCAACTTCAATCTGCACTTGGCGGCCATCCAACGTGGTTCGTGGTTCTATTCTAATTTTCATGCATATCTAGGCTCTCCTGAGGGTTTGTCTCTGGTGCGATGGCTACCTATAGTCTCTCCCCAGAACTCATCTTTATACGGGATGCAACTAGATCCTGTGTTGCTTAAGGATCTCTGTCTCTTCTACGAATCCGATTGCTTTGGCGACTGCTTTGCGCTGGTTCAGTATGGACAGGAAAGTGTGTCGCTCTGGGGAAAAACCACTTGTTTTGTCAGCGCAGCCAGCATGTCATCTTCCGTATTATACCCTCTTGACAAGCCCGAAGCATATAGTCTAAACGTATTGACATACTAGACAAGCGTAAGCACAGATTTCGAAGCTCATCTGCAAGCAGCTCAAGTTCACCGTTCGCGAGATGTTCGCGAAATGCGCCGTAAATTCGATGAATTTACCGCGGAAGAGATCATACAGTCGAGATGTGATCGATTTCAGCAGAGAATCTTCACCTACTTGGACAACGATGGACGAGAACAAGAGGATGTTTTCGAGATTTCACGGCTGTCTAGTTTCCAAAATGGGAGTCCGACGTTTAGCAACGCGAAGATTGGGCATTGTTCCATGCCGAGTGTGTCATTTTAACCCTAGTAACTGTAAAGTAATGTTCCGTTTGTTCCAGACTGAAGTATCTTCCGATTTTCCCTGATCAGCATCCACCTCAGCAACCAAGCCAGAGCGGCCGCTATTACAGAGAAAGCAGCACTAGAGGTCATTGCTATCGTGTATCTGGGCTCATCAGAAGATGGCCAGAGATACTGTTTCATCGTCAGTCCAGTACGCACTAAGGGCGGGGGGCGTCAGCTTACCGGAGTATATATGGGACCGATTGTCGCGATTGTGTTCACTAATGCAAGAGAGACAGCTTTCTTCTCCCTTGTCTGTCCACATGTACTCGATACCCAACCAAGAATCACGCTATTGCATGCATAGACGCCAGACGCGAATGCGCACATCGCGAAGTAGCGAGCTCCCACGTTCAGCGTACTACAGGCAAGGACAAATCCGAAGACGGCTACACACTTGGCTATCGTGATGTGATAAACCTTTTCGTTGAAATGGCCTACAAAAGCAAACTAGTTCAGTAGTCGAATCACTACAAGTAGTCAGTGAGGTCTTGAAATCACTTACCGGAGCTAGCAGCCCATGCAATGGATATCGCCCCAGATATCAAATAGGGGGGGCAGGTAAGGACCAGAGTGGCGTTACGGCTGAAGCCCAAGGTGTCGACGATTGTGGGAAAGAAGTTCTTGAAGTTGCTCGCCGCCATATGAAAATGTTGGGCTAGCACCAGAACCCAGAGGCGTGGGTCGCGAGCTGCTTCGACAAGACCAGCCCAAGTACTGGTGTTTTCCTGGAGCTCAACTGTGTCTACCGCAACACGAGATTGAGCTAGCGTTTTCTCGCTTTCTGACAGCCAGTGTGTGTTGAGTGGCTCGTTGGGCAGAATGAAGGCCGAGGCAATGGAGATGACAAAGGTGAGGATCCCTTGGATAATGAATAGCCACCTCCATCCGGCCAGGCCGGCGACCTGTTCCATTTCGAAGACCCCGACGGCGATGAGGCCTGCAAATGCAGTTCCGCAAATGTTTGCCGTGAATAAGATGGATATGCGCGTGGCGATTTCCTGCCTCGTGTAAAACATGGCAAGTATGTAGAGAGCGCCCGGGTAAAAGGGAGCCTCTAAAACCCCCAAGAAAAACCGTGTAAGAAGCAGACCCTTGAAGTCTTGAGCTATGGCAGTCAGAGTACTAACGACAGCCCACAAAGCCATAGCAACCGCCATGAACCAGGAAGGTCGGGTTCGTGTGATTAACATGTCTTGTTGATGTTACGCTCAACTCTCATAAGGATATCGATATCGACAGGGGAAACACTGACTGCTTGGGATCTGCCCTAGAATGTAGCCCACGAAGAGTATTGAGACGCAGGTCTGATACTCAGTTGACGTTATGTTGAGATCCTTTTCCATGTTGTTTAGTCGTGCAACCGTGATGGCGTTGCGGTCAAGATAGCTGCACGTTGAAGTAAGAACATCGTCAGATTACCATTCTATGGAATCTTACTTGAACCAATACATTATCCACAGAACGGGAATGATTATTCGGTCTAAACGCTTCACCAGTTTGATCTCGGCGGGGTTCGTCTTCTTGCGCGCAGAAGTTTGGCCCTCGTTGATGGCCGCGGTTTCGGGAAGTTCGCCTCTCTCAACATGATGGCATTCAGCAGTATCGCCTTTCTTAGACTTGTCTGCGATCTCAAAGTGATTCTGAGCTTCGGAAGCCATACTAGACGACATGCGAAAGTGCGATTTGAGAAGAAAAGAGAGACCTTTGTCTTCAAGACCATAACTTAGAAGAAACACCAATACCATTTATTTATACACATACTGCTTTAGGGGCTAAAGCCGCCTACCATGTTTACCCATGTTTACCCCGGATTACCCCGGATTACCCCAGGCAATCCTGCATGCTCCCGCAGGAGTGCATACCTTTGCTGTGTCTTCATCTACACTTGCTTATGGCCCCATATGGATATGAACACGCAGTCGGCTTAAGGCGGACTATATCGCACGATGATGTCGTTATACAAGGGTAAAGACGGGCTCAAGCGGACAGAGAAGCGAGGCCGGCGATCGTCCGGGTGATGAGGGACACGCACGAAATGTGGTGCAGAGAAGCGGGCCGACGCGGACCGGCGCGGAGTGATTCGGACCATCCCGGATGTCCTCAGTATCTTCGGCAGTTGTTTCTGACTTGACTTCAGTGACAGTTCATGCAAATAACCGTCTCATGGATCGGCTTACTTGTCCCTCGTCTTTTCGCCTTGCTCACAATGGTTAGAGCTTACGCTCGCTCAGTCGCACAACAAACCACTTCAAATTGGAGCTATTCCCAGTTTGATGCTTAAACTCTCACAAGAACATTTCAAGAGCTAATGTCTGGCAGATTCCATAAGAAATTGAGCGAGTCAATATCAAACCCTTGAGATAGTTGATCGACACTTTCACCGAAGGGTGCTATGCTTGAATCGAACTGCCAAGCCCTCCAAAAACCATGCTGATCAAACGCTGAATCGTCTCTGGCATTCCCATCCGACGAAAACCCGGCAACGCCGAGATCAACGCCGTCCAAGTTGGTTGTGCCATCGCTAGCAGCTCTCTGGCATAGCGAAGCACTTCCCTCAGGCCATTGAGACACTGACACCAAATTCTCACGTAGACTTGAGGCGTGCTTTTCGATAAGGTCCGCGTATCTCATAGCAAAGTCCATGTCATCTGGAGGACAACTCTTGAGTGTTGTCGTGCACTCGTCCAAGATTTGTAAAGCTGCGTCCATGTCTGTCGCTGGTGATCCAAGACTAATGGCTTTTAAGAGGAAAACAGAAGCCGAGATTACGTTTAATCGTATGCGAGCAGGGGCATAGGCTAGATGCAACTTGAATGGTGTCACAGTCGCAATTCGGAGCACCAAACTGCTGTCTGCGATGACCTGCTGAAGAAACTTGGCATCTTGTGGAGTCATAAAAGCGGCAAGGCCATCCTTCTGAAATCTGGTTGACTCGGATACGGCGGCCCTTTGAACAACTGCTTGAATGGATATCGCTCCAATGCAGGCTCTAAGATGGTGCAATTCAATGAGAAGAGAGTCCCTCAGCTGTTCAGGGATATCTACATAGATCATAAGTAAGTTACTAGTCACAGATGGGACTCAAGTTGAATTTCTTACTCTTGAGACTCAAATCGAATGTCTTGGTCCAGGTAGAAAGTGAGGATTGAAAATGCTCCAACAGATCCGAATAGTTGTCATTTTGGAGGACAGCTTGAAGTTGTCCGCCGGATTGGAAAAACATGGACGAAGCGACTTTATAAAGGCGAGTAAGCTCCAAGTGAGCATCCATGTAGGCGCTCCACGACCTTCGTGAGGCACCATCCGTTTCCTCCATGATTGACAGAGAAGCTGCGATAGACACGCTTTCTGGCAACACGGAATGATAGCCCAATCTTGTGGCTGTTTGCGTCATGTAAGTATAGAGAAGCTTCTGGGCTCGAAAATTTCTATGTTTCGCGTCGTCCAAGGGAAGTCGGTTTCCGAGGTGGTCGCTAGACATGATTCCAAGCTCATAGGCTAGGTTTGTTGCCAGGCCGAGAAGCATCCATGACATCCGACTGGCTCTTTTCGCGGGTTCGAAAACGTCTTTTCTCCATCGCAGGAGTGGCTCTTCGTTGTTTGTGCGTTTGCGATTTTGGCGATCATACTCCGTGTCAATCAGAACGGCATCCCAACCCTCTGTGTCCGGCGGGAAGTGAACTGCACGAGGATGCCAATCCGATATGAGTAGCAAGCTTTCAATCGTCCCGATTATTCTCATTTTCGAAGTTGAGACCTTTTCCTGTCCCAGTATTATTCGCTTAATCAAGGACTCGCAATATTGCCAAAGGCGATTGTGGATCAAATGGCTTCTTGATGCGCCTCCAGCTCCGGGAAGCATGAAGAACCGCGACGATATCATCAGGATCGTGCAGCAAAGCATGGATTCGTGACAAATGAGGCCTGAATGAGACTCATGACTCCGATATTGATCAACTACAACCGGTGACAACGGTGAGAGGTATTTGAAGAACCTGAGTCACAATGAGTTAGACTACCGTCGAACCCCAGATTTGAAAACTTACAAATCAACATATGTGACGGCTTCCTGTGAGGTGAACCAGCCTTGCCGAACAAATCGGCACTTATCCCACATATCCAGACTGGCTTCTGATGGCTCCGACAGAGACACGATGATGAATCCAATTCCACTTTGGCAGCCCGGCTGTCCGTCAGAAGGAACGGCCACGGGTAAGTCCTGTGTAGAGTTGTTCGGCTGAGTTGATGGAGGTCCGGTAGATGGAGACTGCAGAAGATTTGCCGCGTCAGATAATACCTCAAGAGCATCGTTGGATCCCGTAACCAGACTTGATATGACTCGAGCCGAAATTGAGCGGTTGTTTTGTGTTGAATTCTTAGCCCATGTTGTATGGTAGCGTTCAGAGGGAGGTGATGGTGTTCTGACTTCGATTGGTGCAGCTTCTTGCTGGAATTGCGTATCAAGTTGAGGCGGCGTTGCTGATGGTCTTGATTGAGGTCCGTGTATCCGGCTTTGCAAAGCTGCAGCTGAAGTAGATCGCGTCTCTGGCCCAGAACTGGTCCAAGTTGGCAGGTCTCTATGTTTGGCGGTCCTTGGGCGACGGTCAAATCGACAGTCGCGATGTTCTCGCTTACATTTTGCGCAAGGAGGCTTCTCACCCATGACGCATCGGACTTTACGTGCTCGGCAAGAATCGCAGGCGACATACGTCCGTTTGTAACGCGGAGAGCCGTGGGAGTCTGCCCCCTTGCCGTTCTCAGTCATTTCTTCGTCACTCATCGTGAATCCTAGCAGCCGACTCGAGGATTGACGAGTTACACAACCAGCCCTAGAGTCTGAGTTAGCAGTGTCAGGCATGCAAAATGCACTTGCGCTCAATAGTGTAATCTTTCTCGCCAGTAAATTTCATTATGCAATTAGAAAGAATCTTGTAAATGTGATGGAAAATGTTTGAAAGACAAGGAAAAATGCTCCCGACGTGCTCCGCGAGTATCCGCGTCGGTCCGCACTCGCATGCCCCACTGACATCATCTGAGCTTTGCCGTGCCTTCATCCCCGCATGAGTTCGGTCTCGGAGTGAAATCGCGAAGGAAACACGCTGCGGCTATTGAGGCCTTGGAGTTTGCTGTATTGTCAGGTCTTACACACTGAGCTTGACTGCTCCGAAAATCGGAAGATTGGAAAGTGTAGCCATCAATCTCAAGATCTGTATATAACACACATACAGTAACGCAACAAAATCATTCAACTGATTGTTACAAATCAACGACACTGATTATCTCAAATTCTCGAGCCAGATTATAGCTCCATACGCCGCAGGAACCATGTCCAAGTCAATCGTCAACACCAACCCTTACCCGTTCCACTTCGAGGCGAGCACTCAGCCAAACTTCAAGAGAAATGGTGATCGTGTCACCATCAACTTGGACAATTCACGTGGCCGTATTCCCTCGTTTCAGGCATCTAAGCTGCGGTCTTTGATGCAAGAATCTCACGATGACCCCTCAAAGATTGTAGCCCATGTCTGCAGTTACGATGCGCTCAGCTCGCGGCTCTGCGAGGAAGCCGGGTTTCCCATTGTGTTCCTCGCTGGCTATGCTATGGCGTCCGCTTTTGGTCTGCCTGACACCGGATACATCGCCTTCCAGGAGGTTGCGGCCAAGGTTCAGGAGGTTGCGAGGGTCACTAGCATCCCGATTCTTGTCGACGGTGACACCGGCTACGGCGGTCCCATGAATGTTAGAAGGACCGTCGAAGGGTAAGGTCTTGATGGCTGTAAAAGTTGCTGGTGTACATGCTGATCTGATTCTCATCACATAGTTTTGCTACTGCCGGCGCTGCTGGAATCATGGTTGAGGATCAAACTTGGCCGAAGAGTATGTCTCAGGAGGAAATCTTGCGACTTGTTGCTTGCGTTACTCACATTATTACAGGATGCGGACACACCGCGGGAAAGAGTGTGGTGTCCAGAAGCGAAGCTTACGCCCGATGGCAGGCAGCAGTTGATGCTAGGAATGAAGGGCTGGATATCTGGATCATGGCACGAACTGACAGCTTGATTCTTGGGTACGACGAGGCGCTTGCCAGAGCTCAAAAGGCGATTGAGATTGGCGTTGACGCCGTCTTCGTCGAGGCCCTCCCTGATCGCGAGACAATGGCACGCCTTCGCAAGGATCTCGACTTCCCTTTGTTCGCCAACATCATCGAAGGCGGCAAGACGGAGAATCTTTCAGCAAAGGATTTGGGCGAGCTTGGGTACTGCGGTGTGGCATACCCGTGGACTCTTGTGGCGACGAAGTTGAGAAGCATTCGTGAAACCTTGGAGGCGCTGAAGGGCTCCCTCACCGTTGGTAAGCCACCAACGGTTTTGTCGTATGTTGAGGTGTGCGATGGAGTGGGGTTCAACAAGTACTTTGAGCTGGAAGAACGCTACCAGTTCGAGGGACGGACCAATGGCGCGAACGGCCACCAGTGGAAGAACTAGTTTCTTGTTAGCATCGATATTTTCTCTCATCATAACAAGAGCTAGTGGGCACAATGGAGATCAACAAGTTCCCTAGTGAGGAACCCGAAAATCCATCCGACGTCTAATATACCATTTCGAGACATGAAGACCGAGTGGGGCAATGTCACCAAAACACGAAGAGATGAAAGATGACAAGCCGAGAAACAGAAAGCAGGGGAAAAGTTGAAACGAAATGTATATCACTGCTGAATTTGGCACCCCGTATGGGCAATGACAGTCATCGGCTGGAACGCTGGTTTCGACTCTGTTCACGAGCGGGCTGGCGAACTCGTGATCGGCATCGCATTTTCCGCTTTGTCCGTAATAACCAGGGACTCTGCCAGATTCATCTCATGATCGACGAGGAATTAAAGTTATCGGCGGTACCGCGTATCTTTGACGTGTCCCAATTTTAAGTCCGAGCAAGTTCCAGAATTCAGTCATGTTGGTGTGGAGCCAGAGGTTCTTCGACCCACGGGTAGGTAAAGAATGACAGACTGAGGCCGGCCGCCGAGCGCTTAAGCATGAGCATTAGCAAATAAAAGACCAATTGTATGTTCTGTTAAAGCATGTTCGACTCGGGTTGAATACAAACTCAGTAATGATGTGTTCACTTGATTGGGGGGCATGAATGTTCATTGAATGAGGCATAAATTCGTATCAGGCTTTGCCTGATTGGCGTCTAGCTCGCTAGATCTATACAATCTCTATGATGTCCCAAAACCCATACTCCGAACCAAAAACTCTTCGGCGGGGGAAGAGGGCGCGCGAATGGCGCCAGTAGCAATCAACTCCTTTACAATGTCCTGGTGGACGACGTGCGATTCTCGTCGTCGGCAAAGTTCAAAGGCTATTCCGTAGCCTCTCAGGATGGAGGAATGCTCAATCTGCTGAATGTTCCAGCGGTGGGGTGTGCCGAACGAAGGGGTGCCCTAAAGCACATGCCAGTCATGGCATTTAGTCCTCGGTCTTGTGGAGGGAGCCGGTGATGTAGCCCTCCTCGAGGTTGTCGATGGTCTGAACATCCTCAGGAGAGAGCTCGAAGTCGAAGGACTCGAAGTTGGACTTGATGCGGTGGGCGGTGAGAGACTTGGGGAGGACGATGTTGCCCTTGCTGGCGTTCCAGTTGAGGAGGACCTGGGCAGGGGTCTTGCCGTACTTGGCGGCAATCTGGCCAATGACGGGGTCCTCGAGCTTGTTGCCACGTGCGAGAGGAGAGTAGGCCTCGATGGCGATGCCGTGGGTGCGGCAGACGTCGACGAGGTCCTGGCGCTGAAGGAAGGGGTGGACCTCGATCTGGTTGACGGCGGGGACGACAGAGGTCTCGGCGAGGAGCTCCTCGAGGTGGTTGGCACCGAAGTTGGAGACACCGATGGAGCGGACCTTGCCGAGGCGCTGGGCGGTCTCAAGGGCTCTCCAGGAAGCAATGCGCTTCTCCTTGTCGTCGGAGGGGGAGTGGATCAGGTAGAGGTCGAAGTAGTCGAGCTGGAACTTCTTGAGGGAGTCGCAGAGAGCGTTGAAGGTAGCCTCGTAGCCGTGGTCGGCATCCCAGAGCTTGGTGGTGACGAAGACCTCGCTGCGGGGAGTGCCAGTCTTCTGGAGCCACTTCTTCAGGGCGCGGCCGCAAGCCTCCTCGTTGGCGTATCTGGCGGCAGAGTCGATGTGGCGGTAGCCGGCGTCGAGAGCGGCGATGACGGCGTCCTCGGTCTCCTGGCCGTTGGGGGCCTTGTAGACACCGAGGGCGATCTGGGGGATTTCGTTGCCGTCGTTAAGCTGGACGGTGAGGCGGGGAGAGTCGCAGGGAGAGGCGTATCCGGAGTCCTGGCGGCGAGGGTTGATAACCTTCTCCATACCAAGCTCAGGCTTGCGGGAAGCGAACTCAACGGCGGCCATTTTGAAAGTTGTTGGTGGTGTAGATGAAAAGTGTCGAAGGTGAAAGTTGTTGGGTATCAAGAAAGAAGTTGAGAGGCGCGGTAGAAGGTATTTGAATGTGATGAGATTGGATTGGATTGTTGTGTGATGCTGGATCGAAATAAGACCCATTGAAGCAGATCTATCAGGTCCTTTTTATCCTTTTCGACGTCTCTCTGGATAACAATGGATGGCCTCCTGTTTCCCTTCTCGGACCGATGGCGTCGTGCTGTCGCCTGCGGCGGACCCGCCGTAAATGTCCCGTCCCTACTGGGTTGATGGATGCCCCGTTTGATGCTGGGGACAGTGCCCCGTTGAATTTGGGTCGGTACCCCGTTGGTGTTGAGTCGGTATCTCGAAGTTGTTTTTCGAGTCGGTGCCGGCGGTTCCCAGTCGGGATCCGTCCGTTGTCTCGACGGTACTGGGTTGAACCGTCAAAGGCCCCGTTATCGCTGGGCCACCGACCCGCACGCGCTGGAGCCAGTGACGTAGAAGTTCTCCGCCGACGTTGGGCCGTTGCTCCGCCGGGGGATGGGCCGATGACGTGCCGTGTCTCCGCCGGTGGTGAGCCGATGGATCATGTCCGAGTCAGTGTGGTTGGCTGCATACCGTACGCAGTAGGCCTCAGCTACTCCGTACTCAGCTCTTCCCACCCGAATCCCGACTAGCCCTGTTCAAGACGATTCATGGCTTATCGATACGAAGGCCAGTTTATCGGACGAAACGGTGTGGTGGTGTCGTTATGAGGCTGAAGTATAGGTTAAGCACAGCCAAGATTCCGGTTGTTGAGCCTCAATCTTTTTTCGGGTGGTGGCAAATAGATTGATCTTCAGCATGTTAGCGTTTGATCCTTCACTCGGTAGACGCGAGAATTTTTCTAGAAAATCGGGACCCAGCTCAAACGAAGCGTTATTCGGTCTGTTTTTCCCGAGGACGAACACATACATGCTGAAGACACGTTGTCGCACACGTTTGGCGCCGTCGCAGCGGTATGGACCGTTTTGACAGGACCCGCGGCAGAATTGCGTTCCTCCACGGAACACCGCAAGTACCTTACCCTCCCTCTCATGGGTAAGGTGTTCGAAGTGAAGCGCCCTTAGCGACGGCGAGAGAGGTCGGATTATGACGTCAAGCCGCCGAAGTGACCACAGTGAAGGTGGATCATCTCAAACGCGCGCTGCTTCTCGGGACTCCATTATAAAATGGACCATGAAGCCCGAAAAGTTCCCGGAAATGGTTTTCTGCGCGTATGTAGGTGGTATGTGCGTGTAAAATTGGATGGCGGATGGATGGATGGCGGGATGGCAACCGCAGTGCGGCATGCGAGTCGCGAATTCGCCATCACATTTCTGCATGTGTGTGTGTGTGGTGTACCGGTGTATCTGGATGTACACCACACTGATAGGTGATACGTGCTTCTCTTCGCTGTCACCGTCGCGGTCGACTGGGTTGGATGGAACTTGGGGCGATGCAGCGATGGCGATGAGAATGGAGCAGAACAACGAACGGAATTGAGAATGGAGAAGACGGTGAAAAGTTGTTCTAGCGTTAACGTCGCTTGGGCCGTTTAGGGATTTCGTGATCCTTGCTTCAGGTGTGTGATTGGCCGTATCCCCTGCGAAACTCAGGAACGTGGTTTCAGGCCACGCCGTGATGTCATTGGAGGGTCCGATGTACTATGTAGTAGGGCCAGCATGGAGGCATATAGCCTGCAGGACCCCTATCGGGAGTGTTCGGAAGGGCCCGCTCTTCCTTCAGCCTGGGCGGCCTGGGCGGGACACTGGAGGGAATCCCATTCTGATTCTGATTTCGGACTGGGCTGCCTCTTGCGGATGGAGCTCGCGTTTGCAACAGCTTGATAGCTATTGGAACCGAGAGTTTGCGTCTTATCGGCGCTTATCCGTATTGCTGATGTCCTTCTCCAAGCCGGACACGACGGGCGTCTGCATGGTTGGCTACTATCTTGTCTCACACGAGCATCTTCACTTTTTGAGATGAAGGATTCGGAAAGGATTCTCTCTACGGATACAGAGACCCTGATTGACCATCGGTGAAAAGCCCCGATGAAACTTGATCCTCGCCGGGCGTCCAAAGAAGATTTTCACATGTGCGCCAAGCCGCCAAACGGGCAGGTTAGATGCGCCTTCGACCTCTCCAGGCAGTAGATCGGCAGGAGATATCCGGATTGTCCTCTTGAACTTCTCAAAGCCGCGAGAGAAGCCGCGCCGCCGCCTTGCAGGAAAGCCTTCGTCGATCCCTGTTGAGAAATTGATGCCGGCTGTCCATCTACCTGAAAAAGGCATCTATCGACGTAGGTGCTGCGTTTCTGCTTCTGCCATGCATGCCTGTGCGGCCTACACCCTGAGACAAGGCGCTATCAGAAAGACCCACGCGTTCTCCAATTTACTTTTATCTCGTCCAAGGCAACGAGCATTTTCTCGCTCTTCCCAGCCCGCCTGGCGTGACTGTGGATTGGATACACGCCTTCTCACTGGGTAAATGCCTCGTAATGTGGATGATCACCAAGACAAAGGGACCCAAAATATCCGTAGGTATCCCCGTCTCACACCGTGAAGATGATAGGGGTATCCGATATCGACACACAGACGGAGGGCAGATCGCTCGGTGGATCCCCGATGCAAGGTGAGAAAAAAATGTCCCTCATCTCTCCTCTCAGCCTCTCAGCACGGTGCATGAAGTCCAGAAATCCCAGTACCGCTCGCTGTCATTGGCGGTGTGTTGACCTCTCACACCGATAATGGGGCAAACCCGGTTCCACCTGTCCAGCATAACATTGATAATGGATTTTCTCAAAAAGACTCTTGGTTGTTGCAGCGCCCGTCTTCATTGGATGATGATCTAAATTTCAAACTCTGCTGGATGCCATCCCTGGTGAGGCTGCAGACTCAAACTTGGTTTCATGAGGGATTTCACGTCGCTGGCCTAGTTGCTGCGGTAAGATTACGTCTTAATGCATCGGCATCAGGCAATGAGGCAGGTTTCTTGAGAGAGGCTGGCAAGTGCTGGGATAGGGAAAAAAAGACTCCCGCGAGGTAGCCGAGAATAATGGCGAAACCGCCAGGTGGGAAGAAGATCCTAAGAATGGACACAGCGGCTTTTACCAGCTACGCAATGTGATACGCTCTGCGCCCGTTGGCCTTTCCGACCGCAAGAAAAAACAACGCACTCATCAGCCATGCCGTCTGGTGCCATCAAGATTGAAGACCGTACGGATACAGAGTCGTCATCAACTGCCGTGGCCGACACGTAGATAGCCACGCAAGATAACGGGACATGTGCATCAATCAACGCCCGACGTGGCACGAGTCAGGAAGAACAAAAATGAGGACGTCATATTAGAAAATGGCGAAGCACTGTAACATCAAATTCTTGCACAACGCTATGCCGCGAGTCGTTGATGTTGATCAAGTCTGATCGGCATCAACCCCAATACGGCTTCCGCGAGAAATGTCGGGGGAAGGGGAAATGTCGGGAAATGTCGCGGAGGCCTCATGCCGGTGAAAATTTCGATGAACAGCGAAATTCCGACTGATCACAACGAGCTGAGGGTTGGCGATGTGGCAGGATGTGGAAATCATCGAGACGGTGTTGGACTAACAGCGATATAGTTACATGCTGAAAACTAGAAAACACCACTGCTCTGCACCCCACAATGATGCGAAAACTCACGATGGCTTCAATTATGGGTCACCACCTCAGACTCTCATGCTATCAACAAACATCATCGCAAATAGCAGACCAGACCAACACATAATCATCGTGGCGTGTAAGTGCTGCTACATCCAGGTGATCACCTCTCAATGGCGCTCCAGGTCGTCATAATGAAATTTGGCTGTGACGATCGCCTTAGCTCAAAGTTCAGCATGCAAAGCAACTACGCGATCAAGAACGCTACTTGCAGAGCCAAAAGATGTCTAAGAGCTGCATTGGCAAACACATCCAAAACCTCAACACCATCCGTCATAAGCAAGTTGCACTACAATCGTCGCATGTCGTTGACACTGGACAGCCTCATCTCCACATCGTGAAAAGAAGTGGCTCCATTTTTTGGTGGTGCTTCCTAGCCGACCCAGGCCAAATCTTTCTTTGGTTGCTTGAAAATGGAAGAATGAGAAAGACCCGAATCGCCTGAGGCGACAAGCTCTTAAAGATACATCGATGTATGCGACAATTATTGAGTTGCTTTTCAGAGATTGGGTACATATTGAGGCCTAATAGCCTTATTGTGATACTTTCTGCATCGAATCGTCCAAATCCCACTTGAGCATCATAATCCAATACATAAGAACGAAAACAAAAACAGTATTCGCTGGGCGAGTCTTGTCAAAGGAAATCTCTCGCGGTTTCCTAAAAGCTTAGGGCTCTTTTGGTTTTCCCTTTGCTGCCGTGTTGTCAATAATGACCTGAAGTTGCTTTAATGTGCAAGTTCCCAATTTTTGGTGCCCATTACTTCAATCTCGTATCTGTCAAGAAAAATATTCCTTGAAATCGATCTGCAAACACCTGTTCTCACGAGCCGCACCTCCATCGGTAAAGACAAGCTCGTCTGGGGCGGATGACGATCCCACACTCGCCCACCACCGGCCACCGCAGGCGCCACATCATGGCAGTAACTGGAGTCTCGCTTGTTGCACGGAACCACCAGGAACGCGGATCGTGACGCCGTGAGTGGAACTGCCGTCATTGAAAGCCCACGGAAGCTGGCAGAATGCAAGGTGACTGTCTCCGAGGGGGACGGAGCTGGCCGTCACTGCTACCGACCACCCAGACTGCCAGGGCAGCAAGGGCAGGCTTGGGTCCTTCTTCTTTGGGCTACAGGCCCCGCCGCTGCAGGAGCGGGTGGCGTGTTTATCGGTTGCCCGGGCGCTGGTCGCGGCATGGCCGGCCGGGGTTGTGGGCCTCAAGGAGCTCGGCGTAGAAAATTCGGCGATCGTGACTCCGGAGTCGGTGAGAGTGGAGAGGCCGGCGTCCGGGGAAATACTGGAGTTGATTGGCTTCAGCGTGGCTTGGTGCGGGGTCAATGTCCGGCGCGCCGGCCGCGAGAACCGTTTTTCACTTTTGGGGTAAACGGAGAGTAATAAACGGCATCAGATTTTAGCCTGCGTTTGTCACAGACAGATTCAGTAAGTCTCAGAAAAAAGTGCGAGGATCGCGGGTTACGGGGGCAAATGACATGAAAAAGAAAAACACAACAGCTCATATTATGCAACACTCAGAAATGAAAGAACACAATATAAGCGGACACACTTAGCACCCAACACAATGAGAGTTTGTAAGCCCATAGATACCTGTAATTCAGCCAGTCTGTTGACCTAATTTCTCCTTTCTAGTAACGGAGTCTTAAAATCAAGTCATTCACATCTGCTAGTATTTGGCCGATGTTTCTTAGCTTCTATAGATGCACCTACAATGCAACAATGCAAACCTCTTTGAAGATTCATTAGGGAAAACGGGCGGAATTGATTTGATGCGAAAGGGAGCTTGGAGGGTGCTTCAAAATCAAAGACCTTCGGGCAATTATTAGCTCAGTGTCTCAATTTCAACACTCCTTGAATAGCAATTCCGGGACTACATCAGTTTAAGTGTCGAATCAAGATACACGATGAAAAGCTCGTGATCAAGACTTTGGGGGTTTGGATCTTAAGCCCTTTGGTCTGGAGATTGAGCGATGGAAGTGCACTGTGTTTGCTAGGTATATGGTATGGATAAAGAGGGCGAACCGATGATGGAGTCACATCTGAACGGTTCAATTTGTCCGCCTTGAAACCACATTTGCAGTCTACCATTATAAACTCATGGAGAGGTCTGGTTCTGAAATAGAACGACACTTGGCGGGAGTGTTGATAAAGAAGCGTATCTACCAATACAGCTTTTTCGTATGCCCAGCACTGTTTGGAAGAGTGTGAAAGTGCTGACTTAGATGTCTCTTGTAATATGTGGTTATTTCAACCCTGGTCGTACGTTAAGAGAGTCTCAAAGCATGGAAGAGAGACAGTGACGGCTTGTTCTGATGGGGAACCAAACCAGACACTGTACTCGTCTGATAACTGCAACATCTCGATACTACGGTCAATGGACTTGAAGAAGGATGAAAAGCCTTGGTGCAGTGCCACTCTAAAGAGGCTCTGTTTGTATAAAACTTTTAGGCTAGGCAGTTAAGGTTCATGATAGAAACACGTTCAAATAGGAATCGGCGTCTAGGAAGATGTCTTATCCTACAACACATCACGCTTTTCGAAGTTGGTTTTGTTGAGAACTGCGTCATTTCGAACTCTGGTGGTATCTTAGGAGAAGCATAGGCAAAAGGCATTTTCGCAACCAGTCTCGGCGGGTTGATCTTCCGAATTGCACAGACGACATAAAGAATCATCGCACCGTAGGGACAGTGTTTTTCTCCTCAATGGCCTCGATGCCCCCCTTCTCTTCCTCAACCGGTCTGATGCCAACCTCGGTAGTGGTAAAAGCATCAACGACGTTTCTGTAGGCAGGGACGAAGTTGACGGCGAAGGCATAACTCCACGCCAAAACGAAGAAGATGAGAGGAATGACCATGGCGGTTCCCATGTTTGTGTTATCGGCAACAACTCCGAGCAAAGGAGGCACAACGGCACCTCCAGAGACACCTGCGAAATGTCGTCAGTCGGTTGCATTCAGCAACGGTAGAATGCAGGGGAAACCTACCAGCAATGATGAAGCCACTGCCTCGCTTCGAATGCCTTCCGAGACCTCTCATACCCAGCGCGACAATAGTCGGGAAGCAAATGGACTCAAAGAATAGGACAATGTAGAGCATTGCCATACCGGTGTTGCCATGGTGGACGATGGATGGAGCGATGAAGATGACGCAGCAAGTGAGGAAGGCGATGAAAACCCAGCGGGGCTTGACGTAGTGCATGATGCCGACACCGACGAAACGACCAACCGCAAAAGCCGCTTGAGCGCCGGCGAGAAACTTCGCACCCAGAGTCGCATCCGTATTGTCTCGAAGCTCAACTACATAGTTGATGAAGAAGCTGAGTTCACGTTAGTGGCTAAAAGGTAAGAGTGGTTGAACAATGGGCTCACCCAGCAATGGCGACTTGGGCACCGGTGTAGCAGAACTGCGCAAAGGACGCATGGAACAGACGATATTGCTTCCAAAACGACTGATTGTCGGTGTTGGCGTGCGTCTCAGCAGCCTGGAACTCCATATCGGCATCGGTAATTTCGGGAATGTGCGAGAGCCAGAAGACGATGGCGAGGGACCAGACGAAGACGGCAATCGCGAGGTACACCCACTGGACATTTTTCAGAGCGCGCTCGTCGTCGAAGTTGAAGAAGACGTATGATCCCATGACGGGGGCCACGACGGTGCCGATACCGTTGAAGGCCTGTGAAATGTTGATTCGGATCTCGCTGTGCTTAGGAGGGCCGCAGACGGTGATGTACGGGTTCGCAGCCGTCTCGAGAGCACCAAGGCCGTTACCGATGACGAAAATGGCGGCGCAAAAGCCGCCGAAGCTCTTGGCGATGATGCAGGGGATCGCGATGATGGCGCCGAGGCCGTAGAGGAAGAGGCCAAAGACGAAGGTCGCCTTGTAGCCCCAGTGTCTCAAAATCCATGCTGCATGACCGAGACTTGCAAAGAGATAGGCACTATAAAAAAAGATAAGCGATTGAACGGTTGGCTGTGGTTCAGGAATGGGCATGTCGAGTGCTTCGTGGTACTGCGTGACATGTGTGCGAGGTGGTGTGGGGTGAAGCCCGAATTGATGTATTTCGCCCATTCAAGATACAACGTACCCAAAGTAAGCAGCCTGCAAGCCGGAGGATCTGGCTCTGGTAATACCAAGGGTAGTTTGGAAATGCTTGTTGAGGGTGTCGAGTAAACCTGGGAGGAGGAGTCAGCATTCATATGAGCTAAGACATCGTGTTCGCCTTTCGGCGCAGAAGCAACACACCATACGAGAAACCCCAAAGGAAGAATAGGATGGTGACCAGGAAGATGGGGAAGAGCGACTCCTTCAGGGTGAGCTCGGCGGCGTTCGTTCGTACGTTATCCTTCTGTCGCAAGGACCGATCCTTGAAGAACTGTTTGACGCCCATATTGAGCGGCCAGTCGGAAGATCGATCGACCGTGGAATTGAGGAGATAGATGAGAGCGATGAGAGTGAAGATGATCGCGCGGCAATGGCTTGTGTCAGGGTCAAAGCCCCGGCGGCGAGACGAGACAAGGCGGACGTTAGTAGCCGTTGAGTTGCTCGGACTTGTGGCGGTTCCGGTTGTAAAAGATGCGCGTCAAGGGGAACAGAAGCCTTCTGGAAGGAGGGGAAACGGGTCAGATGAAAGCTTATAAAAGACAGAGCCGGCTGTTCTCTCGGTCGTTTCGAGCTTGATGTTCCCCTTCGCCAATTCGCTGAGGTGACGAACCTAGCTAACATCCCGGTCTGCCATGGCCGCCACGGCCGGCTGACCCTCGTAGGAGAGGCAAACGCCGCATATCATTCGAGGTTTCTAGCAAGAAAGACAAGGAAGACGGGGGTTGCGAGGCCATCGGGTATGTTCGTCTGGGGTAAACGGGTGCTTGGAGAGGATTGCGGGGGTGGAAACGGCGCATTCTGAGTTGCTGGGGAAGTGGCCCAAGTGCGGGGTGAGAGGCCGGGGGGAACCAGTCAGAGACGATGTGGTGGAGTTTTGGAGTTGGGAATACATGCTTGGCATGTTGGTGAGACTTGGAATTCCCCCGAATGAATGGCATTTAAAGACGACATCATGCGAGGGAAAGTGGGCGCTTTACTGCGACTTGAATATTGTGATTGGTGAGTTGGATCTGGCAGTTCCTGGGGGTTGCGCAGAATAATCCTGCGTATCACGGTACCTCGACGCAATGTTGGACCGAGGTAGGACACACGGTTCGCTCAGCAATCTATCCCCTGGTAGATCGGAAGACGAAGTCACACATGAGATGTCGAGCCCAATTTACACCAGCTCACGGAAGAAAGTGACATCACACTTGCAGTCATTTGTCTTGATTCTTTTTTTGTTTGATGTAACGTAACTCGATCGATTGGTATTCAGACCACCAGGGACAATCTGTAGACGAGTTGCTCCAGGCTTTCGTGGATTGGAGGCACGTTGATAATGAGAAGCCATGCCGGGCCAAGGCCAACCGAGAATCTCGTGCCGCCCAGTCATTTGGCATCTCCAAGTCTTTGATTCTTCTTGTCGAATTCGAAGGTCAGTACTTGGTCCAACTCCGACAAGCTACGTAGTCGATTTGACACATCTGCATATGCGAGACGATACAGAGACTAGGCCAGGCGAAGAGAGTGAGGCGGGATCCTTCCGCTTGAGCCGCCGCTGGCATGCGCGTACCAATCGTCAGCGCATATCATGTCGAACATGTTTCTGCCGCTTCCTTCTGTGAAATTGTTAGCTTATTCATTCGAACGCTGCTGCGCTTGATAGCTAGTTGGCTGGAACATTGGCTTCAGCGCTCAGCTGTAGACTTGAAGCTGAACTTGACATGAGTCCGTTGGATTCTCCCAGCAAGCAGTCTCGCGGCTCTGAGATCAGCTAGCGGGACCTACGGGACGCGCGGGAGAAATGCTTGTGTTGATTGAGTTGACATGGCATTTCCCTCGGTCTCTGTTACCCGGCGCGGAAAGTTTCTGTCTCATCTCCAAAGAGCATGGACAGCCCTGTGAACTGAGCGGCCCATCTTGATTTGCCGAACGCGCTGCCGCACGGGAGCTTGCGCCATGACTCGCAGCGCGCGCGATGGGTGTTCAAATGCGACATGAATTTCCGCCAACAAGTTGCCAGCCCTGACAGCCCAGAGCAGCTAGGACCAGCTGGCAATGACTGGCAAGAACAGTTTTTCCAATGCCAAGGCTGATTTCGGCGATGGCCGTCCAGCAACCAACGAGAAGCTATCACGTCTTCTTGGCACCAACACCAAGTTCTGTGCCAAGGCCTCTGGGACGGTGATGATGACTAGCGGCGGACATTTGAGGCGTTTCAAGTCACTTGCTGCTATGAATTGCGGGATGATACAAAAGCCCAGCTGGGGTCTGACACGCTTTCCCTCAAACCGTCACCGAAGGAAATAGGAAAATGGCGCACGAAGGATGAATGAGGTTTCCATCAGCCAGGGCAAGTGCATCTGAGTCTTGCTTATCCTTAATACCCTCGACGACGCGCCGCTGTTTTGCTCCAAACATCTTTCGCCGCCGCCAATACCTCCCCAGACATCACCGCCGTCTCGTCGACATGGTCGCGTGACCTCAGGTGGTCGCCGCATCAGAAACCAGAAGGGATGATCTTGGCCTCTCTCATCCGGTCAAACACCTTGCCCCAGGCCTCAATTGTCGATCGCTCCTCGCCGAAACCCGTGGCGTACATCTTCGACATGTCGAAATGCCGGTCGGTATCGAACTGCGTGAGGAGAAAGTACTCGAATCCGGGATAGATCATGGGGTTGTCGGCATGGCCCTTTTCGAGCCCGTACCTGCCCTCCAGTTCGCTCCACGCCGAAAGATTCTCTCGGATGAACTTTCGCACCTCGATCGGGTTATCTTGCTCGCTCTTCACCCCCTTCAAACCGAAGTACTCGCACAGCACTGGCCATTTTTCTCGCCAGCACGAAGGCCTCTTTGCATCGCCAACGTTAAATGCATCGCCTTTCTTGACAGACTGGACGGCTGTGGTTGACAGGTGAAGAGTCTGCCGCGCGATCATGTCGGCCGAGGCATCGACGCTCAGCGCGTTCCAACTATCGAGGGAACCAGGGAATGGACACTCAGCATCGGCTCCATGGATGTGTCGGTACAGGCTGAAGAAGATGCCCAAGACGGTCCCGAGGGAATACCAATTGCCGTTCGGCACGAAACCAACGACGATATCCGGTCTGGTCTCCAACCATGTCCAGCTTTTGGCCTTTGAATACTCGGCGATCCAATCAAGTTGCGGATAGTAGAAGAGGCCTGCATCGTGCGGCGGGCTCATTCTCGGCAGCGTCTCTTTCATCGGCGTAATCATGTTGCTGGGGCGATTGCGGAGAAGATGACAGCCATAAGCCTTCGAGCCGGTCTGAAGTACGACAAGCTCAAGCACCGGAGAGAGAATGTCTACAGCTGCAACTGCTCTCTTGAACATCTCAATGTTCTCGTGACACTCGGCCTCATAATTGCGGTCAGTGTGGGCCTTGTACGCTACCAACCATCTGTGAGTACATCCAGCTTGAGTTCGTAGAATGAAGCTAACTCACCGAGGTAGAAGACATGTGTGACTTGGCCTACGTCTGAGATCTTTTCTTTCATTTTGCGATTCAAGTCATCTTGACTCCCTCCCAACAAGTCAATGCCAGAAACCACCGAGAGTCTCTCGTCTTTGGGCCAAAGGGTTTTCGCGGGGTCCAGCGGCCTGTTCGTCAGTGCGATGCAGCGATCCCATATTCCGTTCTTGGGATAGTCATGCAAAATTTCGTTGACAAACGACCAGCCGGACACTCCGCTCGCGCCATAGATGAGTACTGTTTTCTTTTCGGTCATTCTGCACGGACAGTACTACTAATGAAGAGCTCACTTGACGAGGCTTCTCAGCAGGGCGTGGAAGTGAGCATTTATCGATTGTCCACGACTCCAGGCTTCATAGCTGCTGGTAGGCGGAAATCGTGAACCGTGCCAAGACGAGAAGCGGACCGCGATCGCCGGCGCCGCTTGGACGGGAAGTGGTTTTCCGGCCGGGTCGCTCTCCGCATGCCCCCACCTGCTGCCGACCTAAACCGGAGCCGTCTCGGTATCCGCATTTCTGTGTCTGCTTTCTCTATTTCCCTTATTCCCTTTTGTTGTTCATTATCACGTGCGGCTTTTGGCCAACCCTCTTGGAAGTTCCCGAGGACAAGGGGCAGTATACAACCGAGTGGAACGGGAGGATTGCGAATCCCTTATCAGTACCTTTCTCTCACTGAGGATTCTACCTCGCGAGAGTCTGTGTCTACGAGGGCTTACCCAGATGATCTTGAAGTACACATTGAGCTGAAAACAAACTCCCCACCAAGCGGTCTAGGAACCGGCCCGTCGGCATGATGGACCCACCCCGGAAGTGCGGACGGGATACCCTGACGGGCCACCGGTCCCCGGTTGCCGGTAGAAATGGTTTGCTGGCGCCATGCATGACGGGAGCGTTCTGGGTCGATGCAGCTGGTTCGCATATCGAGGTTCACCCAACCTCGTGGCGACCCATCGGTCCATGGGTCTAGCATCTCGTGGCCCCGCCTACCAGCTTGGGTGTAGACATTGCGACAACATGCTTTTTAAGTGTCGAGCAGGCTCAGTGTCTGCAAATTCATTACCGCTAAGAAATCCTCGGTGTTAATCCTGTCAAGATCGAGGGACGAATGGCGGTGCACTGTGTCAAGTCTCTATTAGCTGAGGAAGTCTACCAAGTGGCGACGATTCCAATAAGACAAAGGCACTTTAGGAGAATGCCAAGGCTCCAACAAACCACTCCATCAAGATTCACTGAGGGTCATCGTATTCGAGGTGTCAACACGGGATGGTTCCCTAGCCGGCCTCGCCTCGTCGAGCGATGAATGGTATGTTGGCAATGGCACCAATAGGCTCAGAGAGACATTATCACCCCGGCTGTGCAGACGAACCTTCGAAAAAGGCTTCTAGACCAACAAAGCACAACCGATGTCACCGTTGTCAAAAGATCCAATAGTGCCTAGAATTAGTCGCCATGTACCTCATCTGGCAGCCAAACGTGGCGTGCCGCTGCAGATGGATTGCACGGTTCGACAAGCCAGGACCGGGTTGCAACCCGCATGCAGGGTCATCGCCGAGGCATCGTCGAGCAGTATTGAGCCGGCTTGGCTCTGGAAGGAGGGCGGCCTCTCATGGCCTACGAAAGGAGCACGTGGGCTCGGACTCGGCCAGCCACGGGGCGGCCTAGCCGGAGAGTGGGGGTCGGCCTTGGCCGCCCAACACACGGATCGGAGACGGATGGTCTTGGAAAAAATGGAAAAAGGAAAGAAATCACGGATGGCATGTGGATTGAAAACCGAAAACTCGGGTTGCCGAGAAATTCTTGCCTCTTGGGCTGACACAAATGGTGTCATGTTCAGGGTGGTTGGAAATGCTGGGGCGGCGTCAAGCTTTGCCAACCCTCATCCCCCCTCTCTCGCCAACGCTGCCGTGTGCAGCATTCGCATCCTGCGAGACCTGGGATTGGATGCGCTGGATCGCCGAGAGTCTTGTCGTCAGGGAGGCGAAATGCTTGGTGTTCTGGTCAGCCTGTGGCAAGCCTTGCCAACCCTTCGCCAATGTCGACGGACGACATTTGTCTGATCCCGATCGGAAGGTTCAATAGGCTTGGGTGCGTCCTGGCATCGGGCACCCGACTTGGCGATGTGATATTTTCAGCGTATTTCTGCAACGTCAGTCGTTAAATTCACATGGAGAGGCCGTAATTACAGATATCAATGCAGAGTCATGTCGACGAAAATGCACCGAAAATGGCCCTGCCTTTCATCCACGTCAATTGAGACACGTGCGACAGCCTTGCAAAGTAGCCAACATCAAATATCGTCCAGGAAAATAGGCGCAATTAAGATGCTTCTGGCTTGCCTGGGGAGGTGACGGATGATCTACCTCGAACAGACACCGAGTGAGTGAATGTCATGTCATATACTTCGTACGTTCGCGCGTCTGAATCAGCTCAGTGCGCGGGGGATTTGTCAAAACGAACAACTGATGTCTTCTCGGTCACGATTGGGCATTCGCGGCTTCAGCTGAAATGCACCCGCCTCGTCTCGCAGCCAATACGGACGTCTGGTTTACTGATTCGAAATGTCTGTCGCCGGTCACATTACAGATATGGGGCTATACCAAACTGGAGACCGAGGCGCCAAGACGTGGTTGCGCAGGTATGGCGACAGACTTTTCGCAACGTGCCCAGGACGCGCATTCCGGATGGCCAGTAGAGACATCGGGCCAACGTTGATCTCGGAGGGGAATTGGCTGACAGTGGCTGAGTTGGGAGGGCAAACCCCGTTCGAGTCGGGTCTAGCTGCGATTCCGAAGGAGAAACATTTCATGTTGGTGGATACGGAGCAATAAGAGCCCAAGAGAGGACCGGAGAGGCAAACCCTTATCGGTAGGTCGAGCGTCGGTCGGAGGAGGCGTGCGTGGGGTTCGGTTCCTGTCAAGCAAAGAGAGAGAGAGAGTCGTGTGCAATGAAATGAGCAACAAGACGGCGTAGCAACTGTCGAGACGAACGAGCCAAGACCAGAGGGCTTGGCGTTCTCTTAATATGCCTCCTCGACGAACAGGGGGGTCGAGTCCAAGTCAAACATCCGTAGCGAAAAGATGCCACACGTGGAGAGTTTAGGATTCATGATTCGTCCACTCCAGATCCCCTCCCCAAAATCTGTGCGGGATGAGATTCCTCGCCCGAATAAAGCTTGCTGGGTGGACCCGGACTAGTATGCTAGGGATACCGACATCTTGGCACGCTAACCGTAAACATGACCCTTGATAGCCTCCCGTCTGGTCTACCATCGGTCCATCGACCATGGAGGACCTTGTGGGAGGAGGCGTCTGTCTACGGAAGACACACATTTACGCTTTCTACGGATACGCATGTCTCCATGCCTACAGGCCGACTACTGCATGTACACACGGAGGAGTGCGGAGCACGGAGCACAAGGAAGACGAAGGACAGGATCTTGTTCGACCCTTCAACCTGGAGAGAGACATGGGTTTGAGTCTGAGGAAACTGGAGCACAAGGTGTTCTTCGTCCGCTGATGGCCGCCACGCCCTCACAATAACTCACACCTGCCAAGGAGACACATAAAAGGTCTATCGCGCGCACCCGATCCCATCGCTGTCGTCTCGTGTGTCTGTCCTGTCCTCCAGCAAGCACCCCTTCCCCTCATTCTTCGAGACCATCACATCTGCTCGCCCAGTCACAGCCAAGCAGAAGTCAGTCACAATGGCGCTCGACCAATACACCTACGTCTTTGCCATAGGCACCTTCTTTGCTATGCTCGATGCATACAACAACGGTGCAAGTGAGTACCGCCGAACACCTCCCTCCGTCTAGCAGTTGAGATTCCAGGTCGCCTGTGCGACCAGGTGGTGGTCTTAGAACCCTCAACCGCAATACCCATCGAGAGTAACTTTCAGACGCTGACTCGCATGAACTTTCAGACGATGTCGCAAACGCTTGGGCGACCAGTGTGTCGTCACGATCCATCACCTACAGACAGGCCATGGTCTTCGGTACCATCTTCGAGATGCTCGGAGCCATCACCGTCGGTGCCCGTACCGCCGAGACCATCAAGAACGGTATCATTCCCAACTCCGCCTTCAACGACAACGCCGGTGTCCAGATGCTCGCCTTCACCTGCGCCCTCGCCGCCGCCTCCAGCTGGGTCATGTGGTGCACGCGACACTCCGCCCACGTCTCTTCCACTTACTCCCTGATCTCCGCCGTTGCTGGTGTCGGTGTTGCTACCGCCGGTGCCGACAAGGTCCAATGGGGCTGGAACAACGGAAAGGGTCTCGGTGCCATCTTCGCCGGTCTGGGTATGGCTCCCGCCATCTCGGCATGCTTCGGTGCCATCATCTTCATGCTCATCAAGCTCGTCGTCCACGTCCGCAAGAACCCCGTCCCTTGGGCTGTCTGGACCTCGCCTTTCTTCTTCCTCATCGCCGGTACCGTCTGCACGCTCTCCATTGTTTACAAGGGATCCCCCAACCTGGGCCTCAACAAGAAGCCCTCGTGGTACATTGCCGCCGTCACCATGGGTACCGGTGGTGGTCTCGCCGTCCTCGCCGCCATCTTCTTCGTCCCCTTCGTCCACGCCAAGGTCGTCAAGAAGGACTACACCATCAAGTGGTACGACTTCGTCCAGGGTCCTCTTCTCTTCAAGCGCCCTGCCCCCGCCGATGCCGAGCAGGCCAAGGTTCCCAACTACGCCGTCGTCCAGGAGGACGAGGAGGAGGACACCCTCCCCCGCCACACCAAGTCTTCTCAGGCTTCCGAGTCTGGCGACGAGCCCCTCAAGGAGAGCAAGGAGACTCACATCCCCCACGAGAAGTCTCTTGCCGCCGCCGAGATTGGCCAGGGCCCTTCCTACAAGCAGCTTCAGGCCGAGGGCGAGGCTAAGCTCCACGCCAAGCTCCTTCAGAAGCGCGGTCCTCTCGGCTGGGCTATGCGTCTTCTCCGCGACAACCCCATGGGCCCCGGTCAGGTCTACGAGCTCCACAACATGAAGATTATCCTCAAGCGCATCCCTGCCATGATTGTTGT